GTATTTTATAGTAAAACTCGAAGGCTATTGTGTATGGATTAAATGCAAATTAGCACTGACAAAAGCGACAGCCATTTTGTCACCAATTTCTGGTAATGAAATCAATTTCTGACTTTTTCTATCGAGCCGGCTTGGTGTCCATGCATTTTTGGATGCATATATGGTTGAATATTTTATTTGTCACAGTAAATTGCATTTATAGACAAATATCGAGTGCTTTTTATCTCAAAGAAAATTTGCCATGCATGCAAAGAGGATCTTTATAGCTATAATGCCTATATGCATTTCTTACATATAATCTGACTTGAAACAAAATATTTATTTTTGGATAAATAGACTCAGGAACTGAAAATTCAAGGTTTGAACCTCTATAAGAGATAAAAGAACATAGCAAGTGATTCATGCTGTTTTAACTTCCGTATCATACCGGATTCTCTTTTCATCGTTCGTTGCATGGTAGCTTGTAAGCCATGCATGCAGTATATAAATTGATTTCTTTATATGTAATTGTAAACTATCAGGTTTAAATTCCTGTAACATAAACACATGCAGGAGTGTTAGAGTTTCACCTGCCCACACCCATCGACATTGCAAGTATACATCCGTTGAGTTTTTCCTGTTAGTCGAAAGTTAGCAACTACTTTGCTCTCATTGTAATGCTAATACTTATGGTCGTGGGCGATTCAGTTTAATCACTGGCGAAGTAATTATAGTTCCAAAAATAAACCACTTGATGAATTTCATATATATATATATATATATATATATATTACCTTATTACAAGGCTCCCCATTTGTATGGCGGATTCGCCAGTAGAACTGTCTAAAGACTTCTCTTTTAGGATTACAAACGGTAGATTTACGAATGACGCCTAGGAACTGGTACTATAGTACTATATGTATATACTGATATTCTTCTGTAATTAAATAAGAGATATAAAGTGTAACAACTAACAAATACCCCTACAACACAAGAAGATTACATATAATCATTATATATACAAAATATCAATATATCGGTTACACCCATGCAAGGCGTAACTAGACGTAACTGCCCTGCGGAGTCAAATATTTGTTTAGGTACGCCGGGTAATTCTAAAGTCACTGAAGTAATATGACATCTTTCTATATACGGAAATCGGTAACTGCGAAAATAAATGTCTTCTTCACTTTTCATTGGTGGAAGTATATATATATCAACGTTTGCGGCGTTGATACATATGCTGCTGCTAGTTATATTTCATGAACTCCGGTCGAAATATATGAGATTACAAATGGTATATGACTTCGTGTCTTCGTCTTTACCTTACATGTAAGCCAGTTTTTCACTTGGCGAATTTATTGGAAAGACAACGAAATGGATGTTATTATGCATAAGCTATTTTACGCTTTAAACTAAATCCGGTACAAAAATTACTTTCAAAATCACTTGATTTATGTTCGGATATTCATTTAAATAACCATCATGATATTTCTGTTAATTGAACATAATTATAAATTTATATAGTAATCATAAACGGGTGCTGTGTGAGCCGTGAGGAAAAAATAGAAGACAATCTTTGGATATCCTCAAGTCCACAGCATATCAACTAAATTTCGTAACAAATAACGCCCACTTTAGAATGGTTTATAGCATAGAACTCTCTTTGTCGTGTTTTTCTTTATTTGACTATTTAATACATAAATATACTAATTTTCATCCATTAGCTATATTATACAGAAACAAGTTCTTCATCAGTCCAAGGATTTAGTTTGCATCTTATTAGCCCCATTCTAAGGAATCATTCTATACACTAGTCCATCATGGCATGGCATGCATGTTTAACACTGACAACTAAATTGCACTTCGGCCCCGTTTACACTATACCGGATTGCATCGGAACGCAGCGATTTTCGTACCGGATTGGGCTGCTGTTTATACTACTCCACTGTAATCCGGTACATGCTGCGGAGCGAAAATCACTCCGGTTTCGAGGTGATATAAAAAGTAATCTGGTATGTACCGGAGCAGTGTAAACAGACCAATCCGGTACAAAACATATTTTGGGCGAAATTTGTAAGCCAAGTCGTGTCGTACAAAAATGACTCTAGCTTTGTTTCTATGGCAACATTAAAAAGTGATGAACTTATTTTTTGCTTTGGACTGAAAATTAATTCGGTATGGAAAGTAATATGGTATAGTGTAAACGGGGCCTTCATTAGACCCGGCTTGAAACTACGGCACTTGCATCTAAGCTGGTGGATAGGAAGATTCGAGATCCAAAAGATCTTGCTTAGGAACTTTATGTATACCTACATATAGTCCACCAAAATCTCTTTGCATTGAAATTTGTGCGCTAAAAGCTTTCTGTTCAAAAATTGATCAGTTTCTTATAAAGCTTCTTAATTTGGTTATATTTATATTATTTACCTACAAACTTTCTAGGTAGTTTATGCTCAGTTTTTCTACCTACAGACTTTCATTAAACAAAAGATTCAAAAGCTGTCCTAGTAAAGCTCACGTCCATTTCATGCAATCGCTTTTTGTGAGACGCCACAAATTCTTTTTGCCTTTCGTGTACAAATGCCCGGCCGTTTGCAACGCGACGTCTGTTTGGAATAACCACAATATTTTCTTTTTTCTTCTCCTTATCGATAGAAAGCTTGCTGAACTTTCTTGCTTTCACACGTTTTTTCAAAGGAGGAATTTGAGACAAGGCACAATGAAGGGCCTCCTTGCTAGCTTCTCGTTCACTGTGGGTTCTAGGTGGAATTTCCCCAGCTACAAATAGTTTCTTTTGCCTGACTTTTAACTCTTGTCCGGGCACCACAACAACCGTCTTCTTCCCTATTCTGTCTATTTTGTTTATCAGCCTCGTATCATTAATAATTTTTCTTGTTTGTTGGGATTCGTTGTCCACAACTGATGTTAAGGAAAACTCTTTAAGAGGATCACAATCGTCGGAAATATTTTCATCCCCACAATGTTGCAGTAAGCTTTCCACCATCCTTGTAACTTCCTTATCATCAGCTTTTTCTTTCAACTTATTTTCTTCCCTCTCAATTTTTTCCTTCAGTCTCTCGACTTTACTTCTTAAGATCCTTATAGCTGGTGGTTCCCAATTTGGCGGAAAGTTCTTGTCCGGAAATGAATCCTTCAGATCTTCATATTCTTGAAGGTTATCAAACAAGCGACCTTTCAAGTTCGAAAGTTCATATTCGAGTCGCTGTAAACCGGATTCATTTCGTTTCTTCATCGAAAAAGAAGCTCTTCTGTCCAAATTTTTTTCCCTTTTTGTATTTTGTATCCATTTTGAAGAGAACCGTTTTAGATTTGCATGGTGATACAGCATATTATTGTCAAATGATTTCCTCCGGTTCTGTGTCGAAGGATTGTCAAACCCGTTTGGTTGTTTTCTAAAATCCGTCGATTCATAATTTTCATCTTCTTTTTCGGAATTTTCATATGCTGACGAAAATCTTACTTTTCGGGGTGAGAAATGTTCCGCCATTAAATTGTTCGAATCGTGAAGAATAAAATTGCTTAAATTGCTTGAGTATTAAATCGATCAAAACCTTTCTAATATATAATAGGAACTCGATAACCTAAACACTGTATCTACGCTAAATATGTATCCTGCAGGTTACTGTACCCATGACAACTCATAAACAATATAATATCCAGGTAACGGACCTGCAACAAAAAGAAAACTATTCATTTTTACCTGCAAGCATCATACTGCTTATATGCTAAGTACTCGATCTCAAAGCCTGTATCTAAGGGCTTGTTTACATGGAGGGGGTTATCCCGGCTAGGCCACTGATCTGGGCTAGGCGAGGTGAAAACTGCATATAATAAAAGACTAATCAGGTTAAGCCTTTGATGTGATGCGCTTTTTACCTCGCCTAGCCGGGATAACTCGCTCCATGTACACAGGCCCTAACTTATCATTGGTAAACCAAAAACATGATGATTGTATGATATATATATGCATCATGTATGATTGTATGATATGTATAATGTATGATTATACTATGGCCGGTTAAGTAATTTAGTCAAATAGTGTACTGCAAACTGTATCTTATTATATTGTTTACTCCAGAAGTTGTTCTCGTAATTGCTAGCTAATTCTACTTTTAGACATATATTGAAAAGTTTATATAACCTGGGCGTTGTCATTCATTATTTTGCTACATATTTTCCATACTATTAAAAATTTTTACAGAACTTTATTAAAGGCATTCAAAGCCTGTATACCATTTACACACTATAGTCTCCCCCTATGATTCTGTATATTGGTACAGGGTATTTGAGGTAGAGTCAGGCCCTTGGACAATATTTCCAAGCAAGTCTTGGCAGGCGACGCAAGCATGACATAACTCCCATATATAACACCTATATCCTTCCTATATCTATCAGTGGCGTAGCCAGCCTGACGATTTAATCATGCCATGCAAATTTTATGTTATTATCATTATCATAATTTCTTATCAAATTCAATGTCTTCACGGTCAATGAACACCAAAATATAAGCATAGAACGACTAAATTGTCGGATTTTGGGCCCCTAACGAGTAACGAGAGTTTTGCCCGGAGCCTTCGATTCGATTCTGATTCGATTCAAGATATCATCAGATATCATTGAGATCAGTGTTAAAGTTGTCGTTTCCAGGCCTCAATCGTTTTCGAGCGAAACGTCGTCTTTTGTATGATATCATTCATCAAAAATATACGAAATTTGTATGTAAATGTGTTGTTCATTTTGATATTTCTGATAAAAACCTGTATTGCAGTTGATTATATTTCATCGGAAACATGGCGATTGTATAGACGGATATTAAAATGTCTAGTGGAAGTGATAAGTCACTTGTCACTGGCGGAGAAGCTTCTCCAAGACATGTAAAGGCAAGAGACACAAGCTATATATCATGGTCAGGTTCACCCAGAAATTCACCAAGATCAAAACAACTGCGACCAGAGGAGAGCGACGCTAAGAAAATGGTATGTTATAGTATACGTTAGGCGTTTAGAATATTTTTACCGTATCAAAATGTTACAATTAAAGGCTATTTTGTAGAATACGTGTCTTCAATTATTCAGTACATGAAAATTGAATTCTTTAATCCCCAATCATAATAGATTTGGCTAAGAGTATTTATTGCATTTTGTTTTGCAAATTTTGTTCATTGTGTATACAATGCAGGACTCTATTTTGAAGATGGTTATTAGAACAATTTCAGTTGATGTGTTTTAGCTGTACTATGTATTTCTTTCTGATACAGAAATTTATGCTTGATTAAATTGAGGTTATATTATTAATATTTCAGTGCTCTTGATAAGTGGCACTATCACAGACTGGCACAGAGAGCCTGTAAAGGTGTTTTAAATATCAATATATACCCTTTTTGAACATATCAATTTTTTCTCCAGTTGAAATTCTCTCGACTTTTTTGAAAGTTAAAAATGCTTCTTAGGAAGACCTGTAAGTGTCCAAATATTGTGTACCTCTTTGAATGCATGTGTATAATTTATTCCTGTAACAATGCATAGACAGCTTAGAACTGCTAGTTAGAAGTGATGCTTGTGGAAATCAGATGCTCAGTGCTCTCAACTGTACCAAGAAGACTGGATAATTAGAAAGTATTGGTGTGTTGATTATATGAAGTGATGTTAAGGTGTTTAGACTTTAGTACAGTTACGCCTATCAATCACCATATTGGCAAAGATTATTTGCACAAACATTTTAGACGATCACGACAGCCTCAACAAAATAAAGACTAGATCCAAGTGGCACTGCGGAAATTGGTAATTCATAAACTGCAATTTGTAATACTTAAATGTTGGTGAGCAAAAATATTTATAAATGCTCAACAAAATATAACCTGCACAAAAGATTTGAAGCTTGCACACTCTAAAAATGAATTGTCTAACAACTGTCCGAAGTGCGTGATGAGCTGTCAAAAGATTTCAGAATGCGTCTCTAAAGGAGAAACATTTGTAATTGTATTCTTTTTGATAGCAATACAGAAATGCACAATTGACCATAACGAAAAATATGGCAGCATGTACATTTTACCACAATGCATTGTGAGCATTAAGCATAAATGACCAAAAAAGGATGAGAAGAAAATCACCTAATGATATGATACTTTAACACAACGAAGAAAATAACCTCCTTTTTTAAATATCTTTCAAAAAACTTCAATTTGCTCTCTAAACAAATTCTGACCGCAGTCCACTCTGGTGAAACGTGCATGCGCCATCTTTTTCGTTATCGTCAATTGTGAATCAGTGAATTGTTTGGGTTGAAACTTCATAATTCACCAATTTCTGCAGTGTTGCTCCCAGGCAGAGTATACCCAGGCAAATCCTCTCGTGCCTTTGTGTAGTTTATAGATAACTGTTTCCAGGGGTTTTAACGGGAATCGCTGCCCGTATATATAGACATAATTACTGATTATGCAATTTTTATTGTGTTCATACATACTCTGTGACTATGCGATGGTCATTAACCACTTGTTGCTAGGAGCCATTTCACAGACGAATAATTTGCAAATAATTATTCCTACTCAAATATTTGCTGTAAACAAAAATATAATCCATGTCAATTTTATGGTTCCCGTTATCTGGCAGTTTTCCCATGAAAAAAAGCCTTGACGGATTTTCAATGACAATGTCAGCATGGAACAATTTGAGCACAAGGGCTATTTTCAAATACATTTAGCGTCAATTGTTTCAGGTTTTGACAGCTTAGTCCCTTCATAAGTATGCATGGAATTGCCAATTGATTTCTTATATTGTTTCAATTCAGTATATGTACTTTGATTCAGCCAACGATTACGTGAAAGGTAAATTATTTTTCAACTTTTAAAAATACGATAGAAATTTAGAAAACTGACTAAACTCGCAGCACATTAAGATAAACAGAGTTCATTTTCGACGGTGATTAATTATTGTCTATATAGATAAGAATGATGCTAAATATGCATTGTTGTTCCCTGATCCCTGACATTAGTAAAGCAACGAGTTCTAAAGTTTATAGTATGAACAAGTATCTTACTTATGGGTAGTTCGCATTTTGCTATATAAGGGTGATGTCGTATTTACTGCTTGTACACGCTTTTGTAATACGTGAGCTCGGTATATGGTCTGATCAATAACACTGGTTCAATGTACTAGTTCATGCACAAATACTGGTTCATGCACAATATGGAGTAGATTATAGGGTAGTGATTTTCATGCATAATATTTGGTACAATTCTAATATAATCATCGAGTAAATATTGGCCACAAGAAGCCTGATTTGTGAAGTGTAGTGACCGGTAAATTTCTGGCACGAATCGCTTTCAGCTCTCATGCTGTTATTGTTTATTATTAAGATAAGAAGCTGCATGTGTTGTGAGAAAATAATTCACTTGAACTGTGTCTTGCGTCGTGTCAAACCTCGCCCTTGTTTAAACTCCCCCATGCACTGCGGCCCACACCAGCATAACGACATTCGAAATAACGAGAGAATTTTAACAATATTTTAGCAACAAATGCAGGCGTATGTGGCATGGACAAATTCTCAGTTAAAAAAACTCCCGGGATGTAAAGTTATCGAAGATCTTGCTCGTGATATGCAAGATGGAGTCGCGTTAGCACAGCTTATTGAAGTGGTTGGTAAGTGTAGTACTATCTTATTGACCTTTGTGATGATGTACTGATTGTTTTCCACCAATAAAATTTATATTCCCTTTTGCCACGCTCAGGAGCAATATCCCAATTTGTTTTTTACTGGTACTGGAAATTTGTCAGTTGTGTGGTCACTCTTGTTCGGGGGAGTGGGGGACCAGATTTCCTTCACGAAACAAATGCCGAAATGGCCATTTGCGAAGGATGTTCATTTTTCACTTTTCTGTCCAAAAGCTAAAGGATATCTCTCTATTTTTTTAGCCGGAGAAAAAATTGAGATAGATCCAGAGCCTGCATCCCCACTAATAATGAAAGACAATGTTGAGAAGATTCTTCTCTTTATCAGTGCAAGAAAAATACGTCTTCATCATGTTACTGCGAAAGGTAGTACGAAAATTACATATTTTTCTACGCCACAATTAACCATCATACTTTGAATCGAATTTTCTTTTCTATATTTCTTATTTTTAACATTATTAACGTATTTTTAAAATGTTAAATGTTATTAAAATTTTAAAAGTTCAGAACTTGGATGAATGCCAAATGTTTGAAACCAGACTTCTTCACCAACATCCGTGGAAGCTCTCTCAATTCACTGACGAAGCACAAATTCTTTGACTTTTGTTTCAGATATTGTCAGTGGAAATATGAAAGCAATAATGCGTTTAATACTTGCGTTAGCTGCTCATTTCAAACCAAGTAGTGTCCGAAGTGCTGCACCGGAGCCCGCAAGACCAGGACGTCGTATACGAAGGTCTGAATCATCTTTGTCAGCGGTTGCTGCCGATGCTGCTGCAGCTCTTCATGACGTCAGCAGAGCTGCTGCAAGTGCTGGAACACCTTATAAGGGATCACGGTTCAGGTGAGTGGATAGCCGCGTTTGATTAAAAAAAATGTAAGTACCAAAAAATCGTATTTTTCCACCCTACCTTCTATATACCTTATTAGTTGACACCACTTGTTTACAAATCTATTCTGTCGGCCAAACAAATCGTTGATTTCAACCCATGCTCGGTCCTCAAGTACCTTGGGGCTGGGACCAAAGTGACATTTTACCTCAAAGTATCTCAAAAAGAAAGATCTGTCCCTGCATGTTTCTGGATAGAATTATCAAGTTCCACTTTTAGAATGAGATCTTTTTTAATATTGATTACCTCGTACGTAACACGTACCTATTTTTAATAACTCGTGGAATGCTTACAGTCGCGGCAATAGAAGCGTTCCGAAAAATATCGAGTAATTCATTTGCTCAAATTTATCAGTTCATCAAATATTTGAAAAACTCCTAACTTCCGTTTCGAATTGACCAATTTCTAACTTCGCCACAGAGTTATGTGGCGTCACTGAGCACGCAATACATTACATGACGTCACAAACTAAATTAATCCATCTGTTTGTACACAATTCAGCAATTGGCAGTTTAATTAAACATCGTTTACACAGATCTGTAGGTAAATTTAAACCACATGTTTGTTTAGGCCGAGTAAACTTTTAAATTCAAGTGAAAGCACATCAAGTATTGACAGCAACGAACCAAAAGCGTTACAACCTGACCAGTCCATGTCTACAAAAATTCCTGTTGGAGGTCCACCGAATAAACTTGTGAAAAGGTAAATGAGACGACTATTGGTTTAATGTATGCATTACATCATCTCTTTAGAAATGTTTGTATGGATTGTATTCTTCTAAAGCTCGTCGCTCCGAAGTGACGATTACCCTTCTTACTTTTAATGTTCAATTTTCATGCATGATGCGTGTTCGTATTATATAAAGCTAGTGCAAAGGATGAATGAAAATTAATGGCATAGCGAGAGTAGTTTTTGATCGCCGAGTAAGTCAGCTTTAATAGGTATTAAAGCGAACAGTAAAATGCATCAATGTCTACTCGACCATGCAAAAATTATTCAAGTTATTAAAGTTTCAATAAAGAGGAATTACCTTTCAGGACAGGAAAATTACGGATTGATGCATTGCGTAAAAGCACTTCACCAGCAGAGAACAGGGAAAGTGGGTTGGGAAACACAGACTCTGGTGATGGTGGAAAAGCACTGAAGAAAAGAGTAGCCATTGGTTGTAGACAGTGGAAAGAGATTGTTGAAGGTTATGGTATTATGGAGGAAGATGTGAAAGAAACGCGCAAGAAGTTGATAGCTTTACAAGATCTTGTGAGTTTGCTTGTAAAACTGAGGCTAGTTTTCATGAAAACCCTCAACTTGAGACCTGAGCTCATCTTTTTCCATTTCCAAACATGCAAACATGTAAAATCGGTTAAAGTTTGTTAAAATACTAAATGTTTTTTACAAATGGATCATCTACATTTTTAGCTGCTAAATCAAGAACCAGAGACGGAGCAATCAGGAGATGAAGGAGACTTCAGTTCTCTAGATGGGACGTTACTGCAAGAACAAATAACAATTCTGAATGCTCGCTTGGACCAACGATCGTCTGAATACGATGATCTTAAAAATGAGCTGAACAGAACGAGGGAGGAATGTATCAATCTTCAGGGAATCAAACAAGGTTTGCAAACTCGTCTGACGGACCAGGAACAGGTCATGATGAAACTAAAGGCTGAGTTGTTGAAACTTGGTTTTTCACATCAGACTACTAATTCTGATAAAGATGAACTTCAAAGAATATTGGAAGAAAGAGATCGAGAGATCGCCCTTCTTCGTTCTCAACTTGCATCGAAAGATGATCAAGTTGATCAACAGAAAAAAGAACTTGATAAAGCATTTACAAAAGTAGCTGATGTAAATAGCATTGAGGTATTGTACGGTTTCGGCATTTTTTCTTAAATATTAATACAAGATTTTGATGTGATTTTTGCACGCAGAGACTATAGAAAGGTGATTTTCGCCCTTGTTAAACATCTTCGTTCTCAACAACGAATCACATCGTCGCCGTCGGTCAACGCATGCAATTTTTCTGGCAGCGCTTGCATGTTAACTTTTGTCCAGTTAAAATAACTGCATTGAACTACATTCTAACCAAATGAACTATGTCATGTCAATTTAGAAGGACCTTCGTGCAAAAATCAAAAAACACGAAGTGAACGCAGGAGCTTTACGAACGCAAGTGAAAGAACTTCAACAAAAACTCAAATCTGTCGACGCGTCTGAGGTATCCTTCATTGTTACACTGTTTGTTTGCATCATATAAAGTCAATACACAACGCACGCTTTCGTTAATTTTGTTTGAACCTATTTTCTTCCTCTTTCTTATATGCTCTTGTGAAGAGTAAAACGAGGCACACTAATCTATGAAATCCAAGCTATATGTAGTTGTAAATGTGTTTTTCTTTAGGTGAAGTTATCGAACAGGATAACTTATCAAGATCGAAGAGTTGCTTTGTTGGAAAACAAAGTACTACGAGAGCAAGAAAGATCGGTAAGTCTGTGTTTACTTTTTGTTTTAATTTTGAATTTTAGTATTATGATAAGTCCTTGTATAAAGATCAAAATAGTAACTGGTACTCGTCATTTCTAGAAAATTGATGGAATGGATACAGTGAGGCAGTGCTTACTAAGGCTGAGAAGTTCTCTTTCCAGCCAGGATCCTCAGCGTCACACCCTGGATATGTTAGAAGAGGTGAAAGAGTATTTGCTAGCTCAATAATTTATTTATAATCGTATATTTGTTTTGACCCACTGTAAAAACAGTTATTTTGCGAAAGTTATTTCCATGAAGTCAATCAAGTCAATTGGTCGATTTTTGACAAGTCGGTTATTCTTACTCTTTAGACATTAACCAACATGATTGACACTGGTTTTGTACAGTTTCCTACCAATGATGTTATCAAGGTACAGTTTAACTCCTTTAATTTTTCTTTCACTCTATCTTGAAATAATACTGCGTGGATAACACGATCGATAAACCAAATCATTGCTCAATCAAACCAAATCATGTAAGAGGAATATAAATTAATAGAATTGTCAACCGCACACACCGACACGTAAACCCGGCAAATAACATGCAAGATTTTTAATTTTAGTTACAAAAGTGAAGAGCTATATGTTTGGTAATTTCACTGCATATTTTGTTATCCACAGGCATCACCGAGAAATAACAATTATCAAAATGGTATCGGAAGTCCTCGAGAAAAGGGTCGGTGTTTAATTAATATCTAATCCAGTTTCTGCATGCATGTATATCAATAATGTTCATTGTGGTTGACAAATGAGAACAGTATGGCAACACAAAATTCTTCAATGCCGTTAGTCCGCAGGGTTAAGGTTTTTGGTGATGTTTTTCATGTTGTTTGTGATGTTGTTTGTAAGCATTGTCTCCTCGTCTAGTTCCCTCTCTCTCCACTATTAGTCATAAACCATAACACATGAATGCCGGGGTTTGATCAGAATATCTCAAATGTGTTTAGATGTTACAAAATCCACTGGCACTGATGTAACACGGATTACATACCAACCATCGTGGTCGCCTACACCATCTGTTGTGATAATTTCAAAAAGGTAATTGTTGTTTAGTGAAATTTTGTATTTAAGGAAAATATTTTCGCCTGCGACTTTCACAAATATCATTCAAAATACCCACACATATCATGTGCCCTCACTCGTCTCCTGGAGTCCCTTGTAACGGGCATTTTTAACATTACCTCGTTGCCGAGTTGATTAAGAACAGGCGGATTGCAGTCGGGCAAAATTGAATCCCTGAACCAAGTTCGCCAACAATAAAATAGATTTTAGCGAAAACTTTAACTTAAACGTGCAATAAACGTTTAATGCTTTCGTATGAGTTGTTTTAATTAGGACAATTTTCGTCTATGTGCATGCGAAGATATAGGCTGTTTTGTGACTTTCGTCCTTATTTTTTTACTACGAAACTACGTTAAATTGGGAGTTGATCTTTAATAGATGGGTTTGGTATGAATTTTGGGTGTCGATCATTCTGCATGTCCGCAAAATGTAGGATAAAATATCAAAAAAATTTCGTTAGTTGACCTTCCAAGTTACAGTTACAAATTATTTTTGCCGTAGACTTGGCGAAGTAACATTGGGCGATTTTAAGTCGTTACTTGATCTGTCAGGACAATATAGATATTATTTCAAAGCTCTTGACGCAGAATTTGGAACTATCAGAGAAGAGGTATGAACTGAATAAATCATTAAACCATAGGGCTGAAAGAGTTAATAGTATTCTGTATACTGAAATTATTTGAAGAGATAATAAATACTACACACAGCTAACACATTCCTAATATAATTTAATACATAAGAGATGGAGGCTTCTATTTGTATGAGATTTATGGGATATGTTACGTTGCATTTAAGTTTTATTGTGCAAGCAACTCATGCATGATGACTTACCTCATTAATATCATAATGACTTACTACACTAAGGCATAAAAAAAATATTTTTTCGGTTTCATAATCCACGATCGTGATTGGCCAATTCTTTCACTATAAGTTGTCTACAACTATAGTTAAAAGTTAACTTTTTTATATACAACCGTCCCGTGAAAAAGACTGCAAAATGCTCGACAAAATGATTTTCTTTTGATGAACGAACTAGCTTCCATTTATCTGTTTTAGCTCATTAATGACGACGACGTTATCCCAGGATGGGAGGGTAAAATCATGGCGTGGATTTCAGACTCCAGTGATGAAGAAAAACTTCGTGATGGTGATTCCAGTACTTTGTTCAAAACAAAACGGAGTGAAACTGATATTTAAATAAGAATTTAATTGAAATAAATATTATAGATGTGCATATATTCAAGAATAAATTTAAATTATATATCGAGAGTCGAAGAATCACACAATAACAATATAAATATAGAACTTTACATTGATCATTCTCCCACTCAATTTTTTCTATTTTTTTAGTTTTCACATGTACGATAAATTTACTAATAATGTATTTAATGTATTACGCTATTGAAATTACATCCAGAATTTAATCAGAAGATATTTTTACTAATAATAACTGGGAGAAAAAACAAGTTTCTGTCTTATTTATTATATGGTAATACATGCAATGGCGATGACCGATGATGACCGCAAAACATTCAAGGTTCCTTCAAATTCTAGTAAATACTCTCTTTGCCATTGCGTCCCTTTCAACGCATCGTGTATATGGTTGTAACACTTGCATGCATTATTTATTGGCAACCTTCTGGATCACCGCTCCTGATAGGGGGGGGGGGGTTTACACTGATTCCTAATTCCTTATTCTTATATATAAATTGCAATCATAATTTTAGGACCATATGCATGTTTTAGAAAACAATACCGAATAAATTGTTTAGGTATTACTAATATGGATGCTAAAGGTATTCTATTACAATTTTTCGAGAATAACCACAGACCAAATATGTTTTTTACTTTTGCTGGAGTTTCTGGTGCACTTGCTATTGCTTTAGGAGCATATGGAAGCCATGGTAAGATATTAAGGGCTGCTGGGCTGGAATTCACACGTAAAACGCATAGGTTGTTTCAGCGCTGTCTAGTACCAAGCTGCTTTAACAAATTGTCAGGATATTTTGGTGTTGGCCTGCATGTTGCTAGCCTGTGGACCTGGCTTGTCAATTTTATACTATAAGATTGGTTTGTTCGCATGAGTGGGATTTGATGTGTAGATCTTATAGGAAACTAGATTGATATATATGATTTTCCATGGGAATTTATTGGCTCATGCTCATTCCTGGGGAACTGAAGGTGCTTTCAAGATTTGACACCCAATTAACACCCAATTAATCCACTTATATTTTGCTATAAATCTATAATTCGATACTTTGGTTTGATTAGCCACCTGAAGAATAAACTGGAAACAAAGGTTGCCTGTTGCATCTTCATTCTTTGTTACAAGGTGGAGTGATGCTAGCAGCAAAATTGATCAATTTACCTTTTGAAAAAAAATAATTAAGTGAATTGTCATTAAACATTTAACCAGCTTTCAGTTTCAGCAACTTGGATGGAGGTGGATGAATGTTCTAAGCATGTTTAATTTTTTTAATTTTTTTATAGCAAAAAGCTTAAATCTACCAGAGAATAAAGAATTCAAACAGGTGTTATATCAGTTGTTGGTATCAACAAGAGTTAATTGCCTACAGATTCTGTTAGAAGTGTACATATATACAATCATAGAGTTATTTTATTATGTTGGTAATGTTCAGTAGAATATATCAGTGTTAGCAAGGAAACCAAATGTTTATCATCGCATGCACAATATGTGCTATATTTGTGAAATAGTGTTTCTATTTTTAGAGCTTTGATTCTGCCAACCGATACCACCTACTCCATAATGTTGTATTGCTTGCAATGCCTTTAATGAAAAGACCTACTTTGGTATGAAATTCTGAAATTTATTCATAAAATGTAACATTTAGGGCAGAGAAATAAGACAAGAAAGTCAAACAATGTGAGGTGAATGGACCTATATACAGTGGTCAATTTTCAAGGTTGTTACCCTCTTTCCCTCACAGGATCACTTTACCTACTAGTCCCAATGCAGTTTTGCAGATGTCAAATTCTTTTGCATGAAGAAAAACACATCCAGTTAGCAATATTTTTAATAGGGTTTTACTTATGCAAGAACAGCATTTTCTGTGACAGTCCTACACCCCCTTTGTCAAGATGTGGCAATTAATCCTTGAAACACCCCACCTGGCTTAATTTACGTAATGATATTTTGTAAACAGCCCCTGGGTTCTCAATTTTTAAAAATTCTAATTCAGTACCTTTATCCAATATTCTGTTTGACATGTAGGTTGGGTCTCTTTTTATTTCTGGACAGTTACTGTTCTGTGGAAGGTGATTATTATATACAAGTTCATCGTGGTTTTTATTTTTGCAATTTCCTGTCATCAGTAATGACTCATAGCTAGACACTCAGTTGGCTGTGTATTCCCCATTCATAAAGCGTAAAAACTAAGAAAAGAAAAACTCCTCGGCATAAAAGGTGTTAAGATATTAAAGATAAACATTAATATTCCGATGACGTCAGTCTATCTGTGAACACGTGTCATGATCACATGAACACTAGCAGTATAAAGTTTTTGTTTCATGTAGTTTTTAAGTTAGTTGTTAATTGGAACTGTTACTTGTAAGTTGTATAAGTTTTCGTTAATAAATATTGTTATATATAAGTCTTCCACCGTCATGAGTTTAACAAAAGGAATCTTTATCAATTTACGCGCCTGGCTACGGCTCTCTTTGCAACTCTTTGCAACTTTCCGCAACAACCTCTTAAGATGTTTATAGTATAATTATCTTGGAGCCAACATCTTTCGTAACCGTGGTCATCCTGATCCCTGAGCCTGGAGATCCCGTCTTTAATTCGCACGTGAACATTTGGTTTTCCCTTCCATATATGACGGTATATACCTCATTTGTAGGATAATGTAAGTCCAGAGTTTCACTAATATCCAGGAATGTATCTTTGTCTCTTTTTTAGTCTTTACACTGCTGCATTAACAAGGAATAAGAAATATGGAAAACCAGCACCGTATGGTGGAATGCTTTTGATAGCTGCTTGGATATCAATGGTATTTTGAATGCCTGAATGACACTCTCGTTCTATAATCGTCTTTTGCATTTAGAAATTAGAAACAATGCAATGTGAAAAGAAATAAATACTCGCTGCCAGTGGTTCTGTAATTGTTTTTTTCTTTAAGAAAATAATATTTTTTGATAATTTGATTATTCTTTATAATTTGATTATTTTTGTTATACAAATAAAAATCCATATCCGCAATCTTTTAATTTTATGTGGCAATAATGCTGAGCAGAGCCAGAGCCTCATAATATCACAAGTGAAGTGCGGCAAGCCAAGCCTTACTCCTCTCGTACGAAGCAAATTTTGTATTACAAAAAGTTTGGAGCATCATGCAATCTCGGGTGTTTTTCAACTGACAACACCTAAGGGGAGGGTTGATCAAGAGCAGTTTTTTAAGACGCATAATCAGTTAAGGTTTGGGACACAACCATAATTTTTTGGTAGCTCATAGTTGCAGTTATGTGCCTGTTAAAATAAGCGTACAGGGTCTGCGGAAGCATTTACCCTTGCCCGTGCTTTGTCTCATCGTATTCTTAACTCATGGCTTCGTTAACATTGGTGATTGGTTTTTAATCAGAGCAAATACCCTAGAGGCGAGGTTGGTTTACAATTTTCACTGCTGAGATGAGGGGATTGGTACTCCTCAGTCCTCCCCCGCTTCACGTAAAACCAGAGGCGTAGCCAGGATTTTAGGAAAGGGAACGGAGGTCAGCACAAAGTTCGCGCAAAACATTTTAATCGCACAACACTATGATGGTCACTGATGATGGTCATCCTGTGATGGTAACAATGGTCATTGGTTGTCATCATGGTTATCGCTGACCTATACCTTTGATTACGTCAGGATTACGTCATGAAAAATGGCGGGAAACTAAATACGTCAAGAAACAAGATGGCGGACGATGAGATGTACTTGGAGAATTTAAAAGAATTTGTTATAGATGAAGATCGAATTGTAAGTGGGAGGAATGTGTAGGCTAACTGTGTTCGTTTTTTAAGTTCATACATTAACATTCCTTGCATCTTATTCACTATTTGTGTATTGTCTATTTACTATTCTGTATTACATAAGGTGATCTATTAAAGGATATTAATTAAATAATAGCTTTGCCATTTCTCAAACAACAGGTCACATATAAATGGCTCAGCAGAACATTATCAGTAAATGTGAATCTTGCAAAACAGTAAGTTAGGAAAAATAATAAAATTTATTTGTGTAGTCCCATATCTGCTCATCTTGCTCAACCCATATCTTTCTTTCTCATGAGCAGCCCTCAATGTTCATTTAGTTTCATCTCTTCACTTGCTGGCCTTTCACATGCATCAACTCCCTTTTCAATCTATATGCAGAGCTTTTTTTCCTGACTTCCTATAACTTTATCCATCTCATTCCCATTCCATCACTAATTCTCATACAGTCCTTAAATCAATTAACAACCTCATCCATTTTCTTGTTGTCCTACATTCCAATGCATACAGCTCCTTCCAACAGCTTTATCCATCCTCTTAAAATTCCTCCATCTTTATGCAGCCTCCTCTACTTCCTTTAATTTCATTTTTCCTCCATCCTCATCTGGGATTAAAAAATGGTTGAGCACATGACAAAATTTGAAATTTTAAAGAAAGTTGTCACATACCTAGACAGTACACAGTGTACACTGTAGGGCTGCAGAAAAGTTAATAATCATCATACTGTGCTCTCAGTAATAGAGTTTATTCTCCTTGCCCTTCTTAAAGAAGAAAACACACCTAAAATATAAACATCTGATAGATTGGCAAAATGTAAGTTGTTGTCAGAAACAAGACAATAATGTTAAACTTGAAGTTGTTAATATTTAGTGTTGACTTTCAAAAATATGCCTGCTGGTACCTAAATTGCTAATCCACCCCTTAATCCGCCTGATGACCTCTGATTCAGGGTACTTCCAACATTGTCCCCTGAGTCTTCAGTATTATTAATGGCTACTAGATGTTAGACATTATAACCAAGACAAAATAATTATTTGGACAACGGACAGTATATTTCTGGTTCTGTACATATGTGTTAAATGCAGGGGTTAAATTGTATGTTGCTATTTCATTTCAGAATGTTATATGCTTTTGTGAGACAGCATGAAAAAGATGAGAATCTTTGTGTTATTTATACTGTGGGTGGCCTCATCAAGGATAAAAACGGAAATTTGGTAATGTAATAAGGTTACACTCACAAACTATGCTGAATCATGAAAAGAAAATGTTTATAAGGTCTTATAGTTATATCAGTCAGTTTTTTTAGTCAGGTCAGGTTGTTTATAAAAGACATTCTTACCTATCTATACCTGTAGAATCAATCCATTATATCCTACTTTTAGATTCAAAAATATTTATTCTCCCATGAGAAGGACTTACAAGGTACATTTATACTAAACTGTTATGTTGAATGAATTAACTTTTAGAGCCATTATTTGAAAGATTCTCACCTAATTTAATTTCCAGATATAAAACAATGTTACGACAAAATTACCAGTTTGCATGTGTACAGTATACAAAAATCAAATCCAAAGGTAAGACTAGTTTATCCATAAGACATAACTGATCTATGATAACCTTTGATTTGAGAAGTTCCAATGAAATGAATTTAACTGTATACCTTACGGTCTGTTTAATACATGATCTAAAGTTCCACCTTTACAACACTTCAGAAAATGTTGCCCACAATTTTTATAGGCAATGTTGCAACTATATGCAATACACAATTTTTTTTTAAACGAAAAAACAAGTTACAGAGATGAATAAATACATGTACCATCACATAACATTATGTTTTATAGGATTCTAATGTATTATATTTGGCGGACTATGATTCACAAAGGCAAAACCTTGACTCACCGAATAGGTTAGTGTTGTACATTTATAACGTCTTTTTGCATGCTCAACACACCATTATTTACTACGGATAAAACATAACTATATTTGAATAATTTCTGTATGATTTGTATCTTGCACAGTTAAATATATATCCCCGCCTTAATTACAGTGTATTTAATTCTGAAGACAACCTTAAAATCAATTCTGTTTCATATCTTTGTCTTTCACCAGGTGGAGTAATATTACATTGAAATCCATTACAAAAAGAAATTCGGAGATTCCTGAAGAAGTAAAGAGTGGAAATGAAAACGAACAACAGAAAAAACCGATGTCAAATGGTTTTCAAAAATCTACTAAGAATGAAGTGCAAGGTATTTACAATTTATGGCGAAGACGTCACCGCTCGTATAGAAATAGGACCAGTTGTACCATTATTGAAAGAACGAAAATCTTATATAATTTTATATTTTTATCTCTAGTTAAATCCACCTCAGCACCATCAACCTCAGCAAAGAACTCTAAAGTACGCGTATACTTAGTGAAAGACACTGCAAAGTATTAGCCGTTTGAATTTGTTATAGCTACTTCCATTCTATCACCACAACTTTTAGCTTTAATTTGTCTGCGCGCGTTGAAAGGAGCGTGGCTGTATTGCCTGATTTCATATGGTTACCAAAACATCTGTCGTAACATGCAACTATCGTTCTCTTTCTCAGACAAAGACATCTATGAAAAAAGGCGACGTAGCATCATTTTTCGCACGACAAACTGCAAAAAATCAAGCAAAAGGTATTGAATTATGGTTTCGAATTCAAAGAAACCCACCTTTTTGTTGTTGGGATTGTTGGAGTTTCTCTGCATTTTTCCCTCTATCTTTTAGGAAGCGTCAAGGCTGTGAGTGTTAAGAACGAGAAAAATGAGGAGGAGAAAGAAAATAAAGAAAAAGAACAAAAGAAGTAGGCTTAATATAACATGATCGCAGCGTCCTTTTGTTTTATACCGGATCATCGCAATAAATAGATTGGTTTTTTAAATTTGGATTTTTCTTCAGAAGCAACAGTTTGTTTCGAATTCTTTTACCTATGGTATATATACTTTCCCTAATGTCCTGTAAAATGATGTAAATGAACGCCAAGAGCTGTGATATCGGACAAAACAAATGTCTCGTGCACCAATCAAGACAATTTTTTTGTAATTTTTGTGTTTTTAGATCTGACACCTGTAGTATTCCTTCTAATTGCAATGTTAAGGTTTGCTTTTGCTATAAACTTATGTTTCATTGCCTATTTATGTATAAACAACTCTATAATTGCAATATTAATGCTTATAAATGGGAGGCGTTTCGGAGCGATCAACTATATGACCTCCATTTCTCGCAGAATGGCAATACATTAGCAAAGGATGACAGCGCAGAGACGGATGAAGAGAAGAATGTTGAAGCAAGAGAAAATGACGATGCATTAAAAACAAAAGTTGTTGACAAGCCTGAAGAAGATTTTGAAACGAGAAAGTCAAGCCCAAAGAAAGGTAAATTAAGTTTTGTATCCCAGTCACGTGAAATCTTCCAATTTTGTGAGTTCTGCGGCTTATGTATACTCGACCATTGTACATTCATATATCTACGAGTCTTCAGTAGCAAAGATTATTAGAAAATTTGCTTCAAAAATTCATTCAAATTAATGTTCGATGGTATACGTAGTCCCTTCATAACCTCCTCTTCCTGAGGTTTTATACACATGACATTCACATTTGGTTTAACAAGTGAGAGTTCTTATCACAGGTGAAAAAGAAAAAAAAAAAATTGCGACAAACTCAAAAACAGAATAATGTAAGTACCGCGTTGTTAGTATCAAGAATAGTTAGAATATATGTTTCATTCATTTACTAAATATTCACTAAGAACATCCCAATCAATATATTTAATAGAAAAACGAAAACAAAAAAAGAAATGAAGTAAAGAGGTAAAGAAAATTCGATTTTAAAATATATCAGAGTTTTGTTTTAATAATATAAATTATAAATGGTTTTCTGCATGCACTTCTCCATTCTTGTTTTCAGTGAAAAAAGAAAGGCATCATCGAAAGACGAAAATGAAAGTAAGTGCTTTGCTTCTTACTCTTCAATAATTTTAGCTGTGTCAGTCGTCAGGTTGATGAGAGAATCCTATACGTTCCATTGCTTTCTAACCAACTCCGTCATCGCCATCATCCATTGGCGAACCATCAGCCATGTTTGAAAAAAGTATTCATGTAAAATAACTTTCAGGCTAAACCTTTTTTTTGTGTAGAGTTGAAAGAAAAGACAAAAACAGAAAGGAAAAAACGAAAACGAGTAAAGAACTTCTCTGATACTAGCAGTGAAGAAGAAGGTAAAATGACACGCAGCGGTCGGTACTGTAGTTAACCTAGCTCTAAACACTATACTAACTTGCCTCTTCTGACGCAAACTATAACCGCCCCTATAGACTGATATTTCCCGAACAAAATTATGGCAAGCTAGGGTGTGTTCATTGAATCGTGATTAATCTAGCTATGAAAAGCATGCAGACTGCCGTGTTTCGCAAGGGAAGAGAAACACTTTTTCGTAACATACGAACGAGCAAAACGAGCAAAAAAAATTAGGATCTAGAGAGGTTAAAATGCTGTGATTTATATACGCTGTTATGCACAAACTGTCGATGCTAGAGGTTGTAGGATTGAGGTGTAATCTGCACATTTGAAACTAGACACATGCATGACCGAATCGTAAAGATATGCATGGAGGGAACTTCTTTTGTAGCTATATATTATTCGTTGATTTCTGCTTTTATTTTGTCTGAATTTTTACAGAAAATTAAACCAAGTGAGTATAAATTCCAAAAGTCAAGCTTACTTGTTTCATGTTATATATGATTATATTCTAACTTACCAGTGTCTTTCTATATAGACAATTCTGCGAGTACAAGGCAGAGCAGTGGTAGTACTGACAGCACACCAATACCTGATCAGCAGAATCGTGATGTGAAACCTGAACCACAAAAAATGCGCAAAAGAAAGCGAGTGCTCAAGTCCAAAACCTATTTGAATGATGAAGGTTATATGGGTAAGTTATCGAGATTTACAACGTTTATGCATGTCGTTACAAACTTTTAGTCCAAAGAGTTTTTTATATGTATTTCTATAAAGTACACGTGTCGTGGTGAAATTAATTGCGTTTGGGGGCAATAAAAATATACAAAATGATACAGTGAACTTTGCGTGGATTTGTATAATATCTATATAGTTGTTTATAAAGTTAAAATTTCGTCTATACCTGGAATTATCTATTGAAGATTTTAGAAAACTCCGCATTTTACACAAGACATTACAGCCATTTTCAATTTCAGAAAACTTTACACAAACCTATATGGACAACATCATAGTGATCATACGTGTATTCTACCAAGACTGCATGCAATCCTTGTTTTTATTTTTTTACCTTTTGAAAGACGAAAATTGGATGAGAAAACGAAATACACTGTTTCAAACTATATTTGTTTAATGTGATTGTGGCTATTTCCATATGTGTGAATTGTTTTTGTTGATATAGTTACAGAAAAAGTGTTTGAGAGTGAATCAGCGAGTAGCAGTGAAGATGAACAAAAGAATCCAAAAACAAAAGTCGAAGTAAACAAGCCTATAGTGAAAGATTCTGTACAACCACCTAAAAAGAAACCGGCAAACAAAGCAACTAAACAGGCATCACTTACCAGCTTTTTTAAAAGAACGTAGTTGTTATCATATCGAATTACTTCCAATGTTAAACTTGCCGATCAATCGCGTGAACCCAAGCTCGCATTATAAATGGATACAAGTAGCAAGGGGACATAACGGCGGACTAACCGAATAAATATCACGTGCCTGCTTTATTTTCTAACGAGGCTTGTTTTCGTGTTAACACCCAACCTCGTAAAAATCTCATTTCCACATTCCCAAAATGGAATTTTCTCATGCTTGTGTTGAACAGTTGAAGCATGTTTCGCATTGCATGCACATATGGCTCGTGGGAGTAAAACTTGAAATTCGCTGAAATCGGAAAGACACTGAAGATTGTTAACCTGAACCCTGTTGTTCAGGCTACAAGGTTGGGTATTAACCCTTGGTTGGATATGAGTTGGCCGAGGTTGGATCCAGTGAGAAACTCTATATATATAGAACTCACTGGTTGGATCAGTGGCTCATGTTCTGGGTCAGTGGTCAGTGGGTTGCGTCGAAAATAGCCTGCATAGCAGGAGGTCCTTCAATCGAAAACGAAAACGAAAGCTCGAACATGATCGCAAGCTGGAGGTTTATAATAGAATGATGGTATAAAAAGATTAAAAAGGTTACTGTTAGTACAGTATAGTTCAAATTGTGTCAAAAAGGATTTCTCTATTTTGAATATATTTCTTTAGGTGAGTGATATAGTTCATAGATCCATTGCTTCCAACTCCCAAGTTGCGAATAAAGCAAATAAGCATTTTGTATATATGTACAAAATAAAATACTAGATTTTAGAGCCTTCAGCTCTATTCACTTACATTTTATACAGTAAAACTAAAAGAGAGGCCGATAACTGTTGTACTTCCAGGCATGTCGGTTGGAACTAAGTAATTTTTTTGGCAATGGATGTATTAATGCGTTTGTCATTGCATACCACGCATTTGACCATAAAATGTGCTGGTATGTCGTTGGCAATTAACCTCTTTTGGTTCTTCGCTAAAGTTTAATATAATTTAGAAAATGAATGTAAATTAGAAATGAACTTGTTCCTCAGCACGGATGACGGATATATAGTAAGATTTATTCAGCTATGATCTATGATTATGGTCACAGGCACACCCCTTCTGAGTATGTAAAAAGCTGTTATATACGTGCAACTACTCTTGCTACCACTATGCGTTTGACAACAGTCATTTCATGAAAGCATGTATTTCATAAAACATATATTTTCTTCAGTCAAAATATTTTCTGTACGTGCATTTAATCTTGATCTTGTAAATGTTAGTTGTGAACTCATGTTGTTGTTATATATGGCATGCTTGGAATTTAATTTAATAGGCTAATAGCACTGCTACAATGCTTCAGAGGAATAAGAGCTCAGTGGGCATGTAGCCAGCCTCATCCTTGGTGCATGTTTTTCTTTTAATATATGATTGCATTGTGGGATTTAGCTGCAATCAATTTCAGATCCTTTTTTGTGGTATATTATAATTTATAAGCAGTCCTGATTATAAGCAACCATATCATATGCATGGCTGCAAAAATCTTTTGTTTATGCCATCATAAACAAGTATATATCATTGTGATAATCAAATGGATACATTTTTTGGTGACTTAATTGTGTATTGTATGAATAAGCAAAGCAACATATTTATCACAGCTACTGAATGAGGCGCTATTTACAACAAATTGTATTCAGATAAATGACGGATTTACTGTTAATAATATATTAATTTTTTACCTCTAGTGGCATCATTACTTAACATGGCATCATTACGTAGTAAATTTGAGGAACATTTGACATGTTCAGTTTGTTTGGAACAATTAAAAGATCCAAAAGTTTTACCATGTTTGCATTCCTTTTGTCATAAGTGTATTGTAAATATTGCAAAGAAAGGCAAGTCAAACAACATCAACTGTCCTGAATGTAGAAAGTTAGTACAGGTAAGAATTATTTTTCAATTATGGCAGATTGATGCCTCATTTCTTCAGTAATTTTAATGATTCACAAACAATGCTTGGAGATTATTCCTAGTTGTATCAACAATTAAGATATTGAAAGAAGCCAATGTGATAATGATTTTGATTCGTAAAACACTCTGCCTTATCTTTATTTAGCCTCTTAATATATATATATATATATATATATATATATATATATATATATATATATATATATATATATATATACACCCGTTTGCAAAAACGTTGGCCGCAGATAGATATATAGATAGATACCCGAAATCTAATTAGAATTGCATATGATTACATTTGCATGGGATTTCAATCATATTACACAACTTATGCAATTCTAATTAGATTTTCAGTATCTATCTATATATCTATCTGCGGCCAACGTTTTTGCAAATGGGTGTATATATATATATATATATATATATATATATATATATATATATATATATATATATATATATATATATATGATGGACATATTGGAGCGAGTTGCCTGATTGCTTCGTTACATTGAAAGATCACAAACCTAACTTTCAAAACAACCCAACTTGTAGATTAATTAACCCTTCTAAGTCGGTGTCATCAGTAAACAACTCTTGCAAAGAATTAATTCAAATATTTTGGCCCAAATCCATTTAAATCAATGGAAAAATACGAGCTCTGTTATTGCGTGGCTTAGGAATTTACCTAACAAGTCGTCCCGATATCGTTGATTTCTACCCATCCATTACTGAAGAGTTGCTTCTCAATGCCCTAACCTTTGCTTCCAAGTTCACCACCATAACGGAAGAAGAGGAGCATATAATAATGCAAACGAAGAAATCTGTTCTCTTTACCAATAATCAAGTTTGGTGTAAAAAAGAGTCAGACAGTCTGTTTGATGTTACGATGGGCAGTTTTGATGGCGCGGAAACATGCGAACTAGTTGGTTTACTCCTCCTATCGAAACTTCCTCGTGAGTATCGAAATAAAATTGGTCTCTACAGAGATGATGGGCTAGCCGCATTTGATAAAAAACCGAGGGAAATAGAAAATATAAAGAAGCAAATATGCCGTGTTTTTAATGATCATAAGCTAAAGATAACAATCGAAGCCAACAAAAAATGTGTCAATTACCTAGATGTCACGTTTGACCTGAGAACCTTTTCATTTAAACCATACATGAAACCAGGCAACTCGCTCCAATATGTCCATCGTCAAAGTAATCACCCACCCGCCGTTTTGAAAGCAATTCCTGAAGCTATAAACAATCGATTATCTAACATCTCTTCTGATGAACACGCATTTAACTCCGCTTGTCCCCCATACCAAGATGCCTTGCATAAGAGTGGCTACAACTATAATTTGAACTACAACCCCCAAAAATTAAAGATAAAACGCACCCGAAACAGGAACATCATATGGTTCAACCCACCTTACAACTCCAACGTGAAAACAAATATTGGTCGCAAATTCCTCAAAGCAATTGATGATTGCTTTCCCGTAAACCACCCTCTGAACAAAATATTCAACAGGAATACCTTAAAGCTGAGCTACAGTTGCATGCCTAACATCCATACTGTAATTTTTGGGCACAATAAATCGGTAATAAGTAAGTCCGCGTCAACAGATGATTCTATCACGAAACCAAAACAGTGTAATTGTAGAAATAAATCCTCATGTAAGTCCCCAACTACCAAAGTAGTATACCAAGCAACGGTTGTTAGAGACGATTCCAACCATATAGAATCGTATGTTGGTCATACCGAAGGCCAATTCAAATCGATATATATATATATATATATATATATATATATATATATATATACACCCATTTGCAAAAACGTTGGCCGCAGATAGATATATAGATAGATACTCGAAATCTAATTAGAATTGCATATGTTGTGTAATATGATTGAAATCCCATGCAAATGTAATCATATGCAATTCTAATTAGACTTCGAGTATCTATCTATCTATCTATCTGCGGCCAACGTTTTTGCAAATGGGTGTATATATAATATATATATATATAATATATATATATATATATATATATATATATATATATACACCCGATTGCAAAAACGTTGGCCGCAGATAGATATATAGATAGATACCCGAAATCTAATTAGAATTGCATATGTTGTGTAATATGATTGAAATCCCATGCAAATGTATTCATATGCAATTCTATTTAGACTTCGAGTATCTATCTGTCTATCTATCTGCGGCCAACGTTTTTAATGGGTGTATATATATATATATATATATATTATATATATTATATATATATATATAATATATATATTATATATATATATATATATATATATATATATATATATATATAGCACAAGATTTGCATGTGTATAATTGAACTAACTGCACTGTGAGATTCTAATGCAGAGTTTGTGATTTTTATAAGTTACCTTTTTTCAACTCTGATCTCAGTTGAGACATACCAATATATAACCCTTTGAACTTGAAAAACTTACACAATTTGAAGCATAAACATGAAAAATGGTTAGCAGTTTATGGTAGTGAGACTGCTGCAGAACTTTTTTGATTTAACTAATATTGAATTTATTTTATACCTTTCATAGTTGGATAACCCAGACAATCCCTCCAACCTTCCCTCCAACTTTTTTGTAAACAATCTCCTGGCCACGATGGCGCTGACTGATGAAGAAAAAGAACAGAAGATACAATGTGACAATTGCACTGATGAGAATTCAGCTGCCACACGTTGTGAAGAATGTGCTGTGTTCTTATGCAGTTATTGCTCTGAATTTCACAGAAAATCTCGAGGGACGAAACATCATCTTCTTACTACATTGCAAGAGCTGAAATCTGGTGTTGGCCCTTTAAGGGTTGCTGAGAAAATACGATGTCAAAAACACAAGGATGAAATGATCAAGCTTTACTGTAAAACATGTCAGGTTACTATTTGTCGAGATTGCACCATTGTGGAACATCGAACTCATGATTATGGCTTCATTGAAGATGTTGCTGTTGGGCAGAAGGATATACTGAAGAGAAATATGAATGAAGTTCAGCAGCGAAAAGCCACACTGCAGAGAGCAATTGCAAGTCTCAGGCAATTCGATCAAAGTTTGGTTGAGGAGAATGCACTTGTGGTTGCACAAATTACCAGTCACTTTGATGAATTAACGAGAATCATGATGGCAAAGAATAACGAGTTAGTATTAAAAGCAAAGTCTATAACCAGCATGAAGAGGAAGCAGGTGCAAGCCCAGATTGAAGCACTAGAAGTGGCATTAACAAGTTGTAATAGCAGCATCGAGTTCACAGAGAAGGCTTTCAAGAATGGTAATGATGTTCAAGTGTTAAGTATGCAGAAATATATGCTACAGTCTCTTCAGGATCTGAAGGAAGTTAAAGATGTAACACAACCATGTGTCACGCGTGACCTGATGTTCACTATTCCTTGGACCATTCAAGACACCACAAAGAATTTTATGAGTTTTTTTGCTGTTTATGAATCTGTGACAGAACCCGGCCAATGTCAAGCTGAATTCACCGACCAAGATCAACTGCATTTGAAACGTGGTCAGCAAGCTTCAGTGAGGATTACTTGTTTTACCAAGAACAAGAATAAAGTTAATACAGGAGGTCAGACAATTCAGGCGAATATTTCAGGAGTGGAATGTGACGACAACATAAAGATCCAAGACAACAAAGATGGCACACACACAGTAAATTTCATACCACGCCATGGTGGCGCACTGAAGATCGAAGCAACCATAAATGGCCACCCCGCTCCTGGATGTTCTTTAACCAAAGATGTTGCGTGGGTTTTTAGTTCTGCATATGGGAGTGGTGAAATTTATTGCGGGAGTTTAAAGTTAACATCTAACAACGTCAACCAAGGTTCTGGGTGGCGAATTGGAGAATCTTCGTTCAAGAGCGGAGTGCATACATGGAAAGTTCTGATAAAGCATGAGGATTCACATGACCAGGCCTGGCAGGAGCAATATGGCTACTTTCACCGCAATTATAACTATGGGCATATGGCTGTATGCGATGTCGGGGTAGTTGGGAATACCAATTGCCGACCACAATTTAGCTCCAGATTACAGTTTGCAGCAGGTGAAGAAGCAACTGTAACAGTGACATTAAACATACCAGATGGTGCTTTGCATCTTGAGAGTGACAAAAACGTACACAAAGTTAAAAAAGGGAAAAGCCTACAATGTAAGGATGAAAAAGATGGGACCAAAGAAGTTATAAATATCCACGGAGAGCAGTTCTGGCCTTATTTTCGTTGCCATTCTACAACTGTGGTGGTCTTAAAATGGGACTGAATTTTCTCTGGATACAGAAATATATACTGTTTTGCAGGACTGGGTGAGCAAAACTTGTGTGTTCACTTCAACGTCAATTAAATATATTAATCTCGCAGGACGAACGAACATGCATGTATGTATATTGTAGCTATTAATTTTCTATGAAAAACAAGAGGAAAGAACATCTGCTGTACATAGATTAATTTTGATGCATTAGCTATAATTACTAGCGCTATTTGAAGTCTTCCGAAAAATATCCTTAACCGCTGTCTTTTCAAAATGACTTGCTATAATTTTGTAAACTGGGGCCGTTGTTCATCATTTTTTTACTCTCTGTACAATAATAAGATATTGCCAAATTAACAACCAGGGGCCTTTTGAATTTTGCATACAAAGGCCAGATAGCGCTATCCATCGGATTTAGTGGTTTTTCAGTCGCTAAAATAATCGACTTTACGTCAGGCAGTTCTAAAATACGAGCTTTCTGTCTCTTTGATCTACACGAATAGCTAATAAATTAAATGCGGAAATTTCTTATATGGTTCAACTTTATGGTCATTTGCATGATTAATATTCTGAATTTAACACACAAAGCTTCCATATTTATATGTGTTTTTACTTTAGAGGGGGATATTCCCATGTTTTTTCCAAGGATTATTCAACACCTTGGTACTTAATGTTTCCAGGTCACGACTTAATCTCATTCTTGTTGTTCGAGGTTCAATTATGTCATCAACAAAACCTGAAACGAAAAGTCAGTATTGACATTTTTATAAGTATATATTGAAATCTGGCGGAAACAACTGATATATTTCTAGCTATGAAATACTTCCAGACACCACAATGGAAATGAAATACATATTAGCTAGTACATCACCTCTAGTAGCCGCTGGGAAAGGATTGGCGAATTTATCTATATATTCTTCTTCGCATTTTTCTAAAAAAAAGACTCAACCATTTAGTTTAAGTGCTTTTGCTTAGTTCATGTAAGTAGTGCAGTACAGCATGCATGGATTATTCACATACCCAAGTCAGGATCATCGCGAAAGATAATGGATACAGCTCCCTATATGCAAGATATTATAAAAATATTTATGGTTAAGCCATTATATTGGAGATATCGCTATTATACAGTTTTTTAATACCTTAGCTCCCATTACGGCGACTTCTGCGGTAGGCCAGGCGTAGTTGAAATCCCCACGAAGATGTTTTGAGCTCATGACATCATAAGCTCCTCCATACGCCTATAAAATTGACAAAGTAAGATTAAAGAGAAATCTCTTCTGTTGTGCATTATTGTATATTGAGCCATTTAATTCTCTTCAGAATCATCCTCAAACACAACGCGATGAGGTCATCAAAGACGACAGTCGATCATTGCATAAATCTGATTGATCGAAGCGTTGATTTTTTAAATTTTAAGATCTTTACACAGGTTGATATATCACGTCGCTACCAACCTTTCTGGTTATAACTGTAATCTTTGGTACAGTAGCTTCTGCATAAGCATACAACAGTTTAGCGCCATGACGAATAATTCCGCTATGTTCTTGATGAGAACCTTAACAAATAATACGCAATAAATAACACACAATATCACTGACTAAGAGTTAGAGAATGTTGTATCCAGTAACTCCAGTTCGTTTGTTGTATCCAGTTCGTTATGGATACAGATGACACATAAACATGTGATAAATGTCATGTATGTAAAGTCGGCACTTCCGTATGGGCGATGGGAAAGTTACTTATGGTACCAATTATTATCCGTTGTCCGATTGTTCGTCAAAACGCCGCTTACTTACTGGTTGAAAGCAGCAAAAGCCAGCAATTCGCTGAACAAGATGCAACGAAATCCGTCACTTCTCCATGCAGTGATAGAAATAATTCAAATATCAGTACTAAGAATAACTCTGTTTAAATTACCTGGAAGAAATCCAGGTACATCCACTAATGTTATTATAGGAATATTGAAACAATCCAAGAATCTTACAAATCGTGCACCCTTTACTGATGCATTGATATCCAGACAGCCTGAAATTTTAACGTGAAAACCATCCATAAAAATTTAACGACCACAATAACTTCGAAATACAATTACGGTAAAAGGACCAGTGGCTGGAACATGATTAAGTAGTATAGGAAGTCCAACATTTTTATCAGGATGAAGATCATCTTCCTCCAAGCCAAGTGAATACCTGCAGCTTCTAACGGTTGATTCCCCACAATTCCAATAGTTCGACCATTAATTCGTGCAAAACCAGTCACAATATTCTTGGCATAAGTAGGACTGATTTCGTAAAAGTCACCTTCATCCACAATCTAAAGAAAACTATTTTACTAGTGCCATATTGTGGAACTCTACAAGACACAACCAGTACAAAACTTACATTAAATATAACATCTTTAATATCATAAGGTTTCTCAGAATCAAATGGAACCAATGTGTCCAAACTGAGACAAAGCCGATCTCTAAAATTAATATAATTTGACATTACTCTCTGCTCACAAAAGTATCTTTTTCTTACAATACAATAATAATTCTTCTATTTTCTATACACTGGGCAAATACCAAGCAAAGGGCTAGAAAGATACATTTAGTGACACAAATGACAAGGTTGCATGGTTTTTAGTTTTAAACTCAACTATAGAGTATAGTATTCAACTATAGTAATAAAAAAGATTATATAATAATGTATACTTACGGTGGGTCATCTGCTCTTAGAACAGGTGTTTGGTCTTTATTACAAAGTGGCAAGAAATTAAATAATTCTCTGATCCTAAACGGTAAAACAGCGAAATATTTTTCTTCGATCAAGGGACAGAGATCAAGGGATAGAGTATATTATCAAAAACATTAAAGATTAAAATGATTCAGATGTCATTTTGATACGACTATCATTTAGGCCTACATTACGTCGCATTTTAAGCCCCGTTTACACTCTATTGGCACGGCACGGCTAAAATTGGTACCCATACGGCGATGGCTTGTTATCTCATCTATTGTTTGAATCGCATTTGACGCAACTAAAATGCGAAGAATAAACAAGGCAATACTTACATTGATAAAGCCTCGATATCATTTTCGAACGCTCCATGAGCACATCCTATTTTAAAAGAAACACTGAAGTCTCAATTGAACATAGTTTTTGCCAACCTTTTATGGTCATTTTAATATGCAATTATGGTAATAATGGTGCAGTTGTCCTATTCCTAACATCGCAAATTTACACATAAAGTACTAAAACATGATGTATCTTCAAATTATTATATTAAATTTGTTGTTGGTAGTATACAAGTATATTACAGCAAACCTGTACTAAACAGAATCACAAAACAGTCTGTTAACCTGAGGTAGAAGTATGTGTCTTGGAGCCACCAAGTTCTTCTTGCGTGACATCCTCTTGCGTCACTGACTAAAGTTCAAGCATAAAAAATATAAAGACACCACCTTTTTGCTCAGCCATTAAGTGATTATATGAAGTGGTACAATTGTAATGGTGATATACATATGCATAATAGTATGGATACAATATCATACGTGAAGATGGACCTTGTTTCAGGTAAGAGACAGAATTTAATTCCTCTTAATTGTACAGTTGGTAGTAATGACAGAGAAATTGTCAAATGTAATTGATGGATTGATGATGGCTTAATTTACATTAGTCCCCTTTTGTGTAAGACATATTACAATGATGCAGATTATGGCATCAGTCAGGAAGTTTTTATTGCTTTTGTGACTGCATGTTATACCTAGACACGTTCTTCCGATACCTGGGGCCGGTTGTTCAAAAGCGGGTTAAATTTAACCCTGGGTTAGCGTTAAACCTGGGTTAAAATCCTTAACCCAAGGTTAGCTAACCCCAGGTTAAAACTCCGTTGTTCAAAGCAGTGTGAAAGTTGCGGTTAACTAACCCAGGGTTAAGGCAGTTAACCTTAGGTTAAAAAGCGCGCGAATTCTTGCAAAATGGCGGACGTTGAAGGAGGGAGACAAAAGAAAAGAAGAAAGCTCAACTTTACGGTGACCGAAATAGACACTTTGACCAGCAGAGTGCAAGAAAATTTAGGACTAATCCAGTCAAAACTAACCAATGCGGTAACGAATCAGAAAAAAAATAAAATTTGGGAGAATATCACAAAAGAAATAAACGCGATAGGGGTGGCAAACCGCACAACAAGCGAAATTAAAGAGAAGTGGAAGAACCTGACCAGCTCCGCTAAGAAAACGTTTGCCGATGTGAATAGGCAGATGCGAAAAACTGGAGGTGGTCCTCCACCTAAAGAACCCACTGCAGCGCAAGAGAGGATAATCAAAATATTTGAAAATACTCCTCTTTTTACCGGATTAAGCGGCTTTGAAACAGGTACCGGTGGGAAGTGATTGCATTTGTTGCGCTGAACTGTGGTACAAGTTTGGGCAAGTCTCTAAATTAGTTTCCAGAGCGCAACGCTTAATTAAATTGTAATCATATATTCATTTCATATCATCATATTTGCACGAACGCGGCCATGTTTGCAAAGAAATTGCCAAGTTTTCAACTATTAATATTTGTTCAACTCCATTAGTGAAAACGGCTTCCTAAACTAAGATAAGTTTTTTTCTTTCTAGTTGAAATTCTAACTTTGCCAAGACTCTATAATATATAAATGCTTGTGTCAACACTTTGCATTTTGCAGTTTCGCCTTTTTTTAAAGCATATATTTTGTTTATTGTATATGTATTAAGTTTTATTATTTGGGTATTTTATGTCTCTTCATTTTTCAGACGGACAGGATAGACAATCCTTGGAGGGTTGTAGCACGCCCGCACTTAGAGACGGTATCCTTCAAGAATTAACAGAAGTAGGACAACTCGACTCAGATGATTCAGATGAAGATAATTATGATCGTGAAAAACAGCGTCCGATACCACCATCTTTCAATAAGGAAGAAGTCTTTACTCCTAATTGTTTACCTGTGCCCACCACCCTTATCCCCGCCCTCCCTCCACCAAGCAAAACAGAACGAAAAAGGAGAATAACAAACCAAGAGGTTTTAAAGCTGCAAGCTGAAGTTCTACAACACCAGAAAGAAGTTTTAATATTGAAGAAGGAAAACCTAAAACTAAAAAACCAGGCTTTAAGAGAGGCACAAAATAGTATGCTGAAGCTTTGAAGGGTACTGTGTCTATTCATTCTTTTGATAACTTAATTATTTCTATACAGCTTAATTATGGTTGGACTTTCAGAACCTCAAATTCTATGCATGCAAGTGGTAATAGGGGTTGTAAGGTACTAGGCATTTACACATTAAAAGCAGACAGATTGCCTTGTGCAACAAATTTTCATGTTCATGATTGTAAATACACACTCTCAAGTACTTATCATTCTTTATTCCTCCAACGTTAAAGGAAAAACTTATTAATATAAATTTCATTTAGCTGTATATAATTTTGTGTGTAAAGTATTTATATTAATGTTATATATTTATTTATTTATAGCATTCATAAACTGTTCATAAACTAATCACAATTACATATTTGCAATATAATTTATAACCCATACTTTATTGACACTGTATATTAAATTATAATATTTGATATGATAATATTTAATATTAATTAAATGGGTATGTGGAAAAAGTAGAGTGTACACTCAGTCATTTACAAGCTTGAACACATCAATCAACTTACCATAATAGCCTGTGGTTTAATATACACAAATTCATGCCAATTAATAGCTGTTTAAAAAAAAGTGTTTGCTATATGGTCTCTGATAAGATGGCCTGTTTCATGCCCTTGATATTCCTGTACTTCCAGTTCATCATCTTCATCATCATCATCATCCATTGGCTCATTAAATGCAATTGCAATATTATGCAATATTGCGCATGCACCAATAAGCTGGCAAACCTTTTCCGGGTGCATTCTCACTTCTGAGTGCAGAAGATGGAATCGTCTTTTCCATCTACCAAATACTTGTTCAATTATGACCCGGGTCCTCCTATGGGCTCGGTTCCCCTTTGATTTGCTGTGGCTGGCTCATGATATGGTGTCATAAGGTATGGCTTCAATGCATAGCCACTGTCACCAAGCAAAATTCCTTGCTCCAAGTGGTTGTGGTTGTTCTCAAGCTGCTGGCATATTTGAGATGTGTGGAAAATGTGGCTATCATGGGTGCTGCCAGGCCATCGAGCCACAATGTTTGTAAACCGTCCTATCAGAGGAGTATATTAAAAATGTAGTACATTTAAACGTGTGGTGTAATGGCTTTACTGATTCAAAAAGTTATTAATTAAACTGGACTAATCTTTTGGGACGCCCAGTACAAGTAATAGCAGTGTGATTATATATAATTATGATACAGTATCAGTATGTACCTTCATGATCACAAATGCCCTGTACGTTGATAGAGTGATAGCGCTTCCGGTTCACGTAATTATTCTCGTTATGATGTGGCGCCTGAATTCTGATGTGTGTACAGTCAACACAACCAATCACAGACGGAAAGCCAGCTTGTGCAAAAAAGTGGTTCTTTACTTTCTCGATTTCGTTTATTGAAGACGGCCATTTTATGAAATCATTTCGTCTTCTATTCAGTGCCAAAGATACATCTCTGACCGTTCGAGACACCGTTGATTTGTCAACACCGAAACTATCTCCAACAACTTGTAGGAAACTGCCGGAGGCATAAAATCTCAAGGCAATTAGGACTTGTTGTTGTGGCTCAAGTGCATGGCCTCGCTGCGTATTGCGAATTAAATCTTCATGCAGAAGGTTTGTAATGTAATTTATTGTGTTTCTGCCAAACCTATACCTTGCCCTTAGCTCATCGTCGTAAAGGCCGTCAATATTTATGCCACGTGGACGATATCGTCTTTCCCGACGAGGATGATTTATTCGAAACAAATTAAAAGGAAAGCCTGCCATGTTTTATTTGCGAACTTGATACGTTAACCTAGGGTTAAGTAAGTTAACCCATCTAGCGAGGAGGGTTAAAGTTAACCCTTCCTTTAACCTAGGGTTAAAGATAACCTAGTTTTGAACAACGCAAAGTAACCCAGAGTTAAAATTTAACCCAGGGTTAAGCAAATTTAACCCTGGGTTAGCGTTAACCGGCTTTTGAACAACCGGCCCCTGGAGACTAACAATGCAGTTTCACTGATAATTCAAATATCGCACCTTGACAACATCAGGTCCAGTTATAAAAAGATATGAAGTGTCCTAACACAGAAAAATGACAACATCAGTACATATTGCAGAACCGCTCAACCTTGCTGTTAATTGGATTGTACATACCTTTACCATGAAAGTAAAATCTGTTATAGCAGGGGAATAAACAGCACCACCTATTACGCAGGAAAAACATTGCAATTATATACCAATGATCTTATAAAGACTTTCGAGAATTTATTCATCAGAACTCATCCAAACAGTCTGGTATAGACACCTGCACAAGGTCCCATAATCACTGAAATCTGAGGAATTACTCCGGATGCCATCACATTCCGCTAAAATTCGTTGAATAAATAAATGTGAAAACTAACTATTGGTAAGGATCACATCTCTCATTGGAGTAATAAATACATGGCAAGCTCTGCTTACAATTGTCAAGACTGTCCTGTCTGAGCAAATGACTCAATTATTGATCTGGACACCCCATTAAGTTATATCTAACTAGTGTGTCGTTCACTAGGCGAAAAGCAAAAATACCTGAAAAATATCCGCATAGCCTGCAAGAGACTCTACACCTTCCTGAATACGGGCTCCACCTGAATCGTTTAATCCAATAACTGGAGCACCAACTAGCATAGCTTTATCCATAACCTTCATGAGTGGATGTAAAACACACATATTGTTTTGACTGAACATTAAAACTGAAAGCTATCTATCGGTCACTTAGTTAGGTAATAAAAACCTAAACATGAGTTTATGAAAATGGTTTAATATAAGAAACACCTATAGCTGATAGGGAAGACTTTGCTTCTTTTCAAGCCATGATTATATAAGCTATTTGCCTCTTTTTGCCGTTATTTGTACTGTATGTTACCCATGATGGTTGGAAGAGGAAAAGAAAAACTATGTTACTAAAACTGAAAATAAAACTGGTTATATGAAATCCCAGATCCTGGTGACATATGATTTGGCTAAATTCACCTTGCATATCTTTTTAGCATGAGCTCCAGAAAGACTTCCACCGAACACAGTAAAATCCTATGATAATGCATGAAGTTGTAATATATTACAATTTTACTCTACAAATACAACAAACCAGCCCCAGATTGGTAAATGTAAAAACATAATGACAATATAAAAACCAAATAAAATACACCAAAGCAAAAAAACAGCTACCTGACTGAAGACGAAACATATTCTTCCGTTTATTAAACCTTGACCAGTGACAACACTATCACCTGTAAACTGTGATAATTAAACAAAAAAATATATAAAATACTAAGCATACATTTTTAGTTGTTTCATCCAGCACACATTGTTTTATGTTGAGAACTATAAAATAAATATAAAATAAATGCAAATCATAATTTGCATTTATTGCATAATTTGCCATGTGAAGTTGGCAAATGTTGTTATGTAATTAGCATTATGTGCATAAAGTGGTTTGAAAATGTTAAATATTCATACATTAGTTTGCATGACTATGTTACGCCTTTTTGCGTTTAGCTCAGCGAGGGGCATTGCAATTTTACAATAAACGTAATTTCAATTTGTAGGTATGCTTTGGGGTTTTTTAAGTCCAACTTGTATCATCATTAAAACAGTCACAATAATCATTACCATATTCTCTTCATCTTCCATTCCAAAATCCCTACAGTCATGCTGCATGAACTTATCATATTCAATAAATGACCCCTCATCAAGCAAAAGATGAACTCTCTCTCTTGCAGTCAACTTTCCCTAAAGTTTATAATTATAGAGTAGAGTAGTGTGAGAATTGAATTCACCTCCTGATAAGACAAACTAAAACATGAACTGGACCTTAGAGCTAGGCTACACAGTTACTTGTACACCATATGTGCATATATATGTAGTTTTGATATGTTGTAGAGTTTCAAATTTTGTATGGCTTATATTGGTAAATGGTAATCATATTTGCTTTATTATATGGTTCACTATTTAAATAAATTAAAAAGGGCAATAATATTGCACATAGCCTCTCTAAGGCCCTAGTTGTGACAATTACATTACCTCTCAGATTCCACAACACTACCACTAATAACTACTAATGAACTACCTTCCCTATGGGCATTCAATTTTTTATGCGAAAAGTATTTAAAATGAATTCTTCAACTTATTTATGCTTACCCTCTGGTGCTGACGTTTAATTCGTTTCAGCCCCCCACCTACTAAGGCTTCGTTTCTCTTTTTCTCGATTCTTTCAGTAACATTTGATGAAGAAGCACTAAATATTAGAGTATTATTAACGCATTGGAAACGATTTCTGTACCCTAGTACAACTTGCGAAAAACTTGTTTTTGATAATCTAGGGATGTGACTCCATACACGTCTGTAAATGCTCGCCATATTTATACTATTTATTTGCAATTTGCAACTTTTCTACTTTTCATTGATGTATCATAGTCAACTGACTGAATCAAGAAATCCTATTGGCTTGTTCTGCCAAACGCTGCGGATGTTGCTTTGAGGTATTAAAACCACATCTATCAGAAGGTCATGTTTCAAACTTTCAATTGTTGAGCCTGTTGTTCACATGTTTGTTTGAAACATAGGCAATTGATTGTTATGTAATTGTTGATTATACCGTATAATGCCATGGTTTGTTGTTTGGTGTGTAGTTTATGGTTAAAACGTGGTGGTTATCATTATGGGCTATGGCATGGTTTAGTTTAGTAAGGTTTAGTTACTTTAAAAGAAAGTAAAGAAAAGTGAAGTGAGTGAACTAAATTGCTGCCTCTGGTAAAATTAGAATTTAAATATTAAGGAACCGTGAAGTTTGAAAAGAATAGAAATGTTCATTTCTAATAAAATTTGTCTCGAACGTAAATAATTCATTAGTGGTGAAGCGGTCATGCATAAATTATCATAAATATACGTTTGTCTACATTAGAAGACACTGGCTGACTGGCACAATCGACGATCAGGGGAAAAAGCGAATTTTTGAATTAGCTTTCAACCTCTTTTTTCAATCGATATCGAGTTCTACATGGAAAATCTGAGTGCAACGTCACTGTACGTTCAAGCATGCAAGTTCCTACTATGTGGCGAAGATAGGTCGTCCTGGGATCAACTCGTGGCTATCTTGCCTCAACTCCGAAACGCTTTGACTTGTCGTGTTTGTCGAGGGTTGATTGTGGATCCACTTAGCTCTGGTTATTGTCAACATTATGTTTGTAGGAATTGTTTACAGAGAAAACGGGCATTAAATCCTGGTTGTAAATGGTGTTTAGACTTTAGTAAACTTAATCGAAGTGACGAACAAATTCGAGTTGTTCTCGCTTGTTATAAACTGCTTTGCAAAGAGATTAGATTATCGAATTACTATGTAACCAGCACCAAGAACTTAGTCATAGAAAATCTCTTAGAAGAAGCTGAACTAAACGCGGATGTGTTACCAAATTCAAGTCGCGTGGTTTCAAACAACTACAATGTAAAATCAAAAACTTCGGATGAAAATATGGCGGTCGATGTTGTATCACGTGAACAGTTGGAAGAAACGTGTGCGCGGGAAAAAGTAGACGTAAAACTCGCAGAAAATGATGACGAGAAGGTAAACCTGGACACAGAAGAAATCCCTGAAATAGCAATAAATGGCATTGCTGAAGATGAAAGTTCTGTTAAACAACATGAAACTAGTGTGACATCTGCACAAGAAATAAATACTCCATTAGTGACTGACACATGTGAAATTGGAACTGATATAAATAGTAATATTGATTGCAGCATTATGGCCAATACCAATGGAATTTCTGAAGGAAACCCACAGCTACCGAATGGAGTCAAAATAGAAGCTAACGACTTTGATACCTGCAATTGTTCTAATAGTACTAGTACTGTATTAGATACTGGTGATCAACTGCAAGATGTTGCAATAAAAATTGAAACTGACAATATAAAAACTGAAAATATGGATTGTGGTGAATTAAATAATGGCAACAATGAGGAAATAGACTCAAATACAAATAACAACCCAAGAGAGATAAATAACACCGAGACTAAAACTAATATGATGCGTAAGATGAAGATAAAGAACAAGAGAGTTGGTTTAAGACCAAGAAATGGGCAGTCAGTTCAGAAATTTGAAGCAGGAAGATATATGAGAAAAAGAAAATTAGCAGCTCAAACCCATCAAAACAATAGGCCACGTAAAAAATGTAAAATAGGTTTGACAACATAAAATCAAAAGTACTTCAGCTTTCATTCCATTTTACTATATTTATTAAAGTGCTTGACACAACAATCACTGCAGCTATTACTCACACACAGTGGCGTAGCCAGCCTGACGATTTAGTCATGCTTTGCAAATTTTATGTTATTATCATTATTCATTTCTTTAGAAGCTCATTGTTTTCACAGTCAATGAACACCAAGATATTAGCATAGCATGACGAAATTGTCAGGCTGGCTACGCCATTGCTCACACAGTACTAATATTAATCAAATAATCAACCAGAATTCTACTGGAAACTAAGCTGCTAATGAAACAAGTGTATTATCATATATGTAAAATACTGACTTTCACTAACAAGTAGAATGTTTCTAAACCTCAAATAAGAGCTGCAGGTTTGAAAAACTGGCAATTAAAATTTAATATACTAATGTAATTTTTAGTTAGAAAAGCTCAATAGAAATGTGTTTCCAAAAAGTCTTATGAAACTAGAAAATGGCAATTAGCCTTTTATGTATAGCATTAAGGAAAATTCATTAAGAAAGTATCCCCAAATTTGCTGATATTTGTCATTGTGTGAATGGTTTATTTTTTTAAAACCAAAACTACATGATAGGTCTAACACTCTCATTCCCACTATTGTTAACTGGGTATGTATCCTGTTTTTTTTCATTTCTCTCAATTATGCTAAAAATTACTCAAAACAAACAGCTTTTTTGTAGAAGTAATCTAAAGCGAAGCATTTTTTTATTGTTATGGAATACAGAATTTTGCAAATACATTGCAACTTCTTACTCAATAAGACTCAAAGGAGCATTCAGGCTGTGTGTTTAACATCTTTATAAGTTATAATTTTTAATGCAATACTACAGACAAAGACAAACACCATGTCATTACACACAGGAGCATTCACCTTGACATATTAATGTACACTAAATACCAACAATTGTGCTTAATACCCATTACTTTATTAAACTTGATTTTTCTCTTTGATCGACTCTTCTTTAATATGGCGATTAATGTGCTCTTTTAAAGGTCTCAAATAAGCAAAACACTTGTCGCAACTGCTACACTTGTATGGCTTTTCACCAGTATGCGTTCTTTTATGACAGACCAAACCAGCAGACTGTGAAAATGCTTTGCCACAAACATCACATTTGAAAGGTTTCTCTCCAGTATGTGTTCTCCTATGATTTGTCAGGATACCACTTTGGGTGAAGCACATGCCACAGATATCACATTTATAAGGTTTGTCCCCAGTATGCAGCCTTGTATGACGGACCAGGTTGGACGAATGTAAAAATGCTGTGCCACAAGTGACACAAACATGTGGCTTCACTCCAGTGTGGGTTTTTTTGTGCTGGTGTAGACCAGAAGAAGTGGCAAATACCACACCACATTTTTTGCATTTGTAGGGTTTTTCGCCAGAATGCAATGCTTTATGAAGTTTCAAAGTGGACAACTGAGTATATGATTTCTCACAGAGATCACACTTGTAGGGCTTATGTCCTGTATGGGATCTCATATGCTCAGCTAGGGTATCTGTGCGAGAAAATCGCTTTTCACATATGCTACATTTGTGTTTCTTCTCACCAGTGTGAACATCCATATGGCGTTTTAAATGACTGGCAAACATGAACGGCTTGTAACATTCTTCACATCTCAAAGAGTTGTTCTTTGCATGAACTCGTTTGTGGTAGTTTAATCTTCGTTCACTACAAAATGTCTTACCACAAACTGAACATTTTGCACGAGATTTTTTGCCGTTGTTTATAATGGATACGACATCTGAACATTCTCCACTCATTTGGCTTCTAAAATCATATAGCACGTAGGATATTGCTCTTTTTGTATCACACCTGCGATCACAAGTTTTCCTTTTATCAATATCAACAATTAAACAGTCCGAAAGTAATAAATACAGTGAAATTAAACAGCCCTACCGTATTGACAATCACATTTTGCGTTTTACATGTATACATATAGGTATATATCGAAAGCACAAAAGATCGCGTTCAGGTAATATATAGATCTCTCGCGTGGGCAGCACTGGTGGTGGCAGTCATTATGCGTGGGTGGTGGGTGGCCAGGGCCCAGTGATGGGTGTCAGCTGCTTTTGTTAGTCACAACGATTCCAGAGAACGAAGCTCCAAACCTTTAACAAATATTGGTTAACCCAAATATGACAATCTATGTGTGCTCAAGCTTAGGAGGCGCTGAAATCACAAATTATTAGCTGGTAACTTTTTTACTGCAACCCGGGTTCTCCCGTGGTCCGTAGTCCCCCACGGGATTTTTGTTCTGTATGATTGAGACACGCTTTACGAGCTGTATATCGTCAGTCGGTTTTGCTTTATTACGTCGGACACCCAAAATAATTTATATGGGGCTTGAATATCTCTCGGTCTCCAAATAAACACAGTTCAATTGAAACCATTAATATTAGCTTGCCCCTTCTTCCCCTTGAAATATTGTTGCTCCATTGCTGCCTTTAATGCTGTTTTTTTATCCGAACTTGACTTGCGATTCAGTATCTCACAAGAAACGTTTTTTGGATCTTGAGGAGATCACGACGTTGTTTGTAAAATCTGTGGAGATTTTGACTTTCGTATAACGCTTGTAGCAGTATGTGTACCCTCTATATCTTCCTATTCAATTTTTGCAGAATTTTTTCGCAGCCTGGCAGTATCAAATTGAGTAAAATTGGACAAGATCAACAGGCAGTTTTAATACGAGTCATTTCTTACCCTACAAGTTTTGTAAATGTGACAACCTTGCTGAAGGGAAGTTTCCCATGACATTTATATAAACCAAAGAGCCGGTCTCTTAGGTTTTGATCTGCCATATCAAGGAAAGCATATTGTGAAATTTAATCCAAGCGCATCCGGGTCTTTTAAGATCATTCCAACTTCCAAGAATCATGAATATGTATATTGTCGAGACTGGCAACGTTGTCAAAAAATTATGGCGTCAGGCGAAAACAGACCTTACAGAAAAGGTTTCTTGGATAATGAAGATATTGAAAATAAAAACCGGGAGCGGGGATATATCAAAGAAGAAAGGTACAATGCAGCAAGGGAATTTTCTCAAATGCAACTTTCAGACGATGAAACAGGCTCGGAAACAAGGCAGCATTTAGCCGAAGTTGAAGCTGAAATAGCGAGAGAAGAAGACTCAGCTACAATAGTGAGAAGCCCTAGAACTAGGAAAGATGGTCCTAGTTCAAAGGAACGGCTAAAGTTATCCGAGAAGAAGTTGGAATTCGTGCGAGCTCGGAAAGTAAGAATTCACCAACTCTTTGAAACAATGAAGAGTTCACAAACGGTCGATGTTTGCTTTCTCATTGATTGCACCGGTAGCATGGATCCTTACATTGATCAAGTAAAATTGAAAATTGATGCTTTAGTTGCCCATTGTAAAACCATATTTGATGACCTGAATCTTAGAGTGGCTTTCGTTGGATATCGAGATCATTACGACGGTGACAGGGTTTGCGACGACGAAGAACGGATCATTTCTCTACAGTTCACGGACAACATTGCTAACTTCAGGTCGTTCGTATCAATAATAAAAGTTTATGGGGGTGGTGATGCTGCAGAAGACGTATTTGGTGGCTTAGAAGAAGCTGGAAATTTAGAATGGTCGTCTCCGACACGTATTCTCTTTCACGTTACAGACGCGCCCTGTCATGGACGTCAGTATCATGAGGATGTCTTAGATGATTTTCCAAATGGCGACCCCAGAGGTTTGAATGCAGGTGATTTGTTAAACGTTCTTGAAGATAAGAATATAGCATACTGGTTTGCAAAAATCACCGATAAAACTGACAAAATGATAGCTGAGTTCAGAAAACTTTTAAGGACTCCGACAATGCTTCAGCAGGTAAGAGGTCTACTCAAAAGGCTAAAAAAAAGGCTGCTCAAACATGTTATTGATATTTTGGCACACCTATATACACAATGCAATTGCTAGATTTTGTTAGTAACCTGCACGTCTCTTTCCAATTCTGATCAGTGATCAACGTTTGCCTGCGTAGTTTATTTTGTTGCGTGTAAGATGTCCCCGTACCTCGTCACGGCCATCTGAAATTAGTATATTTTGTCCAATGAACCTATATTATTTCTTACGCCTGTAGGATATACGTGAGCAATCGATCAGGCCTCATCCAACCCTGTTCTCAGTCCCATATCAAACATGCCTCATAAAACTAGCGGTAAAATCCACTCGCATGCATATGTACACTGTGAGAATGAGATATCAGCTGCACTAATATGGACGGATAGCTTTATAGTTCAACTGATAACTATCGTATGCTGCAGGCTTTAGTAGATGACATAACTATTAACCATTATAGCAGGCACTTTACTAGTACAGTAACAATGTAACATTCTAGTTTTTTCAAATTTTCGAACAGGTAAAGTTGGAATCTGCTGAACAATTAATGTTTGCAGTCGCTGACTCCATTTCTTCTTCTATTCGTGATGCGGAAACAACTACATTAGCCGCTGCTGGCGTTGGTGGTGTTGATGCGTTTTCTCACGAGAGCAACCCAGCCGTTCAACGCCCTGCCTTGGTACGTTCACGATCCTTGAAAGAGTTTACAATTTGTGAAGAAACCCCTGTTTGGAGTAGCATCCGAAGCGAGAATGCAATCGTGTTTCGAAACAAATTGGCAGACGGTACGGTCGTTGATAATTTGAGACAACCTCTTGAAGAAGAGAAGAAAAACCGAAAGATTCAGATCGCTACTCAGCCATTTGCAGAAGGGGCACAAAGGATAGTCTATTATGGAATAGACTGCACCTTTGACACTCCAAAGAAAGTCGTGTTTAAAGAGTTCAAATATTTAGGCGCTGGTCTGAATAAATTAGAATCTTACAAGCGTCAAATGGAAATCCAGTCGATTTCTTTCTTCCTCTCACGCGAATTTAACAAGCAGAAACCCGTTGATGCAAAGAATATTTTGTTCACCAAAGTCGTTGTTGTGAGCCTCCGTGGCCGCCCGAAACCTTTCTACTGTTCCCAGGAACCACTTATTGAAGGTTCTTACGTGAAGTACAACTCTAATCATGGATTCGTCAACAAAAATGAGTACGCAGCCACTTTGAACGCCTTTAGTCATTGGACATACCACGTAACTGATGGATATCTCATGGTAGTTGACCTCCAAGGGGTGAAGCATAGCACCGGTGATGGATTCAAATTTACCCTCACTGACCCAGCCTTGCACTGTAAAGATCTGACTAGGTTTTCCAGCACAAATCTTGGCACAGCTGGGATGCATCGTTTTTTCCGTACCCATCATTGTAATAGCATTTGTAAAGCCATGAGCCTACCTCTTCATCGCCATCAACCGAAGTCATCAACCATGAGTGAACAAGGTTGGTTTGGTGGTTTAAGAAGATAATGGCATCTGCTGGTCCATTCTTAACTTTTTTAATCGATAATGTAATGTGTTTAGGTTGTTTAAAATATAGTACATAATTGATTAGTTAAATTAACTTAACATTGATTAATTTATGAACATCTTCGATATGATTGGATTGTGGCAGATGAAGGAGGAGTAGCTAGCGTTCTTGACTGGATAGACCTGATATTTTTCAACGGCGTTAAAATGTAAATTTGGAGAACGGAAAAACCGCATAAACTCTTTTTATTCATAGTAAAATTGTTCCTTTTTTTGTAATTTCTAAAAATAAATTAACATATGCATTGAATATAGTTACCACATTACTATCTGTCCATGATTCCTCAATAATACAACAGTCGTGACGTTTTCGTATCATTTGTGACCACTACTTTGAATGCTTTGCGAAACTTGCGTTCTTTTTTAGTTTAAGAAATCTTGCAAAACATTTGAAGAGGTGGTCATGCTTTTCACGTACTATAAGAACATATTTTCAAGGCCATAAAGTTTATTCCATGCCGAATGCTTTGGGTGAAGCATTTCCGATGCAATTCTCCAATTCTGTATCCGTACGTCAGTGCTTATACGCGGTAAAAATAACAGCTATGCATTACCTTGGCTTCTTTGTTGTTTCAATAATTTTTTTTCAATCGCAAACAATTTGCAGTTTTGGCCGTTGCCCCTATAAAATATATTAGGTGTAAGTATATTTCATTATAAAATATAGACTATAGTGTCTTTAAGTTTTATTTTTCTTTGTTTCTTTTAAAACTTATATTTGTGCCTGCGTTATGGCGCAAAAAATTTGAGCAATGTGAATTGTGAGACTTTTTAACTCTGTGAGTGGGTGGCGTGGGTAAAATACGAGTAACATTCTGTTAATAAATAGAATAATGGAGCTTTTTAAGAAAAAATAAGATCGTCTTAAGGGGTATATAGCTTGCTCGGTCAATATGTTTATGATAGTTCATGATGAAATTTAAGTTTTGAAGATAAATTGTCATTTCCCAGTTTTTGTCCAGGCCAATGCTGAATACACGGCACTACACATTACTTTCGGTGACAAGGTTTAACATTGTTCTGCAGTTATTACACTGATTGCTTAACGAGGAGTTACTAAGGATGACTGGCTCGACCAGTGCTGCATGACGCTCCATTGTTGATGGGTGGACCAGAACGTCGTTTCGCCTAAACTGAGCAAGTAATTTTGCTGATTTACGCAGAGAAAAAACCGTATATAGGCCTTCAGGAGACGCAAAATGAATACTTTGTTTCATCTTTTTTGTACTATAAGTATTTATATTTCACTGGGTTGAGTATTCACATTTTGGTTGAGTATTTATTCAGTCATGAAATACAGCATTTTAATGTAGTTTGTAAAAGTGAGTTAACCGAGTTAACCGCTTATATATAGTGATAATTAATCAACTGATTCTCCACGTGCGACTCACTTTCCTCAGTATCATAATAATATATTCATGCATTCATTTCAATTCAATTCAATTTAAAGACCTTAGTAATCTTTTGTTAAGCCGAGAGCAAATATTCTTCAAATATTTCTTTAATTTTATGTCTTAAAGAATTTATGGTCAGTTTGAGTGAAATATACTTGTATTTTTTCAGTTCTTTTATCAAGGATATGTAGGATAAAGGTTTTATGCATAAGAGACCTGTTCTATTTTAACTCAGAGCGCAGTAGATTTTGGGATTGTTCAATGTAGTGACAAAAATATGATGGGATGCGTCGTTCCGCGTCAATTTTTATTGTTAATATTTTTTCATAGGACTTCTTGTTTGTTTATCAAAGGATTTGCCCGACTAGCCCAAAGACTATTGGGAATGGCTCTTTTTAGATGTTTTTGTTTTAATTTGCGGCAAACGTAATTAACTCAGTTCAATGGATTAACCTGACTAACACCTATATTAATCAGTTGTTTTTGCCAAAGTATTGACTTCCCTGAAGATTATTGTTCATTTCGCGGGTGTAGCACTGTAGCGGTATTGACTCTAGCCGTTTGAGATATTCACGAACTTATTAGTATGCTTGCTAAAGTCAGTAAATTGAGATCGATCAGACAGGCGATCGAATAAGATGATGTTAAAATGAATCAGAATATATCTACTCTTTTCGCGCCAATTGCGCTAATTAACATACATCGCGGAAAGACTGGACGCTAAGGTTGGAAAGTCATGAGCTCATCGTAAACAACGTCAAGCAGAGTTGAGTTCGAAACTCTTCTACGAACCGATAATTTTTTATTTTTTAAATTATTACAGCATTTTTATCAACTACTCGGGATTTCTACAATCTCTAGAGCTAAAGTTGTTTCTTAGTCTGATAGCATTAAACTTGTATTGTACACGACGAACGGTCGACGTTTGGAAACAAGTTGTTACTGGGTTGAATAATTATGCAATTTTGAAGGAAGTGGTCGTTTGGTTGCAGCAGTGACAGTGACACAGATTCTAGTACAAACAACTTTTGTTGGTATGGCAAGAGCTGAGAGCCGGATTTCCAGTGGGGGTGGAGTAAACCAAAACAATTCTTAGAGTCTTACATTTCTTTCTTACTGAGGTACAAATACTCTTGTAGTCATTTCTACATCACGCAAAACTACTGGACTTAAAACAGAAACCTTCAAAAATCTGTGTTTGAACAGCAACTATCCTTGCATTATAAACGTTGCAATGCGTATCAATATGGCATCAACATTAGTTCCATTACTCAAATCAAAAGTGGACGAGCTATTTTTAAAATGGTTATCAACAGATGAAACCCAGAGATGTCTTCAAGAAGATTTAAGTCGTATATTACATGGTGTATCCCCTGCTGTTTTTGAAACTCCTGTCATTTCAACTGTTGTAAGTGCTAGACCAGCTTCTCCGCCAGCACCGCCAAGTGCAACATTAACTGCACGATCACCAAGAAGTCCTAAACCAGTGCGAAAGTTGAACAAATGTCATAATAAACCAAATGATTCTCCATTAGCAAGTTTGGATGTTAATGATGGATCTACTGCAGCCATCCCTCACTTCTATTTTCCAAAAGGCACTCCATCTCTCAGTGCTAAACAAATGGATGAAAAGGCTGCACAGCTAGTTGAAAATATTTTTAAAATTAATCAAAGGATACCTATGAAAGAGTTTTCCTCTGTTACTAAGGTAGGTAAGATTAAAATGAATAGATTTAAGAATAGGTGTGTTTTTTGATAATTCTAACTAAATCCAAATAATATAATTAATTTAAGAAAAGTATATGCTTATTGTGACTTTGTTTTTAGTACATATTATAATAGTATGTCAAGTGCTGTAAGTGTTGTTCCTATGTTTACTCAGGAATTATAATCCTGACTGTGATAAATTGCAAAGGAAAGCACCTCGTATTTGCTATATTGATCAATCTATAAATTCAGAAGCTTGTAAGACAGCATAATTAGCATGAACATTATTAAGCACAATAATTATTGGTATTAACGTAATTAGTGTTCTTGAATGTTCCATTCTGCGGCACCGAATATGCATATATGGTTGCAACTGTCAGCCTCTTACAGAAAGAGGAGGAGACAAGAACAAAGAGCTGCTGAAAATAGTTTATTTTATGAATGCCTTTGTTCTCTTAAGCATTGTATTTTTTGCTGAAGTATATACTTCACCAAAAAAAAAAAAATTACTGTGTGTATATATATATATATATATATATATATATTATATATATATATATATTATATATATATATATATATATATATATAATTATATATATATACTGTGTTGGACATTTTCTGTAGAAATAAGAGTATTGCATGTATATGTTGTATTATGGCCCAATACAGCTCAGTGGCATCTTGACTCTTTTAGGAACACAAATGCTAGAATGTACATCAAATTTGAATGAATTGAAATTAAATAAAACAATTTGCTTTCAGAAATCTAAGTTGCATGCATAGTCCCACATCTTGGGTCCGACACATTTTAAATTGATTTTAAATTTGGAAGAAATACTACAATTTTGAGTTAATTTCCCAAGAATTAAGTAATTATCCTTTAATTAATTTAGTTTAACTGAAGGTAGTGATATAAAACTGGTTCAAACAATTTTTCAATTTTAGATTAGAAAAGAAATTAAATGTTTTCCTTAAGTTTGGCAGTTTTCACCAAAGACTTTGACACTGATTTAATGTAAAGCTGTTGAAAATAGAACAGTCTTGTGGGTTGAGAACATTAAGAACTTATAAAGTCTGACTACATTTTCAAGTTTGCCATACCATAACACATACTATACTGGTTGTGTTATTGGAATAATTTTGTTTAATATTATTCAGGCATGTAAATTTCCTCTATATTGGCGAAGTATCCTGTTTAATTGCTGTGGTGGACAGAAGACAGGTTATGTTACCCATCAAAACTTCTCAGCAGTTTGGAAAAGGTACATGCATAGTTTGGTAGTATTGAAGCCGGCCCCTATATACTTTTAGGGTGTGCTTCTATTAGGGCTTGATTGTGATTTTTTACCTGTTTTATTTTTACCTGTGTGACTGGTAATAATCAATAGAAATAGATATCCATGCCCATCTCTCTTTGCATACAATGGTAACTGTTGTGAGTTTAGTTTGAACATGGAAGGTTTTAAGCTTAGCGCAATGTGTAAAGGGGTATAGCTAAGGGATTCTCAATTATTTATATTAACTAACTGGATATCAAATTTTGTAAACAATTTGCAGGTTAACTCAATCGTGTCACGATGAAGCATCAAGGTTTATGTATCTTATGACATGCAATAGAAGAGATTATCTTATTTCAGAAGATTTTATTCCGCTTGTACAGGTAACTTTTCTAGTTGTAACAACTAAGCTTGTGGTACTGTTTAAATAACACTAAAATAGCTACTATAATATAGGTTTATATAATATTCAAAATAATAAATGAACTCATCACAAAATGCTGTGTTGACTAAAGGGATTTCCAAATGTCCTAGCAGTATTTTCGGTTGTCAAATCTTTAGGCCAATGTTATATTTTGTTTCTGATTTACTTGATGTTAAAGTTTGGTTATCAACTCAAAAATTTAAAACGACAAATAATTGTAAACTACGAGTCTACGACCCCTTATTCACAATTCTTTCCTCCGTGTTTTCCTCATTGACACTCACTTTACCGAATTACTCGTATTTTGTATTACATATAGAAATATATTGTTTAAAGAAGATGCATTTTATATTATTGAATTCTGTTTTAGGATGTTGTAGATAACCATGGCGGCTTAGCATTTCTAGCGGATGCGCCAGAATTTCATTCTCGCTATATCAAGACGGTAAGATGGTGTATTTATATCTCTTGTCACTTCATAAGTGGCCAGGATGATACATGTAAAAAAAATCAAACGGTCCTTATGTATACTTCACGAACTGATATATGAAAAAAATTTTTCAATTTCCTTTTTTCGGAAAATAGTTTTCATAGATTCTTTCCTATGAAATCTATTCTAATTTACATTGATCTATCCTAAAGTTTTTTTCTATTTTAAAGTTCTATTTTGATTTTAGGTTATAGCAAGAATATTTTTTTCCGTCAATAGCTCTTGGTCTGGGAAAATTACTCTATCTGAATTGCGAAATAGTAACTTTTTGAAGGTATATATATATATAATTATATAGCTTCTTATTTAACGTTTCCCCATGTGTTATAATTTGTATCATTGATAAAGTAATATGTCTTTAAAGTTTTCATTGGTGAATATTTTTTCAATTTAGATATTATCATATTTAGAGGATGAAGAGGATATTAATTTGGTAATTATTACCGTATATCAGTATTGCCTTTATTTAGCCTTTATCGAGCGCGGATTTTCATATTTCACGGGAAGATTTACCTAGGGAAGATTTACACAAATTTAGGCAGGAATGCTAGCGAGGGGATACTGCGAGGGTGTCCGGGTTACTAAAAACTAAAGCTAAAACTTAACTACAATAAAGTTCTACTATCGACTTTTACATGTTCGTTGAACTCCATACTTTATTTACAGATTGTAGACTATTTTTCGTATGAACATTTCTACGTGATCTACTGTAAATTCTGGGAATTAGATTCTGATCATGATTTGTTGATCGATGAAAAAGAACTTTTAAAACATGGAAACCATGGTAGGTACCTGTCTCTTAATCTTTCGATCATAACGTATAGCTAAGTCCCCAATTACCTAAGACACAAAATTGACATGCATAAAGGGAATTACCTTCACTTCAGGGAGAGGTTTTCAAAAAAATACATTAGCGATCTATGCATGGTTTATAATTATTCATAGTTATCCCGCATCATGTAACATTTACTTATACTGTCCTTTCAGTCAATTTAATTTATAAAACATAACATATTTTTGTTATTACAGCAATATCTTCCAAAGTTGTTAACCGCATATTTTCCGGGTGTGTCACAAAGTAAGTTTAGTGAACAATCTAAAATAGTGTACCATCACATTCAACGACGATATTATAACCACGTTTTTAAACTTTTTAGATGCCCTTCAAATAATGGCAAAATGACGTACGAAGAATTTGTTTGGTTTCTAATGGCTGAAGAAGATAAACATCAACCAAGAAGGTTCTGCCATATTTGGCATTGTCAGATTTAGTTAGGTGCATATGCTGCGACGACGAAGACTCTTTCCATGGGTCAACGTGTATAAGTGCAGCAAAACTAGTCATAATTTTCTTTATAGCTCGCTTTATACAGTTTCTTTAACTGATTTAACGATAAAATAAATCATCCTGGTTTGTTTTACAGCATTGAATATTGGTTTCGGTGTATGGATCTCGATGGTGATGGAATCATATCTCTATATGAACTGGAGTATTTTTATGAAGATCAAGTAGCGAAGATGGAGGCCCTGGGAATTGAAGCAATGTCTTTTGAAGACTGCATATGCTCAGTTCTTGATTTAGTTAAGCCTAAAGAAGAAGGAAAAGTTAGTTTGGGAGATCTCAAGCGCTGTGGACTTGCTCATATCTTTTTTAATACATTTTTGAATCTGGATAAATACGTTGAATATGAACAAAGAGATCCATTCGCTTCTTTAAAGGTAACCTATAATAAACCATTATACAATATGTATTATATTGTTTATATATATATATATATATATATATATATATATATATATATATATATATATATATATATATATATATATATATATGATATATTTGTTGTATTTATTATTGAGGTATTAAAACATCCCCTCAAGTTTGTGAACGTATTTAGCTATAGTTGGATAGAAAATAAGCTAAGATTTATCACACATGCAATTACGTAAATGGCTCTGAAGAAGCTCTTATACACACACATGTTTCCAGGGTTTCCAGGGAAATAGTAATGACAAAAGAGAGACAAAGAACTTTTGAAAAGAATGTATAATATATCCTATTATAAGACGCATTCCTCCCTCCCTAGTGGTTGTCATTTTGAAGGAAATCTCCTTCTATTGTGGAAACCCCGCATGTTTCCCATATACGCTATAGCTATTATTCAACACACATGCAATAGCAGAAAGAGTAATTTTAATGTACTTAAAGTATATATATATTTGCACTGACAAACGAAAATATATATTAATCGATTGACGTTTGTTTTCCTATTGAAGTCTGATCCAGAGGAACGTGTGCCATCGGATTGGGAAAAGTTTTGTCTGGAGGAATACGGATTATTAATAGCAGAGGAGGGCGCAAGTGATGACGGGTTAGTATTCGTAAAATATAATCACTTCAACTACGACAATATTTCATTCCGTGATTCTAGTTTTAATGCAATGTTCGCTATCGTCAAGGCAATATATATCTCTATATGAATATGCACCCAGTTTAATGACTTCTGTATGGTCAGCGGCGTAAGAGGCAGGATTTCCCTTGTCGTGTTATTTGCAGGTAGTGCGTGTACGCACACGCACGCACGCACGTACGTAAAAGTTTAAAGTTATTTAAATTACACTGAAAAAACTAGATATATATAATTATAACAGGGTTTAGAACTCTTACAGCCCTGTACGCCCGGCCCGTGGGACAGTGGAAATCCACCTCTATATGTCGTCAGTCCGACCCAGCACGAGCCACCCTGGCGTGCGAAGTTGTCGTCAGTCGTTTGAGAATCAGTTGCATTCCTTTAAATTTTTGTTTTTGATGTTTGCTTGCAATATATGGACATTCAGGCTTCATTGGCCGTTTCAAGATTGACGTTTACAACTAACGGCAATCATATAGATGCATCAACTATTATTAGTTGTCTTGAAGTTGAAAACATTTTCCTTGAAATTTGAAATGTGAAGTATGCTGTCGAAAATCTGTAGGGTATACTTTCAAATGTGATTCAAGCCAAATATAAATGCCTAATATAAATACATAAGAGATGCCTGCAGAGGAGGCTATTTTCGTTTGCGGTTAGCAGTTTTCCATCAACGTCAGTCTTATATATAAGGTCTTTATTGCTGCGACGTACCGACAAACCTTGGCTACTCATTAATCTACTTGACTACGCCTTGAAACGCATTGTAAGTTAGGGACGCTTACGACGCCCTCGAATTGTTCAAATTTTCAGAAAATTCGCGAATTTGTGATTTGTCACAATTTTAAAACAAAGACAAAGTTGTTTCCACTTCATCCGCATCGTAGCGAATCGTTTGTTTCGCAAACGCTAGGGTGGAACTGCAAGATAGCTCACGGTAATAGAGCCGCCACAAGTCTACATGCAAGACACATACATTTTCATAGAGACACATAGATTTTCATAATAAGCCCATTATTGATATTTATAGAAAATATGATGATTTATTGGATTTGGACGATGATGACGTACATGCATCTAGTACGGATGATATTTACGAAGGTCTTCGAAACTGGCAATACAGATGATTCATGATTCATATATGAAAATTACCCGTATTTTCTTGTACAGTAAAAAAATGTACATATTAGATCTTAGATTAATGCAATTAACATATTTAGCGTGTGGATTATAACGATCGGGAGGCTCCTTGAGGAATTTCGCTCCAAAAATCAAAATATTGTAGTCATTATATAGAATAGTTTCTAAATGTCTGTGAAATTATACTTTTGTACTTTCATCTATCTCCCAATAGACTGCAAAAACAAGAGTTATAAACCACACTAAACACTTTATTTCATAGTAGCCTATGATAGTATCACTTCGTTGAAGATATTAAACATGCAGACTACATATAAGGTTGATATTTGGTGACTTTTTGTGAAAGAGTGTGTATATATAGTAGTATTTAGTATATATATGTATAAAAGTAATAAACGTCCAAACGTGGATATGTACATAAAGAAGGCGATTTTCTATTGACTGTATAGTTAATATAAATTGTATCTATTGATGATTCTGCTCAACAAACTGTGAATAAAATATCTGTATTATGTATTAGAAAAGGTCTTCTATTAAATGCGAAAGCATTAGCAAAGTAAGAAAAGCTCGACGTAAACCAGGGGCAAACTAGGGAACATTGTTATCCGAATGCCAATGTCCTGCAAATTGTTTCAAAACGTTTCTGCAGCAAAATTCACACGCGGAAAGCATGACTGCTAACTTACATTAGATGTCACCACAGTTGTGTCACTTCAGAAACATTAGCTGTATCCTCATATTTGTAACCCATACATTTTTATCTATACTGATAAATTCACTGTTGCTTATGTAAGACGTAACCGCATTGACCGAGCTGCCTATATGGTCTAGAAGTTGCACCACAAACTCCCTTTCCAAACAATCGGGAAGTTAAATCAAGTTTTATTCGTGTGAAGAATTATGATTTCACAATTCACACTATTCTAAAACACACAGTGGCTGAGCCATATAGAATATAGAACAATTATAGATGATTAAAAGCTATTTACATGCCGCTTTCAATGGTTTTTTATTGTCAAATGACGGATACAGGCGTTCACTATCTAACCCGGCAATGGTGAGTGGAAGACGGCAAACAATGTTCCGTGCTGTCCACTGTCGAACAGTGAGCAAAAGAAAATATTTAATCTGCAGACTATCTTTAACATACAAATCAGGTGTGAGATCCATGGGAACTGAGATGATATCAGAACATTTATAAAATGTGTTTGCCTGCAGTGTTTCCTTTAGTAAACTTTTCTTGATTGTTAAACTTGCAGTTTTTACCGGGTTATCCTTGACGTCCAAGTATATTGTGTCACGTACGAGCTCGAGTGTCACTTCTTTGGTTTGATTGCTGAATGCAGTATGGTCAATTTCCACAGTCGCTTCGATAACATCTCCCAGGTAGTAACCTCGTTTTGGTACAGATAACTTGACATGAGATGAACCATAGCTATAAATAAAGAACGAGCGCACATTTTTCTTACTTATAACTTCGCTGTATTCATTCATATCTGGTACGAGGTTCAGGTTGCGTACATCCTGAACACGGATTTCCAGAGAATAAGAATTGTTTCGTTCATAGAATTTCCTCTCGATAACCGCTTCAATGGTGTATGTGACTGAGGCATTCCAATGTTTCCCGTCATAGTTGTGGCGATAGGAAGTTGGGAGCTCTGGGGGTAGAATAAACTCGAAAGGATAGGTATGCTGACCACTGTCTAGAATGATCTCAGATTCACGTTTCTGTAATTGTGGGTTGTCTAACGCGATTTCATTGTTGAAAAGATATCCTCGGCCATGACAAGCCACGCTGTCATCGTCATCATGCCAATGCGCTTTGCCAAGAAACTTCAAAACTACGGCTTTCGCTTCTATGGATTCGTTCAGTTGAATAACGACTGCTCCTCGTACTCTTTCTCCAGGATGGAATGCATCCTTCGCGTCAATTGCCACCAAGATATTTGGCTTTGACATGTACTGATGTCGAATGATATTGACGAAAATACTAAACTAGAATTGCAGCCCAATTTAACCACTTATATGTGGTTTGAGTTTCTGGTTCCACTAAAGTTTTTTAAAATGTTCTATTACTTGTATAACACACACTCCGACTAAACTAAGAGAAGCTTTCAACTGGCTTTTCTTTTATACTGGCTTATTGTCCTTATTGTAATGATGACACAAGAAACAAAATTACCAATGACGCAACGTTCATGTGATTTCCGCGAGACATCTATTGTATTACTTGTATACACATGAGTGACATGACATGACATAGGGAATTTGATAGTATACCAGGTTTAGAAGTTAAAACATTAAAGATTCGTCGTAATTCTACGATTATAACCTACATCCTGAGCATATTTCAAAAATATAATGTCAATTTAGTTCTTCAAACGTCTAAACTAAAGGCAAGTACCCTTTTGCCGCAGGGGTCTTAAGTATTAAATATTCTCGTTGTTATGGCGATACATAACCGATTTACATAACCACTGCCACAAAATTTTCATTTAATTTTGTGTCATAAGTACAAAAATAATATACTATTAATCTATCAGCAAGAAGCCCAGGCCAAAATTTTTTTTGGTGGAAATGGGACAAAAGTATGTAAAGTGCATGGGCATTGATTTTCCTGATGTATAGAAAAATCAACGGCACTTCACATATCTTGATATCAGACACCGCCGTAAACTAGATAATTTATTGCATGGCGTAGTTTGACACATTCAGCATCCAAGACACAGTCACACAGCACTAGTACAGTATAGCCTATGATAGTTCGGCGAAGTGTCCGTGCGAAATAAAAAAGACAAGGGAATATGTAATGTCAGATATAAGAGAGCATGTAATATTGTAATAAAAAATCGAGTCGGACATGCAACAACACGATTTGTGTATCACCGCTACAAGGATAAGAAACATTGTGTTGCGACCGAGTAATTTAGGTATGACCACATGACTAATTAGAGTTATCAGCAAATATTGATACGATGTATAGGGCGAGTTTGTAGTGAATGCACGTCCGAGTAATGCCATATTCACGGCTGCACGGAAATGTACTGTTTATTAAACCAAAATTGCGCAATGCACACACCATTAAACACCATCCGTTAAATGACAATGTTCTGTAGCCTTCCAGAACAGTAGATCATTATTCTAATATCTAGATTCTGGAACAGTGTGAACTAAAGTTTCCATAAAAGATGAATTTCTATTTGAGCACCGAATATTAAAAAATTGTCCGTTGAGCAAAGATTCAAAATTAATATTTATTTATTTCTAAATACATTTTACACTAACTCTAATAGAGCAATAATATATTTATGAAACGTGTATGAATTTGTACATGAAGTATACGTAACGTTCTGCGAATAAAATGTATATCCCATTATTAAAGATATAAGTAAAAAACAATATTGTAGATGTATCATGTCATGCAATAGATCCATAAAGCTGGTCTAGATTTTTCTGACTTTCGTCTAGTTGCTTATTCCCCTCTGCAATTAAATTAATGTCTGGGCTGTTTAATATTATGTTACAATTTGGCTCAGCAGTCGTACATTCTTTGCCGTTTACGATTGTACCGACATCAACAACAGTTTCAGCGGGCGTCTGATATTGGGTGTTGTTAGTTGATGATATTACAGCATTTTTCGGTTCGTTCAAAGACACACTGCATTGGTAATCAAGTGTATTTACGGATTCTTGGCCATCCACTAAGCTATGGGTTAATTCACTTATATTATCAATATCTTCATTCGAATTAGCGTCACCATTCTGATTAATATTTGCACCAACTGCATCAGAACTTGCATCAGAACTTGCATCAAATCTTGCATCAATCGACTTGCTTTGCTCAACAGCTACGTTGTCATATTCAACATCATCTGTTTGCAAGGCATCAGGATCCTCTTTCATTAGCACCTCTTGTTGGTCTAATTTCACATCATCTTTATTACCAGTTTCAACGCCATTTTCATGACGTCTTAAGTAGACGTGTCTTTGGGGATGCTTTGGGATTTCGTGTTCAACTATAGGACTGCCAGGATCGTAATTAGAATCGGAATCGCTGTCGTTGTAAAGCATTCGACGTCGTTTTGATTGTCTGCTGCCACGTATAGCAACAACTGAGCTTGCTACATCTTGTTTCTTTTTCCCATCTCTATCTACGGCCTCCATGATTTCCTGATCAAATTCGGAGAATGTGTAGTCGACCGTTTTTCTCACTCTTCCCGACTGTCGAATGTTGGACAGATTTATGCCACATGGGTTTTTTCTAAATGAAAGAAATTAGTAAAGGAATACCTTCTAGTTGTTGCGAGGAGGATAGACTCGATTTACGAGCTGTCTTTGAAACGTTTGCATGTATTCACGTTTTGCACGTTTTGTCTCGGTCTCGTTAAGAGACATCTTTTTTGTAATACTAAAATTTCTCCAGTTGTCGGCACAAGTTGTCACAATGATTGACTATTGTTTCTATTACTGGATTTTGATCTTAGCTCCCCATTTTTTCTGGCAACACAGCCTGATTAACTAGCAGACAGTGTCGTGGCATGTGAGCTACAACTACAACAGCATAGCTGTATTTATTAACGTCCTTCCAGTCTGTTCTCGTGATTGTGGTACACACTTTTTAATGAGGACCTTTGAAATTCTAACAAAGACCTTGTTCTCATCACATAAACTAAAAGGGATTATTAAAATTTATGCACCTAGCCATTTCAACACTTGTTGGCAGAAAATCGGGAGACTTATATCTGAGCATGCGCACTAAATTATTTAAAGCTGACGCCTCTTCCGTTTCCTTTCTAGTATTGGAATTGTGTCCATCGGTGTTTATATCTGATTACTGCACAATTTAAAGTAGATTAGAATACTATCAGGCAGGGTAGTGCACGCGGAAATTCTAAAATATTCATATCAAAAGTTTTCGTTGGTGAACTCAGCTATCTAACTATCTAACATCCGCAATCAAAATGGCTCACGCACACACCTGTTAGCTGCTCTGCTGCGAGCTTTTATACGAGTGGATATCCTGGAGTAGATCTTCTTAAGTGTCTCAATCAACAACAGCTAGAATATAACAGAATCTCTATTGTAACAGTTATTAATTATTACGGGTACACAAATGTAAGATGTTCTTAATTTCTAAAAATTTTTTTAGTTTGATCACGTGTAGGTGGCTGTTGGATCGGTGATAGATCTGAAGTCTGAACTGTCGATACTTGCAAAACCAACTATAGATAGCTTATATATAAGCCTGGTTCACAACATATGCCTGCGACGGTATATCATAAAGTTTCATCCTGCTAAAAATCTACGGATTTTACGCATGTACGCATGCTAGAATCAAAGTTCTAATTTCAATTCCTTTCTGCAACATGTAGCGGCCTTAAGACACTCATACACATCTTCTCTCCGTAAACGGAATACAGAGCTGCGTGCATGGGAACAGTCTTTTGGGTGACATAAAAAAAGGGCTGTTTCGGGGTCGGGGATGCATATGGACAGAGCCAGAGGCAATCTGACTCTGATTAATGCATTCTTCATTGTGCTAGAAGCCTAGAAGATACGTAGCACTGCATGTGTAGCAGATTTCAGGATTTTCAAATGTTTTACATGTTATGGACAGCGAGACGCGCACAACCTGAAAAGTTACACAATTGCTTTTGTCAAATGTGCGTAAATGTTTGTCCAGAAAACGTAACCACAGCATAACACATACAACATGGAGACAGTGTTAAATGCGGTTATTTCATGTAACCTACCGTGTTACAAAATGGACAAAACCAATCACCAGCTGGTATGCTCATGATTGGAGGTCTCAAACATGCTGTATGATAAGCAGCGTCACATTTGTCGCAAAGCAAGATCTGCAAAATAAACACTTTTGAATAGTTGACATATTTAACATTCAAAACGTTGAATGACTTTTTAGATGTGTTTTACATGCTAAGATGGAAAAAATTGTTCTAAATAGTTGATCCTCCTACCATCTCTGGATGAACACTGGAATAACATCTTGCACAAGGATTGTCATCATCTATATCACTCTCATCGCTTGCTGCTGATTCATTGCTTTCTGCTTGTTTTTTCGACTTTCTACCTGCAAGTTAAGTGCGGTCGTTTATGTTCCCTCTTGGTCTTTCCTAATGATCATATTAACCTCATCTGTGCATATGTGTACCAGACTTGGAATGGAATGGAATATTTCCTGAATGGCTTACAATAAGATATATTTATTTTCTGTAATTGTTCATCCTTCAATAAAAATATTAGTACCTTTCTTTTTCTTTGCTTTTGTAACTTGAGAAGCACGTTGGGCACGTCTTTCATTTTTCTTTTCTTGGGCAACGTCTTTAGGGTTGTTTTCTGCTTTTTTTTCAAGAAATTCCACAACATTCACGATCTCTTCCACTTCACTAGATAAAATAGCTCACTAATACATATTCCAAGTATAGAGTTCAACTTCAACAACCAGTTCATGTTTTAACATTCAATTCAGTGGCATTACATAGCCTCCTCAGCAGCTAGACTCATCTCTTATGTATTAAATTAACTAACCCATGCCTAATATAATTTAATACCTAAGAGATGCTTGCAGAGGAGGCTGGGCATTACACAATCACTAGAGATCAATTGTTTGTGCTACTCCTCCCTTGGAGAGGCAAGTGGGGGCAGCCCTGTTATCGTATAATGCCATATCATATACGTTCACTTTTCAAAGATCATGCAACACCCTGAACCCCCCTCCCCCTTAGTTATGAACTAACTGTAGAAATATCAAATACAAGAATTTGCTAACCATGCCAGGACCTTCCATGCTTCACAATCCAGTTCATCTTCCTCAGTTGAATATAATCTTATTTGTAGGAGTTCATCCTGCATAATCAATGTATTTTTCATTTTGGACTCTCCTATATTATTATCTCCAAATATATGTCTATTTATTTGCCTAGAAGCTGCTGGGGTTTTTTCTATCACAATGTCTTGCTTCATGTAGCCAAAACCCTTAATACTGTCATCAATTTTAAGTTACCTCATGAAACCAATAAATTAGGCCATCAATGTCACTGCCCACTGGCTGAGGTCTCAGATCAACTTGACTTAGCTCACAGTTTACTGCACTCTTGAATTTATCATTATTATCAAACTGAGACTCCAATAAATCCTAAAATGAAAAAAATATACAGACTACCATGATCTCTAAAGTCTAAACATTTCCTGGTAAATAATCTTATTCTGCCTACTTTTAGTATTGCCAATTTAGCTTCACCAGAAAGTTCTCTGAACCCAAACTGCTCCAAGTCCCAGGCAATCGTTTCATGAAATTCTTTAACAAACTGTAAAGCAAGGAATATTATGCATACATATATACATAAAATTAAAAGATGAAGACCAAGACCATGCATGGTGGAAAGGTGACCACACACTTGCAATATGTATGCGTGTACAATCAGTCAACTACTGTAACAAAATAAACATGTTCCAACCTTGAGTAGGCCTTTTTCCCACTTTTCAGGGACTACTCTCCATCCAGCTCTTCTTAATAATTTTATAAAAAGAGCCTGAATATCTTCCTGATTATCTACACAAATGAGTTTGAAATTACAGTTGCTATAAAATGGTAATGGTTCACTATATTGTTTTCCAGTCTGGTATAACAACTGCTCAAAATAGACAACCATGGGCCTTTCGGACTGACTAAAGCCCTTAGATTGAAATGTTGAGAAGTTTTCTTGTCTATTATAAATAGTTGTTATACCACTTAATTGATTTGAACACACTGTCATGCTGCTCCCTGGTTATATTTAAACATACACTTTAAGATATGCAATTGCACAATGTACTTATTAAAGTGTATTTAAACTATTATTTCTATGGCAATTTTTCCAGACCATCAGATTATCATAAAAAATTATGAGCAGAGACCTTTTCTTGCTTCCATATTCTCATTGTCAGGTCAGGATATAACTATTTCATGGTATTTCAAGTGAATCAAGCTAAATAGTACAGTGGTGTAGGTGCTCATCTCACAGGCATACAACCTGGGTTCAAACCTTTCATCCCCTCTTATTTTTTTACCCCTTTTTTTCAGTTTCTACCAGCTGCTCATTTATTAAGGTTAGAATTATAGCTTTCGGGATGGTTTCACGTGAATAAGAATTTAGGATTAATTTTGCTGAATAGATAATGAATGGAAAATAGGTTCTAGCAACGGATAATTAACGAATCCAAAAGTCCAAACGAGCTTTCAATAGAGTATGCTAATATACGGTAATACCATAATACCTTGTGTCGGACTATCAAAGAACTGTTGCAATGTTTCAATAGAAAGTTCTTTAAAGTGCAACAATGGCCCAAATATCTTTATAAACGAACAAACAACAGCGAAATTCGGGTCCTTAGTTATTCCTCTGGACCTTTTCGAAGTTGGCAACAGAATTTCTTCTGCATCTTTGTTGTCTGTTTCATTTGTTTCATTTCCATCGTTAACTTTTATTTCATCCTCTGACGCCATTTTGAATTTAGTAAATTCAGTTTATTAACGCTATTAAAAGACTGGGCACTAGTACTGGACTTAATTGGACAGTTTTGGACTGCCGGCTGCTCTGCCTGCGTAAATTTGTAAAATCCATTCGAAAACTGTTTTAAAAGTACTGTTTTATTTTTCTGTTTTTACATACTAAATTTAATTAGTTTTATCATTTCATTATGAAAAAAGCCTTAACGTCTAATGCGTATTTGACTATGTGTAATGAGTAGTCGAATTGGAATATATGTATTTGGACAACGCCTAGGCTTTGGATATCCGATTCCTCCAAATTGCAGAAACATTCAATAACGGCATCTTCTGCCTGCCTTCTTAGAAGCTTTATCTTTATCATTTTATTGGTTCCATTAGCCATCACCATCATAAATACTAACGAATACTTCGTAGAAAAAAATTCTAAAAACAAGTGAACATCGTCCACTTTTTATTTAATAACAGTGACTTCGCATTTTCTGAAAATAAGAAAAAATGTCATCATATGTTTAACAACTTCATTTTGCTTTTCGCACACCGCTCACGCTTTGTGGCTGTTTTTCATCCATTTTACTGTGAAAACCTGAACCGGGCGAATTTAAACAGTTCTAAATTCTCCTTTTCACAGAAAATATAGTATTAAAAAATTATTTTTCTACGAAAAAAGGGTGATTGCATACATAGCGTTATCAGTGACTATTGCCATTTTATCCAGTAACAGTTTCATTGTTTGAGATCAGTGTTAAAAATTAAAACGTGTACTGAAATTTTATAAGAAGATGGCCGTGTGTAAAGTGGTTATTCATCCTGTTGTGTTATTTTCAATCGTTGATAGTTATGAAAGGAGGAACGAAGATGCAAAAAGAGTAATTGGGACACTCTTAGGATCTATTGATAAAAATATTGTTGAAATTAAAAGTTGTTTTTGTGTACCACATAACGAATCAAAAGATGAGGTAGGTCTTGTAGACTTGTACTTAGGAAGATGTGAAGACTGTATATACAAGTAAATTTAGTCTATTAATTAGGTCGAAATAATGGAAAACGTAAGCAATCTTTTAACATTGAAATTCCCGAATATTGACACATCGTGCCTTCAGTTTAAAAACATACTAGTCTTAAAAGCAGAGAGCTGGGGACTGGAAAGTGTAGAATTCACCACAGGATTTCAAAAAATAATAAATATAAAGTAGAAGATACCCCCTCCCCTAAAAACAGTAATGGAAGTTTGATTGCTGATTTTTTGCAAATATTCATAGCATATGTGATATGTTAATATTCTTCCATCAAAATATTCCCCCCTTACTTTGTTCTTGTGTCCCAGCATGGCCGGAGGTGAGTTAAGACTGGGTTGCTTCGTAATGCAAGTTTACTGCCTGAGTGCCTGTACATAGTCAAATAGTGAGTAGAAGTGTATTGTAAAATCACCAACATATCTGACAGAAGAGACCCACATTTCTATTACCATTTAATGGGTTTCCTATCCAGGGAAACTAAAACTTTATTTTACTGATCTGGCAAAATTTGTAAAAGTGGTAAAATAAGTGGTAAAACTTTTAATCTCATCTTGTTTATGTAGGTAGCAGTTGATATGGAATATGCTAAGAATATGTATGAACTACACAAAAAGGCAAATAGTGCTGCACAAATTGTTGGATGGTAAACCAGTTTCCATTAAATTTTTTCAACATCTAAATCTTAAACAAGACAGCATTTGTTTAAGGCATGGATTGCATTTTGTGCAATGAATATGGCATGCGAATGTCCAAGTAAATTGCACTCCTATGGTTCAAAATAAGCATTTGTTGCCCATCTTAAAATCTACATTGATGTGAAATTTTAATGCTTTTGATGTGTTTGCAATATGCATTATGTATGTAAAATATTTTTGAAAATTCTGCCTAGGTATGCCACCGGTGTTGATGTAACAGAGCATTCTGTCTTGATACATGATTTTTACTCAAGAGAAACTGCTAATCCAGTTCATCTTATCCTTGATACCACATTACAAACAAAAACATTGGGGATTAAAGCATATGTGAGGTAATTATTTTTTATTGTTGTTCTGGTTCTACCTTTATCTTGCATGACATGATGTCCTTGCAGCATTTCAGAGACATACAAAAATTTATAGTTAATTTTTAAAATTGTATTAAGAAATGTTATGAGATGCATGCTAGGCTAGGTAAATGTGACTTCCAATGTGACTTTTTCATTGTCAGTTGTTTCAGTTCCAAGGTATATATTATATAATGATTACAACAAGGATAAACTGCTACTTTACATGTACTTTTAGTTCGAATATTGGTGTCCCAGAGAAAACAACAGAAGGAATATTATTTTGTCCACTTGAGTACTCAATATCAAACAGCGGAGCTGAAAAAGTTGGAAGTATGAATATAATATTAATACCATATCCTCTCTTACTCTCTGTTCACACTCTCAAATAAACTAAAGAAGATAAAAATCCATCTCAACAATCTTGCAATGTGCACTGTGTGAAATAAGCATTTAATTCTATAGTCTAATGTGTATTACTGCAGTAGGTTCTTTTACAGGCTCACTTTCACATGCACTGACCAATTTGCAAGCTGACTGCAAGGTTTACATCCAAAACACTTTTGTGTTGATATTGATTATATGCGATCGTGCGAGTTGGGTTTTACGATGGGCTGATTTGCGTTGTGCTTTTTTCAGTTGATTGGTTGAAAAGAACTACAACGTCTCCAACAAAAAACATATCATTACCGTCGGATTTACAAAATATATTACAGTAAGTAAAAATTCTACAAATGGATAATTTTTTATGATACTGTGTTCAACATTTGAATAGAAGTGTAAAAAACATCATGAAAACGTTATGAAGCACATTCAAGAACGTTGTAAACGACGTTTCGCAGAAATACGAGTTAAACAATTGTGGGGTCAGGTGGGGATTTTTGTCAACCAGTCAGGTATTATTATGATCAGTAGACATGATGGGAGTTTTTTTTTTAATAGGTCGACAGATAAAATATCCAAAATGCTTGATCTTTTATTAAAGTATGTGGACGATGTTCTGGTAAGTACGTCGCAGATATTATATTTTTATGCATGTGGTTGACTGCAGGAGACACGTGTGGTGGACAACTACGGGGTACATCAATAATATGGCTGGATATCCACTTGCAAAGAAATAGTTCGCTGGCGAAATATTTGCACATTTTCTTTTGCATTTTATCAGTATAAATATATTAGATAAACTTGGTTATTATAAGAAAATATTTTGAGCGTCATATATAATTATATCGAGGTGTTGTAGTACGTACATGTGTATTATATATTGACACAAGTAATTTACCTATGCAGGCAGGTGATATACCAGCTAACAGTACTGTTGGTAGAATGTTGATGAATCTTGTTGACTCTGTACCGCAAATAAAGTCTCAAGAATTTGAAGCAATGATGAATAATAATATGCAGGTGAGAGATTGATTCTTGAAACGTGCCATGTAAAAAGCACAATAACATCCAGCAACTTTAAATCAAGTTTCACCAACTTGTTTGAGTTTCACCAGAGGGGCAAGTACTTATAAATGTTGAAATTCACAAATCGGAGAGCGGTGCAAAGTTTAAGACGAATTCAGCCAATGAATGAGATGCTAGTTTTAGAATAGCGTTGTGCATGTCGTGGGCGACTTTGCAAACAGAAGAATTTTGACGTTCATTGTTAGTTTTTGATACTCTCCGTGAACTCGGAATAATCTGAAAATTATCTTCAAATCATTGTATCCCTTGTGAAATATACAAGTAAATCACAAGTTTGCTTTAACGATACACTAAGATGAAGTCTTTTGAAATGTAGGATCTCCTGATGATTTGTTACCTGGCAAGTGTGACAAAATCGCAACTTTCATTTGGACAAAAGATTAATCAAGTGACGTCATCGTCGACATAAAAAGCGTCTCTAACACTCTCTCTAATTATATCGTAATATAAGAAGTCACTAATAAATTTATTCAAAACGAAAAAGCCCTGACGGTCCGAATTTCTTAATGGCAACAGTGTGAAACACTATTGAGACATACAAAAAGTCACCGAGAAAACGACGGGTCATGGAACTATGGTAGTCGGAGGGCTTTCTACGCTAGAAACTTGAGGCCGCGTTTATTGCTAAATATTATCCTCAATCTCTTGTCATCTTATTAAACTACTGACTAAAATTAGATTACCTGCGTTGCCAGGCAATTGCTATTCTTGACACCTGTTTCACAGTGGATTACCCTAAATAATTAATAACCTCCAAACAAGCCATTTCATTTCTTAAATAGCTTTATCAAACTTTTATTTTATTCTCTCTATATATATAAGTTTCAGACTTCATACTTCAACTCAATAGTAAGTATAGTAATGTGAGATAATACTGATGGAAAGATGAAGCAAATATTGATGCAGAGCATGATCTTTCCACAAAATAAAGCAATAATTATTTTTGCCGTAATCCGGACATAAATTCATTATTTTTCCTAAAATATATGTATAATTAAAACAAAAATTAGAGCAAGACTATCATAATTTGAAAAAGGCTTTCATGGAGGGCATTTTACCATTCGTAAAATATATCGTAAAACATCCATGCAATTGATGGCTTCTGTTAAGAAGTAAATTAAATTCTCGTAGAAGTAAATTTGGGTATTTTATGCTTATAAGAAAAACTTGAAATAATGAAATATATAACAAAAAACAATGAAAAATGCATATTATTAAGGTATTATATTGCCTTAAAGCACAGGTTTAACGACAGACAGCTCTTCAGTAATGGTTTAAATTATGTTTCTTTATTGACGCCAGGCAATGGTCTGTGGTTTCTGGTAAAAACCACACAAAAAACGGAAGTGAAATAACCGTGTAACCGTTTTGTTTACGCTAACAACCGTTACTACAGAAAATCTTAGTATAAAAGTGTGAAATCTCCTGGGAAACAACACAGAGATAACAAACACAGGAGGAAAGCATATATAGGCTTGTGGTACCATTTTCATTTCTAACGTCTTCCAGTTCGCAAAAATGTCGCACTTAGAGACATCACACTACTTAACGAACTCTACATTCAATCCTCCTCCATTCCTGGGTACGAGTGATCAATACAAGACAACGTATATCAATGATTACAGTCGTTTTGGACCTCAAGTTAACTCTTCGGCTAACCCAGCTCCTCCGTTCCTCACGGGATCTTCAAGTGGCTTCCCAGTTGGTACTGCTTTGCATGCAACAACTCCTATAACTTCCCTACCAACTTCAAGTTTTGTTCACAAAAATTCAATGTATACTCCTAACCAATGGAGGACATCCAACACGCACAATGTTAGCAACGGTGAAAAGGAACGAGCCACAGCAGAACGGCTGAGAGATGAATGCGCCCGACTGCGTACAGAAACTGCCATAAGAACCAACCGTACTCAACTTGATGTGAACAACAAGTTAGATGGCAGGATCACTGATGTCAACTTCTGGAAAGAAGAATTAAATCGAGAGCACAGAGAAATCGTTGAAGAAATTAAGATGCTACAACAGTTCATTGGTCGTTTGGAGAGAGCGTTAGCAGCCACTGAACAACCGCTTAATGTGACAAGACAGAATTTGGACTACCGGACAAGACGTGTGAAAATTGACTTGGTGTTTGATCATGTTGAGGAAATATTAAACAAGGTAATAAGAACGTGTTACTTATGTATTATCAAAAAGCAACTCCATAAATGATTCAGTTATAAAGACGGCGATGATACAGCTTTCACGTTTTTAATTTGCCAATTTTCTAAAAAAATGCCTTAAACGCGAGAATTTGAGAATTTTTCTTCATTTATCTTCATTGCCAGGAAATAAAGACCATTGAAGATTTCCAAGCACTTTTAAGAAAAACATTGGAACAAGCAATGAATATGCTCTGGTATGGTTAAAAAAATTTCCAAATATTTTAAATTTTTGGCAGTGCGTTGTTAGGGAAACAAGCATCCACAACAAAAAGAATAAAACATGCTTTTAAACTTGAGCTGGGGCCGGTGTTTAAATTTCTTTTAGTAGAATGTGATTCTAAAATACTATACTTAGTCCTCTTAGTCTATAGGAATTATTTTAATTTGGTATTTTAAAGAGCCTGAAATAATATTTGTTCGAATTCAGTTAAAATTTCTTTTCTATCTTTTGAATCATTCAACGCCTAAAAGCAAACACGAAAAAACGACTCTAATACACGCTTCTGGTTTGCGGTTTCTGGTTTACGGGTCGCGCACATTCCCTGGGACCGAGGATATTTTAGTTCTCCAAGATTTCCACGACGGAGTTGTATGCATCCAGGTGGCTCGTGTTACCTATTAACATACGGGTTCTTTTTGTTTTCAGGACATTGAGAAACATCAAGACGATGTTGGAAAATGACATTTCTGGCAAGTTCACGGCATTGTCCATAGATACTCATGCTCGCGGCCTAAACAATCATTCCAAAGGATTATATTATGCACCTCATGCTGTTTGTATTCAACCTAAGTAAGTTCAAGTTCAAAATGTATTAGATTGGATTAGAAATGGCCCACGCACCGTGGCATTTTAGAATGGATGAGCTCATTTATTTTCATGTGTTCATTCATTTTTTTACAACACTAAATGTAATTTTTCGATGTTCAGCTCGTCTACGGTTGATGAATGGGAAGCCTTCTCTACCAACAATATCGCAAAGGCAGAACGTGAACGCAAAGCATCTGTAGCACTACGAAGCGAAATCAACAGCATCTTAATGCAAAGTTTTGCTGATCTCCGTGGCTTGTATGAGAATGTTAATAACATGTTTGATAAACGTATTGAAGAAACAATGGAAGCGAAGAGGAAACTTGAACGTGAACTAGCAAGGGTAAGATAAGTTTAGTGTTGTTAAAGATTTTTTGAATAGAGAAATTGGTATTCTCTATTATCCCTCGGAGACCTATTCTTTTCACACCCTTTTAAAACCGGGGTGAATTAGAGAGAAGGATTGTTACAAATTGGGTTGATCGTTACTCTCTCTAATTAGACTCATTACAAATTAATTTTCAGGTAATTGATGAAATGAACGCGATGCAAAACAACATTGATAACCTTAAGATGGCGATCGCAGAGAAAGAAAATCCTCTTAAGCTTGCCCATACTCGCTTGGATAAACGTTCACGTAGACCTGGTATCGAGTTATGTGCTGATGCTCCCCAGTATCGTCTTGTGTCTGAGGTGGGTGAGATCAATGCATCGGTAGATCGGCTGAGACAGCGTATGGCTGAATCACAACGACAACTGGAGAATCTCTCTCAACAGAAAGCCACTTTGGAAGATGATATCAATACAAAAGCCAACACAATATTCCTAGACCGTGATCAGTGTATGACCATCAGGAAACAAGTTAGACATATTCAACACTGAGCTCTGAACAGCAGTCCGTTTATAGATTGAAAACCGTGTTACATTAATCACAGTGATAAACTCCTAAGATAAATTAATCGCAGTGATAAACTCCGTACTTATATATGTGTTAAAAGTAGTTACCATGCACAGTTGCAGCAATAACACTTGCTGGTATACCACCAATCTCGTAGTATACGCTTGAATCTCACCTCGGGTAAATTATTTAACGAGGCTCTTTTAGTGATAAACTCCGTACTTATATATGTGTTAAAAGTAATTACCATGCACAGTAACTGCAATAACACTCAGTGCTGGTATACCATCAATCTTGTATACGCTTGAGTCTCACCTCGGGTAAATTCTTTAACGAGGCTCTGCAAAAATATCACGATGTATATTGGTCGTAAGATTGGAATGAATATTTTAAACGTTTATTATGTTTCATCGATTTTTACTAGCATTTGCTTTTTTCTTTTTGTGATGTAATTGTTTATGTAATTATTTCTGTTAACAAGAAAATGTAATAAATTTTGTATTATTCAGAAACGTCTCTTTAATTAAATCTGCATGCTAGTTTACCACCAGCTTGTTGGAGCCTGTGTACAAGCCACAGTGTTTGTACTATCCATGCTGCAAGCCCATCATTCACGTCCTTTCATGTTACTTGTGTTTCGATTTTGTCGAAGTCATGCCATCAATGTGAAATTAGAAATCGGTAACCTTAATTTTCTGAGTTAAATTGGTCATTGTTGACTGCACACATGCATGCACGTAGCAATCAGCATTCCATAACATCAACCACCTTAACATGCATGTCGACGACAATTACTACATGGAAACCAGGTCCACCTCGATGAGCTTTTTCACTTATTCTAAAGATTTTGACGAAATTATTATATAGCTCGGTGCGTAGTCCACCTTTACTTGCTTGGACTTTGTTCCCCGGTTTCTGCCGCGGTATCTCATGTATATGATACTGATGATACTGATTACTTGTGACAATACAACACTCCTTTAGGATGTTAATATTCACCATAGTAACCTGATGACGTTCTTGTACATGTATAGAGAAAAAAATTGAGAAATGTTAGCTTTTGTTGCATTTATCAGGAGTGTAAGATTGCATTCCTGCATATTTGTAAGCAATCATGGATATATGAACAATTGTTTTACATAGGTCCCCGTAATTACCTACTCTAGTTATGCAATGCTGGTCGTATACCAATTACCAAACACAATTAAAATGAAGCTAATTTGATTAATATATTAGCCTGTTAACCTAGTGATTCTTCTCTCAAGCATCTCACGGAGTATAAATGGCATTAAATGCGGCTGATGTTTTACTCAAATTCAATCTCGCACAGTGTTGCACAATCGTCAATCTTAGTCTAGACCTCTGCATGATACTGACATGGCATTTCCCCATTCAAGTGTGATTCGTATTGTCATAATGACAGGGTGTCATGGAAACTGTGGAGTACATGCATGTTAGATCTTATGTGAATTATTTAAATCAATGTGTATTAAGTCCCAAATGAGAATTTTTTCCAATTTTCTTGATCATGATTAGCTGGATTTTTATCTGCTGGAAGTTGCTCTTGTGACCGATAAAATCGAGCACTTTTTGGGTAACGTTGACTTACTTAGTATGCCATTCAGTAACTTTGTCGGCCGCATACGACCAAAGGCCGGTTGTAGTACTAAGCCTGTTTTCATCACTCGCAGACAATCGGCGATCTCTGTTTTCGTTTGTTACCGATGCATAAAATGCTCGGCAGAGCATCGCCGACTGTCTGCGAGCACGATGAAAACCAGGCTTTTGTATTATAGTATATTAAAAGGGCGTATGAAACAAGCGAGCAACAGTATATTCGACATTTGTGCAGGAAAATCTGCTCAAATGAGTTCATCGTTCGAAAAGAAAGTTCATGTACTTGAATTTTTACATTCAACTATGGTTTTGCTTGCATGTCCATGGCAAATAATGGTTGCAACAGTGACCGCAGTCAAGACCTAGGCTCCTCCACCGGAACCCTTTGGGACTTGAGCATTTTATATTTTGATGTTGGCTAATATTGTGGAATATCATTGATTATGAGGCGGTTTATGTTTCATCATGGGAGGCGATGCTTTGGGAACGCACAGTGTACTTTATATATTACTGCATGAGCTTATCAGTATGCACACATGTTGCCGCCGTTGCGTGCGTGAAAGAAATAGGGTGTGGCCTATTAGGAAGGAGGAGCGATAAGAGAATAATTTAAAAAGCTCATATATATTAAATTCCCTCGGTTTATTTCTGGAACATTTAGCCATCATTACTTCATCTTACGTTTTTCATTTTTGTTTCATAGAGACTCTTTTTTGACTGAGTTTCCGGCTAAATGTGCGTCAGTTGGTTACTCAGGCAACGATTTTCTGCATTCCACAATGTTGGAATTGAGTATAAAAACGTTTTAAAAATATCACAGGATATGGGTTGTGATGATACGATGAACTTACGTAAGTTGAGTATAGTCGTGACATGGACGTGGAATAAAAACCTTGTTTCAGAAAAATAAACAGCTCTGAGAGTGTGTGCACTGAATATGATTAAGTTAGCCCGTGTTCTTATCATTTTACTCATTCCATAGTCATTGTTAACAATGCTTAGAGACTATACGACTGAAGTTTCCATATTCATACGCAAATAGCTGAAGAAAAACGAACCGAGTATAAGATACGCCATGCTGAGTTAAGGTCATTTAAGCCGTAGGTGGTCGGTTTTTTAACGAAGTAAATTTCAATAAAAGATTTCTCCGGACACACGCAATTTAGATTATTAGCTCCTTATCTTTTATCCCCTGAAACATTCTTATACTGAATTATATATTAAGGAATACAAACGATTCGCTGGAGTATAGAAATAGAAAAACACATCGTCTGGTAGTCGACAGGAAGCAGGCAACATGCAGGTTGGAAAGCAATTAGCGTAATACTGAGCCTATTGAAATTCCTGACGATATTTAGATTACTCAAATAACTGGAATCTTCTTTACCCAGTCTATATTCTTGTTAATCTGCTCCTTCGTCTCTCTAGTTCTCTCTTCCGGAACTTCTAGCCTCGTAACCAAGGAATTTCGCTGTCACGACACCACCCCGTTTCTACCTACAAAACTCAAAAGTTTCTACGTAGCTACAGGCTTTCTTTATTTCTTGGTGGTGTAGGATGCTATGTGAGGATAATTTGACGAGATAAGCTTAAAACATTCTTAAAACTTCATTAACGATTCTCATTGGTATACTGGTTGCTTACAATTAACTGGAAGCCTTCGTCATCTCACTTGTTCTCATCACCGATTGGCATTAATGAAATATAAACCAAACCCGTAGTTGTGGGTTACTTAGTACCTCTTTCACATATATTTTCAAGAGTTCAATCCTGGTAAAGTTGCCAAATTTTCACACGTCAGCGATATCCGTGACAAGAAATTCTCTCGAAAGTGATTCGTAATTTTATTCTTTATCAAGTGTATGACCCTAAGAATCTTTGTTTTATGGTTTTTGTCATAATTGACATCATCCATTTTGTATCCTGCAACGTGCCTGTTAGGTTGTTATGCGAGGCAAAAAGGGCGACGCTTCACCGGTTTTTAATTCTTACGTCTACGAAGATTTTCCTTGTACCACTAAACCTAAGCCATTTACTGAGCTCATATTTCAACAGGAGTATTTTCACCATTTTTCCTTATAGGAATAATTTAATGTAAGAGATGCACTCGAGCGGCTTTAAAATAATTGGTGGATCAAAATAAGAGAGGAAAATGCATTCACTGGAACTGCGCTGGATCCAGCTTGTGTTTCACTGTAAGGCTCACGTCGTGAAATCATACTTGTAGGGCTATATATATAATAAATTTATGAACTTTCTGAACAGTAAAGGTTGCAAAATCCAAGGGCAAGGCAAGCCATAAATTTTTCATATAACAATATATGCAATATTGGTGATATAAAAACCATCGCGTTTGCCTTGGTCTGTCTTTTTACTTTGAACAGTTTGGCAAGCAAGGGTCTCGTAAACGACCACAGCTTCGCTTCATTTCAAGTAAGAATTAATACTTTGTCATCTTTTCTAAAATAAGATAAAACGAAGCAAAACTCGGGTGGTATACATGAAGCATCACACAGATTGTGCAAGTTAGCGTTATTTGAAGCTCCAACAATCCATGATATAATTGTTCATTGCTTTATTATCTGATTATTATTCTCTCCGCTTATCTAAGATATCATTTTTTCACGTAAGACGTGATTGAGAATGAAAAGTGCACGTTAATACTATGCAACTTGTTATATATTACTTGTTATATAACTGCTAAAACCGCTCCTAATTCTTTTGTGAGGGACTGGTACTTAGTACATGTGGTGCATGTGAAAACGGCAGGACGCCAAACCGCTAGTGTGTGCTAAAGTTGCGAAACATGGCGTCGGAAGGCGATGTATGTTACTGCTTTTTCTCTTTTGTCTTGGTTTGTTGTTTTAATAGATAAATAGTATTTATATGTGTTATACTTCTTTAATAGTTTGGCAATAAGGAAAGCTATACGGTTGCCACGACACCGATGCTAGATCATGGAGAAAATGATGCTCAGAGACGGAAATCTAAGATGTCAAAGAAAGGCAAGAAGAAAGCTGAATTGGCTGACTTAAAGAAGGAAATAGAGCTTGTAAGCATAAATAATACTATTTGTCAACATGTTTCATCTTTCATGGTGTTTTCTTCCTTTGTATTATCTCCTTATTATCTGTAATCTGTTCGACAGGATTGGCATACGATACCTTTGGAGGAGTGTTACAGGCGGCTGGGAACAAACCCTGATTCGGTAAGTACGATATATTTCTTCAATATACTAGTTTTTATTATCTTCAAAATACGTACCATATATTCCATTTGAGCGTGGGTATTGTTATTGGGAAAAAACGTTTAGTTAAACCTTGAATTCAATAGCGTTGGCAAATGAGTCGAAGAAATTTGATAAAATATTGAAGTATTTATTCAGGCTGATTTTGTTTTTCTACGTTTATCGTCAACGATTTCATAAACCTAAGTGCTACAAAAAAGTTAAAATGTGTGTAGTTAAGTGATAGGATTTCGTAATCTTAAATTTTTCCATATAGTTAAAATCAACATACAAACTAAAACATATGTGTGCATATACAGCAGCTATAGATTTCATATGGTCGTAAATTATAACTGCTGTTGTCGCCGCAAAATTTTGTTGATCAGTATACTCGTTCCATGAGAAGGTTGGTGAAATTCATGGCAGTTTTTTATTATGGCAATGGTATCAGATTTCATACATTTCGTTTGTTGATAGGCGAGATTGACTCCACTCATTTCGCCGTAGCGTAATCTGCTAAACATGCATGTACAAGTTTATATCTGTCGTCTCTTTTGTTTTATGTCATTTTTGAACTTCTTTAAGACTTGTAGTTCGCAGTATTATATACGATTGCAATCGCCAATTTGAAAAACGATTCTTCTTTCTAACCGCACTTATCCTTGTTTTTAATTGCAGTGCGCCTGAATGCATTTATAATTTATAAATAGATGCTTCGTGAAATCGTTTGAAATATGATTCATGTTATTTCCTATAGTTCAAAGTCCAAGGTTTTTGTTTAGGAAAATCCTAAAATTGGATGTGTTCAGTAAAAATTGTAGAGTGTGTGTATTTGACAGATGTGGCCAATATTGTTAGTGAACAGGTGTCTTTCAATATTCCATTTCAATATTTAATAACTATGCATGAGCTCTGTCTTTCTAAATTATTTCTTGAGATGAACCAAATTTGGTTGGCGAGGCTGATATAAATGTTTGCAAAATATTAATTTCGATTTAACCTTACCATAACTAACATGTGCTAAGACAGAGTTGTGCAACTATTAATGATATAATTCTAACCACATGGAATATAAATATATATGTACATGTGGTTTTACGTGAAGATAAACTACTAGCCGTAATACCCGAATATATGTTGCAGTATTTTATCTTAGGTGGCTATAGTGCTTTTCATTGTTGTGTGCATACAGATTTATAGGTAGCAATAAAATTGCTGTTGCATTGTCATATAGCCATCACTGTCCATGCAACATGACAATTTTAATGGGCTATCTATGATAGAACATCACCAGATTACTGCCCACAAGGGACCTATACCCTGCAAGAAGCAATATTTTTGTTCAAAATTGGCCATATGGACAAGAATCTCAATTTTGTAGTTAGTGGCTATGGTGATACTGTTAGCAAAAAAGTTCGGTATAAATTCTCAAATTTTTGGGTTCACAATATGAGCATCATACATGTATTCATGTTTGAAAATATGTAACTTCTTTCTTGATGGTGGTTCTTTCATGGAATGTTGTTTCTTTCATAATTTTTGGAATGCATGCAGATGTTGTACTCTACTGACATCTAGTGGACAGATAGTTTTAATAATGTTTACTTTGATAGAGTACTGCAAAGTAATTGGTTAACCACTTATTATTATTATTACAATTGAGTACTAGTCACATATACATAGTGGCCAAATGTTTGCAGATAGAAAATTTAAAGGGCACAGATAATAATATTCACATTGTGAAGTGAAAATTTGAATTGAGCTATTTCAATTTTCTGGCGATGTACTGTAATATATTTTTGCTCAGCCAAATTTTAGATACCTGAACATTTTCTTATGTAGAGAGTTCTGTGTAGATTTCTACTTTCACACTTTGCGTACTATACAAATGTCTTGATCTCAATAGTCAACTTTATTCACAAGTTCCGTGTCTGTGGTTAAAAGTGGCTTTCTCTTTTTTAGTATAGGACATAGATGCTCAGAAATGTGACATATCACATATGTCTTATAACTACATGACAAAAACATGGCAACCATATGATAAATGTCTGATATCATATGAAGCATCTATTTACTTTGTTGGCATTTTAGTTTAAGTCAACCTGGGCTTCTGTATTGTCTTGGTATTCTTTTGAAACCAAATTTCTAAGTTAATGTAAACAGTGATTCAAAATTTATAGTTTTCAAAAGCCAACCTCAAGTGACTTGGCTGTATATTGTTTCAGATAGAGGCTAGTCTACTTCTATGACAACAATATATTTGGTCTTGCCTTCTTGCCCTAAATTTCACTGTTGTTATGGTTATTTGCGTTTTAGCAATATATTCATTATTGTGAAATCCAAATTCCATCAGAAATGAACCTTTTAAATCCCACGTAACGTGCACTCGAAACTCAATAGCTGCATTGACAGAAAATTTCGAATTTTTTTACCCTTCAATATGCTCTTCAATTGGCAAAAGTAGTTCTAGAAGCATAATGCATCAACAAACGTCTCACACTCTTAGGACAATCCTAAAAAAGGAATGGTTTTGAATGATACATTAAAATGAAAATTATGTTTGAGTTAAGCAAGATGTCAACCATTATTTTCATTGTGGAATTTGTGGTTATACTTTTCCGTTGTAACAGATTGTCAATTGTATTCTAAAATATAATATAAGAAGTAACCATGTATATGAAACTATATATGTGAAAAAATGGATATAGTATTATTATATGTTTGTATATTTCTCAAAATATTTTCGAGTGGGGCGTAAGGCAGGAAAACTTGCTTCAGTATTGCTTTTATAAGAAACTGAGAGTTGCAGTACTTAATTAATGTCACCGCTGATACTTTACAGCTTAACAGTTCTCTAATTCTGCCTTGCTGTGACTGTTTCTACCTCCATACCTGCCCTTTTCTTTTTGGTAGGGAACATACTGTCATTTCCGGTGTATATCACGTGTTCTTTACTGGCGCATACAGTACTTTTGAACTCTCAGATAACTGATATTTGAGGAATATTAATTATCCCTTCCCCTCTCCGCACTTTTTGGCTTTCTTTCTACTAGGATGCAATCAGATTCATCAGATTATCTCCACCTCTTAAAAGCAAACGATCCCGTGGAGAAAGGAAGTCCAAAGCAATTCCCTCTTATTTTATGTTGCCCTGCTAGCCTTATTTTTGCAAACAACAAAATGCATTTTTTACCACAGTGCTTAAGAATGCATCTTTTTACCACAGGGTTTAACTTCCTCTAAAGCTGCAGAAGTATTAGAAAGAGATGGACCAAATGCTCTTAGTCCGCCTAAGACTACACCCGAATGGGTGAAATTCTGTAAACAACTCTTTGGAGGATTTTCACTACTTCTATGGATTGGATCCATACTGTGCTTCTTTTCTTACACTCTTGAAGCCACTCAAAAGGAAGAACCAGCTAATGATAATGTAAGTTTTTCCTTTTTAAGATATTTTACGGGCAAACCATCTAATCAACGGCCCCTTTTGTCCTTGGTACATTAGCTCTTTATAAAATTTAAACTTGACCCGAAATCTTACTTCTCATTGATCTATAATATTTTATCATTACAGTTATATTTGGGGATCGTGTTAGCTACCGTCGTTATAATCACCGGATGTTTCTCATATTACCAGGTAATTGCTTTTATGTCAATAATAATGCTTGTTACAAACTGTGCGTTTACTGTAATGTTCTGTACCAAAAAACTTGCTTTATTGTTTCTTAGGAATCTAAAAGCTCTCGTATTATGGAAAGTTTCAAAAAGATGATACCCCAGGTGAAAAAGAGCACTAAACACTTTCTTTCCTCTTTTTAGTCCTCGCTTAACTCAACTATATTTATAAATCATTTCCACATTTGACAAAATATAGGAAGCTATTGCGTTAAGAGATGGTCAGAAGAGGCCGATGAATGCTGAAGAACTTGTCGTTGGTGATATAGTTTTTGTGAAGTTTGGAGATCGACTACCAGCAGATATAAGGGTCATTGAAGCAAAAGGTTTTAAGGTATACTACGCATGTCTATCCGTTCGATTTAGCCACAGCCATGAACTATACTAGGAGAAATCGAAAATATTGTTGTGAAAGTCGCCTTCGGGACACTGGACTTGAATTGCAACCGTTTTGGATATTTTAATTTTCCTTCCATGCCAAACATCTTTGTAGGTTTTATCCATCATCTAGCTATAAAGAAATGCATTCCTTGATCCACATTATTTTTTGTTATTATAAAGAAAAGCAGCAAAACTGTATCTCCACCCTAATCTATTTTACTAGGTTGATAACTCGTCCTTAACAGGAGAGTCCGAACCTCAAGTCCGTGGACCAGATTGCAGTAATGAAAATCCTCTGGAGACGAAAAACCTTGCGTTCTTCTCCACAAACGCTGTGGAAGGAACGTGTACTGGTGTCGTCGTTTGCACTGGTGATTTGACTGTTATGGGACGTATTGCAAACTTGGCAAGTGGACTGGGCTCCGGAAAAACTCCGATTGCCAAAGAAATTGAACATTTTATTCATATTATCACCTCCGTGGCTGTATTTTTGGGCGTGTCCTTTTTTATCATTTCTTTAATTTTGGGCTATACCTGGTTAGAGGCTGTCGTGTTTTTGATCGGTATTATTGTCGCTAATGTGCCTGAGGGTCTTTTGGCAACAGTAACGGTAAGTTTTAATTTTAAAAAGAATATAAGCAACTGCCTCCTAGCTCCTTTAAATTTTTTATTGAAATTTAAGTAGTATCCTGTAAAGTAACATTGGAGTCGTTTTAGGTATGTCTCACATTAACTGCCAAACGAATGGCTTCGAAGAATTGTCTTGTTAAGAATCTTGAAGCTGTTGAAACACTGGGAAGCACTTCAACAATCTGTTCTGACAAGACTGGAACTCTGACACAAAATCGTATGACAGTTGGTAAGAATTGTTGTAGTAATTAAACAGTTCCCTTTTGCGAATTATTATCAATTATTATCGTGTCTATTATATTCCACGAGAAAGATAATTTCAATCCGCCTGTGTGCCTGCTAACTGTAATTGCTACTAATTTACACAATTAGAAAAATTCGTATCGCTTTTTAGCACACATGTGGTTTGACGGTGTAATTGTTGATGCTGATACTACTGAAGATCAATCAGGCAAGAAACATGACAAGGTAAATGAAAGCACGGGAAATATCGATGCTGATTTGTTTATATTTACAGTAGGCGTACGAAAAGATTACCACTGACCTGTACTATCTAGTGAAGGTCAGTGCATGGAGATTACACATTTCGCTTGCGTTCTAAATTTCTTTCTTTTTGTCAGATGCAATCAACAACGTGGCCACATCTTGCGAGAATAGCAGCATTGTGTAATCGCGCTGAATTCAAACCTGACCAAGGCCAAATTCCAATCCTAAAGAGGTGAATGATTCATTAAGTGCAATGTAGAGTTTTAACGTCCATTCGAACATTTTTTAAAATCAGCGTCCTTCTTCCTAAATTTGTAGAGAGACTACCGGTGATGCCTCGGAGTCTGCATTGCTGAAATGTATCGAGCTTTCTATTGGTAGCGTTGAACAAATGCGTAAAAAGAATCCCAAACTTGCAGAAATTCCTTTCAATTCCACCAACAAATACCAAGTTTCTATTCACGAAATCACCGATGATCCCAGATATCTCCTGGTCATGAAAGGCGCGCCTGAGAGAATTCTTGATCGTTGTTCAACAATCCTGATGGACGATAAGGAGTTGCCACTTAATGATGACCTGAAAAATTCCTTCCAACAAGCATATATGGATCTTGGTGGTCTTGGAGAACGTGTATTGGGATTTTGTCATTATTTCTTACCGGAAGATAAATATCCGAAAGGTTTCCAATTTGTGGCCGAGGATGTAAGTATCAACACTGAATTTTTTTTGTAAATATCTGCCTAAATTCTAAAAAGCTCGGAATTAAAAGAAAACTAGACACCGCGCAAATGCGTTAAACTATGCTCTCTAATGCGACCATGCCTTTTTTATCTAGGAACCAAATTTCCCGTTAACTGATCTATGCTTTGTTGGTTTAATGTCCATGATTGATCCACCACGAGCTGCTGTTCCTGACGCTGTGAACAAATGTCGTAGTGCTGGAATTAATGTTGTTATGGTTACTGGTGATCATCCTATCACTGCTAAAGCAATTGCCCGTCAAGTTGGCATCATTTCTGAAGGTAATCAATCATTCCATTATAACAAGCTCTATTATACTCGTAAGAATTAACTAAGAATTTGTTCCAAACACATATCACCTTGGCTTACAAACCTTGCTTGGCCATTGGTAAATTTGTCTTCTGATGGAAACTACTTGCATATACAAACTGTATGCTTAGGCATAAACAAAGAACGCGCCACTCAAACCATTGAAATTAAAGGGAATGTTTTGGAAAACGCACATTGAAGTGAAAAATATATATGGAATATGTTGTGCTAAATATGACGCGAATGCAGGCTACTTCAAATCATTAGTAGATATACCGTCAGCGAATACTGTTCGCTCGTAATGCAACATCGACGGATAAATCTCAGATAAATCCTGAAGATTCATCATTTCATGTCTATTTTTTCTCAGGCTCTGAAACTGCTGAAGATATCGCAGCTCGTATGAACATCCCGGAAGATGAGGTTACAGAAGCTACCGCTGCTGTGGTTCATGGCTCGAAACTCAAGGTAATAGATGGTCCTTCTTCATCACTACTTATAGACCTGCATTTCTCACGGGAAATGTTGTTCTTGTTGTTACGATGTAACTTATAAGATATAATGCCCTTTTATAGCTACGTCTTGATTTCAATAATTTGTCGACGAGTTTAGATTTGTGCTCGCAGTTTTCTGTATATTTGACGATGTTTTTCAGGACATGGACGGGAACGATCTTGATCGACTGATCTCAAAACATGCTGAAGTTGTATTTGCCCGAACATCTCCACAACAAAAATTGGTTATTGTCGAAGCCTTTCAACGTCAAGGGCAAATTGTTGCCGTAACTGGTGATGGTGTGAATGATTCCCCTGCATTGAAAAAGGCTGATATCGGTACGGCTTTGTTGATTTGATCGCAGAGCTTATGGCCAAGGTTACGTGGCCTGTATGATAATAAAGTCGATGACATTTGACTCGTCAAAGAACAAAATTTGCTAAGGACAACTGAAATGGGACAGAGAGTGATGGTGTTAGGGTGGGGTGTACACTCCCCCGTAAATTCGGTCGAAGATCCAAGAAATGTCAGTGTCCCATATAGCTAACCTCTTATTTTTCGAAGCAGAAAGCTAATATCTTTGAATATGTTGCATGTTTTTGATGATATGTCTGTTGATTTTATTTGAGTGTTAATTGTGTGAATTCATGACGAATGCAACCTGAGCTATTCATTAAATTCCAAGGTGTTGCTATGGGTATCGCTGGATCTGATGTGTCCAAACAAGCTGCAGATATGATTCTTCTGGATGATAATTTTGCATCGATTGTTACTGGTGTTGAAGAAGGTATTTTGCCAAAAGTATGATGATATACTGCATGTGGGCACCTATAGAAATTTAGGCAAAGTGTTGAGATTAATTGTATTATATATATGTAATAACATTTTAATCAACATTTAGGTCGTTTGATCTTTGATAACTTGAAGAAATCTATTGCGTATACATTGACCAGTAATATTCCCGAGATATCTCCGTTCTTGTTCTACATCATCGCCAACGTACCGCTGCCTCTTGGTGTTGTTACCATCCTTTGCATCGATTTGGGAACTGACATGGTAAAGATTTCAAATAGTAACTTTTCAGTGCTCTACCTGTACAGAAGACGTTTTAAGAATAACAACAACCCGCACCGCATGATTTGTGAGCTTTAAGGAAACAAATGCTTTGGTTTAGTCACTTCGGAACTTTTAGCTTTTCGTTTCATACACAAATTACGAGGACATGCATACACCAACAAAAAGCTGATTTTTCTAATATTTAAAATAGTATTTCGCAACGTTCACCGTTTTATATTTCAGGTTCCTGCTATCTCACTTGCTTATGAAAAAGCCGAGAACGACATCATGAAGAGATTACCCCGAGACCCTCAACACGACAGACTCGTGAATCAACGGTAACAATATTGTATTTTTGACAAAGCAAGAACTTAATTATAAAGATCTTAATTTTAATTCTTAAAAATTTCTCACTACAGGTTAATCGCTATGGCGTATGGGCAAATCGGAATGATTCAGGTTTGTATCGTGCATTTGACCGAATCAAAATTAACATCCTTACAAAATGGATGAACTCCAAACAGTCGTTGTATTAAGCCCGTTTTCCACTAGGCGTATTTGTTCGCGTGACGTGTCAAGTCGCTTTTTTTATAGGCTTGTGCTGGGTTCTTTGCATATTTTGTGATCATGGCAGAAAATGGCTTTCTTCCATCACGTTTGTTTGGTTTAAGAAGTGAATGGGACGACAAAGATGAATACACCCTAAAGGACAGTTACGGTCAAGAATGGGTAAAACTTTGAACACATTACATACTCTATTGAATAGTTAGACAATCGCAATGTGTATACACCTCAAACAAAAAGGTATAAATGTCATTTAGACGTAATAAAAGCTCATGTGTGACGTTGTTTTTATCTAGGGCTACCAACAACGGAAAGAACTGGAATTCACATGTCACACAGCCTTTTTTGTTAGCATTGTTATCGTGCAATGGGCTGATCTAATTATCTGTAAAACAAGACGTTTGTCTTTGTTCCAGCAGGGCATGAAGTACGTGCATGTAGTTTTGCTTCCTCTACAGTGTTTGCTTAGCTGATAATTATTTAGTATTAATGAAAATGGAATGATTGCGTTTAAATATACAATGATTTTAATACATATGACAAATTGTACGATGACTATATTCATGACCGTAGTTTTGACATTGCAGTGTCATCATTTTTTGTCATATGCTAAATGTCTTATTTGTTTGAATCCTCTAGGAATCATATGCTTACATTTGGGATTTTCTTCGAAACTACCTTGGCAGCTTTTCTTTCATATACCCCAGGCATGGACAAAGGTCTGCGTATGTACCCATTGCGGTAAGTTTTAGTTTTTGCATTCCAGTATTACCATAGGTTCATTACTTTAATCATAATTTTATTTGACTACGAAGATCTATGCCCAGGTTTTCGTAATGAACGATATCGTATTCCGTTTAATGGTGATGAAATATATACTTACCTGACATGCGCGTTATATATTATCTATATATTATTCTATATATTTACTGACTTTAAAATTTCATGGGCTGATATTTTTTCAGGTTTACGTGGTGGTTGCTGGCAATACCTTTTAGTATTGCTATCTTTGTTTACGACGAGTGTAGAAAAACAATTCTACGTAGACATAAAGGCTGTGAGTATCTGAAATTATTTTTAAATATTTATCGAATTTGTGTGGCCGTTTTAATGGTTCCTTTGCAGCGTTAATTCCAGCGCTACGTGAAAACTATATAACTATAAACTTTTCATATGAAAACTATATGAAGTACTGTAATGTTACTCTTTGAATATTTTATAAGCTTTTTTCTTTTTTATCTTAGGTTGGCTCGACCAAGAGACCTATTATTAAGAAACAATGTGTATCTTTAGAAATGATTTTCTGTAATGTTGTAAAAGGTTTTAGTTTTTGCTTTGACAAGTTTTTGCGCCCGACAATAAGTCATCCTTGATTTTTCAATGGATAATATTGTATTAATTAATTTGCGCCCCTTGATTTAATTATCTTAGTATGCAGAGTGATCAATCAATGAAGGAAATTTTCAGAATATCTTGTCAAAATAGGCGAGGATTGCCAGTGATTTGCATCCCTTTAATCAAATGACACGATTAGAAAATATTCAAATTATATTAGGGCAAAAGCAACGTGATGCAATCGCTGTATCGTCGCTAAAGTCATTTATTATGACTATATTTATTTATACCCTAGTCTTAGGCGAAAAACTTTATCGATATTTTTAACTATATTCTTACTTCAACTTCTATATGTTGACTTGATTTCTAAAAGTTGATTAAACATTTTAATGTTTACTCGAAAATATTTACCAATAAAAGCTTGGAAGACTTCCCACTTTTGTCTGATGTTTTGTTGCTGAGTTTTGTAAAATTACCCAGTAAATTTACCGACCACGAGAAATAAATTGATATTTATACACTGCTGTTATTTTAAAATTGACCATACAATGATCACAAGATAATTATTTAACCTTATCTGATGATATACACTGTAAAAATTTAATTTAGAGTTGGTCACACAACTTAAAATTAAGGACAGGAAATTAATCTTAAAATTGTTGCAACGCCTGCTTGCCACGCTCCGTAGGATGATAAACTTCACATAAACCACTGTTTTGGTAGGATTTTCGACCACACTCATCAGAACTCGAAGTTTGGATACATCGACTTATATACGAGTTTACATAGAACAGTTATTTGCTGCTTGAACGTGGAGAGAAAATTTGTGAACTGTAGAAAAAATTTGTGAACTGTTTGAAATTAGGAATCAAAATAAACTATTATAAAACATGAATATGATTTTTTTGTTCTATTTAAAAATAGGTACGCTCTGCGTACATGCGGGAAAGTACATGTCTCTGCAAATGGTGAACTCCCCAGGGCTGTGGCTATGGAAATGTAGTATCTTATTGATAATATCGATCGGTTATACTTGGTAACAAGCCTGGTTTATTTGTTTCAATATTATGTTTTATTATATAATATATAATATGTTTTATTGACGAATCCGCCATTTTGAAAAGCGATAGTAGCACATGTGCGCGATTATTCATGATAACAACACATGTGCGATTAAAAAAAAACCAGTTTCCACTCGTTCTCCTCGATATCATTCTCAACACTCGAAATAAATTCTTTTTTTCGCGTATCCAATTATTCTATATTTATATGGCTTGCCAAAAGACGAAAAGTGGCTATTTGCAAAGACGAAAAATACCCCAAAGTCCATTTTACACTTCGTTAAATCACGGTAACCGGGCTCATGTGAACAGCCCGTAATAAAAATAATCTAAAAATTGCGCTCGTTAAATAATTAAGTGATATACCTAAAATAGCGCATTGAAGTTTGGTTCTCGTGTGATACAACCTGTATGCTCATGCAGGCATTCTTTCCCGGCTTAGGAGGAAAATTAATCATATTATTGAAAATAATAATATTATTTAATCAGAAGCATTATTGCGCTGTCAGGGCGGGCGTGTTTAGCCAATAGCCTGGCTTTGTTTTCCAACACGAGGTACGGATGAAATGATATAGCTCTAGTTCAGAATTGAGGCATCATTTTTGCACTGGTCTGCTAGCCATAAAGACAAGTCATGCACTTCTATGTCGACTGAATAATAGTCGATACCGTCCTTTCACCGAAGAGAAGTTTAGTATCTCTGCCTGCCGCTCTGTCTATGACTGCCGCTCTGTCGTTGAAGGAAGAACAGGTAATATGTCTTTTGCTTTACGAAAATCTTTACGTGAGGTTTAGGCGGATGCACATGTCGCCTATTCCTATGCAATGAAGTAAATTGCATGTGTGCTCACCTTGTCTTGTGTTCGCTTTTAAAACGTTTTTGTTTCTTGTTTCTTTTGACGCAGAGCTCCGACGACCTAAAGCTGGACTTTACTCGCAGTAAAAACTGCGCTCTGGTGCTGGCTCGTGATAACTCGCCTTGTAGAGAAAGCACTACCAGTATTTTCTCTGCGCTTATTGATGACATGAGAAATCAGGTAATATACGCCAAATCGTATTTGAATGTTTGGACACAAGAAAAGAAATTAACACAGGAAAAAAATTGACAGGAAAAAAATTTCGACACAAGAAAAAAATTTGGAACAAAAAAGATTTTGACACAAGAAAAAAAAATTTGACAGAAGAAAAAAATTTTTCACGCAAAAAAAAATTTTGACACAAGAAAATAGAATTGATTGGAAAAACAATTTGGTCACAAGTAAAAAATTTGACAGGAAAAAACATTGACACGGGCAGAGTTGCAGGTACCACGCGTGAGGAAGTTTTGCTTTGAATGAGATTTGTGAGGAAGGTTCAAACTTGAACACTCTCATTGATCACATGTGATTATCTACTTGCCACGATTGTTGATTTATATTCCCTGCCCACTGATGTCCCTGCCCCTGGAGTGACACTGTAATGCAAACTAAGACCGCGGAGGAATGTTGCATTATACCCTTTCGTATTTACATTGATACATTCGTTTATGCATTTCACTTTGAGATGATTTGCTTTTTAATAGAAGGAACGTCTCACGGATCGGGGTGTCATGACTGCTGCGGGAGGTGGAAGTCCTTCAATTCTTAATAAAGTCATCTCGAATTTTAGTGATCACTAAGAGAGGAGAAAGAGTACTTAAATTTGACCTTACATCAACTTAGATGACAAATCATAACCAAACATTCGCAATTCGCTTTTTACCAACGCCCGTATTGGGCGTGAGAGAGATTAAGGTAACCAGGTCAAAATTTGCTCGGCGTACCTGATTTAGTAGACGTACACACAAGATTGCAACAAAAATGAGAGATATTAATAGTAGAGCGCTGCATATTTTCACAGTATTTACCTGCCGCCGGATAAACGCCATTTCCTCAAATACAAATAGAGCCAATATCCAACTGCCACGCTCTGGGAACAAACAGGTAGTTTTATCTCGCTTTCCTAACAGCTTCTGTGGGGGGGAGGGAGATAACAATTCTGTTCTATTGATTTTACTGCAATACCCGACAAGCATTGCAATCGTAATTGAGCAGTTTCATTTTGTAGTCTCAGTCGGTAGAATGAGACTGCGGTGTTTTGTAAAATAAGCTTGAAATATCAACAAATTAGTTGGGGAAATTTTCTTACCTAGGAATTAGAATTGTGAAGAGTATAAAATAACCGTATTAGCGCTAGAAATTACTGCAGGACAGTGTTTCAAACATGGGTTGCACACTCAGCGCGGAGGACAAAGCTGCCGTCGAACGGAGTAAAATGATCGATAAAAACCTTCGTGCCGACGGCGAGAGGGCCGCAAGAGAAGTGAAGTTATTACTTTTAGGTAAGTTTAATCAAACTCGATGCTTTATACAGGTTGAAATTGTTTTTTCGTGATATATCAAAACAATATTCACTTAAACGTAGGTTCAGTGATCTTCTGATGTGCAACACCCAGTCTATTAATCTTCCACTGTTGTTGTCAAATTCAAAGTAATCCGGCAATGATCTGGTTACAAAATTATTGTGGCGTAAAGTGTGTTTTGCTGACAAACATATATTTTGAAATATGGAAAAGTGGAGTTTGTTTGGCTCAAACACTTCACGCTACGACCAACTCATGATTTCAACATTGATCTAAAGTCGGAAATATTGCGTTTATATATACCGAAAATTTTGTTGCAAATTTTGCTCTTATTTCACAATATATAGCCCAATAATGTCGCTAATGTCATGAACAAACCGCGTAGATAGAGGATTAAAGCGCTGCTGTAGAACTACAGTTGTACAAGACAAAGGAAAGTCTATAATTGCGGTTGTTTTTTGCACTAGGACGTCACACCCCACTCTGAATATCATTCGTCTCGCTTAGCCGTTCTTTTGAATATTTTATACCACTTGAAAGTTATTCCTTAACTGATTTCGCTCGTGGTATGTTGAAGAAGTATTTTATCTAACTAAGCGAGCATTTCAAACATCTGTCATTTCAAACGACTCAAATTGCTCATGTTGCATCACTGTTTGTCATTTTGGTTGCAGGCAAAAATTTCACTTTTAGCGCGGAAAGGAAAATAGTTCATTTCACCTCGAATTCGTTACAGTAAGTAGGTGATGCTTGGGGCAAATGAGTTGTTTTCTTCGGGATAAAAATCCCGTCGTTTCGCGTTGAAGGTACTTTATTGTTAAAGGCGGCTGTGCAGATGTCCTTGGCTTGTAAACTTTATTTTAACACAATATTATTCCCCCTTGGTAACAATAATTCATCATTTTGGCGTTCGATTTACATAGCTGCCAAATGAATACTAAAAATCCAAATTTTCTGAATTCAATGGTTTAGATATTTTATGAAATTCTCTAATGAAAACTCGATGTTTCCTTTTGTAAACGTTGTCATGGCCGTTTCGGGAAGGAATATTTATCTAGGCTTAATAAAAATCTTACTTTGAATATGTTAATTCCCATGTTAGGAAACAAAAAAATGCGAAAGTGTGGTTTTTTTGGCCCCGTAGTACATTTAAATTTGTGGTTTTCTGTTCAGTGTGTTCACTAAAGTTTGCTGATCATGACTTTAGAAAATCTATATTTAGTACAGTCCATTGTCTATTTCATCTTATTTGGTCTGATAATAAATTATTGATCTACTGAGACTTCAACATAATAAAGCATGACATTTTTGCATGGCACTGTGTGTTTTCATTTTAACAGAGGATTCTCTTCACCAGTAAATAAATTTTCATTGACTGCTGAATTGAAGTTTCATTTCATAAGATTATTTCATCTTGGTATGACTTTTTTCTGAAAATCAAGTTAAATGTAAATGATGTGAAAAGTACAAACATAGTTATTTAAGATGGCTATTAGTTAAAAAAAATATGAAAATATATTCAATAACTTCCTATAAGTTCTCATTTGCTATTATGGCTTCGTATACAGTATTTTTAGAAATTAAAGCTACTGTAGGTCAAAAACTATGTCAAATTTGTACATTATTTTGGAAAACAGCGAAATGATGCTATTATACACAATGCTATCTTTTATATCTTTTGTAGATTTTATTAAATATTCTTAGGTTACAGTATATATATAACTATAGAAAACTGAGTTAATTATTTTTGTGTGGTCTCATTGGTTCTTTGTTTAATAATTGTAAACAGCAAGGAACCATATGTTGTTCTCTAAAAATTCAAATAATCATTTTAGTTGATTAGATTTAGCATAAAATTATATGCAATAGATATAGACTGGTCATTTTTCATATCAGAATTGTGTGCCTGGAAGAACATTTCTTTAAAAATACAGATATTGTAGATGATAATATTGCGAATGATAGGTCTGATTGAGATCGATGCTGTTATTGCTGAAGAGGCTACACTAAGCACACTAGGTGGTTTGCCAAATTTGCAATAAATATGTTATTGGTTTATCTTAACATTTTGATTAAAATGGAGAAAAAACCTTTAAAAGTAGTGTCTTAGTTTGCTGTTGCTTACATGGTAACATTGTAAATGATCCACCATACTTGGATCCCTAATATCCTAAAAATCCATAAAAAACAAGCTTGACTCAATAATGGATATGTTACAAAATAACCAAGGAGTAGTGTGGGGAGCATCTTTGATTACTCGTCATCAAATGTGCTTCAACCACAGCCCAAAATATTATCATCTATTAAATAAACTTATCTGCATTTAATACTTGGTTATATGACAATTGTGGTGAACAGATACAGTTCATATCAATAACTATATTAAATTAATTTGTATACACTGTAATCACCATGGTTTCAATTTATAAGCTCAGAGAGATCAATTACACTAGAGATCAATTATGCTAAAGAATTTTTGTATCTTCACTTACAAATGGAAATTTGCTGAGTTGAATTCCCTGGTCTATTGAAGTTATTAAAATAAATACATATGTGTGCCGATGTCAAAGTTGTTATGGGAAACAAATACAGTCTTATTGCCAGTGAATAATTTATCTATGACTTCAACCAACATCTTTCTCTAAAGATAATGTTAGCTATGAATTATTATGTCCATTTGAGGAGCATATGAAGTTTTTCATTTTCCAAAACAAGCACTATATTAATGTGGTGTAATCAGTCACCTGAAAACATAAGAGCATCTTCAATGCTTCAACTAAAGTCCCTTTTTCTAGAATCTAGTCAGAATTTTACTGGGAAACCAGCATAAAAAATGGCTATGATTTTTCAATGATTTAAAGGCCTGCACATTCTGTTCTACTATCTCTAAGAAAAAATGGTTATTTTCTAGACTAATAAAGTTCAATTGATAGTATGCATTTAAATTTTTAATAGGTGCTGGTGAATCCGGTAAAAGTACAATTGTGAAACAAATGAAGTGAGTAGTGTATATTTGTAGTCCATTCAAAGTATTGATATGATTTTTGCTGGAATTGGCTGGACTATATCATTATTCAAATGATTTGTCTTATTATCAACTTTCTCTTTTTAATTAAATAAGTAATTATATAATTGAAATATTGCAAAACAAATACATATTTCAAAAGACAAGGCTGCATTATGCACAAAATGAATAGCTACAGTATCTGTATTAAAAAATGGTTGATACATCTGGCCAGTACTTCAGCTTGAACAGACTGTATGTAGTCTTATTACATCTTTTACACAATCGTATTACACAAGGTCTTTAAAAATCCTCTAGGATGTGTATATTCAAATGCACCCTTTTTATTTCAAAATAAAATACAAAGGCCTGTTTACAAAACAAATTACACAACATTTGTAGGAATGTGTACTCTCAGGAAATCTCCACTCTATTTACCAACATAATAGACTGTTTCAGCTTGCATGCAAATTAACCCATTGTGACCATTAACATTGATTAACATGTTGTGACCATAGCCAATAAAATGTAACCAATTCAGATCATGTTATTTGGAATGGGTTAATTTGCATACAAGCTGAAAAAGTCTATTCCAGTTTTATTATACTAACTAGAACTAGTATTCCTATACATGTAACATTCAAATATGTTGAATAAAAGTATGTTGCATTACTATATTGTGTCATATACAACACGGGCAGTCACACAAATACTAGATAACAAATTCCCAATCTCTTCTTAGAGAGGGAGGGTAGGATATATTCTGAGTAATACAGTGCATTGACAACTATACTCTTTTCTGTAGAATTATTCATGAAAGTGGTTATTCACCAGAAGAATGCTTACAGTATAAACAAGTTGTATATAGCAACACCATACAATCAATGATTGCCATTATTAGGGCAATGGGAACGTTGAAGATTGATTTTGCTCAGACAGACCGAGCTGTAAGTTTATCACCTAAGCTTCATTGATGTAGATATTGGGCTGATAATATGGTAACCTGAGTGCTCAACAAGAATTGCTAAGGTAAATTGTTATTATGATGCATGTTCAAGTTTATTAATGGTGTTGTTTTTTTATATAGGACGATGCTAGAAATCTATTTGCTCTATCAGGTGGTATGGATGATGTTGATTTTAATGATCAAATAGTATCATTAATGAAGCGGCTATGGAGTGATTCTGGTGTACAAGCTTGCTTTGGAAGAGCAAGGGAATACCAGCTGAATGATTCTGCACAATAGTATGTCTTTACTATTAGATTGGTTCTTATAGCAGGCATTTTCAAAAATTCAAGAGGTTAAGATATCCTGGTTTAAGGGTGCAAAAGTATTCCATTTTGTTACTTGTAAGTCATATCATCTCAACATGTTAATCCAACATTGTTCCTGGAGCGTTTCCTTTTTTACAAGAATTTCTGCTCCATTTTTTACAGTAGAGCCATGGCCTTGACAGGTTATAAAGTGGGTACCTTAACCTCTATTTACTGATAAATCTACTTCTCAATATTTGCTGCATGGGAACTGAACAACATTGTGTAGGACAGGTGAATCTGTGCACAGACCAAACACACTGAACATGGCAAACTTGTTTAATTAAAACAATCATGCTGACTATTTCTGCAATATTTCGTTATGCCTAATCATTTCAGTTACCTCAATGCTCTCGACCGGTTGGGCTCAAAAGATTATTTACCAACAGAACAAGATGTGCTAAGAACAAGAGTTAAAACAACTGGCATTGTGGAGACACATTTTACTTTCAAAGATTTGCACTTCAAGTAAGTGTGTTTTTCATTTTAATGACATAAACCGAATATAATTAACACAACTACCTTTAGACTAGTTGACTTAATGAGATACCTTTGAGCGTTCTGATAAATGCAGGTGCACTGCAAATTTATCAATCACCTTATCATTTATTTTTGTACTTGTCGTTTTGCACAAAACCTCCACTTGGCTTCAGTTATCAACGCCAACGATCTTGCTTGCTGTAAACAGCCGATTCCAATGTTTCGAATTCTATACAGTATTAATGGTTTCGTCAAAAAGTTATGTAATATTGTTATGTAAGTAAGTCGAATGTTCAGCTGTGGGGGACGTTCCGATAAGATACGATTAGTTTTCGGTAGATTCCAGATGCTCTAGTTTGATTGAATATTCAAGAAAAAATGAAATGGTTATAACTTATTAATCACTGTTGAAAATTGTAAAATTAGGAAAAAACTATAGAATGCGAAATGAACACGAGTCCCTGATCCACACTTTTCTGAGTTGTTTTATAAGTCAGGTATTTCTATTCTGATTGATCATTGATGTATAGAATGTTTTCTCCGTCGTGTCGGGAAATACAACAAAATATCATTTGTATATTAAAGGCCAGTTTCCACTTCAACCGGTACGATCGTAACAGCCCCTAAACCTGCATGTTTTCATATCACGACGACGTCGGTGCGTTCAATTGTCGGTTATGGCTTCTCAGAAAATTTTTTTAAGGTAAAATAGTCCTGAATGTCTTTCTGAAATCATACTCTCCATGTATGATTGCAGACACTGATGAGTCGATGGCAGTCGGCGTGATATGGAAACAAAGCGAATGGCAATGGCTATTATTAGTATTAGATATGTTCTTTTAACGACCTATCTCCGCTATTGAATAATTTATATATATGCAGAATTATTTCTTTGTTGCCTTAGCCTTAGGGAACTTCCTTTCATATCATTTGTCGCCGACAGTCGGCGATGTATTGTCGGTGGCTATAGTGACGAAGAATATGTATTCAGAATAACAGAGTTCTTCATTCGTGATTGATAGCCGACAATTAATCGTCTTTTTCTGGCGTAGTCATTTGAAACCGAAATAAAGTATCTTTCGAGTATCTTTCAAGAAATATCTTTCAGTTGAACGGAAAATAGGATTTTTATTTGACAACTGGTCCCAGTTCTTACCCGCCTTTTTATATCACCTGGGGTCGGTTGTTCAAAGCTAGGTTAGCGCTAACCCTGGGTTACATTTTACTCCGCTGTTTTGGTTTATATGCTTCTGCACCGCTGTTTGTTTCAAGACATTACAAAATAAGACTTCCATTGATCCACAAAATTATGAAAAAACATGTTCAACTTGAACAACCGCCCTCTGGAGTATAGCACAATAAACATGCCAAATATAGGCGAACTAGCTGTACTATTGTTTATTAAAAAATTTTTAGAATGTTTGATGTTGGTGGACAAAGGTCAGAAAGGAAGAAGTGGATTCATTGTTTTGAAGGCGTGACTGCCATAATTTTCTGTGTAGCACTGAGTGCTTACGATCTAATGTTGGCTGAGGACGATGAAATGGTGAGTATTTTAGCCAGCTATGTATGATTACCGCATAGACTACCTGAAAATGTCTATAGCAAGAGATTTCGAGCGCAGGTCCGTTAATTTGAAAGTTTCAGTGCATGGTCATACTACAAGATGAAGGAGCTTTTTCTAACAAAATAGACCTTGATGAAATCCGGACAACAACAACAACAACAACAACAAAAACCTGGATAACTTTTTTTAAATGTGATTTGCAGTTGCAGAAAGTTGCTCCGAGTCATTAAAAAGGAAGCGATTTTTTCAAATACAGTAGTGATGTTTATACTGGCACGATAAATAAAAACATATCTCGGAAGTCTTTACCCCTAAAATCTTTTGTTGTATTCCAATACTTGTGCCTGTCTGAATTAAGAAGTCGATTGATTGATTCGCGGAAGTATTTCGCTTTAATTATTGTTTGATTGCTATCATTGATATGAGAGAGTCCAATATAGTGTTGCTCTAATGGGGATATTTAGAGCCCTTAAAAGTTATTATCCGTCCATTTGGTTTTTAATAATTTATATGTACTTTAGACGTGAGCATTAAAAAGGATTGCAATATACAGTATCTCTCATTAACCAATATGCTCATCATGGCAATTTGCATGTTAGATAATTTCATATCTATGGAAGATAATGGAATAAACAATAACAGCATGAAAGGGCGTATTGAAATAAATAAATCGCAAGAGCTTCACGGCAAAATGTCTTAAAATGCGGAAAATATGGCCTAGCTAAGTCGGAAATTTATAATTATATACTTTTTAGTGCGCACTGAAAGGTTTGCCATTTTCAGCCCAAAAGTGCATGGTAACCTCCGCGCACACTAAAAAAGCTAGCGTACAAATTTCCGAATTTATCCTATATTTTCCGCATTTTACAACATTTCGCCCTCTGCAATTTTACTAAGCAGTTAAAATTCTTTCTCTTGGAAGATAATTTTTTTCGCCAAGACAAAGAGTCTGCAAATTGTCCATCATCAAATAGAAGAGCAAGCAACATTGTAGTTAAATTACATGGTATACCCTGCGAGCACGCAGATGCTTGCCATGGAGCCTGCTGGGGTTTTTTTGACAAATGCAAAGGCATCAATATACACTCAGACACCCTATTTGAATTTTGAAATTATGTAAACGTGATGTATAGTATACCGTTGAGAAGCCAGGCGCGGTCGCGAAAAAAGTGTTCACTAGGTCTACCGGCAGTATTTGAATCTACGCCACTGCAATATCGGTTTAATCGATTTTTGCAAAACCGTAGGTTCAATTCCTGCCGGAGGACATATATTATTCACCAACTGTTCCTAATGTGTCCAAAATTAAGATTATTACCTTTTATAAAGAAAGAGAAAAGTTCCATAAAATCATAATTAATTTACAGTTCCGGGCGTTGAATTTCACTTCAACGATATTTATATATATTTTATAGAACCGTATGATGGAAAGTATGAAACTTTTCGATTCAATTTGTAACAACAAATGGTTCACGGAAACTTCGATTATACTTTTCCTGAACAAGAAAGATCTGTTTGCCGAGAAGATCACAAAGTCGCCTTTGTCAATCTGCTTCCAAGAATATACTGGTATGGTTCAGTTATTTTGACGAATGAATGTTACCCTTTGGGTCTAGGGTCGTAAAAGCTTTTGTTGTAATTCCAGTACTTGGAAACAGTGAATTCTATGAAGACTGGGACGTACCTCGTATAGGGTCACCTGCATGGCCGCGGCGACAGCCGAATTGGACGCTACTGCATGTCAGTCCCTTTATTGTTTTTTTGCTGGGGCGATCGTTGTCCGTGTTGACAAAAACAATAGAAAGAATGGTGCTCAATCGGCTTCAAAGAAGGCGACTGAGTTACCGTTCCAGTTCACACAGAGTTCACTGCATGATTATATGTATGCATGAAGCTGTTTGAATAAGCTTCAAATAGCTAATTCTGAAAGCGATTCTTGGTCAGATTTTCGGTGGCTCAGTTACTCAATACAATTCCCCTTCGCAATTTGGCTCAAAAGTTATCCGGCCATCTTAGATATTCATTTTTAATCATAATCTGCAAGCAATGACTAAAGGCGGTTGGTTTCCTCCGTGGAACAGATGTTTTCTTTGTGAAATCTCAGAACAAAGAATAATCCGGCAGAACAAAGAACAATTCGTCGGACAGCATATTCCGGCTGTGCACAACATCATTGGTGAAAACTATAGCTATAATAGGCCATCTGAATCTGGTCACATAATATTTTTCGCAAATGTTAAAAGAAAAACTCCAAAATGTGGCCGTAAATTTAAAATTTACCGCGTTTTTTACATACATGCATGCATGGTCACTCGGCCGTTGTAACGTCGGGTGTGGATCATATGCTATCGTTTGTGTAATTTTAATTCATCCACATTGTTACATGCATAATTTTGCCACGTTTGATATGCGCTGTAGTTTTTTTTTATTGACTGTTCTTGCATGATAGCGCGTTGATAGCGAGTTTTATGAGTCAATATACTTTTCTTAAAACTTTTTCAGGCTCAAATACGTACGAAGAAGCTGCGGCGTATATTCAACTACAGTTTGAAAACCTGAATAAACGAAAGGATACGAAAGAGATTTACACTCATTTCACTTGTGCAACAGATACTAACAATATTCAGTTCGTTTTCGACGCAGTTACAGATGTTATCATTAAGAACAACCTCAAGGACTGTGGGCTCTTTTAATCCTAAACTAGAGTTTTAATAGACAGGTGAGAAATGTCTCCACCGGTATTCTTGGGAGTCACTATTGTATACTTGTATATCACGCGTACACCTTGATCAGGTCTTAAGTTCACTTTTGGGGCCCGTCTTAACTACATTTTGCGTAGTTAAACCGTAGTCAACTCAGAAATTTAGGTCTCTGATTGGCCAACTCTGTCACTAACTATAGTTAAAATTTAACTATACCTCTTTATACAACCGGCCCCAGGTCATATTTTATTTAACATGTTTTATTTTAATAGTCTAGAAAGGCTGCAGATGAAGTATCTCTCACTTCATCAGTCTGCATGCCTCTTAAATTGCTGAAGTTGACAATGAATCCCCGTTTACACTACACTCAATTTATTAAGCCTGTAGCTAAAATTGGTACCCGTACCCAATTTTATTAGTTTTCAGGCCACGAATACAAAACAGTTTTTTTCTTCCTAGAGCTGATGTACAACACAAGAACAGAATAGATGTTATTTTATGCAATGGTCTATCAGTGATCAGAAGAACTTTATTGGAACTGAGTTTGTCTGGACGACACAACATTTGAGTGAATGTTGTTTTATCTCAGGCATCGTATATGATTCATCACATTATCGCATACATGAAAACAATAGTATATATATATATATATATATATATATAAACTGTACAAGTTATATATGGTAGATCCGAAGTATTAGATGTTTTGATTAATGCGAGATAACTATTGCTCATAAGATTTATATATATAAATCAACTTTATTATTAGATCAATATGGTATTATACTTTTTCAGCGTATACTTAAGTCATGAAGTGCTTGGGGCGCCGGATAAGGCTAAGAGCTGTGGGGTGAACCTCGAAGAGCCCCAAATTGTATCGAAAAAGTGAAGGATCCAAACTTAGATGATTTTCACATGACGTCGGCTGTGTTGGTGTATAACTTCAAAGGGTTGTTATCGACTAAGTCAAATTTATAATTTTACACGTTTTGTGAAAGACTAAATGTAAAGTTCTGACCATCAAATCATGGATTTTCTTTTCAAGTTTTGCATCAATATGGCAACACATGCATGATGTAATTAGATTACTAACCGTGCCATTCCCACGAATGACATGGTTCGTGATAATCTAAAACACTACAACATAGTGGATCTATGCACCAGCATGTTTGATGTATATACTGAAATCGTCAGTTGTAGGGTATCTATGTTGGCTCTGTTGACTGAAGACTGTTTGGTCTTCGTGACATCCGGCGTTCCCTAGCCGTTAATCATAAAATAGTACGTATTGTGAACACTTGGCTAGTCATTGGTTGGACCAGTGAACTACAGTATATTTAAACTAGACTTTTTGTGTTGTGGTATTTTGATAAGAACAATGGGAGACTTGTTGGTTGGTTCGTCTTAGAAATTCGAATGATTTCTTTTATTTAATAACTCGTACATGATACAATTGGATGTAAAAAGTAAATAGAATCAAATAAACTTCCTGTGAAAAAGTGCAATGTTATTAACTCATAGCTGCGAACCTTCCCGGTAACTCTACTCATCTACTGATCTGCCTGAGAATGAAAAATCAGCCTTATCAGCTTTTGGGTATTGCTCTACAGTGCATTTGTCCCAAAAAAGTACTCTTAACAAAAGAATGATTTCAATAGAGCGTACTTATTTTGGAACATCCTGTATGATTTGCAACTTAGGGTCAATGAATACATTCTATTAAGGCGTGGGATAACCCATCTCGTACTAAATACGAGATTCTAATTGCTCAATTATTTTATAATTTTAACTTCAGCTAGTCTCTTCCCTTTTGTGAAGGGATGTGTGGCGGTTTACGCCTGTACTGTATGTAGGCAGAAAAGAAATTTCGGGCCTCGGAGGTTATTTTCTTATACCACAGGTTGTTAGAAATTTGATTTTAGGAGCTGTTTTACATTATCCCAATGTATAAATCTCTGAATATGCAAACAATTAAACTTCGTGGTGCTTTGCATGTTTGTTTCCACGAGTTACAAGTCCTGTTTCGCTGGCAAATTACCTTCCCCCTCTGACATCAGTGGCTGTAATAAATGTCAGCTGATGCACTAAGGGCTGAGATGTCGCGGGACATACATGGCAGAATTTAACCCTACACTGAAAACTGGTTTTAAGTTGTAGAAATGGGAACAGCCTAGCTTGGAAGTTGCAATACTGCACATTTCAGAGCAGGTCATTGAAATTTAGATTCAATCAAATTTCTGAGATTGAAGCTTTAAAAATGAAAACCATTTACTAGTATATACTGATTAGTTTGGCACCAAGCAATTATATGTCTTTGATACCACCTTATTCGGTGTAAAGATTTTAAGCATTTAATTTCAGTAGAAAAGGAAATAAAGCACTGTGGAGACTATATTGATGTTCAAAGGACCACTGAAATTAGCGAAATATGTAAATTTCCATTGTTTTTAAACCAATAAAATTACTTGTGCCACGTGATCTCTGGCGTGCTCGTTTACTTCCAAAGCCAAAGGCAAAGCCTTCTTACATTTTTGTAAAACCATTTCGTTTCTTTATTGAAAATATCTTAACAATATATTTTGCAATAGTCATTGTTAGTTTAGAAAACTTTTCAGAACTATCCTATTGAATTAGAATCTTAATTCACTGGTCAATGGCGGACAGTAAACATATTGAAGAATCGACGGAGACCAGTGATGCTCCATTAGACAAGGCGGCCAGTACAACTGCTACTGCGAAAGTTGAAGCAGCCTCGTCGACTACAGTGGGTACTTTAAGCACGAGTAATCTTGGTAAGTCTTTCATAGAACTACCGATAAAATACTTCGTGCACGTTTGTGATCACAGCTTCGCACAATCTTCCGGTTGCTCCCAGTCTTCGAAAACGACAAACATTTTTACATGTCTTTCCCCCAGTCCTTTGTAAAAGAATTTTCTTAACATTGCTCCCAGTCCCTCCTTTTTTTGAAAGCAGAAAGTAGCCCCCAGGTATGCTTCGTCTTCCACTAGTTTGGTTTCTTTAGAATTTATTTTACGAGACATGAAATAGTTTATTCCTTTGACTGTTATTCGATTCTCATGATGCCGTAATTTGTCGAGCAATATGGCGTTGCGTTCATGTTGGAGAAGAAGCAATTTTGATGACATGTCTGTCTATTCTGCTGTGTTTAAAATCAAGATCTCTGTTGAAAAAACGACCATATATTGATTACACAAATATCGCAAAATATTGTGGTTATATGCCTGTTAATAAAGGAAGAAGAGAATTTATTTTTAGGAAGACGTTTTCTCAATAGTGATTACATATGCAAACACGAAAGATCACAGCTATCTGTGGTAAACTAGCAAAGTGCCAAAGGAAATAGGGCCAACTGCAACTTGCAATGCATTTTTTGCACAGCAAACATGACATGCTATCCATTAAGCAGCCAAACTGCTAAACTGGTCTAATTTTAATTCTAAAATTAAAATGTTTCATCTTGTATAGTGGAAAGAATTGCTCCTTTGTGGTAATCACAAAATATTACCAGTATATTTCAACATCATGATCTTAAAACATCTGAATAAAACAGCAAATATGCATTGCAAGTTGTAGCAAAATTAGTCTAGTGTAGTGTGAATCTTAACTAGAGGGCTGGAGTTGCTGTTTCCAAGGAGGAATTGCCTGTGTTTTGGATTCATAAAGTCGCAGGGATTGATGTATTGATAAATTTGTTAGTATATAAGATGACATATGACAAGTGGTCAGTGTATTAGTGTCATATTATGTAAGTGGTGAGTGTATTAGTGTCATAATTAGCAGATCCAAGAATTTTCCTTGTTACAAATTGGAAGTTAAATGCCCTTTCCACTTGTATTTCATTATCTTTGTTTACTATGCAAAGTTCACAAACATTGCCAGAAATCAGCAACTTCTTCTTCACATCACCACTTGTAGATGCAAATAATGATGAACATGAAGCAGAGGCTGGTGAAGAGAGGAATGAAGAGGAGAAGAGTGATGATGCAACAACAAGTACAGATGCAGCATTTCCCGAGCCTGTGCAGCAAGATCAACAGCAGGCTTACTTGGAACCTATTCTTGTTGCAATGGAACTTGGGCAGGAAATACTACAAGGAAATACTGGTGATGATGAACAAACAACGGTCAGTGCAGATGATCAAGATGAAGCTGTCCCTGCAATGAGGATAAAATACTCAAACACCATTTTTTTCTATGTCAGGTTGAGGAATGCAAGAGTAGTGAGATAGCCATGGAGGTAGATAATTCTGATGCCATAGCTGTTACTCAACCTGATGGGACTACATCTAATGTAGTCACCATAACACATGAGCAGTTAGCAAATTTGTTTGCAAATTCTGGTGCTGCTGGTGGAGCTGGTAATGTCATAGTCACCTCATTACCTGATGGTACTGGAGCTCAGTCTGGTTTATCAATTGCTACCATCTTGCAAGATGTTGTCTCTGGTATGCAAGCTGGATCAAATGGTAATACAGCAACTATACAAGCTGACACAACTGGTGGTTCATACTATTTGGTCACACAAGGTGGTAGTATTCCAATAGTAATACCACCAAATGGTTCAGGTACTGGTGTGGCTAGTATGAATTTAGTGCAGGCAACATCTGGTGATGCAGAAACTTTTGTAACTGTCAATCAAGAGGCTTTACCAGAAGGAGTTTTGACTGCAGCTGTTCCATCAGATGCTCCAGGTAAATTGTTCATTGATGCATGGTAGTAGTTGGATTTCAATAACATAACCTAGGTGCCTCAAAGGAAAGAAAACCACTGCATGCTGTAATCATCAAGATTGTATTTGTAAAAATCTCATCAAATTTGCAACTTTCACTCTTTGATTGACCATACAGATCCTTGCATGCTTAAATTAATGTAGCGTCATTGTTTTGCCAGATGATCCAGCAGGTGTTGTTGATACATCTGGTATGAGTGATGGCGATGGTCTTGGTGAATCCAGTGATCATGAATTAGCCACAGCTGCAGCTGCTGTAGAAAATGACAAAGGTGTTTTACAAGAGGCTATTACTTCCACACCTGGTAGTATATAGTTAATGAAATTATATATTTATTCATATAGTTATACTGTAATTCCAATATCATTTTTTTAGGAACGGTAGTACAATCAATCTCATGTACGACACCCGCTATATTGATTTCTTATTTTTTTCTCCCTCCAGGTCCGCTATTGAATACGACTGGAAAACGACGTCTCAGCAACGGGCCACGTGTATGCGAACAGTGTAACAAAGCATTCAAGTATCCATCTGATCTAAAGAAGCACTTACAGATCCACACTGGTAAGTCGGTTTAATATATTGTGTAACAGGGTGTCCCAAAAAATAATCCAATTCGGAATCGATTTTTTTTTCAATTTTGTTTACTACGCTAGGGTCTCGATTTTTAATATTTTACCAAATTTTAACAACTTAAGCTTGATTTCTAAGTGATGACTTTGATTTTTCAAAATATTGCATGCAATCGGTTACCAGAAACAAAACCTTTTCATTATTATTAATGCAAAGCAAACGCTTTCTAAATTTTGTGTATTTTGTGTTGGTCAACTTCAACCATAACCTATAAACATAATAAACTAATTACAGAAACTGTATCGTATAACAAACACATTTTTTAGACATCAAAAAGTTCAAATGTGATGAGTGCAACCGTTTCTTCCGTCGTCTTCATCAACTTATCGTTCATCAACGTATTCACACTGGCGAGAAACCTTACGTTTGTAAACAGTAAGTTCAAAAATCCTTGTCCTTGAAATATATTGACCTATTGTAGAATGGGTTAATGGCGTATCGCAGGATGGGTTAAGGTTAGTATTAAAACTAACCCCCGTTACTCAGGATTTCGGTTCTGAAGTCGACCTTGACTTGTATTAGCAAAGTTCGACCAGACTTTGTTTTCTTCATATTCGTTGTGCGTGTAGCGACTTTCATGTAAAAAAATAATGTCGTTCTCTTCCTTGGCCGAACTATAATGACATAGAAAACTGACAAGGGGAGTAACCAGTTAAATTTTAACTAATTCACTTAATTTTCGACTGTATTACAAGAATACAATGTACTTTCGTTTTTGTCGATTGAAATAATTCATGCTGAACGATCAACTACAAACAATCGCTTCATTCGAGCAGTTTTTAGCTAACGAGTTTCATTCCACGTGACTGTTTTTATACCTCAAGAAAACCTCCAGGAAAAATCTCGCAACATTTTCCGCGAGTATCGTCATAGAATTTGGCTTAGAATTCATCGGGTGTTTGCCAATATTGTTTTACCGCAATTTTGATATATAGCAGCTAAAAAGGCATGGAAACGGATTACTTATGTTTCGGTTAGATAGCTAAATGACTCACAAAAATATCACTTATATAGGTGTCATGATTGGGACATTTTTTCAAAGCGAAGGCAGAATTGAGGTCTGATTAATCTGGGGAAGCGAACTAAAGTAACACTTAGCAAATTTATCTTATAGTATATGTTCTTATAATTTTAGCTGTGGTACAGCATTCCGACATGACTCGACATTAACGATGCATGTCCGAACGCGTCACGAACATAAACGACCGTTCAAATGTGAGTACTGCGATCATACGTTCGGCCGACTTTCGCATTTACGAAAACACATGAAGAAAGTTTGTGGGCCCAACAAACCAGAGAAGCAAGCTACCATGGTGATCCAGTGCAAGTACTGTGAAGAAATATTCCCAAGTAAGATTGAGCTTCGTAAGCATCTGTTGACATGCGAGAAGAAAGAATGTAAACCCAAAGAGCCAAGTCAAGTTGCTTTGCACGTGTGTAACATCTGCAACAAAGACTTTGCTAGTCCTTACAATGTTCGACGACATCAATTGACGCATAGTGATGACAGACCTTACGAATGTCAGTATTGTAGCAAGTCCTTTAAGGAGAAATCTTCTTTAACAAAGCACGTCAAACGTGTTCATTTGGAAAAAGAGAAAGATGAACCATGTGAGCTTATGGTTAGTATTACAGCCCATGATCAGCAGTTTGAGGTCGTTTCTGTTCCTGCAAACGATGAAAGTATCCTCGCAGGTGCTGGTGCGGTGTCTTCAAGCAATGAAAACGACGGTGAGACGGAGACAGTAGATTCCTCAACCTTAGTTCATGTTGCTGCTAGTGTGATGGTTGAACAACTACTACATAGTGAAGAACAAGCACAAGAAAACTCCGTCACCAACTCTGACACATCCTCCCAACAAGCCATCTTCATGACGTGCAAGTCCGAAGTGAACGAAACAGATTCTTATGCTGGTCAACTGGTGTCGGATGAAACTGTGAGTTGTTTAACTGAGTCTGATATCAACACAAGCGAAGATTTACTCCAACAAGATACTGAGCAAGCAGATGAGGATGAAGGGGCCATACTGGAGGAAAACAACGAGGTGCAAGTGAGTAGTGCGGAGTACGATGAGGCTCATCCAACCAAGAACAATATTTTAGAAGCTAATCCTGTTGATGAGCATGCGCAGTCCATGGAATTAGGTGAGACCGAAAATGGCCAGGTTGTAGCAGCAGCCAGTGATAGTCAAAAAGAAGAACAAACTACTGACTAACTAAAATAATAAGAGTTCGTTGTATTTTTTGAAAAGCTTGTTTTAAACAAGTGCTTGACGGCTCAACCATATGGAGTAAAGAACATGCGAGAAGTAAACATTTAGTCATGGCATCGAGTAGTGAAAAGAATATACCCATCCTGATAATTTTAGACCTTGATTTGTCTTCTAAGAATGGCTGTGTACATCATCTTTTCCACTGTTTTACCAGACTTACGCTCGCTCTAACGGAGACACGGAGTTATAAATCAGTTGCACTTTAGTGACTTTATACAGTATTTATATTACATGGTAGTGTTTCGTAAGTTTTCATCGTAAGTTCTGTGACCATATTCGTGACATAACTATAAACTATAGTTGACTAGACTCTTATATTTTTTATACCTTGTATGGATTAAAACAGTGTACTTGATTTATCAAAACAATTCATTTGTTAATGGTATGTTATTAATGTTTATGTATATTAATCTTTGGATTTTGCTGCATTTCTGATTTATGGCATGCCAAGCCTCGGCGCTTTAAACAGCTGTGTTGTCCCTGTCCCGCCACTCGTTGGAGCCTGTGGACGAGACTAATGCAAGGGCCATGCTGACTACTTTACTGATATTACACTTCCGCAAAGTCATTCAGATTTCCTCGTGCGAAATTTGGTAAAAAAAAGTGGATTACGCATTTATGGTCAAGAGTGGTCAAGAGGGTGTGTGCGTAGGTTTGCGAAATCCCGACCTCTGGTTGCTTCGCATTCCACGGGGTGAATATTTAAAATATATGAAATAAATTAACGAAACAAACAACTTTATTACCCTAAACCTGAAATCCAATGTTCACAAACAACGGTAATTGCATTGTTTTTCTATATCTTTCGCCTCGCATATCGAAAAAACAGGAAACACAATTCACTATGTGTAGTTTGATTTATATTATTGTCGTAATCCCACACCCACAAACAGGAACGTGATTTAGCAGCAGGCGGGATGTTTTAATATTTTTGAGCTATTTTGAGGATGTTTTGATATTTTTGAGCTATGTCAAAAAAGAGGAATCGAATTGTGCTATCATTAAAAAATAATAAAATATCTCGTCAGACTGATTGTATTTTGAAACTGGAAATTCATGTATCATTAATTACGCAAGGCGTATAGATAAGCTTTATTTAACCAGGGTGACCCAATGTCTTAATCGGCAAAAACTGTTCTTCCTTCCGTGGCTACATGCAATGTTGGCAAAATTTATAATCCATTTATGAACTTGTGATTCTAACTCTTCTCCCAATGCTGGTAGTGAATAACAACGTTTAAATAGAAATATTCCTACTCAGTAAAACATTAAATAAGGAGCGGGAGGGGACTGGGGTGCTCTTAAAACAAGTATGCGTGTGAGAAAGTGTTTCTTTTAGTGGTAGGCTTACACGAATATGATAAGAGTGCGTGGTGTAAACTCACGTCACGCCAAGCAAAAAGCAAGTCTGAGTATTCTTTCTGCGCTTACATATGAATAAAAAGCTTTACTTATCAATTTTGCCAATAGACCACATGAGGTAATATATCATTTGGTAAGTGTGGATATGATAAGAATGTCGCCACTTTCAGGCGTCGCCACAAAGACCACACAAAAGACCTAATCAAAGGCCGCGCAGAGTCCTTCCTTTTCCTGTTCACTTCTAAATTTCAGCAATTATTCACTTATAAAAGTTAAAAGTAGCCAGTGTTCGGTCTTCATTTCCTGGTTATTTTTTTAAGCGCGTTTTCCTCTATGCAAATTTGTTGTAATATAGAAACGGATTCCACCTTATTCCCTCGTGTCCCGCAAATACCCTCTATATTCTTGACCTATACCAATATTCAGCGGTAACATGTGCTTTAATTTCTTACTCACATGTAATAATTTAAACACAAGTTGATGTCATCTGTTGAAATGTTCTCAGACCGATTGTGTGAATCTTTATGGTGAATCTTTTGAGCGCTGTGATATCGCCAGAAAAAAGCGGAACATTGCTAAAGGGGCAATATAATAGCCTAAAGGCAAAATTACTATTTCCAGAGGATAATGAAACGGAGTTTGACTTTTGGCCACTTAAAAAGAATTCAAATTGTCATTGCATGTCGTGTGCTATGGTTGAAGTATATATCCATAGTAAATTCATTATTTGAAATATACTAGCCTTGAGGCTTGTAGTGGCAATGGCGACTTTGGCGTGGCCAACTCGGAAGGCAACCAGTCTCCATTAATAATAACATCCAGTGATAAAATCCTGGCGTGTTTTTCAAACAAGGCTACGCTTGATATACTGATATTGACGGACTATAGGCAGGCCATTATTTGCTTCGTCTTTTCATGCATGTGCCAAAAATAATCAGCGACACTGCAACAACAGGAATCATTAAACTGGGCTTGGGTCAGGGTGGGCTTTACGTGTGTGTACATGTACACTACTGCATGCCCACACCAGTTAGAAAATAAAGAATGTGACAAGTCAAGACTGGATGTATTGCGCAGCCCCTGAAAAATAAAATGTTTTGCCGATTGTTTCGTCTACGAGTTTTAATGATAAGACAGTTAAAATTACTAAATATAATGTGTGCACGTCATGACTCGATTTTTTATGATATTGAATTGCAATTTACAAGACCTTTGAGTCAAGAGGTTTTGCTAAGTTAGACCAGAGGTCTCACCAAATTATGATACAATACGTGTGCAGCAGCTCCGAGCCCGGTTAATTATTGTTAATTAAACCTGCATGGTTCCATTTTGTCGTAAGTTCGTAACTGTGTGAACAAGTCATTTTCACCGGCAAAGTGCGGATGTAAATTTGTCTTTATTTCTGTATTCCAATCGGTCATTGTAGTGAGTGCACAGCAATGATGATGCACATAGGCCCACATAGAAATATTCGAATTCTATCACACGACACTTCAACCAACATACGTGCACCTTCACAACACTTACGACTGAATGGGAACCACGCATACAAAGCCGCAGTTTTTTATCGTGTTGAACTAACGTACTTGTCCTAAAAACGTGACTTTTACTAGGTTATGTATAAATAATCGGGTTAAGAATATCTGGTTTATATCATATATGTATATAGATTAATAGATAGATAGATGCTCTAGTCCGTTTTGCTGACTTATAATATACCTAATGAATGTATAGGCCCATGTGTAGCCGCCCTAATGGCAGCAGATGGCTCCTGCTAAAAATACCCGTTAAACACCTGGTATACATGTGTGAGAAAGTCGGTTATATATGAACAGTAATGGTTACCAGATACTGGGTGAATCAAATTTAAATGTTAATTTCAAGACTTTGAAAAATCAAATTTAAATGTTAATTTCAAGACTTTGACTTTTGACTCGAATTTGAAAAACTATTTTCAGACGGTCCATTATTTGGACTATTTGTAATCAGGTGAGGGCTGGTGAGGTGAAGTCTTCTTTTGTTATCAATTATTACGGCACTCCCACTGGCCGCTGATACAGAGAATTTGCTTCTGTATTATGCCATGGGAATTTTAAGTGCAATAGTATTATTTGTACTGCAATGGTACTATCATAATATTGATGTTCTTCTAACAGAACATCTGCGAAAAATACATTCATAAAGCCACCGTTTAAATATTTTTTATAATTATATTCCGCTCATCCCTATATATATAGTCCAGTCCGTAATGACCGAGTGGGATGGGGATTCTCAATAACTAGAGTAGGGTGTAACACCCTTTTCCCAATGTTAGATAAAATAGTTGTTGTTCCAAACGGTGACGCACAAATATCGCATCAAGGGGTGACGCACATAATGACATTATAGGATGATGATATATAGCAAGTTTGGCTTGTCGGTCTCATATTTCCCGATTACATTCAAGCCAAAGCAGAATCTCGTTCTCAGGGCATTTTCTTTTGGCTAAACCATGTGGCCGCATGGCATGATATCCTAAATTATTGTTTTGCATGATAATCATCATTCACCCAACGATTAACGGCAAGGCTAAAATAGGTACCCTGCCCATTTCATCTGTGCTCGGCCTTTGTTTTGGTAGCCTGAACTCTAATAAAATTGGGTACGGGTACCAATTTTAGCCGTGCCGATAAATTGACTGTAGTGTAAGTCGAGGTCACAAATCCTTAATTATATAATACTGGGTACGTCGTTGATGATGATATGACATAAGAGACTCCCGTTGAACAACCATTTTCGGGTTATTAAAGAAAAAGTTGACTTTTATATAATACTGGGTACGTCGTTGATGATATGACATAAGAGACGCTCGTTGAACAACCATTTTCGGGTTATTAAAGAAAAAGTTGGCTTGCACTCCTCACCCCTCAAAATGACATATTCGCAAAGACAGTCTCAACAACATTAGCTTTGCCAAGCTCTGGCTGAAGTGTTATTGCTTGCCAAGTCACATGGTTTATTTATCCTAATCGATTGTTTTTGCTGCAATCTGATTGGTCGGTGGACAGATGTGTTTTTACAGTGGCCACCCTCGACAGCGGCCATTTTCATTATTTTGATCGACATTGTTGTCACTTTGGGAACCTTTCATGGCTCAACTTCAGTTGTATGACCAAGAATCATTAGGGATTTTCTCGTCGTTTGGCTTTTATTTCAACTTATAGTGTTCAAAAAGCTTGGGAGCGGATTCCTGAGCGTTGTTTGTTCGGTTGGACTTGGTTTGATGTGAAAGAGGGAAACGTCGTGCGGTGCATTTGATTGATTTGTGTGCGAGGGACTTTGTAAATGACGACGAATATGCCCGTCCAATCTGTTCATGTAGAGCCCATTGTTGATAAAGATTCTGTGGAACAGGTTTGTGTTTTCTTTGAATGGAGTTGTAAATTTATTAACTAATAATTCGTTACTTATCGCCACAACATTTTGCCATCCCAGAGGTTTTGTTTACCGCTTACTACCGGGCAGTTGAGTGAAAGACTCCAGCGTAATATCTTTAACGTAAAGCGAAATTTTAAGTTACAGCAAACAGCTACTCGTTAGAATTACTTAAATTTTTAATGCCTCTCAAATTTTGCGTCACAGCGACGGTAAATTAATGGCGTTTTGTAAAGGAATATATATGGACTTTAAATCGACGTTCATGTTGTTACTCCAATATGCGTAATATCTGTATCAAATATTCGTTCACGTCCGCAACATACATTTACCAACGTTTGTAGCGTTTTTGTAGCGAGGATGAAATGAATTACTTAATTCAAGGGCATTGAATCGAAAAATATGCTTTGACTGAAGACAGCAACGGAAGCAGAATTATTGCCCGTCATTTTGATGTTTTCATTATGGCGATATTCTTTCATTTTGCTACAAATGTTGGCCAGCACGTATTGTCAATTTCTTCTCGTCGCCTTTTAGGGTCTTCAAAATTCCCATGTTGGTTCTGTTAGTCCTCTTTTATTTCATGCTATTATCATCATGACATAATGAAAACCATAATGTAGTAATTAAAATATCTTTTTAAATACTGTTTTGTTGAGTCGTGGACGAAAAGTATATATGAAGCAAAACTGTTTGTAAATGGCATATTGTTACGTAATTTAAAAATGATAAGAAATAGCCTTTCAATTCTGCCATTTTATCAAACTGTTACAATAAATTGACAATTTCAAAATAACTTAAATATTTTAGAGTTCAAAGTATGTATTGCGCTAATCTTTCCAGGCAAACAAAACAAAGTCAAAGGCTAGCATTATTAGTTGGGGTTCATATCCTGCTATTAAAAGACGACCCGCATTGGTGACGTATATAATAATATAAAAAACAGACTGAAGAACCAAAAAATAACTGCAGGAAATGTTATGTAGTTGAAAAATAAGCCATTGGATGTTTATTACTATACTTTATACTTTGGATTCGTTCGTGTAGTCCATTAGCAATAGTAGAAAAGATCAATTTATCTCTAAACATTATTCCTGGATCATTCAGAAACAATACTCAATATGTATGATTCATTTGTTACAACAACTACATTCTTGTTGAATGTAGTCGAATGCTTACAATAATATATCGGCCAAGTTAAAACTGCTTCATTCATTGTAAGTACATAAGGGTCAAGCTAAAACTGTATTCTTTTGATTCTCTTACCTAACATGTTCTCAGCACCAGATAAATATCCTTTGAGGAACTGAAGAAAATAGAAACCTAAAGATATATACTATGATGTGGTAGGATAAACTGTAAGGGAAATTCATTTTAAAACAACTGTGGCAAACCATGATAAAAAGAGAATTTAAATTTATTGCTATCATTATAACCAGAAATAGGACACAGAGCTTGAATTTTTATAATTGAAATATTTTGATTACAAGTGTTGAAATTCTTGTTGACAGCCTATTTGGAAACTTTGTTCAGACATTTCAACACTCAACTTAATTCTCATTTTCCAATCTGTTGGGTATGAAAAATGAATTTCCAGCATGCAATTTGGCTACAATGGTAGTTATGATGGACAGTAAATGTGAGAATTTTCTTTATCCTAGATGCAGTTTTCTCTAATTCATTGATTTCTCTGGCATATTTATGTCTTCTATACAACTGGTTATTTAATCTCATTTTCTTCATATGTGTAATTGTCATTTTCAATATATTGTTCCTGTTTTGTTATGATTGATTGGTCTATTTTTCATCTTATGTTACACAAATAGCACAGTTTTACACATGAGGCATTACCAATGGGGCTTTTCGGTTCTCACATTTGATGTGTAGTCTATACAATGACACAATCTATCCCAATATACGTTCAGACTTGTGCTACATGATAGGTCAACACAATAGCATGCAGCAGGGGTTAAAAAGAATACTAGCTCAGCATCTTTTCTGAGCATATAATTTGAAACTTTGAAACCTAGTAAACTGATGTATTTTGTAGGGCCTATATTTCCAACCATTAGGAGGCAATTTGAACAATGCTATTTTATTTATTGCCTTGAAAGTCATTTTAGACTTCTTTAAACTATAAAATTCAATCTTACAGTATATTGGAATGCATGGTTCTTTGTGTGATAAATGCAACACTTGAACAATACCAATAGACCTCTTGGACAGGTCATTGCACAATTGCTTGAAAGATGGATAGCCTGAAATTTAATGGATGTGCAATTTTTCTTAATTTCTCACTGTTTTAAAACCAATATATTTTTTATCAAGATGTCGCATTGATCAGCAAGTAGTTTTAATTCATTTTAGATGTAATATTTTCTTATCTGTTATGTTGGTTGTATGTATCATTTATAACATAAGCTGTTGAGTTAAAACATTTGTCATATACCAGAAATAACTATTTTGTATGACAAAAGCACTTGTGCTTCAGGATGTTTGGCACATAACCAACCATGCTTATAATTGTTTGAACTACTCATGCAGGAAATTCAGAATATAATTTATATTCTATTGTGTGTGTGCTGCGTGTGTTCGCACTGGCTTTTATTTTGACTTTAGATTTTGCTTTTTTCTATCTTCATTTGTATTGCATTAAAAAAATGAATACACTATACATTACAATTAATGTATAGCCACCAGCTGCTTAATATGCTATACAAAAGTGGGCAGTTTACTCCACATAGCACAACAGGCACATTTCTAGAACTCAGAGTAACTCACTTGCTTCTGGAATTTTTTTCCTTTTTCATTCCTAAAGACTACCATCTTTTCCTGTATAAATTTTTACATTTGACTTTCATGTCTGCTATAGATATCATTCAGTTGTTTTCTTCATGCTGTAAAATACCCTAATGCTCACAGTAATGGTAAGTTTATTTTGTTTCACCCATTTAGGCAAGTGAAGAGCAAGAATTTCTCCCTGTATGTGATGATGATGATACAGTGCATTCTGATGAAGTACCAAGATTATCAGACTCTGCCGGTGGAAGTGATAAAATGCATGTTATAAATTTTCATGGTTCCGATAGCTGTGTGACAGATATCAAACGAAGCGTATCTTGCATATCGACAGTATCATCAGCAGGTGAATTTTGCAGGATTTGTCACTGTGAGCGGACTGAAAGTAACGACCAAACCTTAATTAGGCCGTGTCTGTGCTCAGGAACTTTGATGTTTGTTCATCAAAGTTGCCTTCAAAAGTGGATCAAAAGTTCTGATATAAAGAAATGTGAGTTGTGCCAGTACAAGTTCGTAATGGAGGCCAAAGTAAAACCCTTTAGAAAGGTATGTAAACATCAACCCAGTACCTAGTGTTCCACAATATGTACGTTCCCATAGTCCCCATGTAAGGACTTAGTTTGAAATGAAGAACTAGACCTTTCCTGGAGGTGAAGTATCTGATATCAATTGCTTGACTTGTAGTTATTACAGAAGCTTAAATCCTGCATGTTAAGACACTGTTGCGAGCAGCTAATAGCGCCTGAGCATAAAATCCGTTTTGACGTTTTCGTGTTTTTTTTTGCCGACAGTGGCAATCTCTGAAGATGACCCACAGCGAAAGAAGAAAAATTTTGTGTTCCGTTTCATTTCATGTCATTGCTATCACATGTGTCGTTTGGTCACTTTGGGTTTTAATCGAACGCACAGCGCAAGAGATACGCGAAGGAAATTTGAATTGGCCGTTTTGGACTAAGCTTGTTGTTGTGGCTATTGGTTTTACTGGTGGACTTGTTTTTATGTACGTTCAATGTAAGGTGTACGTACAATTGTGGAGACGTTTGAGGGCGTTTAACCGTATAATATTGGTAAAAAATGTTACTGAAGAACAGGATGTTACTGAATATATATAGCAGTAGGCTTGGTGCATGTATATGACAGTTCGTTGTGGTGCAGCGGTAAAGAAATGAGGGATAAACGATGAAGCTCTGAGTATCAACATATACTTGTTAATCCACAAGTAGCCATCACAATAGGGCTGAGAGCCTATATAGTTTACAGTATAGGGATTACGTATAGTAAGTCGATAGTCACTTCAATCATTGATCAACTTTGTTGTTTATGTCTTATAATATGTCTTCTACAGTCGCGGTTGCCCAACGGTTAAATGTTGCTAAAATTTGGTTAATTCAAAGCTCTAGCTGAGAGAGACCTGCTTAATATTTGTTAACTAAAGTTCAGGAAGTTTCAATTCGTTGTATTCACTTCCTTACGTTTCAACATCCTCGTTCTCAGTGTTTACTCGTGTGAAGAGTAAAGAAAGATAACTATATAAAACAGATGAACAATTGACCGACCAACTGTGCATAATTATGTAGAATACCACTCTAAGTGTTACACTATATATATGTATATGTATTTTTAAGGCTAAGCATGTGCGCCATTATTTAAAAACAGTCTTTACTGTCTTTAGACAAGTGCGTATATACATTAAAATGCATATAGCTACATGCATATATATAAATATACATTTACAACTTTTAGCTCGCTTTTACGAGTTACAAGAGCCCATATAGTTTTATAAAAGTATATTATCCGGACTCGTGGATTATTAATAATTCTATATATTGTTTTAGAATAACACAACTATATTGTGGACAATCTGTTGATTTTGATTGTTTGCTCTAATGGTAGATTTTCATTCAAATTTCTGTCAGCACCACGATGTTATAACTCTCTGTAAGCCGGTTGCACGGTACCATTTTATGTGGCCTATTTTATTTTAATTAGCATAGAAAGAAAAAACAAAATTCATTGAACATGCAATGCACGAGCGCCTACCTTCCTCGTGAGTTTTGTCAAAACCATGCATCACCAGCTGAAACCAATCGCTATTCCTCAGTCTGAGAACGTGGTGTGGACTATCAATCTGCGCGAAATTTACTGTGCATGCATGTTAAATGAGAAATTGGTATACAGAGGAGTAATCATTTGTTTAGATTGTACCATTTTTGTTAAAATATTGCATTTGTCTTTTGGCATTTATTGCTTGGTACTTTAGCAAGAGCTAGGGAATCAATTAAATTATTCAAACTCAGTATCATAATCTGGACTAAGCCTTAGGCCTGACGAAAGTTACACTATAAATATGGGAACAAATTGCTGTTTTAAAATACAGGAAACATTCTTACTCGTGAAACATCAACGAAATCCAATTTGTTCGCGATTACGATTGATGATTTTTGTCTTGTGCAGCTAGGAGCACTGGAGCTAGCGCACTACGCGATATATATATATATTTTTAATTAGTGATCAACGAGAAAGTTTTTTTAATGAAAAGAGTTTGTAAATCTTAAGCCTGCTTACCCAGTTCTCATATGTCACCGACAGTCGGCGATGTATTGTTAGAAAGTATATATCAGGGAGCTCTATATATTATTATTAGGGAGTTTCAGCTTCGCGTTGTCTGCAAACAGCAAGGCCGAAATTTCTTGCCAGATTTTTTGTTCAACTTCTTCGTTAAATATTTTCTTTCTTATATGTGAAAACATTGATTATACATAAAGTCAAATATTGTGCATATCCTGGCTTTATATCTTTATTACCTTTGAGCCTAAAATTTGTCTTCGTCTGGCGTTTGCTGTTTCGCCCATAATTTAAGCTCTCTATTTAAGAAAAAATAAAGAGATGAAAAAGCACTTCATTCATTATTGACCGCTGACAATTGCCATCGCCGACTGTCGGTGAAAGGAGGCCATGCAGGCTTAATGAGTTAAAATTTGATATTTGGATAATTTCACTGTGTGAAAATGTTGCTTATCAATTTTTCTTATAAGGATCCTTTTTCAGTTCAGTTTCTATCCGTATCATACATACATATCTATATATGGTTCTAGTCGGTGGGCTGAGAGACAATAAGTCAATATCAAAACTGATATTCTTCGATAAAATCGGTCGGCAGAAAAACCGTATTTGTCTTTGATCAAGACACCGCACACGAAACAATTAAAGTAAATTTTAGTTGTGGGCTTTAGGTCGGCCAATCAAAACGTGTGCTCCTCAGTCGGGATGTTCTAACCACTCTAACGAACAAAAAATGCAGTCTTTAAAAATGAATGCACCAATATCTTGACTTTATCATTTAATGTTGAATTATATATTGAATTAAGCATTACTTATATGGAAGCAAATTGTAAATAGACTACTACTGTAGCCATATTATATATATAGTCTTCTTCCAAATGAATTATAGAATTTAAAATTACATATTCGTAGTATTATACGGAGATCACGCATGAAATTGTCTAACCCTCAAGTTACAGTTTCCGCCTCCATAACGCGGAGGTTATACAAAGACTGCCTAAACGTTGACAAGTCTGCAAACATTTCGAGATCTTTATAGCAGCTGCTGCATGATTTCGGTAAAAGAGAGAAAAAGTATATTTTTTCTCCATTGTTCTGTTTTGTTCTTTTAATTTGTCACCCGTGACTATAGCTGAATAAAGTCTAGATTGGGACAACTTTTCAACCATGGAATGTAAATATTTAAAAACCATTGAACAGAAACACGAAGCAACAAATCTTGAGAAAAGGCTTACGCAAAAAACAATGGAGATGACTTTCTGTGTAGAATTCTGCCTTTCTGGGATCTGAATGTGTATTTTAACAACTAATAGACCGTAAATGGGAATGTCAGTGATTTCTCCATCTTGAACATTTTACTCAACTAAGCTTCGTGCAATTTTTAGAGACGTGTCCTTCCAAACAAAACTTTAAATTAATCGTCAACAATAACAGCCTAGAAAAATTCAAATTATAGCTCTTTGTGTAAAAGAGTTATATTGTGACAGTTTTATTTTATTATCAATTTGAATTTATTTATAATTAGGTATGTTAGGCATATTAATATTTGTACATGTAAATCCCGTTTTCTGTTCAAATTCAGCTTTTCTATATTTTAATTCCAATGGCTGCCAAGGATGATCATTGATCGTTCATGCAATTATACAGTAATTACTATGTAGTTCACACGTTGGTTTACACGAGTAAGATAATTATATAAGGAGAGAACAATAACATATCTAACACGAAGCCATGTCTTGAAGACTAGGTCTCTTTCCTTGTCTCTTGCACGAAGCCATGTCTAGGTCTCGTGACCTTGTTTCTATTGATATGCTAAATCACACTCGTGCATGTGAAACTTGCTCGAAAAAACTCCGGCTGATATAGTGCCAGCACCTGCATAGGGTAGGTGAGGAGGATGCACGTTCCTGTTTCCTTCCAGGCTGTATACCAAGAAGTGTTACATAGGAGAGCTAAGATTCAATGAAGATGAAAACCTATATATACCAGAAGAGATTAATTTTAAAATTCTATTTAATAGTTTAATTGATTAAGGGCATCACACTAACCAACTTCTACCTGTGCCGTGGGTTTTTGTGTGTCCGAACGATGAATGAGTTGCTTTGTAGTTTGTATAATGTATATACGTATAATGCAAAAGGTATAAACATCTATAATTACATGCATATATTAGAGAGATTCAAAGAACGGATGAAGTAGATCAGCGATATAGAATAATAGCCAGCGAACAGTAGCGGTAATGAAGTAAATTTCAACGGGAACTTTTTCAGAGATAAGATGAGAGGAAAGGCGTTCCCTATAGTTCCCTTTACAAAACAATCTGGGTGGAAGTCTTTTGCGACAATACTTTTTTTACTTAAACAGGAAAATATGAGGCTTGGTGACAAAACAAAAATTGTGTCATGTAATTTTAGCCCCGCCCTTCCAGGAAACGCGAAGGCCATTTCCTGTCGTATTCAATATCTCTTATGTTTGAAACTTTGAATGGCGCCTTATTTGGAGCGGCGAATTAGCCTTTCTCAAGATAACGAATATGGTTATATGCCGCCCAAGAGCGTAAGAACTCGACTATCTTTATTTTTTGCCTGCATTTATTCTTCAAATGATCTGATGATTTTAAAAAAATTCTTTTCAGATTGTTATAATTTTTTAAAACCATTTAAACCTCAAAAACGTCATGCTGAGAAAGGCTAATTCAATGACGAATACTTTGCGATAATCCGTGGGAATAAGATGAGCGACTTTGACACTAAAGATTGCAAACGAATATCCAGAAGGATTTAAAAGTACAACGTATGCTGTCACTATATAATCAGAACATTTTTCAACAATTTAAGTAAATTCTTTGCGATGCGTATATAGTATACATAAAATTATGATAGAATCTTAGGATAGGAAAAAGTAGAATAGAAGAATAGTAGAATTCGTATTGGTGTGTCGAGGCTGTTGAAAAAAAGAATAAATGGGTTAGGTAGGAGTTATCTCCCCGATCTGCAGCCCACATCATGATTCATAGGCGTCATTCGAGGGAATATATCGTACGAATTATCTTTACATATAATTAAAAAGATGTGATATTTTTAGTTTTAAATAATTGTACATCTCTGTATAATAATGTTTATTTTTTGAATGAAGGGCATATGTGATGTGATTGCTCAGCTGCATTAAACACAATATATCTTCTTCGAACGCTTTACTACTTCACTTAATTGGAAATACTCGTGAAGCTTTCATGTCGCGAAAGAGACAAAATCAATTTTCAACTTCAACATGTTTCACAGGATTTCGTTTGTTGTATTAGTATTTGTTATTCAAACCATCAATCATGGCCGAGCTGTACCAGTTGCTGGAACTCATTTTACAGATACACGCACGACTAAGATTGAGACTGAGAATGGTAAGTATATAGAACAAAAGACAATAATAATTCTACTTTATATAATTAGGGCGTATACGGGTATAGCAATTTCTGTAAAAATCTTCAGTTACAATTAGACATCCCATTCAACTATTCATCATACTAATTACTATAGGCTATAGTACTAAGAATGAATTGAACTGAGTGACCATTAATATGTAAAAAAGCTGTGTTGACCGAATTTCAACCCACTGACAGCGTATATTGATTTCGTCCAAACGGGCCCTTGACTCTTGTTTAGTCCCACAGAGATCACCGACACAGGCGACACTATACACTTTCAAACACACGAAGCCTCAAAATTACATTCTAACATACAATTCGTACAATGTAAAGTCAAAATATTCAAAGTGACAGCTCAAAAGTCTTTCTGGGGCCAAACCTTAGCCTATTGAAAACGACCCCCGAATGGTGCATCTATGGGTCAAGTTCGAGCCCAGGACGACCCATTGAGGGTCGTTTTGGTTTTCGAGTTTACAGTGATTAGCGATTATAGTTAATGATAGTTGAATGTTCCCAATAAATCTAAAAATGATATCAAAGGGATTTTATTAATACTCCAACAAAATTTCGATGGTACAAGATAATTAGAGGCAGTTAAAGAAGCGCTACATTATAATTACTACTTTAATTACGATAGGCGTGCGGCTTTATTACACGAAAACAGTTTAATGAATTAAACAAATTTTACTAATTGTTGTCTGTTGACAAATTAAAAGAAAACACAAGTGCAATTCAATTAAATGTATCCATAACAGTCAGTATTTCACAAAGCAATAACGTCTATTGTATCAATAGCGTACAAAAAATGGTGTAACGTTTAAATTCAATTCTTTAGATGCGAAATTGGATCAAATCATGAATACATTTCGGCACTTTCTAAAGAGAACATGTTTTCATTAAATTCATTTCATTGAATGCTGTTTGTCAATACTAGCATTGTTTGAGGATACAATTTATCTCAATATGATTGCTCGTCGACACACGGGTAGTGCATGTGCATGGCGTAACCGGCACAACCGTTGTGGGTTCCACGTCTATCGACGTTCGGCCATTTTCTGACCTGCTTTGCTCGACCGAATTTACGACTACACAATTACAATCTTCTTCACGTGTTTTATGACAGAATAAGTTTTATAGCATTGTTAAGATTATGCCTTCGAAGACGAAGACTGATCTTAAGCCACGAAACAAATAATATTTGTATTTTATTAACAAAATCCCTATCATTATCAGCACGAAGAATGAGAGGGGTAATCACGCGCCACGTTTTGTGAAGGAGGGAGTGGTTCATAAAGTATTTGTTATTTTAGGCAAAAATGAAACCTAAGCATTATATTGAGCATTAACTTTGAATTTATATTTTGTTAGACTTTCTTGAAGGTGATATGATCATTGACCAGACAGTTTTTAATATGATCACCACTCATGAAACAGCGGAAACCAAACGAGGTGCTGTGACCAATGTAGTGAAACTATGGCCTAAAGGAGTTGTGCCGTATGTTTACAGCAGCCGACTATGTATGTATAATCTAGGACCCAGAATTTTTTAATCCAGTATATTTAATCCAGTATCATGTCTTGTCGAAAATAGCATGCAGGGCCCTTTTTTTTCATTTTCGATTTCCTTTCCAGAGAGAATTGCTTTTTACCTCCCCTCAGTGAAGTCCCTTAAATGTGAGTGCAAATATTAGCAAAATAACCACGTTCAGAAGAATCTTGGTCTGTTTAGATAGAATACACCAATTTTTTTTCAAATCGGGCGGAATCCTAGCCTTTCCTGCAATCTGATTGGCTGTAGCAGCAGGCAGAATTTTAGGATATCTGGCCCCGGTTCGGAATCCTATATTTTATGCTCGAGGCTCGAGCGTATTTGTTTTGTTTTTCTAAAGATTTATTTGCTTTTTCATTTTTAACTTTTGACTTTTTTATTTTAAAATATATAGGCCAAATGATTATCACGATAAATTGAAGTGAATTTTAGTAAATTAAACAAATGAGGATTTGATTGTTTATGTTTTGTCGCCATTGCTGAATCTGACCATACTGACTACACAATGATAATACAACCGAACGCCGCTTTTTGTAAAAAAATGAATACGTTATTTATCGTTTTGGTCGGGATAGAAAAATATTTCCCCTCGGTTTGAATACGTCTCTCGGCCTGCGGCCTCGGGTTGTTTCCTTGCGACACCTCGGAAAAACATTTCTATTCGAACCTCGCAGCCATGCAGTAAACAACGTATATATAATTTCCCTCTGAAACGCAGGAAATCAAATCATGCACAGACTAGAAAATCACAAGAGATTCATTAAAGAAGTACCCTCGGACCCTAAATCCCAACCTCTTTAAGTTACTATTTTCAGTCAAGGCCCTGAAAAATAATTGCACAAGTTCTGAAAATTCCGTGTTTAAGCGTATTGAAACTTCCTGTAATTGTAAACTGTAGCATTTCCTGGCTATATGAAAAATCCGCTCATGCAAAGCCTCACTTGAGGTAAAATGCAATCGATATCCCCTATTTAAAAAAATGAAAGCCAAGATTTGAGGCACATCTTTCCATTCTGTCAAAAATAAATTCGCGGAATATTGGTGTATGAGATTATATAAAAACTAAATTATTATTTATTAAATACTCTTCACTGACCTGTAGTTAATGAGAAATTGTCGTTTTTTTCAGCTAGTTATGCGCGATCAATAATACGTCAGGCTATGGCAAAACTACACGCGAGCACGTGCATTCAATTCAAACCAAGAATTAATGAAACCCATTACGTGAAGTTCATCAAGGGAAAGGGGTAAGTTCTACTATAAAGTTATAACAGTATAAAAAAGGAATTTCGATTGGTCAATGATGAAGCGCTTGAAGTGCCCATGTACCAGTGAAGTGAAGGTTCACGCAAACCTTTTGAAATCAACTATGTTCTTACAATTGACACTTTTCAGGTAGTCTAGTCACATGACGTGAGTTTATTATAGACGTGAGCCTGATATATATGCATAGAGTATTGACGGGGGTATTCAAATGCCTTACTTTCACAGACGTGTTCCTTATGATTACGAAGCATTTGTAAAGCACGTTTTTCTGCTCGTAAAGTTTACACATGATCGAAGCTTTGTTGTTGCGGGACGTTGAAGAGAAACATGTTTGTCTTGGCATCCGAAAATTTCTTCTGCGTGATGATTCCGAGTATAACAGGGCATTTCATAATCGTCAAATTCCGTCCGCGGACTATCATTTCTAATATCAGCGTCATCGTGCAGTTGGATGCGAGTGTTTCCGTTCGCTACTCTTGATCCCGGCATGCCATCTGGCTTCTGTTCGTATATACTCATCAACTTATCCACGTCAACACTCAAATAATCTTCATCGACTTCTACTTGGTTTTCTTTACTTTTCAGTAAATTGTTTTGCCGTTTCGTGTATTTTAATCTGTGAACTCTCGTATAATGTCCATAAGACGACCAATCTTTACTGTGAACCTCAGTCAAACGTTTCAAATCTATGTGCAATGTGTCTTTTATTTCCTTATCACGCTCAGAATTCAGTTCACAAAGCTTACATTCTTTGTTGGCTTTATGGAAACATGGTAAATGCGTCGACATTTTTTGGGCAAATTTTTCGTTAAGATATTTCCACCAGTATTTAGGTGTGTCTGTGTTATACTGCCTGGTATTTTCTATTGAGGGAAAAATAATATTTCTTGTCGGCGTTAATTGCGCTTTTAATCGTTCTGCCAAGATTAACGAGTTAATCTTGAGCGCCTCCTCTGGATTAACTTTAATTTCTTTAGCAAACTGAGGATGACAGGGACGTATTTTATCCAACGTTTTTAAACTTTTCATCTGCGAGACACAAGGCGTATGTAAAAGCGAAGAATTATCGCTGGTCACCGGCGTTAACGTCAGTGGACTTAACTCTACATGTTTATGCTCGCTTCTTTTCAAAGTGTCATCATTCATTGAATGGCTCGAAAGTTGAAATATGCGCGTTTTCTCAAATTTCACGGAATCACTGTGTTTCAAGATGGGAAAATCAAGAATTGTCTCACTTTGCAAACAAGAATTCTCGTGGTCATTTTTTGCGATACTCCGCGCCCGTTTCAGCGGTATTTCTCGTTCAAAAGATGTGTTGTATAAACTCAGGATTTTATCCGTTATTTTAAAGTTTTTCTTGTTTCCACGTTTCATTGAATTTAGGTTGCAATTGCTTTGTGTCGCTTTGGTTCTATTCAGCTGCCCTCGATGTCTTTGTGTTGGCAGTAGATATTCATTACTTCCTGTCTGCGTTATCAGAGGACACGTTCCAGTCAGTTCTAGATCCTCCATTATCGTTTGATTTCTGCCCTTGAGGAGGTGGTGAAACAATGACAAAACATTCTGATAATACGATGTAGCGACGCCTAACTGTAGATTTTCGTTAGATACGACAAATTAAAATTGACAAAAGTATTTTTGAAATAATGCTGAGAGCTATTGTGTTAGCCAGCTGCTCTTCTCGAAATAAGAGTTTATATTCCGATCAATTGACAGTTTGAGGACAACATGTCACTCAATAGGTTGCCTCTTAATTGATTATTCAATAACCAGGAATCCAGGATTACCATGCAGGTTAGAACAACAGCTCGTAAAATTGAACAAAATGAATCTCACAACTTCGTCAAATCCCAAACAAACCAAACTGCGCGGCCGGTTCACCCAAGAATTTTACTCAGTCTCAGTATTCACATTTAAAATTCAATCACCCGACTGTGTTTACTTAGAAATTATTATTCGCTGCAAGTAACTCTCTATTGGCTAGATTATATTTTTTGTCAATAGAACAGTTGAGTCTACCTGCCGAATTGTTAATTCAATAATAAACATTTGTTATTAAGAGGACTTTTAGAGATCAATAAAACAAACACCAGTGAAAAATGATGGCGCCTGACTGTGATAGGCACGTCATTGATATTTTCAATATTTGGCAGTCGGAAAATTTGATAGTACGACCTCAAGCTGAAAATAAACATTATTCATACAAAGCCGACTCAGATTTTCAAACTGAGCAATCGATAATTCTTATAATTGTATATAATTAAAAAAGTGCCAAATGCGAAAACGCGACAAGTGGCCTTTGCAAGCCCACCAACAATGTTTCTTTTGGGGAAATTCTTCGACAGTAACAATCGGCCATCTTCAGTTTAAATATAGACACGCATGCATGCAGGTTATGCGTAACAGAAATGCTCAGACGCGAGTGTCTCCCACTGACCATCGCTGACTTGCTGGATACGAGAAATATATTTTTTCTTTTTACCCTGTGTTTAGTGAAGATTAGGATGATTGAAAATATATATAACCTGAGAATATTTATTTATTTGTCCCATTTTCTTGTAGTGAAAGGTTGTCCTTTCCTAAAGGACGCGTTTTTTTCAAATGTCGTGCTGGCAGTTTTCAAGAAAGTATGCCGATAACGATTACGAAATACGAATTCCTCTCTGGCTGGAAATGCGGGAATATTGAAACTATAATGGGCTGGTTTCTCCACACAGCATCTCTCTTGTATCTTTCTTATATGTTCAACTTTCTGACACATCAATAGCAAACTCAATTCTGAGTTCTTTGTTTTCGTACAATTACCTAAATTGCCATATTTGTTTTGTTTATCAGAGAGATTTAATTCACCGATAGTTGGCTTTGCAAGGCGGGATTTCTGTGGCTTTGGTGCTTGTTTCTTCGGATTAATAAATGACTCTCTCAATTTACTATCGTCACAAGACTCATGAGCTATTCTGTATTGTGAACTTCCAAAACATATGCATGGAAGATGATGAGCTGTTCTCTTCTTCTTCTTTCGATTGTAGGGAATATTAATCAGTGGTAATGTCGTCATGATGTTTGGTTCGCTGCAAAAATATTTCATTGCATAAGAATACAGTAAGACGTGAAATGAAAAGGGTGCAGTATAGGCTTATACTCACGTACAGGAATCATGTTAAATTTGGCGGCCTTCGCTTTCAGGGTCATTATATAAATGGGGTGAATGTCTTTGAACCCTCGTTTTTCCTACGTATCAGTTTGAAATAGAGATTGGAGAACTACTAGCCTCAGTGTATAGTGTTATATTCTTGTGCTCAGCAACTATATCTTTAAGTATCATCTCCTCTTTGGTATAGACACCCTGCATGTGTATAATTATAGAGTTCATCATTCATGCATTCACGATAAGCGAACTAAAAATATCTTGCTGACCCCCATAGGCATAGCAACGTAGGACAAGCTATCCGCCTTCCTCGTATACTTACCGAAAAATTATGTAGATACATTACTGTTCGTGTAATTTTCTTTCATCTTCTGATTGCATAAAGACTGCAGAACGCGGCCTTAATCTAGGCATCTCATAGCTTTTCCCACACGATATGATTATTCCTTAATCACATCTTAAGCTCCAGTACTTTAACTGACTTAGACCATTTAGCATTAAACACACATATTATTATCTAACGGATAAACAACTTTTAGGGCTTTCTACAGCCTATATTTACTACTAATATCAACTTAGGCTCAAGTTTTAATTTGTATATTGTCCGCCAGATAATTGCGAAATACACCTGCAATGATAACTGGATGAATTCCGAGTCTTAAGACAAGTTTAATTCATGCCTAATCGTATATCATTTCATTTATTAGTATCGTGTCATTTATTAAGCTTCATACATGCTTTCAGCTAAGCGTTTAATTCACAGCTAATGCCTGGAGATAAATATAGTAGGCCGGAAGATGGAGGTCTTCCGCAAGATTAGTAATGATTATTATATAATAACTATAGTGAAACACGCAATGTGATTGGTCAATAGCCGTGCAGGATCAGACAATCCTGCACGCGTTTTAGACAATCCTGCACGCGAAATTTAATTTTAATAAAGTTAACCGTTGTTTCACTACAGTTATTTTATAAAACAATTACCAAATGATTTTCCGTGCAGGATTGCGTGATCCATGCACTTGGGATGTTGCTCGACTTTCGGAAAGCGTGAAAATACACTCGCCTACGGCTCGTGTATTTTCACGCTTTCCGAAAGTCTCGCAACATCCCGCGTGCATGGATCACGCAATCCTGCACGGAAAATCATTTGGTATTCCTTTAATGACATCGATTTACTGGATTTGCAAATAAGGCAAGGATGTCTTACCAAAATCAATACGAGAGATGTACCTAATAATTGAAAACAAATGTCAAAGACAACTAAGGCCTATAGAATAATGACTCGTAGAATAGCTATATATCATTTTATGTTGTATTTCATAGCTATAATCACTGCGTACGTGTTTTATGCTGTGCCATGTGCTAAATTATCTCTTTCTACCTCCTTCCCTGCTATATGTATCAGTTCAGTTACATATCAAAATTTCAAATCCTTATTATGATTGTATACAAATTTCCGTTTTTTTTGTCAGGTGCTATTCGCATGTGGGAAGACAAAAACAAAAAAATATAAATTTACCGCAAGAACAGTTAATATCTTTGGGTAGCGGGTGTGAAGCAGTTGGCATAGCTTTACACGAAATGGTGCACACTCTTGGTTTCTTTCACACAAGTTCAAGGACCGACAGAGATTTTTACATAATTGTTTATGATAATAATATCGAACAAGGTCGGGATGTTTTTGTATAATTCATACTGTCTTGTATCTTTGGCTGCATGCATATATATAACCACAGTATAATGCTACACTCTGACTACCTACTTCAAGAAGTACTCGATCCGTACTTGAAATTTAAGACTGAGGTTTTCTCGTTATATTATCTATTAGTAATGTCTAATATATATTCTTTTATAGTTACTTTATACATATAATATATATAACTCAGAGGATGATTGGACTAACACTGAATACCGCGCTATCCATCGGATAGTGATTTTTTCAATCCTTCAAAAAATGCTGCCTGCAGAGCAATAAAACTAAAGATTTGAAGGCTAACGACTATTAGAAAGGACTATCAATGCGTTATTGATTTAAGATAATGGCGTTGCATTTTATAAAGTCCCTTTATTGCAGATATATCCGTCTACATATCAGTGGACCCGGGCCTGGAGATAATATGGACACAATTACTGAACCGTAAAGCCAGTTTTAACTTTCTTTTTTATTTTATATTATACTTCTCTTTATTTGTCATTCCAGGTATGGCTCACAACTTTCAAAAGTATCCCCATGGCCAAATCGATCACCTCAAGTCTCCGTATGATATAACGTCCATCATGCACTTACCACGGCATGCGTTTGCTAAGAAACCTAATCTAATCACAATCCAGGCAAGAGCTGGAGCCCATATCAAACTTGGTGAAACTGGCCAGTTATCCCCTGTGGATAAATACCAAATAAATGCTCTCTATAAATGTTCATCAACAACATCAACCTCAAGTTGTCTGACTGCTTTGGGTCTTCAGACACATAGCATACCTGACAGTGCCATTAAAGCTAGTAGTCAGTATTCTTTGTATACAGCCAGTGCCGCCAGGCTTCATGGGAGGCCTTCGAGGTCAAACATGGGTGCCTGGTGTCCAAAGACAGGAGCTGGCTCATGGATTGAGGTAAATTTCAAAATATGATGCGTTTCGTTTATTTAGATTAATTATATCCACTCACTACAATATGTTATGTCAAGATTGATCTTGGTAAACTTGTGAGGATTACTGGAATCGCTACACAGGGACATCGAGGCTTATTTTGGGATGAATATACACCAGAATATGACTTGAAGTATAAACAATCTTCGTACAGCGGTTGGTTCTCTTACCTGTCCACAAGCAGAGCATACAGTGGCACGCAGGTCAGCTGGAATCATTCACCATTTGCAAATTACTATGCAGTATACTTGCATCAATTAGTCTTTATTTCTAGAAAACGTAGTAATTGATTATAATTTGGAAAAAGTCCAACTGAAGTATTTTCAGGAATAAAAGCTTAAGAAAGTTTTCCTGATGTTAAAAACAATAAAATCCGCCCCCCACAAGCTCCTTGCCTATGGAGGCGTTTGGAGGCATTATTTATTCTATTCATCTTCTTTGGATCGACAATGATTTGCTCCTATTCTAGGGCTTGCCGGGTAATTGGGATGGATGGTCTGTACAGTATAATGCATTATGTCCGACGATTGTTGCAAGATATGTGAGACTTTATCCAAAGAAATGGATATATAGACCTTGTTTTCGCATAGAGCTTTATGGTTGCAAGAGTAAGTAGACCGTATTTTTTTGTTCTTGTAACGACGTCATCTTATTTGCACTTCATCAGGTCATTTTGGGGCAGGAGAAAGATTTCCGCAAAAATTACCCGTTTTTAATCAATTACTGGTCTAAATGACATAAATGTCTAGTTGTGAATGATAAGGTGTGGCAATGGATAAAATATTGTATATTTTAACATTGAGATTTTCTGGTTTTAGTTTGAAGTTTTCATGCTAGTGGTCATGATCGCTGAGATGAGGATTAAATTAATTTTGATAGAAATGTATGAGATAACGTGACTGTGATTTAACTATTAGAAGTAAACAAAATTAAACAATGCAAGCTTTAAAGATAATTTTGTAATTCTGCTGCCTTCTCTTAGTTATAATGCGTGGTGACGAATTCTTGTGAGTCACCATAAGTTTTACTGGAACCTTTTCTGAGTTACTCCCAGGGTACCTTCTTTCACTTTGGTTGTATCAGCAAACCTTGGTTGTTTTTAGTTGGCTTTCTCCTTTTCTAACGAACGACTAATGTCTTCCACTTCAAGCATCGGAAATGCATTAGATGCGACAGGAATAATAAAAAATTCATCAGTGCGGGCATATCTCGAATTTGCAAGTCTGCTATATCTTGAATTTCATCAACGCCGCCGGGCTACCGCAGCTGAGACTGGAGATATATGTTTAATAACAGTGTTTTTTTGTATGTAAAAGAATTATTTGAAAAGAACGCAAAAAAATATTTGAACCCAAAAGAGGTCATCGAGCTCTATGCTACTACTAGCTGACAGCAATGCCGAAGACTGGCGAACCAGTTGCGATATACAAAATTACAAGCTAACCCAGCACTTGGCGAAAGGACGTACAGTTGCTATAGGAAGAACTCCCCCCCATTTTTCCGGAGTGGAAACTAGCCTTTAGGGTAGGTTGATTTTGACGGATTCTGGCTTCCCCTGAAGGATCGCACGAGATTGGTTGTGGTTCGGGGGGACACTGAGCAATATCAGAGGGGGGGGGTGAGATTTGGCAGCCGAACGAGAGTCAGATTTGGTCAATCAATGGTCAAATAAAACTTTACCTCCTAACGCCGCACAAATCTGGGCTTTATACACCGTTGGTCCTAGTGTCATACTGAATACAAATCATTATGTTTAATTTTCAATCTTTGACGTATTTGAAAACGTCCTTTTTTCTTCTCAACATACTGTATACATATTCTAATTATGCCGATGGAGAACACTTGGACCTAAGCGGAAAGTGGAAATTACAAAATCACAATGGGAGTATAATTGTTAAGGAAGCCTTGATTCCTGGTTACGTTCATACTGCTCTTTTTAAGGCTAAAGTCATTGATGATCCGTATTTCCGAAATAATGATGAGTTATACCGATGGATTGATTATGACGACTGGACATATTCAAGAACATTCTATGGTGTGTATTAGTGTCTGATAATATAATATATAGTAGGAAAACGCTTACATTTTCTTCACCATGTTTTACCAACTTGTTTTTGATTTAGTGAAAAATACATTGTTGAGTAAGACAAGTATACTGCTTGTCTGCGAAGGATTGGACACTTTTGCTGATGTTTATATTAATGATGTCCCAGTTGGGCTTAGTACCAACATGTTTCAAAGATATATATGGAGTATAAAGGAGGCATTAAAACCTGGTAGTAATACAATAACTGTTAAATTCACTTCTGCTGTAACATACAGTGCTAATAGGAGTGAACAATATAATTACACAATTCCACCTGATTGTCCTCCACCTGTGCAGCATGGGGAATGTCATGTCAATCTAATAAGGAAAAAACAATGTTCTTTCAGTTGGGTAAGTAACCTAGCTGCAACCGAGCAAGAGCACTTTTTAATATAAATAAATATGGGCATGGGAATCCTTTTAGTCAGCTGATATATCTCTCTCTTGAATACATCTTGACACCTCTTTATAAGTAATTGGATACTTGGACATGGTATGGACACCACTTTAGTAAGGACATTGCTTTAAAAGATTTTCTTTACTAACTGGCCTTCTCTTTGAATAACCTTTAGGATTGGGGACCAGCATTTGCAAGTCAAGGAATATGGTAAGTAATACACATAACATAAACAAATACTAACAAAGATTGCAGATCAATTCTAGCACAAAAAAGGCTACCAACTAGTTCCATATTTAATAAATTCTACAAGAACAGTTCCATAATGGTCAAGATAAGATACTCTGTAGTCTCTTCCTTCAAGCTATCTGGCATTTCTTTCAAATGCCCTATTTCAACTATCGGCCAGGATATTTTATGATATTTTGGAAGAAACCATCTCTCCATGAAACATTAGTTATGGGACTGATAGGCATAAGACAAAAATATTGAAGAAACCTAAAATCATTGGGAATGTAATTCATCCTATGTTTTCTTTTCTTCTAAATCTTTTTATGACTATTTTGCAGGAAAAATATTTCTATCCAAGCTTTTGACAGTGTGTTAATTAAAGATATCTTAGTCGACACAACCAAAGGTATCCATAACATAAGAATCTTCATAACTTTTTCAATGATTTAATGGAAACATGAATCTATAATATAGTTAAGAAACATAAAAAATTATGCAATGATAATAAAAAGCAATTATTTGTATGCTTTAACATTTAATGGCATAAAAATGGTAAATTCGGAAATTTTGTAATCTATGGTCATTCATACTGATTAATAACCTTCAGTGAAGTTTGTAACATAAAGACCATACTGTATATTCATGGATTAACTTAACCCAATCTGTAGCAAATACCAGTGGCGAATCATGGTATTTAAAGGTGACGGTGATCACTGATTGTGAATCAGAAGGAAGCATGGGTATTATGGTTGCAACACTACCTCATTTTGGTGTTACCAGTGAGGCTATGCTTCATTGTAAGATGCCTGGTGAAACTCAGATATCTTTACCAACCATAACTCTGTTGAATGATAAGCATGATGTAAAGACATGGTGGCCCAGAGGTTATGGAACCCAGTCCCTTTACATTCTTACTGTAAGTTATCATTTTAAGTTCTATAATGGATATTTAGGGGAGAACTAATTCATATGTCTTACTTTCAATGTGCTGTTGTACTAAAAGTACTTTTCGAAAGATTGCAAACGATTTCGAGTGATAAATAAACCAGCACTTTTACAATACAGTCATTCGAGAGACGTCAAAATGAATGCTAAGTTATTAGGATCGATAATGGACATTCGCGGTGTACGCATAGCTTTACAAATATTATTGCGGAGGTATTTTCATTGTATTATTTCATTGTATAAATATTTGGGTTTCTCATCATATGAATGACGAGAGAAATAGTACTTGAAAAATTTATCTCGGCTGAATGTCCAAAGCGACCTGATTATCACTGAGCCGAAAAAGATTTTTCTGCAGAAAATTTTACCTTTGTAAAAGAGATGCTACATAAAGAACTTTTATATTTAGGTAACTTATCGAGATGCGCAGTCGTCTGAAATTTCCAATAAAACTGTACGGATTGGTTTCCGGGAAGTTCAGCTTGTTCAGGAAAAAATACCTGGAGGTATAGAAAAAATAATAATCGTTTTCGTCTAACACCCTATGGAGAAAAGGCTACGGCTAGCGCAGCATATACCACTGTACAATACCTTACATAGAAAACAGCGAAAATGATGTATCGATATCATACTGCACAACCTTATCACTTTACCATAATTATATTCTCTATATCCTGTGATATAGTCATGTATCACTCATGGCGCATGACAACTGTCTTGTTTTTATATATTTTAATTTTAAGGTCTCAGTTTCTATTATAAAGTCAATGATGTTGCCATGTTTATGAAAGGCGCAAACTGGATACCAGCAGGTTTGTTTAGCTATGATCAGTATTGAAACATTTTTTATCGATGAAACATCCCTGAAACATTTGTTTATCGATTTTTATTTTACATTATATATCCTAACCCTATAACGTTCCCCTTTTGCCCACAAAAACCTAACATCCTAACCTTTTCCCCTAGTTGATTTAATTCAGATTAACCTATAACTGTATAAAAACTGCAATATGGTTCCAATTACCTAACCGCAGAAAAGTTTCGAAAACCGCAGAAGAGTTTATATCAAACAGGTTTTATAGGTGCACATTTACCAACTTATAATTTCAGTGCATGCTATTTGATTGTACAAAGCCATTTAGCACAGAAACGAAGTTTTGGTTATAGATGCATTTGAAGATCGAGTCAGTGATGACATCATACGCAATATATTGCAGTCATCTGTGGATGCCAACATGAATATTGTAAGAAACTGGGGCGGTGGAATATACCAGCATGACTCATTTTACAATATTGCTGATGAACTGGGGTGCGCATATTTTTTTTTGTATACGAGTCGCTCCATCGTTGATATGGCGAAATGACTTCTTATAGCTATGTTATCAATCAAGTAAAAAGAAATTTTACGGTTTTTGTAGTTTACTGATATGGCAAGAATTCATGTTTGCATGTGATTATTACCCTGCAGACGAAGCTTTCTTGAATTCTGTTCGAAAAGAAGTTACGCATCAGGTATATATTGATCAGTTATCAAATATCGATCGTCATGCATATGATATTTGTTTTGAAACTCTGTTTCATTTTCATCAGATACAAAGATTGCAGTACCATCCTTCCGTTCTGGTCTGGAGTGGAAATAATGAGATAGAATCAAGTGTTTCACAAAATTGGTAAATAATATATCATGGTAGATACTTAAATAAATCTAATGCACAAGTTACCTAGGTTAACTCCGATCATTCTGAGGCTACGTCTCAGCGTGACGACAAACGCACCTTACTGTTCTAGATTGTCAATCTCGTGTTCGTTTGACTACAATGAACGGACATACACTTATTTATTCTAAACCAATTTTAGGTATGGGGTGAAGAATCTCACGTTCTATAAAGAAAGTTACATCAAGGTATTATTCCTCTTTGTACTCTCTCTAATAAACAGTGAAATGAACCATTTTAAAGTTAAGCATAGTATAGTACACAGAACAGAATAACACAGTAAAATCATTCTTTTGAGATCTAGTATAGTTAAAATACTTTAAAATTTTATTTATTAATGTCTCAAAATCTGATTGCGTGTTTTCCACGATAACGGGTCATGCGAGGCGATGAGGGTGTATATAAGTTTGCACGGGTATGAACAAAGCTAGTAAGTTAGCATGAATGTGAAGAAAAGATTATGTAATATACGAAAATATTAAAACAAATGAAGAATTTGAAAAGGAGAAAATTTGGTAAAGAAAACCCTCGAACATTTTGGTTCCATTTCCTGTTTGAAGTAGAAATATAGCGAAGAAAGAGATATGAGAGGTTACTAGAATTGGCAGAAATGCAGAAATCGCTTCAATATGGCCGAAACAATAACAATTTTAAAGACAAACTGTCGTGTGATCTGATATTTATTTCCTTTTCTTCAAGCTTTTTATTGATACGATAAGAAGCACCGTGTTAGGACTTGATAACACCCGTCCTTTTGTCTCGTCATCACCATCAAATGGTTTACAAACAGAGAAAGAAGGATGGATTTCCAGCAATCCAAACAGTGATTTTTATGGGGATGGTAAGCCAGTATATATATAGATATGTTTCCAATGTATATAGCGGTAATGTATCGCGTTGCGACGAACATCAGATAGACAACCAATTGGGTCTCCTTAATGAACTGTTTAAAACCATCTAGACCAAGTACGAGCAAGATAAAACAAGTTGTTTAAACGCGTACTGTAGAATTTCGTTAACTAATCAACTTCGTACCCAGGGCATTTTGCCTCTACATTGGGGGGGGGGGGATTTCCCCCATATACCAATACCCCCGGCAGGGATCTTACTAATGATTACGTTAAACATAATTCTAGTCCATTACTACAATTACACAATGGATTGCCTGGACATCCGGGGATATCCTCAACCAAGATTTGCTTCAGAGTACGGTCTTCAATCTTTGCCTCAGTTTCAGACGCTTTCCAGCGTTACCGTGAAGGAAGATTGGTCATATTTTAGCCCAATCATGATGCACAGACAACATCATGGCTCAGGTAAACATATTGAGTTCTCAAATACATGCACGTTTCTTATAAGTCGCTGTAACACAGTTTTCGTACGTCGACTGCGCACTGATAACAAAGAATTACGACATGAGAAAACCAGTCTAAAAGTATCGAGGCGGATTGCGGATTACGTAAAAAGTATATGCTTGTTTATATTTTGATAAGGCTCTTTTAGTTCCAAGCAGCACCAATGTATGACTTTCTTAAATTTTAGGAAACGAGGAAATGTTAAACGAAATTAAGATGCATTTTAGAATTCCAAATTCAACGGAACCTGTGAAACAATTTAAGGACGTGTTATACCTTACTCAGGTAAAACATATATTATATACGTTTTAGAGAAAAAAAGGCAATCCCATTGTCTTGCGGAGAAAATAATTCGATCTTGAATAACACGTAGTGGTATCCCATATATATGGATGCAATTTCGCCTGTCACGGTATTAAATAGAGTTCAGCGGAGAAAAATCGCGTTTTTCAGCTGACCTCTATACAATAGCTGAATACAACGCAATAAACTAATTTTAGTTAGTTCTTTGCTATCGCGCATGAATGCTGAGTTAATAATATTCTCCTCTGAATAACAAGTAAATATACAGGGTGTCCCCCAAAAAAGTCCCCCCCTATTGAAATGAAGCTTTTGTTGGAATTTGAATGCATGATCAATGGGGTAGTGTGGCATAGTATAGTTATTAGGTTGAGGCATTTAAATGAAGCGTCTTGCTTTCAATTTGGTTTATCATAATATTAAGGCAATCAGATTCTGACAAAGGCTTGATTTCAATAGAGGGGACTTTTTTGGGACACCGTGTAGATCACGGGAGGGGCTATATCGGGAGTCTGAGGTTGGTTTACATGTTCGAACAGGAAAACGCCGCTGATGAGTATATTATTATTTTTATTATTATAGTATTACACTGGTGATTAGGATGTCATATACGTTTGCATGCATGACTACAACTAAAACACTGCTTAAACAGTTCTATATCTTCTCTTGTTTTTGAGTTCACGATAACCTAAAACAACACAAGATTAGTGAAAAATTAAATTAATTAATTTATCCGCTATAAATTGCTTGGAGATTTATGCGCTCTTTTTTTAAAAGTCAAATCACCTGCCATAGCCAATTTAGGTTAAGGTTTAATAACCATAAGAGTTCGATTAATAGATTTGCTAAAGGACAAAGGGGTATTTGTGGACAGCATGATATAAGAGATATGATGTAAGTACAATAGGTGCAATGGTAAATATAAAAGCATTCTGATCACGACTTAAATGTATTTTTTCCCGCTCACTCCAATAATACCAATTAGACCACGAGGATGTGTTGGCCTATTTGTTTCAGTATAGACTATAGCATTTACTGAGAACTTGGAAACACAGAACAAAAATAAACAGAAATATTAAATTTTGATAACTTATTCCCCAGGAAGGACGCGCCAGGTCACGCGATTAAAATATGCCACAATGTTAGAAGTGACAAGTTTCAACTTTCAGCTGGTAATCCATGGTTTTGAATATCTGCAAACTTTTACGAAAGAAAATAAAGAAAAATACTACCTATCTATTACTAGGTTTATACTAAATACTTTTAAATCTATAGGTATGTTTTTATTAGGTATGATATTACTCATGCAGGCAAGTTCGTTAATATGGCGGCCATCGGAAAGAACGTTACTTATCGATATCGTTGATTAACAGTCGAGACACTCGTATCCGACAGAGTAATCTAAATATTCATCTGAAAACAGATATATCCTTTTCAGAAGTGTCAAACTGCATTATTTTTGACATTTTTAGTCCCACGAATAGCATATATTCGGGTCAACAACACAACTCGAAGTTTTAAAATCTTTACGTTTCAGACTACAAACTGAGGTAAGCATCATCTTGTGTTGAAATAGTTAGGATATTTATTCGAATAGTTTCCAGTTTCTTAGTTACTTGGTGATCTGATATAATCGTCTAAAAATTAAATTTTCCATTTTCTATTTTATATTTGAACATGTATGATTATACTGGAAAATCGATGCGAAATGCTTGTCTGATCAATAGCGTAATTTTTATTTGAAAATTAAAGTCTTAAGGATTTTAACTAATCAATGTAAATATTCCACTATTTCAATTTGAAATTATTTCAAAGAGCTACAACAATTCCTGCATTCAACGTAAACCCTAGGTCTATATATCCTACCAATTAAGACAACCCGCCTTAATCGCATAAATGTTTCCAATCCTGCATGAGTTTCCATTTATTGATTCTTTTCATCTATGTGTTATTAATTTCTAGGTAATTATATTCTCCCAACAAATGGAGATCCGTATGAATGTTTGCCTGTTGCTGATTATTTTTGTGGCATTTTCTGCGGTTAATGGCCGTAGTGATTCTGCAAGTGAATCAACAAGTGAATCTGCAGAAGGTAATTTAACGGTATTAGGATGTGAGGCTATTTAGTCGGTCTTCGTAGGAAGTCTGTGTTTCGAATAATTATTGAAAATTTTGAAATGAAAGTGGTAATAAAGGTTAAATTGCATTTTACAAAGATTTTTTTGTGAACTTGAAATACATATAACGGGAAGCCCTAAGAAAGCAGCGGTATTTCCGAACCCCAAATAGCTACATAAAAATCTCTCATATACTTTCTGTATGTTTCAATCTTACAGAATTCCGCTGTGGGTCTAACGGTTTTTGCGGATTTGAACCTGTGGTGTGTCCTTCTTGGGCAGAGAGATGTCCAGGTGATTGTCCATTGCCATATCTTTGCTGTTGGTAAGTATTTTTATGTCATATTGCTTATTTTTTTCACTTCACAAATGATGTCCTTTTCTAGAGAAAAATTAAACCAGTTGAAAATCTTTAAAAAACATGAAGAACGATATCAGAAAGAATAAAGTAGTCGTCTCGGTGATGGCGGCAAATGTCTTGATCTTTTAATTAATTTCTCACCTCTGCACTAATTCTTAAATTTCTAGAGAACAATTAAAAGCTTTCAAGATTTATTTTATTAGTTCGTTTCCACAATATTGTAACGCAAACCTTTTTCTTTTCAGCCCATAATTCTCACTTCGAAAATAAAGCTGGTCTATAACAAAGCGGTTATAAAATGTAACCTGTCAAGTTTACTATGATTAATTACATAAAGGCGTAGACAAAAAAATCCAGTGTGCAATTGCATTTATTGTATCATAATTGCATGGGTGTACATATATCATTGTGTGAAATATAACCTCCACATTTTTCCACGCTTGATATCGCTATTTTTCAACGGTTTTTCATTGAGTTGGAACCTACAACCTGGCGGTTCACATTGTCTAGTGCATGAAAATAAAAATAAAAATATACAGATATGCAAAGCTATAAACGAGTGCCATAAAACAGGAGTAATTTATATATATCTAAAAATATTTGTTGACATAATAACGATAAAGAAATTTATCTCGTGCTAAAAACTAAGCGAATTGGTAAGGTCTCGGGTAAGGTTATACCGAGCTTGAGATTGAGAATGGGGTAGTGTGGCATAGCATGACACCGCAGAAATTGGTGTTTAAGACGTTTCAACCCGAAAATCTAATCGCTGGTTCACAATTGTGCATTTCTGTATCACCCTATCAAAGAGAAACCTTTTGAATATCTTAAAAAAGTTCAATTTTTCTTCTGAATACGCATTCTGCAATCTTTTGACAGCTCATCATACACATCTGACCGCTGTGAAATGGCTATTTTGAGGCTTAAAGTATACACAAGGTTATTAATTCAGACGATTCGTTTTTACCGTGAGCAAGCTTCAAATCTTTTGTGCAAGACATATTTTCTTGAATATTTATAAATCTTTTTTCTCACCAAGTTTGACGTCTAAGTATCGAGAATTGCGGCTAAGCCTATACCAATTTCCGCGGTGTCGCATAGCATAGTTATTAGGTTGAGGCATTCAAATAAAGCGTCTTGCTTTCAATTGGGTTTATCATAATCTTAAGGTAATCAGATTCTGACAAAGGCTTGATTTCAATAGAGGGGACTTTTTTGGGACACCCTGTATGTAGATCATGGGAGGGGCTATATCGGGAGTCTGAGGTTGGTTTACATGTTCGAACAGAAATAAAACGATCAGCTATAGGAAACGCCGCTGATGAGTATATTATTATTTTTATTATTATAGTATTACACTGGTGATTAGGATGCATTGTCATATACGTTTGCATGCATGACTACAACTAAAACACTGCTTAAACAGTTCTATATCTTCTCTTGTTTTTGAGTTCACGATAACCTAAAACAATACAAGATTTGTGAAAAATTAAATTAATTAATTTATTATTTAGTTTGGAGATTTATGCGCTCTTTTTTTAAAAGTCAAATCACCTCTCATTTTCTCGTTTTTCATTGAGTTGCAACCTACAACCTGGCGGTTCACATTGTCTAGTGCATGAAAATAAAAATAAAAAGATACAGATATGCAAAGCTATAAACGAGTGCCATAAAGCAGGAGTAATTTATATGTAAAAATATTTGTTGACATAATAACGATAAAGAAATTTACAAGTAAATATACAGGGTGTCCCCAAAAAAGCCCCCCCCCCTATTGAAATGAAGCTTTTCTTAGAATTTGAATGCATGATCAATGGGGTAGTGTGGCATAGCATAGTTATTATATAGGTTGAGGCATTTAAATAAAATGCCTTGCTTTCAATTGGGTTTATCATAATATTAAGATTATGATATTAAGATTCTAACAAAGGCTTGATTTCAATAGAGGGGCATTTTTTGGGACACCCTGTAGATCACGGGAGGGGCTATATCGGGAGTCTGAAGTTGGCCTACATGTTCGAACAGAAATAAAACGATCAGTTACAGCTATATTATTATTTCTATTATTATAGTATGACACTGGTGATTAGGATACATTGTCATATACGTTTGCATGCATGACTACAACTAAAACACTGCTTAAACATTTCTATATCTTCTCTAATTTTTGAGTTCACGATAACCTAAAACAACACAAGATTAGTGAAAAATTAAATTAATTGATTTATCCGCTATGAATAGCTTGGAGATTTATGCGCTCGTTTTTTAAAAGTCAAATCACCTCTCATAGCCAGACAGGATTTATTACCATTTTCATTTCATCCGCTACACGGCGGGGGACATTGTCTGTGCAGGGAAAAAACGACCGTATTTGCTTTTTTCCTGAAGTCGGTCCGTTTTAATCCGCGGACGAAGGTTGTTATACAGAGGGGGGATTCAATAGAAATGGCTTCGGACAAATCCATGTTAGACAACAATGATATTATATTTATCATGATTTTGTATAGGATAAAAGAAACTAACGCGAAAACAAACCAATCACAGAACATGTTCAAAAAGTACTACTGTAGTCAAGTGTAGTTTTACAAAAAGAATTAATGTATATAAATATACCTTTTTTCCAAGTTAACAGGCCCCAGATTTTTATTCAATTCCAGTCGTTGTCCATTGAATTTTAACATCCTGCAAATTTGCGGGAAATGTGGTTTGAGGAGAAAAACTCAAGAATAGTGTATATATATATATGCATGCATGGGTGTATATCATTGTGTGAAATATAACCTCCATATTTTTCCCCGCTTGATATGGCTATTTTCCCTCGGTTTTTCATTGAGTTGGAGCCCACAAGCTGGCGGTACACATGGTCTACTGCATGAAAATAGAAATAAAACGATACAGATATGCAAAGCTATAAACGAGTGCCATAAATTAATATAAGAGTAATTTATATGTAAAAATATTTGTTGACATGATAACGGTAAAGAAATTTATCTCTGGCTAAAAACTAAACGAATTGTTAAGGTTACCGAGCTTGAGATTGACCTAACCAGAGCACCAACAACAGACATCCAACCAAAGCTAACTTCATTGCCTTTTTACGAAGCTAAAAAATAGCCAGATGTACATATGTGTACATGTATGTTGTTAAGGCCCTTATATAGGTCGAACATTTGATGCGAAGTTATTAGAAAACTCTGCCACAATGTTCATTGTTTATATTGGAACGTATTTGCAGTGAAAGGTTCGGCTTGGTATATTTTAATTATACCATTGCTTTCGGCTAAGGAAGAACGACAATAAAATAATAAAACAACATAACATAAGATATGCTGCACAACATAATCAAAAATTAATTAAATACCTTTTGTTATACGTACGCTTTCTTCTTGCTTCCACGAACTGGTATTCTATGAGCTGGTGATTATTGGCTAGCAAATTTATAACCCATGCATGTACTTACCGTTTTACGTACTTTAATTAATTATATTATATCACTAGAGCTGTTATTTAGCTAATGCAAACTCGATGTTACGTGATATTTTTTACTTGCTACTAAAGTCGTCATGGCAGCGCCACTTTTCAATAAAGAAACGCTGTTACAAAAACTTCTAAGATAACAAAGGTTCCGTATTTATTCATTTTAAAGCATTCATCAGGTGCATGGTAGTCGAACATATTTTAGAGATCTTTCGCGTTTTTCTTTGTTTCTGAGATATGTGATGATGATTGTGAGTTTATGCAATATGGAAATTATATATAACGTTACAAAATACCCGCTAATCAAAATGTCAAGTATATGTCATGTTGCATGTTCACCTTAGTGATAAAAATGTAATAGCTCAAGGTTGCTTCAAGGCCACAAGCCGCGTGAATAATAAAAACAACATGTTTTGTTTTAATTTTTATATATGTTTAAAACTCACCAGTAGCTGAGTAACCTGGAATAATATATGTAATTTTACAGGCTTCACAAGCTATTTGTATAAAATCGGAATCTGAACATTACCGACGACTTCGAAGTGTCTTGAATGAGGTATGTCATGCTGCAAATGAAATCCCATGTTCAGGGTGTTCAATACCCTCAAAAATAATTGGAATCTTTTCATACAAAGCGGCATTTTATTTTTATTCGCTTTGCGCGAAAAATATCGCTAGTGGAAAACACATGCAAAACAGGCTAAACGCTCCATGCAATGCGGTTGCGCACCCGTACGTAGGTTCTTATATCATAACATGGTATACTGTTAACGGTAGCTGCCATGCATGACTATATGCCGGCTTGATCTCTAATGGAAATGAGTGAAAACACCTTATGCACACAGGATTGGTGAAAAAACAACCTCGGAATTTCACAAGCGGCTGTCCACTTGGTTGTCAAAGAACAAAAGAGTTTAGTTCCCTAGCAATTTTGAAAAGCTTCTGAAGTGTATTCAAGCAGCATAACTGTCGAGGGCCAAAAGTAGAATTAATTAAAATCAATTTAACATTTATGCACTTAATGAAGTTAGAGGATATTTGGTAGCGCTTTTTCTTCAAAATTTTTAAAAGATGGTATCCGTAATTTTACTCCTTTTATTTTCTAAGGTATGTTTTACCTTGTTTTTTATTATACCTACAGGGTCGTGGTCATACAATGGGAGCTATTTATTGGCAGTGAGTATGGGCGATGTTTCTTTTGTTGTTTTCCTATACATAGAATGTAGGAATATTCGTTGAAGAAATAAGAAAACTTAATTCATCATTCCTTATATTTGCCTTTTATTGATTGATTCCTGTAGGCTGAACAGTATTTGGCCAGCTCCAACTTGGTCATCATTGGAATATGGAGGAAGATGGAAGGTGTGTATATATAATTATACCAAATTGCTTTGGACACCGCAGTCATGGCTGAATTTGACAGCGTACATGCATTTAGTATAAATCTGAAGCGTTCTGGCAATCGAACTGATCCTTTGAATGGTAAGAAGCCTGAGCGACTAATCCCCATCAAATACTAGTGAGAATTACCTTCAAAAACGATGGTTCGCGCGGATTAAATAAAACACATGGAGCATGGATCAAAACTGATAAAATTCCATGTAACGATATGTGCATCGATTGCCTTAGGATTTAGATTCTCTCCTCACTTTCACTAGTTATAATGATGCAACATTGCAATTTAATCATGAACAAGATTTTAATAATGTAATTTATATTATTATAGATGTTGCATTACTACGCTAAAGAATTCTTCTCGCCAATTATTATTTCACCTTTCGAGTTCAATAATACTTTGTATATCTTTGCCGTTTCCGATCTACTCGAGGTGAGTTGCATGTATACAACAATTCTTAACGCGCGAATCATATAAACTTTAGCTATAGTTCGTTTTTAAAGCGTATTCTAAGTTTTCAACAACGCAACGGTTTTTACCGTGCAATTATTTACCTGTTAGTGCATGCATCAATTGCATGTCTATAGCCTTCTTCACAGGCGAAGTTGGCAGAAAATTCAATTACCATGCAAGTAGACGTAGTAGCAAACTAAAGAAGTAAGAGGTTTGATAACTGCCAAAAACATGCGGTGATGTCTGTGATGATGATTAGTGTACGCGCGAGTAGATTACCATGGAAGATTGAAACAGAATTAAAACGGGCTTTATACATAAGTTTGTTTTTATATATACCTCACATGCATGCATCACAGTCTTTCTTTGTTATAGCCATCCATAATTAACTAGAGTTGGGTTAGACATTGTATTTTTTTACAATTTTTTTTGTAATTAAGGATAATGAATTAAAGTTAACGATAAGTATTTGGTCGTGGCGAATATTGGAAGAACCACTCAGGACTATCACAATGAGCATTAAAGTACCAAAACAGTCATCTGTAAGTAGAAACTTGAACGTTGCAACCCGCATACACTGCAGTTCAGTTTAGATATGGCTTAAAAAAGCTGACTCTCGAGACCTTTTGTCTGTGAGAGTGAACAGTTACTATCATTTGGTAAATAACCAAACTGTGTAATTGATTAAGCAGGTTCATCGTCCTTTGCTTGTGAATAATATATTATTTTGTTTATATATTTTGTAATATATTTTACAGGTAAAAGTATGGCAAAAAGATGTTGATGCTTTGTTAGGTTCAAGTAGCTGTAAAGACCGAAGTCAATGTGTATTAACTCTTTCCACGTACCCTGAAACGGCAAACACACCTGACATTCCAACCAACGTGTTTTATTTTTCTTCGCTTGCAAATGTACAATTGCTTGATCCGAACCATAAGGTATAATTTGGATCGTTTTCCTCGAGAAGAGAATATGAAGGGAAGCGGTGGGTCTATACTAATTGTGTGCTTATGTTATTTTATAGATTTTAACAATTTCATTCGTCCCGTCACGTAATGAATTTCTAATAACGATTAAATCGACTGCACTCGCACCATTCGTTTGGCTGGACTGTGGAAACATACTTGGTCGCTTCTCTGACAATGGATTTCTTGTTACACAAGAGATTACACAAGTAAATATTTCTTTTGATTTCGGAACAGAGGGGATCATAAGAATGCCTTCCCCCTTATTTATAAGCTAGAGTAAGAGAAATCCTCGTACAAGCTTCTTCCTTTGGATTTTAATTTATGATGAAAGGCGATAAAATTGCTAATTTTCTTCAAGTCATATATATATATAATATTATATATATATATATATATATATATATATATATATATATATATATATATATATATATATATATATATATATATATATATATATGCTTGAAAAATGTCCTATACTACAACAATTTCAAGTATTGATTATGAAGAGTGCCTCAAAATTTCCGTTCTTCAAACCTTGGAAATAAAACTAACAGTCTTTAAAACTAGTCAGTTTTCACCTTTACCTTCCACAATTTGCACGGTCTCAATGCCATGTTAATGATGTTATAGCTTATAACTTATTCATTCTTTTCATTTATCACTTTTTTCTCAGGTTTCTTTCTATTGTTGGCAACCTTCAATCTCCGTGGATGACCTGAGGAAAGAATTAACCGTTTCATCTTTACATGATATCTATGTTGATGCTGAAGATAGTGTGAAAATATGATTACCATAAACTTTTTGCATGCAGTGATTTTGAAAAAAAAAACTGAAATTGGCAATCACTGAATAAGAGAAACAATGACTAAATGAAAGAGAAATCAGCGAGACCGTGTCTATGTACTATAATTTTATAAAAAAAATATTAATATAATACATGCAGTTGCCTGGCCGTCCCATTTCATTTCTATCAAGATGTTTTCCGCACATTGAATGCTAATGAAGCTTGACTAGCATGCAATAGGTATACTATTGTAAGCTGTTCTCTCGAAAAACTACTAATTTCTATGTTTACTGCATGTTTATCATCTACCAATCGTGTGGTTATCAGGTTAGATATGGATTACGGTTTTACCATTTTTACCTATGTTTGATGGTTCTTACGGTACTCATTCTCAGTCTCCTGCGTGATTACACGTGCGACTGGGGAAGACCGGCGTTTCCACGTTTATTCTTGGAACAAAGTAATTGAGTAGGAAAATTGGTCTACTTTATTGGCTATAGAACTGTCACTTAGATCGCATTACAAGAAAGAATACATCAGCTAGGAAGGTGTTTAAGTTGGTAAGCATAAATTCAAATTACACAAACGTAAGCGTCATTTGAAACCTACGGTTTAATATTTGAATTTAGTTGCCACGTCTGTTTAATCTTAGTAGTTGAATTATCATGTTTCATAGCGCAAAAATTGTTTGTACGATTACTAAAATATTTGATAATTTCAAATGATGTGAAATCAAGGAATTATTAAATTTTTGCTTCACCTATTTAGCCGTTTGTTAATACTGACGACACGTTGCAATTGTACAGTACATATTATATATCGTGTGTTGATATTCGTTTACCTTATCCTAGGTCATTTGCGTAGTCATATCTCAGTAAAAGACGTTAAAATAGCTATGTTTAATGAATGGGATGATTTTGTACCATGTTTTAGAATTCCTAATTACAGATTTTGCAAAGTATTGTTATTTGTATGAAGAATTTAGCACGGTTAGGCAATATATGTTTGCCATATCCTGTCATGCCTGTTTATATCAGGTTTAGTTTATTTAGCCTGAAAAAATGAACTGTTGGTTTCGAAATTACGCGCCCAAATTTCGACATTTTATCGTAAGTACATGGAATTAATGAAATCTACTGAAACTGTGGCATTATTGTGAAACCATTGTGGATCTGTAGCAGTTTAGTATATTTCAAAAATATATACAATAATTTTTTGTGTAAAGTGGTATTCGATCCTAGTATCAGGAATGGTAAAGAGGTTGTGATAAATATTATCTTCAGTGCTGATATTACCCCCTTACCAATACCTTGAATATTCTTAAAAATGTCTTGTTCAACCAACTGATAGCCTGATATATTCTAGCAGATATTATTTTTATGTTGCATGATTCCATTTATTTTGCTTGCAAATTGAAGGTTAAATGATTAGGTTAAAACATGTGGTGAGTCTTGTGACTGCAACATGTCTGATATTGTACAGTGATAGATGATAACAAATATATGGTTGCAAGAAGATAGGGATTTTATGTTTGAGTGGGGAGCAATTATAGTATACCTTGCCAATCCAACTCCACCAGGGATAAATTGTAAGCAAATACCAGATATATAGAACTTCCTGTTTTGATGTTACTGAATGCATAAATTGGAATCTCTTAAATTCTTAATATAGATTGTGACCCTGATTTACTAGTAATGATGTCACAGCCAATTTAAACATTTTTCCTTAAGAACCCTATTGCTGGCAATAGAAGATAAACTGAACAAAATGCTACTTCAAGCAGGTGCAGCTTTCTTAAAAAGAAGTCCAGGACAATTGCTGACAGGTAGTATTAATTATATAATCTATTAGGCAATTTATAACAGTGCCAGTCATTAATCATTTTATTTTATCAATCTGCTGGTTAATGGTACTACCTCACAAATAATATACAGCTATATAGTATTAGTATATACCTGATTTTATCCTATTCTGGTGATTTGATGGTTAATATAAATACATTCAAGTAGAATATATTATAATTTTAGGGTCCAGAAATGTTAGAACAAATCTGACTTATCATTTAAAAAGTTTTATACAAAAGGTAATGTAATTATTTTGTTATATTACATCTCACACCACTTTTCTCTTTACTTTAAGATTTATTTTCATATATATTTATATTATCCAACTTTTTTATATTAGGATGCTAATTTTCTACCCAGACTGGGATGTGGTGCTACCAAATTCTGTTCAACACAAGCAAAAGGTAATCTGAAAACCTTGATTAAGATTTGGATATAAGACAAATTGATTGTAATGAATCTTTGCTGCTTGATTCTGGCTAACAATCAATCTAATAATATTCCTACAAGCTAAATTACTTAATGGTCAATCTACTTATTAAAAATTAAAACAAGGTGAAACTAAGTTCAAAATCAGAAAATTTGTGTTATAACTCGAGTCCAAGATTCTAGGAATCTATAAATGCTGTTCATCATTTTAGATAATGACAAGGTACCGAAAGGGAGGCCATATAATGAGTTCACTATTGGTGTCCCTAAAGAAATCCGGCTGGATGAGAAGAGGGTTGGTTTAACGCCAGATGCAGCAAAAACCTTAATAAAAACAGGATTTAATGTCATTGTGGAGGAAGGTGCTGGAATGAATGCTCAATTCAAAGATGCTGACTATCTAGAGGCAGGAGCTCAGATCAAACCTTTGAAGGAAATGTACACCAATTCAGATATTATTATCAAGGTACAGTCTGTAATAATGCAATTATTACATATCGGGACTGGGTGATTTTAGATATATAGCAGTGCATTAGTATACTTTAATAATTATACGACAATTATCTTTTTCATTGGTGTATGACATTCTATGAGAAGGGAACAGTTCTGTTTATCATAGCAAGTAAATTATATGATGAAACCCAGCAGTTTTTCAGTTTAGGCAATTGATTAAACCATTCTATTATTAAGATTGTTATAAAATAGTTATGCACAACATATGCTTAATATTTTACTGTCTGTGGTACATATTTACAGTTTTTTACTATCTGTGCTACATCTTTGCAGGTGTGTCCACCAGAAAACCATCCTGAGTTTGGAGTACATGAATCAGAATTAATGAAAAGTGGCTCAACTTTGATAAGTTTTCTGTATCCAGCACAAAATAAAGATCTAGTGGAAAAATTAGCTGATCAGAAACTGACAAGCTTTGCTGTCGACTGTATACCACGAATAAGTCGGGCACAGGCATTTGATGCGTTGAGCTCAATGGCTAATATCGCTGGTTATAAAGCTGTTGTTGAGGCAGCCAATCATTTTGGTCGATTTTTCTCGGGCCAAATAACCGCTGCTGGAAAAGTTCCCCCTGCCAAAATTCTTGTGATAGGTACTGTTATGAATGTTTTTGTTTTGATATAAGTGCAAAATACTAAAGATTTTCAGACTTATTAAAATTTTTCTCGTTTTGTTAAGGTGGCGGTGTTGCTGGCCTATCAGCTGTCATTAATGCGAAGGGGCTGGGCGCTATTGTGCGAGCGTTCGATACGCGCGAAGCTGTGAAAGAACAAGTTCAATCGTTGGGCGCTGAATTCTTGGAAATTAAAGGCATTGAAGAATCAGGGGAAGGTTAGTCAGCCATCATTGTGATTAGAGACTCTAGCTCGATTAAACATTCTATGTAAAGTACCTACTACCCAGCCGTATTTACAAATTACAACGCTTGATTCTTCTAAAATTTGTGCAGCGAATTGTTTTATTCCATTGCGTGTTGCATGTTTCAGTCGAGTTGAGTCGAGTTGAGTGGGATCAAAGAATCGTAATTTTACTTTTCTACAAGTGCGTCTGCAACTTGGTACACTTCACTGTTATCCGTAATACTTTTACCACTTTACAAAAATGTATTCCATTCCTGTTTTTATCAACCTATCTATCCCTAATACTAGTGAACTTTCATCCTGCACGATCCTCGAAACTTGTGTATCAAATGGCGCATAGGCTTTTTAGATCATTCCATAGTTACAGAAACACATTGAGACTTGGCTATGTGAGGTTATACTGAGTTATAGCGTATACAATTTATAGTTTAGGATTTCAATGGTGCGGATCATCGCATGTGTTTAAATGAAATTTATTTCGGCATGCCCTTTAGGAACTGGAGGTTACGCAAAAGAAATGTCACCTGAATTTATAAAAGCAGAAATGGAGTTATTTGCGAATCAGGCAAAGGAAGTTGATGTGATCATTAGCACAGCATTGATCCCGGGCAAACCAGCTCCAAAACTTATCACAAAAGAAATGGTTGAATCAATGAGACAGGGTTCTGTCATTGTTGATTTGGCAGCTGAAACTGGAGGAAACTGTGAGCTGACAAGACCTGGCGAGAGTTATAACTATAAAGGAGTGCAAGTTAGTACTAATATACTATAAACATTTTATCCTTCTCTTTGACTTATTCGTTTTCTAACGAGCAGAATCTGTTGGTTCCAACTACATTTTGAGTAATCAATTTGTAGTCACCTTCAAAAAACATGATTATTATAGGCCCACTACCTTTTCATACAACCGACCCAAGTCGCATTGATTTATTAATAATTGATTTAAGCCTTGTTCTGATTTCGAATTTTGGAAATAATCGAAAATAAATTAACAAATTAGCATTCGAATATTCCCCCTTTGATAGTTTATACACGCGGTATCCGAATCTCAATTTTCATCATATTGAGAATTATACGTTTGTGGTGTTGTTCCATGGAGTGAAAGAACACCACGTCATGAGTTCCCAAGACTAAATGGGTTATGGTAAAGCTCAACCATGCCGACCTCCATCAGCCGTTTCCTCCGGCAATGTTTACGGGCGTCTTATAGTTTGTGTATTACTCTATTCCCTGTGTTTTGTTCCCCAGATTATTGGTTATACAGACTTACCAAGTCGTCTACCAACTCAAGCTAGTACACTGTATGCTAACAATATGACAAAGTATCTACTGTCTATGGGTGAGAAAGATCGTTTTGATGTTGATCTTGAAGATGATGTTGTTCGTGGCTCAATAGTTCTTGACAAAGGAAAAATGATGTGGCCGCCTCCTGCCCCATCAACCCCTCCTGTTGCACCAACACAAGCCGCTAAAGAAAAAGCCGTCGTGAAACCTCCAGAAATGAGTCCGTTCCAGGAGAAGATGTATGAAGCTGGTGGAACAGCTGGTAGGTGTTCATATTAACGTTTCATGTTACTCTACCACTGGCATGGTGACGAGCGCGTTTCGTGTGAGTTTAACATCTGGAGGCAAAATGCGACAGGTCACTACCTTTGCCGTCCTAAATTTGATTGCTCAATTTTAGTTCTCCATTGACTGACAACCACTATCAATAAAATTTCATGATTTCAATCGCAAAACTCATAAAATCCTATACTCCTATACTATTATACGTTATTAAAATTTATTACAGGTGAGTATGGTAAAGAGAGCTAAATATTAATTGTAGTTATCCTTTTCTAGCTGTACTGTCCAGTGTTATTGGTCTTGGCTTTGTTTCACCAAACCCTGCATTTGCCACAATGGTGACCACGTTCTCTCTTGCTGGTGTTATCGGTTATAAAGTGGTATGGGGTGTCACCCCAGCTCTGCATTCTCCCCTCATGTCTGTTACTAATGCAATATCTGGTATCACAGCCGCAGGGGGACTGGTAATGATGGGTGGTGGCTTTCTTCCTAACAACACTGCCACTTCACTAGCTGCCATGGCTGCATTGATTTCTTCGATCAATATTTCTGGAGGGTTCATTATTACTAAACGAATGTTGGACATGTTTAAACGACCAGGTGGGTGGGTATGCGGGGTTCTCGTAATTACGGCGTATCACTAGAAACAAGGTGGTAGTTGGTATTTTGATAAAACTGCTCATACCCATATCATTATTACCAACATAAGCAAAATTCCATTGCATATACACACACACCTGGTACATGTTTTTGATTCCGAGATTGCAGACAAAAGCATCTGATATTGTGCGATTAGTTCAATTCAATAAATTCTTTAGTGAGGACATTAAACAGTTTTGATGACCCGCATGAGAAAGATGGATTCGTATGATAAACACTCTCTTTTTTTACAGTTTAATTCGACAATAAAACGAAATCATCTTTTTCATAATATCATCGTAATTTCTGTAGATGATCCTCCTGAACATACCTATCTATACAGTATTCCTGGTGCATTGTTAATGGGAGGTTATCTGTATGGTAATTATCAGGGGTATAGCGATATCCATCAGATGGCATATCTTGCTTCCTCTTTGTGTTGTGTTGGTGCTCTAGCGGGTCTATCGCATCAAACTACTTCAAGGGCTGGAAATGCATTAGGTAAGGACCCTTACGGGGTATACGTGTTCTATTTTGTCTATCGCATTAAAAACATTAGGAGACGACACTCCCCAGGCTTGCAAACCTCCTGACCCGGGAAATCCTTTTTTTAGTTTTCATGTAACATCATAGATTATATTACATGGGATTCAACCAGCTAGTTAAGTAATCTTGATATTGAGACACACTATTCGATCAGTGAAGTTCACCGTTTTAGCATCGTGCATTGTAGCAAATGGGTTCAATTTTGTCTTAACGTGTCCCTGCTCTCTTTCTTGTGTAGAATAATCATCGTAACATTTCACTGACCCACTAACTATTATTTTATTATTAGGTATTATTGGTATTTCAACTGGCATGGCCGCTACGATTGGATCACTAAATGTTTCCCCTGAAATCCTGGGCCAAATGGCGGCTATGTGTGGTATTGGTGGTACAGTGGGAGCAATAATTGCAAGACGTATCGCCGTGACAGACCTGCCACAGTTGGTTGCTCTATTCCATAGTTTTGTAGGATTAGCTGCTGTTTTAACTGCGTATTCTAAATATATGATAGACGTCGATGTATTAGCGACTGATCCTTCAGGTGGCGTTCACAAAGCCGCCATATTTGCTGGAACCTTTATTGGTGGGATAACCTTCACTGGTTCACTGACAGCGTTTGGTAAACTGCAAGGTTTACTTGATTCCAATCCTCTCTCATTGCCCGGCAAGAATTATCTCAATGGAGGCATGGCGTTAGCAAATGTTGGGGCTTTGGCGTATTACATGCAAACAAATGATCTCACACCTGGAATGGCAACGCTTGGTAGGTCTTTAATAAGCAAGCTGCCTTGACAATATCATTACCCGAGGATGTTCCCAACTTCCATTAGGTTTAAACCTAAGATCGGCTAATCAAGTGGGTGTCAATTTTTAGGTGCCACAGGCGTACTTTCATCGATAATGGGAGTTCACATGACTGCTTCAATTGGTGGAGCAGATATGCCCGTTGTTATCACGGTATTAAACAGTTACAGTGGCTGGGCATTATGTGCTGAAGGATTTATGTTGCAGAATGATCTACTCACTATTGTTGGAGCTCTTGTTGGCTTCTCTGGAGGAATTCTGTCGTACATAATGTGTAAAGCAATGAACAGGTCATTGGCTAATGTGCTGTTTGGAGGTTATGGAACATTGTCTACAGGTTGGTGTAATTACCATAATTGTCCTTTCAGTGTTCTCATTTTTATGTGTGTGTGGGGGGGGGTGTATTATATGTGTGTGTGTGGCAAGGGGGGGTGTTTTTATGTGTGTGGGGGGAAGAGTGTACAATTTAAGTGAATAGAAATGGAATTCTTTATATCTTATTTCCGAATTAATCGTATAGTGATGCTTTGGGAAAGAAAAAGGATGTTTTGGTGATTTTTAAGCAATATTATAAAAAAGAATAGCGACGAAGGTCGTTCAGGAATCTCTTTCCTCACTATACCACCATAGCACAAACTCTGAAAGCCTAATGTTTCATTAGCATCACCTATCTCTCGCTAATTAAAAAGTCGACAAATAAAAACATTGGTAGTGCAAACGACAGTGCAGGATTTATTGCCGACACAAGAGGATGCATTTATCGCATTGAAGACTTACTGTCGAAGACGATAGTACCGAAAACACTGATAATTGTATAGTGTTTCATCATGTATAATAGTTCGAGTCTAAGTGTTGTTCAAACGAAGTGAAGCACCTCGGTGTTAACTTTAATGCCGAACCTGCGCTTGACAAGTAAGATTTGGCAGTCGTTAGGGAGTTTTCACGATTTGCTTTCTCTAATCCCTGAAGCTTCTCATACAAATACACATGTCCATATTTCTTCGCTTTTTCACGAGGAGAACGTGAACAAACCACGTTCAACTACGACGTTTCCCATGCCCTTTGCGCGCTCTTTTATTACTTTCCCCTTGCATTACGACTTGATGTTTATTCTGAAATGAGACATTTTGAAGGCGTTTTGGTTTCGTTCCTCGCTCTAACATCGCTTTACTTTCCTCTGCTGCCATCATTAGTCGTCTTTGATTTCGAGTTAAGACCGTCCCAACTGAATCGTTTTGAATTCCAACAAAACCACTCTCTCGTGAATTATTTATGCCTTTTGTGTTAATGTTCTCCTCAGATTGCAATAGATCATCAATTGTGTCGTATTCAAGATTCAATTCTGAATGAGGCTTCTTAATTTTGTTTCGTTTTCTTGTCACGGTGTACCACTCATCTGTTTGAGTCGTGTTTCGTTTGGTGCAACTTCTCTGAGGTCGTTTTTCTCGTACAAAAACCCAGTCCCCCGAAATCACTTTAGAGTCGTCTAACTCCATCTCACTTTCTTCTGCTGTGTCGTCATTGCTGTTATAACCTACGAGGTTCAATGCACGACTGCCGAATCTTGTTAACATTATATAAAGATAGAGCATCAAGATGGAATGATGCTACCGTTCAGGCATTGAGTGCGCACGACCTGCGCGCTTATTATGACGTCATTAATACGTCACCACTCTAATTGGGTCAAGTCTTTAATCTCACGATACCTATGCAAGAATCTCTCTGTCAGAAGTCGTTGTTTCAACTGTTCATTCCATTCGGCCGATTTCCCGATTTCTTATATATATTTCGCGTCCTACATGCTGCCCAGAATTGTAATCAGTATACATTTTGTTGAACTTAACGGTTTTTAGTAAAATTGTATCTGTACACACACACAAAGTGCCAATTTATTGTTCCAAAATTTGAATGTTGTATTTAATAGTTATTGCCATTGGCATTGTTGGTTTTTTCAGCTTGTATGCAAATTAGCCCATTTTAAATCACATGGTCTGAGGTGGGTTAATTTGCATGCAAGCTGAAAAGGTCTATTGCAGCATTCTAAAGAGAGAAAAGCAATAATTTTAATTGGCTCTTTACTTTCATAAAAAATCTGAAGTGCTCACTCGTGATGATGGAAAACATATCATTTTATTCACATGTCTTATCATAATATGTGAACTTTTAGATAAATTATTAATAAAACATACAACTATCAAAATTTTGTTAAATTCCCGCAGGTACTGGTGAAAAACTGAAGATAGAAGGAACACATACTGAAATCAATAGTGATAATACAGTGGAGTTGATACGCGATGCTAAGAATATCATCATCGTACCGGGATATGGTCTGGCTGTTGCTAAGGCACAGTATGCCATTGCTGATATGGTCGAGACGTTGAGAAAGAATGGCAAGAATGTTCGTTTTGGTATTCATCCCGTGGCTGGGCGTATGCCAGGACAGCTTAATGTATTGCTAGGTGATTATTACACAATCCTGGGAAAATAATTCTATTTTGCTCAATCCGGAGCTAAAAAATGTTTTTGAAATTAACGTTGGATTTTCCTCGAGATTTTCCACGAAAAATAGCCCCGGTGTTAAAACAAACGAGTCCGTGTCCTTCATCAAGAATTTCTCAATTTAAACATTGATTCAATATGGATTGAACGTCTGTTTTGAATTGCTGTATACGTCAATATATCATATTGAATGTATGTGTGACCGAACCATTAGTGTGCATGGCTATTTACTACGTCTCTTTTTGTTTTTAGCCGAGGCTGGTGTACCGTACGATATTGTCCTTGAGATGGATGAGATAAATGATGATTTTTCCGATACTGATCTAGCCTTAGTTATTGGTGCCAACGATACTGTCAATTCTGCCGCTCAAGATGATCCTAATTCAATCATTGCAGGGATGCCTGTCCTAGAAGTGTGGAATTCCAAAAATGTAAGTTCTTAACTGAATGTCTTAGACTTAGATATTTGTAATAACGCACTCTGGTGTCTTATGTAACTAGCGCAACAACAATGTTCCTAAGCCCGTTCTTCCATCTCTGACGTCACGTGAAAACCATCTTATAAACATTTCACTGACCTTTTATCAATGGTTTACCATGCTAATTTGATATACTGAGAAAACGATGCAGAAACTGTTAATGATTAGTTGATCTTTTTGGATAAATTTCTTGTAAATTTTAAATCAAAATTATTGTCCGTTTGAACTTTTATCAGCCGTATTTACCCACATTTTCCTGGAGGAACATTTTTGGTGCAATCCAATTATTTCAATTTTCATTATTTTCATTTTTGGGTGATTACATATGTCAGATGACTGTCAGACATGTTGTTATGATACCATACCATACCATACCATACCATACCATACCATACCATACCATACCATACCATACCATACCATACCACAACATATATATACCACAGCAGGCGCGCACGCCGTAGTATTTGTTATATGTAGAGCAATATACATATAGCATAACATAACATATAACCAGGGAGCAGCGTGGCAGCGTCTTCAAAAACTAGCATCAAATGTGGTATAACAACTGCCTAAAATAGACAAAACACTTCTCGACGTTTCGACCTGAGGGCCTTCGTCAGGAGAGTATGTATGACCTTACTAACTCTCCTGACGAAGGCCCTCGGTTCGAAACGTCGAGAATGTTTTGTCTATTTTAGGCAGTTGTTATACCACATTTGATGATAACATAACATAACAACATTGTTGTACATTGTATTTTATCACAATCGTGTTACGTGTTATTCATATACTAAATCGTACTAAAAACTTGTGTAACCGGTCCTCTAGCTGGTGGTTGTTTGAAGAGTCTACATAAGTCAAAGATTATATGTTTGAGCTCTGAATTACTTATGCAAACGATTAAAACGCCTTTCAAAATCGGCATGGAAGATTGGAAGTTATCATTAATTAATTGGATTTCTGTATGGTCACTGATCTAGATCAGTCGATTATAGACTTCCCCGTGGGTAAGAATTGTCTATTAAAACGTGTAGGATAACAATGTTATATATGGTCTTTATCAACCGCTTCCTTAAATTGTATATATTTAGCTCAATATAAAACATTCGAACGCTATGGTTGTCTGAACTCCAAGGACTTATTAAGATTATATCCTGGCCAAGTGTTTGTGTTGAGTTACAAAAATAGCACAGTACATGCAGCATAGTACATACTCATAGTATCCCGACTATCAGTATGAGGTTATTGGTGTGTTCTGACTGTCAAAGACATTCCATTAGGCTATATTACTTATTCATAATGGAATAGGTATATACTTTCCATATGTCAGATACCTGAATATTTTTAACATTGATTTGGACCCATTCCAGAACAATGTTGTTGATATACGAATGTTAAGAGGGGAAACCACATAATTAACATAATAAGTATATCTGGGTTCCGTCGCAGAGGAATTTAAAACATGTCGCGGAAACATGCAGACAAAAATCTTTGTATTGTATACAATCTTTATATTGTATATATATTATGTGTGTGTTTTATACTCATCTTATCCATTACTGTTGTTAGCATTTGTATACTTCGTGATCATTCTTCACGAGTTTGAATAATTGCATGGAACACACTGCAATGATTTTTTACATATAATTGCGGAAGTTCATATGTGTTTAACTATTTGTCTCCAGGGCATATAGGATGTGAGCCAAAATAATTTTTAATATCGTCTTTAGTAATCGTACAATTTTTTAATCGTAAAGAACGTTTTGGTATGGTAACACGTGGTGCTTGCAATTTGAAATAACAGCTAGGTCGGTATATACAAACATTGAGACTAGTGTAGGAGGATCTAGGCTACCTAAAGGTATACGTTTACACTGCATAACACACAAAATGTATTTTCATGAAATAAACAGCAACGGTAACCTCGGATAAAGACAAAACGATTCAGAGATAACATTGCTTTCTTTCGGAAGTAAAACGCCAATGTATTTGCTTCGTTTCAATATTGTGGTTATTTTTATTTGTGTAACCCACATAGAAATCTTTAAACACATCTTTGTACAAACAAAATCGTCTTGTTTTTCAGGTAATAGTTATGAAACGAACACTAGGCACTGGTTATGCTGATGTTGATAATCCTGTCTTCTATAAGCCAAACACATCCATGTTATTGGGAGATGCAAAGTCCTCTTGTGACAGTCTACAAAATCTGGTTCAGTCCATATATAAATAAATATTTTGAACATTTAATAAGTAATAAACAATATATATCAATATATAGTATAACTATTTCTTGAGTGACATGAGTATAGCTAGTGTGTTTCTACAAAAATGCGTGTTGGTAAAATCGGTCCTTCCGTTGGAATTTCAAATTTGTATTGTTAAATATTAAATAATTTAATTGGTTATTTTTGTATATATATCGTTTTTTGTATACTTTTACGTCTGATTATATGAACCAGGGAGCTCTGCATGTTCATTGGCTTTATTCTGCTGTATACTGCAGCCGTCTCCATTCAATAGTTAGATTACTGTCTCACTTCAACCTTTCGAAGGGTTGTTTAAGTCGTAGGTTTGCAATGTGAATCAGTGATTTTAAAGATATTTGCAACGAGCGTTTTAAATCTTGTCTCCATACGGTGCTGTGTAAGGTCACCCGAAGCAGGAAGACCCGAACGGAAACTTTTTCCAATTACGTATGTTCAATATCAAATCCACGTTTGCAACTACGTGTGCGCTTTTCCCGCAAATTAAATTTTCTTTGTCCTATAAAACAACAAACGAGAGGTTTACGATTGATGGAGGAAAGATGATGCAGACATGCACGTCAAATGACTGAAATGGTTCCTTTTTAAATATACGTAGTCATAGCTACAATGACGTCGACATTGACGATGTTTTTCTAAACTCGTATGTGGTAGATGCCGCTGTTTTGCCGATTCATATGAGAAGAGTAGTTTTTTCCAAAGTATACATTCTTCAGCAACGTGGTTTTTCTCCACTGAACGCTGCTATCCTTCTTCCGTTATCAGTCCGTGTACATCCCACCACTATAGTAATGAAAAAATTGGAAGATTGTATTTAATGATACTAACATTTATCGAAACCAGGTTCCAAGGCCACCAACAAAACCATTGCAATATATGCCTCTTAAAGAGCTAGATCCTTCATCCTCAACCCTCCAAAGCTGTGAAGCTCTCTTTTTAAATAAATATAAGAAAATACGGAGAGAATATTCTTGTTTCTTTCCTATGGTAGACGTGCATATATTGCATGCACTCCTTAATATACTTAAAAATTAGTCCAGAGACCCATGCAAGACTGTATGCTATTTGTGTAACATTTATGAATTGATAATGAGGTAAATGAATAGAATAATGATTTGTATCAGTAACTGCACTTGTCCACAAGTGAATTGTAATTGCATTAAATCAGATTTCAGGCTCCATAAACTGCTCAGCAACCATGCAAAGGATGTTAGGGAGGCTTGTATAAGTCTGACTCAAGAAAACAAACTGAAAAAAAGTCAATCAAATACCGTTTAATTGCTTTAAATTTGCAGTTCACTCTTGTGTGTATAATCCGCGCTGTTGAAATAACGAATTTGTTTATCTTAAAATTAAAATCCGTGTTTTTTGTGCATATATTAGTAAAGCAATTGGCTGTTATATGCATGTATGTATACACTTATGTTGTCCTTTAGAATTTAGACAACATATACTAGACTGAACCCTGTTCATTGCCAAAAAAAGAAAAGGCAAAGGAAAGTCAGTATACGCTGTACATATGGCTGTACATTTGTTAAAAAATATTGCTTGAACAACATTCCTTTAGATAAGGCAAAATAAGTCTTTAGATAAATAGACATGAATGCCAGGATTCCATTATATACATATCTATGCCAGTGAACCTATACATGGACAAATTACTTTAATTTTTATATAAAGGACAGTGACTTGAAATGGCTAACAGCGCAAATATCCATTTGTTAAATTACAAGAACGTGCAGAGTGTATATCTAGTGATATCGTACACGTTAAATTGTTAAAATCCTTAACTTTAATGCACACTGATTTAACGCGTATATAATTATACCTGTGGCTGTGTATAGTATTGGGGGGCCTATGTATTATTTTTAAAATATTTATGAGGTTATTGTTGGCGTTGCATGTTCACAGTATCAACGTATAATCGCTTAAGGCTGTTTAGTGAGTGATAACTTTAAGTGATATGATCGATATTGGTATGTGACTCACAAACTCTTTGGTACAGGAGAAGCTTCGGCGCGATACCAGTAATTATTATTCGTCGTCATCTGTATGACTGTGTAACAATAGTCAGTACAAGTTGAATGTTGCAAAATGTCTAAAAAACACCACTACTGCATAAAACGTTTCATGCTAATTGTCTAGAGAGTTCGTTTATATTCCAAATTGAAATTCCTTTGGTGAATGACTGACGAGCAGGTTATTCTTCTTACGAAGTCTGATTTTCTCTTCTGTGAAGAATGCGAAAAAAAGATATATTATGTTCAGAGGATCCATCCATCATATTGGCATGTAATGTACGTTTGTACAAAAAAGATATCAGTAGACGTGGAGATATGAAGCGTATCATGCAGACTATAGCTATAACTTTGTTCCACCAATTATGTGCGTGACAAAACAAGATACATTGTTAAAATTAATGTCTTAACTTTAGACTGCAACTATTCATTGTCAAACAATAACCCAGCATGTGGTTATTGGGGTTGGATATAGACCGTCATCAAACTTGATAGTAGAATCTTAATATGTCACGAAATGCCAAAATATTCCTCATGCAGTATGCAAAGCCATTGAAAAGATACTTCGCAAAGCTGAAAATTCGCCATAGCCAATCTTCAATCAACTTCAAATTTAATTACACATGCATGCAATGATAATCATTGAAATAGTTTTCTGGACTGACTGCATATAGTTCTAATGGTAATGTTAGGACTATTACTAGTTTGAAACGAAAGAACGGATCTAATTTTATGTCATAGATTTTAATGTTCTTATAAACTTTCCGCGTTGGTTTCTTTTTTCTACAACTTTCATTTGTACTTTCGAGTTTGGTGCATATTTACAGCATTGCAGGCCCGTTAGGCGCACGCTAACATTATATTGTCCAAGTATATAGCGGATATGACAGCAATTCCGGGACCATCAACTTCAAAGCTATCAAAATCCGTGACAAGTCTGTCAAGTATAGCGGAAACATGTAGCCTTGTTTGAAATAAAAATATCCAGTTAGAAAACTAGTGTAATTTTGTAAAGCGAAAGTCGATTTCTAAAGTTTACCTTAGGGTTTCTGCTTTTGACGACTTGTTTTCATTATCTTTTCTATTTGCAAACAATAGCGAGCTGTCATAATTATCTTCACGAAAATATATACATATTTACCAATCAAAGACGACTCAATGACCTATTAACATATCTATACCATATAGAGGGGTTTTATTTGTTAGACGCCTTGACATTGTTGCTGTCTATTTTGAGCTGTTTGAAGGCAATTACCAGCGTCGGCTACAAGTGAGTTCTTCACTGTAAGGTAAGATAGTTTTGTTTACTCTCTTGTTAGCAGAGTCAATACTAAATTATACTTTTATTTATTTTTTCCTTAAAACCAAATAAATTATAAATGATATTTTTATTGCGCGAGAATTGTTTCATTTTCTTTCTCGCATCGCTCACAGTGTTGTGCATGGTGCCGACCCGGTTTAATACTTCTTTGTCCGCCGTGTTTTTAGCGGCATTTCGTGCTTCGGTTCAGACCTATATAGCTCGTGCAAAGAAAACCATCCGAGGGTGACTTTGGCCTGTCTGTTGTACGTCCACTTTATGCTTCACTGGCCGAAAACATAACTGTTCCACTGTGTGATGTATTACATCAAGTCACTCGCCTGTGTTCACCGATGTAAACACTGTAATATTGTTATTCACTCGCTTACTTCTTCGCCACGCTACTGCAGCCATGTGCAGTAAAAAAATTAAGTTGGTTTCGCGTCGTACAAGTTGTCCTTGTGTATGCTTTCTTCCTCAACCGCCTCCGCTTTCTGTATGAGTCGAAGAAAATTCACCCAACTTTGAACTGATTAACTTTCAGTCGCGCGTGTTCAGTTCTATATAGTGTTTTTAAAAAAAATGAATATCCATGGGCATGACCATGTGGCATATCGTCGTTCTGCGGTCGAAGTTCTACAGTCTTAGTACTATGTGTGTGTATATGAGCGTAGTGTGGGTTGGTGTATTGCATACTTCATTAATTCTCGATGAAAGCGTTGAGTGTAAACTGGTGAATTCGGAAACACGCTCAGTGAATCGCTAACTAAGAGTAACGAAACATTAAATATATAAATGCTATATGTAACCGGGTTTCGTAGACACACGAAGCGTGTAAATTCGTAACGGCTTGCGGCAAAGGACTCAAAATTGATCCTGTTCTGTGGAAGACACGTAATCATTTGCCGTGATACGAAGGATAATTATCTAGGCTTATCCTTAGTTTAAAATAGTTTTATTTAGTTTAGTAAAAGTCGGGGCTGGATGATAAACAATCCGGCTCTCTTGTCTTGGTTTGTTTAACTATCCACATAGTCATTCGTGTCAATGAACGGAAAATTTTGTCATCATCGTGATGAAATGTCCGGACTCGAAAAGTCATCATCGATCGGTTATCTTCGCTGTGTCGGCTAAAGTAATGAAGCTTTGCAAGAGTGTTTAAAAATAGCTATTTTGTATCATGAGCTCTGGGTGCCAACGTTTGTCCTATTCAGTAACTGATATTAGGTTTTGTAGAAATATCAGATTTGGTAAAGAGAAGTGGTACTATTGAATATTATAAGAAGTTCAATGACTATATGTGATATTGCATGTGCATAATATAGCTACATAGTTTATATATGTATAGCTATAGATATAGTACAATATCAGAAACCTGTTGTTCTTAACCCAAACTTTTCGATGTATTGCAATCTTTGGATGATCTATAGTTAGGTATTGCTACTTAGTCTTTTTAGTTTTTCCCAGTGTTGGAAAGGTAGCTTAGCATTCCATATTGGCGCGTCACTGGCTGATTTGCATGTATATAGTATATTCAGAGTATACAACTCATAAATGGCCCTTAATTGTTGTTTGGAGTGCGTTTTGATATTTGGTATATTTTGTAAACTGACGTGTTCAATGAACTGTGTTTGTTAAATGGTGGTGAACCATACATACTGCCTTAAAATGGCGTCATATTACAGAGGAGGAACGTCTCTCACTTGGGTGCAATATTCTTAATGTATGCTGTGTTTGTTTATTTCCCAGCCGCTTCAAAGCTTGAGTAATTAATTCCTACTAAGCAGATTTTAATGATTCTATTTTCTTAGGATGAGATTTAACATAGTTCATGAAGATTGTATTAATTCAAGATTTCAGCGCAATAAAAGGCAGTGCATGCATGCAAGACAAACTCTCCCATACTCTGTTCTCAGTGTGCGCATGTGCAGTACATTCATTGAAATAACGTTGAAATTTAGAGAAGGCCAAAAATATCCAGAAAGAAATATCCAGTTTCACTTTTAATGCATAAATATAACAAAAAATCTTCACAATTCACGATTTATTTAACGGGGGAAAATGTGTGAAGCTACCCCTCCCACGCCATTGATATGCGTAAAGTGGCGCGTAAATTGAGGTGCGTGGCATCTACACGAATTCGCTAATTCGTTAACCAATTCTTTATAGCTTATACCTTATTAGGGTATCCTTTGAATATCAAACAGTAAATATAGCATTGGTTGCTCAGTTGTTCTGGAATGTATAAGGCAAATTTTGCTAAAATCAGTAACAAATCAGGTAGTTTAATTGTATTTGAGATGCAGCTGAACGCGAACTTAGGCGATATACGGATTATGGAGTGACTAAAAATCAGTACGGATTTCTTTCGGGAAAGTGAAAAAATCAGAACAACGCTGAACTAAATAAACTATATGTGAATGTCGTTATGTGCCTCAATGGGTCATTAAATCAGTTTTAAAAGATGTATCTTAACCAGATCTCTCGCTGATCTTGCATGCCAAAGCTTGCATTTACCACCGTCCAAACATTTTCATGAAACAATTGACTGGATAATACTGGTGGAATACTGGTGGCAGTCGATATCAAATTTATAGTGTTTATCAAATACTGATTGTTAGTGATATAAAATCTGTATGCATGTAAAATGTTTCATTTGCTTAGCTGACAAATCGAAACGGCAGATCAATTGCACTCCATGGTGTATATTTTACTTAAACTGGCTGAATTTTGAAACTTTATCTTTCATTTTTATATTTGCTAACTTTTGTATTCATGAATTTTAACTTTTTAGAATACCGTGCTAGTTGGTCACGTTTTTTATAAACTTCGTTTAAACGTTTACGCCTTCTATATAACCGTTATAAATCAATTATTTGAACAACGTAACACTATAGTTTATAAATATACAAGCCTGCTCTATGTCTGAGATACACTCGATTCCAATAGTGCAACTTGGTTGCAAGGTTGCATTAAACCATATGTTCCTTTTCAAATATTCAAGAGTTCGTTTGCGTGAGAGTCGTGACTGACTAACTATATTAGTGTCTAGGAGCTGAGGTCATATTCTCTGTTACTCGAGTCGAGGAGATTGTAGATGTACTGCTACTGCATGGAAACAATATACCTGATGCTGAAACAAATAGACTAGCAGCGGAAATAATAAAAAATGTGATAAAAAATGAAACGCGATGTTTGCACAAAATAAACATTGCAATTATCTTTAAATTTATTTAGACCATATTCAGTATTATGTATTATTCATTACTATGCTAAAAAAGCCTAATTCTCTATACTATGATGGCTCTTGCATAATGTCCTATTGCCTACTTCTTAACTTCAACGTTTCAGAATTATTAAGTTGTCATTACACATTAATTAATGTAGTATATCTGTTAGATAAATGTCGACGTGCATTCGTATAACCTCTTCATACTGATAGTATGTATTGCGTATGAATATTTGAACATTGCATAACTATAGATCGAGACTTTCGAGTAATGTATGCATGGGAATAATCGGAAAAGCTTGTTTCGGATGAATAATTTCTGAAAAGAAGGTAATCCACAACACATTGAAATTATAGAATCAATCTATCACGATCCATCAGAACACAAATGAAATAAACGATGGGCAAACGAAAGCTAGGATGATAATTTTTCAAATATAGAATCGTGACTACTAAGTATAAATTGTATAGAGAGAGGAACAATAGTTAAAGATCGCAACCTCCTACCAGGATAATGGTCCTTGAACTTTTAAATACCACGCCTACCTGGCCAGTCGCGCAGACTTTGTGGCACCAGTGCTGCAATTAAGAATGAACATGAAAAGATAGACACGTAGAAAAGATAAATATATTTAAGTAGTTTCTATAAATTGTTCATATTTATCACAATTAATGATAAGATTGCATATTTTATTATCTTATATTCCATGGTATCAATCCTGCTAAATCCCGACTGAATGTATTGATTCTCCATTGTCATTGTGTTATACTGTTTGTACCATAAAAACCTTTTTATCATATTTCTTACCGTATCGTGTGTTTTATTAGTAGCTTTTCCTCGTAGTATACTTGATTGATAATACGGTGAAAAGTTTATATCTATATTTATACTTCTATCACTTTTTTTTATCAACATTGGTTACTTATGTCGTATATATATTGTATACCTTAGAATATTGTGTCTCAAAATTTAAAAATGTCTGTAACAAACTATATTTTAAGAACCATACAGGAGCACATCGTCTATTTTCATGACAAGCAGCTTTATTTTTATTTAATTGTAGCATGAACCTAAACCAATAATTTTTCCGTTTGAACTGTTGACAGTGGCGGTTTACCCACTGTAGGCTACCTATGCTTGAACACATGAGTCTGGTTTCAGGAATTATGTGGCTAGTTTAACCTAATTTAGTATACTATATAGGCCAGCAATGTTTCCTCAACCTCCAGGCCATTGCGAAAAATAAACAAAAACACTTCTCGAAGCTTCGACCTTCGTCAAGAGAGTTAGTATGTTAACATGTTATATAACTCTCCTGACGAAGGCCTGCAATGCTCTTCGTCCTGAACGTCAAGAAGTGCTTTTGTCTATTTTAGGCAGTTCTTTCACCACCTTTGATGCTAAATAATTGGAGGACACTACAACGCTGAATGTTACTTGGTTATATTGGAATATATTATTTGGTTATATATTCTCCAACACATATGTTGTATACAAATCGTGCATATTTAATTTTCGCCTGGCTTGAGTAATCACAGTTTATATACCCAGAAATTGGATTCACTCCAATCTTTCCGAAATTCCCGTTTGTTTTCTTCGTGCATCCATTGGAGTGTATTATAAGTTAAAGCATTCATCGTTGCGCAAGCATTGTTCTTTTTGTAAGCCGGGGAAATATATTGCATGGGTTTTTTGTTTGGGAAATGCATTTGTCATAATGTGACTAAAGAAAGGCAGTGCATTTGTCATAATGTGACTAAAAGCCGGTAACTGGTAACTTGCAAATTAATTGCAGTATGAGGTAGTTCGCTAACGGGTGAAACACACACAAGAAAGATGTCCTCCAGTGTGATTAGAACAGGGAGAAGCAACCCAGTGTGCCACACCAAGCAACATTGATGAGAGCCATGTATGTTTGTTTAGTCTAGCACAAATTCGCTTTGAATTTTTGCACCACGGTTTTTTTCGGAATAAATCGAAGAAAATATCGATTTGTGAAGAAGTAGGAAAGAAGAAATAGGCAACTGACGCCGGAAAAAGTCCATGACCTCTCACATAATGATATAGCACGCGTTTCATATAACCGACACTAAACCGACTTTCCAACATTATCACTGGGAAGTCATACGGAAATATTGATGGCCAGCGTTGTAAGGCTGAGTGACCTGTTGATTCTCCATGCTGTGACTAAGGACTTTACACTCTGGTTCCTAAGAGATTCTTGCGGAGGAAGTTACTAGTTTTCAAGATGCTAAATTATTTTAGTCCTGCATATTTGCACAAACATTTCTTAATTACCTAGCGGACACCAATGACATGAAGTCGGAAGTTGACACTTGTGTGGATTTACATCAAAATGAACATTAGGCTCGGAAGTCAACACTTCTGTGGATATATACAACAAAATATCTTCTTATATACATAACAATCAATATGTTCTTTGACCTACACATTCCTCTAACCAGCTTGCTATCGCTATTTTCATCTTCCCTCGTGCTTACCCTAAACCCTTACGCTTGTCGCATATGACGTCATCAAAGAATCAACTAGTCACAAATGGAAAGCCAGGATAAGGCAAGAAGTGTAAACACGGGTTTAAAAATCGAAGTTGGCTTAGTTTGAAACATGTAGTTGACCTAATCACATATGCATTGACTACAGCTGTTCTTTGACATAAAACTAAATTATTACAGTATTATACACCGGTTTATGAATCATAAATTGAAGTGAAAAGGTTGAAAACCGACTTACAAGGCGCAGTGGATCAATGTTCGATATTCAGGGCAAAATTAATTAAAAAGCAAGCTTTCACTCCATGTATCTCTATTTAATATCCCACGTAAACAGGAAAAGCCACCGTCTCGTTTAACCTTTTGACCATCCAACCTCACTGCTATAGCTAATTATAGTCAGTTTTTTGAACTACTGTTGCAGGGGTGCATCATCATCTATCTCTTCCTATAGTAACTAAATAGTGCATGGTCATGGAAACTGTTGGGGCTGATATTGAGAATTTAAAGCAGTATTTTCTTTGCAATGACCATACATGCAAAACCTTAATTTCTGGTTTGTACAATTTCATTTTAAAGAACAGCTGCATGAAAATGAAGGTTCTCCCGCAGAGAAAATACCTTCGCTACTATGCTAGTCGGCTTGCTTGGTCTCTTTGAATGTGACGTTTTCACACAGTATGGTTCCTTTGGAGCAGAAACACCATTGTCCAAACTTGCTGCAGCCCTACGGTGCTCATAATTAACAACTAAATAAAAGATGCTTTGAGTCATTTTATCAATATAACGGAAAGCCTGACAGCTTCTAAATTTTAATTATACCTCCATAAAGTTACATATTCATGCACAGAATATATATAGATATGTATATATAATAGAAGATATATAGGTATAGTAACCTGACAATCAACATAGAAAACAAATAAATTCATATTTCAAAAGGAAATTTAATCCAAACATGACAAAATTATAATTGAAATAAATGTGGTCCACATCTAATTAAGTTTAAAGCGTAACACAAGGAAAGTTGTCCAATAATCTTGAAGAATTGAAATACAGTAACTACACTTTGTGGTAAAACCAGAAAAATTACTACCTAGCTATCACAAACAGCTTAATCTGATTGAAAACAAGCGAGTCAAAACTCAAAACCACAAAACGGGAGTCACCGATAATCCGGAAGAGTCTAGAATATCTATTATTATCTACACACATTTATATTGAAGAATCTTTAAGATCTTGACTGGTCAAAGTGAAGCTCCGAAGATTGAATAGATTATATTATATATTATATTGCGTGTATTAGCTGGAGATTTGCAGTCCCTGACGGCTTGTTTATTCGTCGTTTGAACAGCCATTGCATGCTTGGACTTGGATATTATTGATATTTGGCAGGGTATTTTATAATTGAAAGTAGTTTGACGGCGGTTAAATTCCATTTTATCACGCACAACAAGCTGTCATCGGCTCACTGCTTCTAATATCCCGCGCGTCACCACGGTTCACAGAATTGGAATTAACTGAAATTTCTCAATAAGAACGGACTCGGCTGAACGCTTCATGATTCACATTATGTTTTGTGTTAGTGATGTGATGCATAAGTTTGTTTGCGTGTATGAGGGTTGTTTTGATTTTGAGAATCTTGGGTATACATGCATACGTCTATCATTTATGCATGGGATGAAAATCAAGAATAAAACACTGTTCCGAGTAAATGCACCATCCGACAAGTTTTAGGCAAAGCTAATCAGGAGTGAAGAATGACTCTATTAGATACGCTCTAGTGAAATAATTTAATGCTTTGGAAATAATTCCAAAGTTTCTCACGCTTAATGGTTTTTTAATTTTCAATGGTTGATCCCTCGTTAGGCATTACGGCAAACTGCATGATATCAATAGATCGGTCAGTTCATCTTGATGTCAAAATCAAGGAGAAGAAATAAGTAAGCCTTACTTTAAGGCAAATTGTTTTGTATAGAGCGGTTTTGGGGTTGTTTAATGTCATGAAATTATGTTTAACTTATTTTGTTTACTTTGGGCATGCCCTAATCCGACTTTCTTCCCGCCATTAAGCACCCATGGACCAATTAAATTCCAGAGTTGGGCAAATTAGCATGGCCACTTAATTTTGCACGTCTTCGCGTCGAGGTTAATGAAATTTTAAGTGCAAACTGAATACATTTGTCTGTTTCCTACCAAGCTTTGCATAACACCACTGTCGGTCAATTTGAGATCAAACTAAACAATACGAAGACACACATAACGTCTCAACACACAACTATGTCTCCACTCTGATCAGTCAAATTTTAACTCCTTACTCTAAAGTAAAGAGTAAATGTGATTCTATCGCAGATTTGTTATAGGGTAAAGAAAACGTAGGTAAACATAGCTGCAGTTGGTCTAAGTATTCAATTAGTGAAATGCAGATATTAGATGTCATTTTTAGCGAGACTCCATGTATTATTTGACTTGCCTTTTATGGCAAACGAAGACAATGCTTTTTTGGTTAGATATCAATCACCAATATAAAGGCATGTATTACCGTCAAACGTTGCTCTCTATCACTAGTCTAATCTCAATAACTCGTGCAAAAACCTAAACCTTATTCAAACGTTTGGAGAATTTTTAAACTCAATAATCAGTACGCTGTTTATGATCACACAAGGTAGACTGACAACTAGTGTTTATGGCTTAGCATAAATTAACCATGTGTTAAAATTATTCCTTTTTGTTTTATATTCGGTTTAAAGCAAAGCTGATCATTCGTATCTCACTCTGTTTGGTTTTAGGTTTGCTGCGTGTAACGCCTGAGTGAATATTCCAAACGCCTCATTGATTTTCGGAAGTGGTCAGCGATGGCACATACCGGTACATGTCTTATATAGAGTTATCAACACTGTTGATTTTTAAACTAATTTATCGTAATTATCTTTATGTAATGTTCAACAAGAAATGTTTTTATCCGATATTACAGGGCATGGCGGAGTGAACCAACTTGGAGGAGTGTTTGTTAATGGCAGACCTTTGCCTGAAGTTGTGCGGAGAAGGATTGTAGAGTTAGCTCAAAGTGGAGTAAGACCATGTGATATATCACGGCAACTTAGGGTCTCGCATGGCTGTGTTAGCAAAATCCTTTGCCGTTATTACGAGACTGGCTCAATCAAGCCTGGAGTTATAGGCGGCAGTAAGCCTAAAGTAGCAACTCCACCAGTCGTGGAAAAAATCGCCAGTTACAAACGACAAAATCCGACCATGTTTGCTTGGGAAATCCGAGATCGTTTACTAGCCGAAGGTGTTTGCGTCAACGAAAACGTGCCTAGTGTGAGCTCGATAAACAGAATTGTTCGAAATAAGATTGCCGAGAAAGGGCCTTCAGTCAATGGGAATGATCATGGTGCATTAAATAGCCCGCTTACGACCATCAGTGATCTGAAAGATATTAATATGAACAACATTATTCAACGACCATCTTATTCTATAAGTGGTCTGTTAGCAATGCCACAACTTACGCAAGTACAGAACCTGCATAACGGCAAAAGAAAGCACAGCGTCGAAAGTACTGAAAGTACAGGTAAATATGCTAGTAGCAGTATTTGCTTTGTGAAAAATGTCAAATGTTGGGGTTTTGTTTTATGACTATAGCGTTTGCGAGAATAGCAGCAGAGAGTTTATAAATAAAACAAGTATACTGAGTTAAAGCTAATGAGATGCGTAGCCTGAGTGATATGCAAATGTTAAGAATGCATGTGTTGTGTCACAGTATTTGTCATAATACGATCTATTGTGAAAATGAAATACTGTTCCTGTAGGACTAAATATTCGCCCTGGCTGTGACTGTGAACTTGCGTTCGTATTTATGAAGGATTAAATCCAGGTGTTCCAGGTGTCAATGCAAAGATGTGTAACCTTTCCAGGGGGTGGCATTAGAGATACCTACATTCTCATGCAGGGTGTCAGAAAAGTTCAGTGACAAATTGGCCACTCAAAGCAGGGAACTGTTCGCATGTCAACGCATGGATTATTTGACGCAGAAATTTATACAGTTATTTCAAAACAGGATATTAGTAATATTTAGTATCAAAACAGGAATTTTAGTGTTATTGTGAAAGATGTTCTCAGTAATAATCAGTAGACTGCTTTGAAGAATTTAATCGTTGCTTTGATTCCTGCAGGACCTATTGCTTTCCATTTTGATCACGTAGGCTATCAGTAAGACGACAAGCGTCACAAAGGTCTTATTTCAACAGTAGCCATGCAGCTCGTATTAACCACATACAAAATAGCCGTTGACATGTCACATGTACGATTGTATTGTGATATCGCTTTTTTTCGTCTTAGTTGTCCGCCTATGACCTATATATATATAGATCATTGCAATAAGGCTGTCCAAGGCTAAAATCTTAAGGCTATCTTTTAAAACAATATGTCGGATTGAAAAGAGCTTTCTCGCTAACACGGTACACGACTCAGTACAGACAACAATCATATCATTTGTGTAAATATTTTAATTTTTGGGCTTTGGCCTCTTTACATGCAAAATAGGGAACCTGTCATTCGGGGTTTAAAGACGCTGTGAATGCATGATTGAAGACAGCCATAAACAGGGGATGCATGTACGGGAGAAAACACGTAGTGACTTTTTTAAAATGGTAGACTACGGGTATTATAGACCTGGGAGTTAGTCTTGGCTTTAGAACTCAAATTCACCAGCTTCGGCACATAGGTTTGATGTCACATATGTTTGATGTTTTTTCACATTGATTATTACATAGATTCTTAAAGTTAAACAAATATGTAAATCACAAACAATAGAAGACATGAAACTAAAAAAACCCGCTTGGCAGTTTCTAAGTTTTGTGTAGTAATGGAAACTGGTGCCGTGGTGGTGTAATATGAGAATATCTTTATAAATTAAACGCCTCTTTGACATTATGTCCATCAATACGTGTTGACGGGTTTTGAGAGCCTGTTTGTAAAACTTCTGCATGCGAGTGTGAGATATTATTTAATATCGACCAACTTTCCTTCAAACTCTATTTCCTCGTAAACTCAAGGGCGAATTCGGAGAAATAATTGCATTGTAATAATTGTATTATGGTTTTTTCTATAGGAAGTGGTCATTCTGACGGTGACGATGGTGAAGAAAGCAATCCGAATATAGCATATAAACACCAGGATACACCAAGACGTTCATTTGCTCAAGTACAGCTTGAAGCTCTCGAGAATGAATTCAATAAAACGAATTATCATGACGTATTCAGTCGAGATGAACTCGCAAACAGAATTGAATACGCTGAGCAAATTAGAAGCCAGGTTCGTAGTTTTCTCCCGTTTGGAAACAGGAAAGTGTAGAGGTCATATAGCATAACTTCTGTGCCAAAAGAGACCAAATCTGGTAATTGTCAAAATCCATGTCCCCGAATTACTAGAGATTGCTTGAATTTACACTGATTAAACGATTCTGTAAAATTACAGGTTTGGCTTAACAAGGATCAAACTCCTGGAGCAAAAGATACCACGGATAAACCCACTTCGCCACAACTTTGTACATCAACAATAATCCCACCACCACCGTACGTACCCTTTCCTATGGTTTCCAGTAATGCTGTAACTCCTGTTGATGGTGGCTATGGTCACAATGGTGTTTATGTGAAATCAGAATTAACGGAGTTGCATACCGTAGCAGAACCGTCATTAGTTCCTGGTCTTTCACCTCAGCAGCAACAACAGCAGCAACAAGGTAGATACTATTTCACACTGAGGAATGCCTACTCTAATCTGGCATCTTTTCGTACTTGATCTTCTATAAGTATAATTGCTGCTATATATGGGGCTGGCAACAGCCAACAGGCTCGGTGCAGCCTACAGAAACAGTATTTCAAAACAAGAAACACATGCAAAGTTCAGTCGACAGTAGAGAGTAACAAATACACATTTTTTAGGATACGAAATGGCTGCTATGCAAACTCAAATTTTACAAGACGGATTTGATGGTTTGTCGAATAGTTTATCTGCTAGTCAAATCAACAACCGTGGTCAACAAATAAATGGTTTATCAAATTCTAACGGTAATTCAGTCATAAATATCCAATCACCGACTGGATTTGTCCAAGAGAAATCCCCAACTCCACGTGTGATCAACATTAGCAATGGAAATATTGCTCACTCACAAGGCGATGCTCATAATCCAAGAAGTGGTACGTGATGTAATGATAGCTAGATAAAGCTGATTTATATAGATATCACCTAGAAATATAGTGAACTAATGTAGTGGACTTGTAGTGGACTAATACTAGTAATAGCACGATGAAAACACCCATAAGATGGAACTAGTGGAGATATTAATTGGAATGTGTACAGGGGAGAATAAAGAACTGGTCTCATTCCCAGGAATTGAGAACATTTATTCTTCATTTATATTTATAGGTTGCCACATGTTTTTGGATTTGGCCAAAGCCTGCGATCACTCGACAAATAATTACCGTATTACTTATAAAACTGTGTTATATTTAAACAGGTCAAGCAACACCCCTCCCTAGTCCGAGTCCTAACGTTCCCCAGTCTCCTAGTGCAAACCAATCATCATCAAGCAGCAATTTTAACTTCACCCTACCACCTGTAAGTACGTTCACTAAAGGTCCGGCAGTTCCAGCACATGGGGATCTTCCCCCGACCCAATTCACCTCGGCACCACCATACACCAACACGTCTGCTAGCTATCCTCCTGCGCCAGAGCAATGGCTACCTTATCCTGGACCACAAGGCTTTATTGGTCGCCCTATGTTTCTTAATTGGTATGTGTTTTAGTTTTTACTCTTAAACCGTTTAAATATTGACTGAAAATTCACACTACTGAAGCCTATATTTAATTATACCACAACCATCCTGCCTGGATTAACCGGAAGATGCATGTGAGTTCAAATCCCGCTCATTTGTAATTTTCTTCATTTCAGGTCCCAGGCGTCAACTGTCTCAACACAATCAAAGTAGAAAATAGAACATTTAATACCTCTGAACTTATTGAATAGGTTGACGCGGTAATACAGCCTGGTATTTTAGGTTTTTTATTTTTCCGATCCCTGAAAGAGTGAGGCGATTAATGCGAGAAACGAGTAAAATGCCACGTCAACCCATTCATGATTCGCTTACGAAAGTCGGATTTCGACTTTGTCTAAACCGGTAAAACCAGTTTAAAAAGGTGTAATACGGCTTTTTGTGTGCAATAGGTGTTCTCGTGACATTATTTGGTAAAAATCATCTCGTCATATATGAAAATCCGGAATATTACAATTAGAACCTTGGTTTAATGAACAGGAGGACAATGCGTGTTATTTTTGCAAATCATTATTCATTAATACTTTTACGTCCTTCACCACGCCTTGTGTGACAAGTGAAAACCAAGTTCAAGTCAACTATGTTAACATCACACAGTTTCACTGTAGTTTGATGTCAAAGAGAACTTATAGAAAATTGCAAAGTGGGCGTGAAAAAATTCTCTTTCTTTTACACCTCCCGTGAATGCCATTTAATCAGTAACGATTAGATGGTACACGGCGCAAACAATGGTTACATTGAGCTCAGCACTCATTCAAACAACATCTATTGAATCTCAATTTTTATGCAAACGTTGGTAAAGATTTGAATTTCGAGTTAGTCGACTATGCTATGCTATACGAGGCCCATATACTACTTTCTTACTGAAATTCACATGTCTTAAAGATGTGGAATTGTATTTTTGGAATATCAAAACGTTAAAGGGCTGGATAGATGGCAACAGTCCGGCTGTATGTAATAGTTAAACAATGTAGGCTATGTAGTAAAAAGTGTTCGGATATGAACATTGCCTGTATTCTAAAAACTCACTCAAACTCATTGTCATTGAGGGGGGTATCACAGTCACATCCTGTGAATCATGTCGTTTTTACTCCATCTATTTCTATTCAACTTAATTCTACGTCACACGCATTGAGTGCGAGTGACTTTTACAGTACAGGCAAATTCATTAGCTATTAGCCGGATGGCTGAATTTTCCATCCGTAAACCGCCTATTAGATTGGTTGTATATATTTGTCTATGCGTTTATATTTTTAATGAAGAAACATTTACGAACACTGAACACATGCACAATTATTATGAATACTTTTGACAAACATATATTCGCACTAAATTATCAACTTTTTTTATACTCACGCATGTACTTCATCAATTGATTTAGGAATGAAATTATTTAATGCATTTTTGTAGTTACCATATTACGATTGTAGATATACGTCAGTGTTACCGCAAATTTGTGTGAATATTCGTCAATCGGCACAGCCGATGATGTCTTAAATTTAAACTGAAAACTGTGTATTTAATATCTTTTGTAATCAGCAACACAGAAAAATTACAGAATTTCAAACTGAATTGTTTGTAAGATTCATGGCTCCAAGATACATGTGCACACTGAAAATCATGGCATATGACCATAGCTGTACGATCCCCCTTCTATCTTTCCTGCGTGGTATTTCAGGTAAAAAAGAATGAAGTTGTTTGACAAAATAAAAAATCGTCTTTACAATAGTGGATTATGTCCGTGTGAAGAATGCGCTTGACTTGCCTCTGCAGGTCAGGCATCCACAGGCGTGGAAAGATGAAAAGAGGGTAGGGGCAAAATACAGGGCTAAAAGACATTCATTAAATTTATACCTGGCTTCTTAGAGCCCAGGGGCGGTTGTATAAAAACGACCATGGTTGAATACGCAGTTTTCCGGCGGACTCGACCATGGTCGAATACGTAGATGAGCGCGGACTCTGGGTTACACCGACATTACGCCTGGACTGCAGATAACAGATTATAGATTTGTTTCTATGAGATGTTAAATGTCACCTATTAGTACCCCTTTTGTGCTTGTGAAAATGTTAAGCCGCAGCACTTAATGGCAAGACCTAGCTCCTGGGACTATTTCCCCGCTTGGTTAGCCAAATGACCAAGCCAAATTCAAACCGTTCAACAAAGTGAACCAACTACAGCTCAGTGGACTCCAACCAGTGGGAACAACCACTGAGCTACATTATAATTCCTATGTCAGTGGTAATTACCATGGGCAAAGGGGACCATGTGGCGTCAGCACCACTAAAAATCCGCCATCTCTTTTGCTTCACTTTCTGGCCGCGAGCATGTCCTCCAGGAATTATTATACAGCTCAGTGGGAACAACCCAACTTTGCAAGATGCAACATGAAGTATTGTCTTTACTGGTGTCCAGGTTGGGGAAACAAACATGGATGCAGCAGCAAAACGACGTGCAATACGGAAAAGAAAGATTTTACAAAATGCTGAAGACAGGATGAAAAAACTTACTGGAAATGCTGGAGTTGATTTAAAACATGAAGAAAATGTTGACAAAGAAACAAATTTTTGTGAAGCGAATGACAAAGATACTTTGAAATTTAATGGTATAAATGATGATCACCAAAATGCCAATGATAATGTTGACTCGTCTTATACACATAAAGATAAAGTTGATGGATATGATTATAGGAAAGAGAGAGAACATGAAACTGAAAAAAAAACAAATAATGAAACGTTTCATAGTCAAATAACTGCACAAAATTCATCTGATGTCAAATTTCCTAGCCTTGAAGATGATTGCAAAGAAAAAGGGACTGAAACGGATGCCCATATAAGGAAAGGAAAAGTTGATGAAACTGCAAATGAACAACTAATTGAGGAAAATGGAATTGAATTTAGTACAGAATCAGAGGCTATTGGCAGTGGAAAGGCTAATGTTCGGACTATAGTGGTGATTCTATTTGCTACCTTGTGTTTTACAAAATCACACTACATGCCTGTCGTTTTTTCAATCGTGGGGTCACCATGGTCTGACATAGAGGTAATTAATAATAATCCCTAACAGGAATTTGCAACTTCCATTTTCAGACCCCCAAAAAAATGAATAGACAAGATGTAATCAATCGTTAATGATTATTTATTTAAATAAAGTGAAAGAACCATGAATAACTTTTTCTTTATTTTCTTCTAGTTTTCATTTATCATACCATTTTGCATTTTGGAGATCATTTTATATTTTACACCAAATATAAAAAAGGTATGGAGTGACATATATCTGTCATAATAATAGGCAGGTATAGTCCTTGTATATTTTTTATTAGTAAGAACTTGTTCAAGTGTTATTGCAATGCTGCATTTTGGATTGAGTGTGCTAACAGAGACTGAAATAGTGCTCAAGTGGTTTTCTGACGAAATTCTGGAGTTAACCAAAAATTTGTTCGCGCAAATATTCAGTGAAAAATATACCTACTGAATGCAATCTTAAAAGAACTTTGGGATGCAATTTGTACAAATCCGTTTCCTAACTGCTAGATATTAGTAGATTCAAACTTCATGAACTGAAATGTTTCTGAAAGTTGAAACCCCCAGCCTGACTTCATTTTGCTGGGACGTTTTGCCAGCCAAGTTTTTCTGGCTCTGTGCTAATTGTTATCTATACGCAATCTGTCATTGTTTTGTGAAAGGATTATTCTGCTTTGATAAAAATTTCACCGCATGGCAGTAGGAGCCTAGTTACATATATTTTTTGTTTTGTCCTCTAAGGTTATGCCAACAAAACAAGTCAATATTTGGTTGTTAGCTTTGAAATTATGTGGAATATCACCTGGAATTGTTGATGCAATTAAAGTTTGGATTTTGGAAATTTTGGAAATTTTAACTGACCTTGCAATGTTTGTATTTGCTTTGGTAATTCTTCAAAATATGAAGGAACTTGTGTATATAAGGTGATGGTGACAAAGTCCTGGGAATGAAGTGAATATATTCCTTACTTTCTCCCAACTGAAATGACCACATTAAAATGCATGATTATACAGAAGCATGTCAAAAGGTACCTGTTTTCCAATTTTGTTTGAAAAATATAAGATATGGCAAAAACAGCCTGATGATATGGTAAAAGCAACCAGCTAATGGCCTTCTTTAGAAGGCATTGAGCTTATTAGTGATAATTAAATTTTGACAGACACCAGAAAGAATATTCTACTCAAAATTCTTTTTTTAAATACATTTCTTGAACTATACTACTATAAACTACAATCATATATGCATTACAAATGTTGTTTTAAATGAAATGTTGCAAGTTTGTAAGCGTGATTTAGCAGAAAGTTTGTGAACCTTTGGTTTGAAGAAAAGTTTGTGAACCTTTGGTCACCTACGTAAATTTGTGTGTAGCTAGTAATGTCTGGGAGTTCGATCATGTTTTTTTCATAAGTTGCTTATTCTTCAGTTCATCTAAAAAGCGTACGGACTTAATTTCTTTTCTTTTGCACGCATCTCCCCCGTTCTGACGTTATTACGCATAAGGTCTATTTCGGTTGAGGTGGAAACAGCCTTTAGGAACATTAACAATATGTTGTTTTAATTTAATTCCTATTAGAAGTCTAGGACCATTGGTTTTGGTCAATATAAATATATTTTTTCTTTACTTATTCGTCGCTGTACCAATTAAAGCCCCACCCCGGTTTCCTCGGGGCTCAGTCCTGGAGAAACATCACAAAAGCTGGTTATAACCATCAAACCTGGGTTAAAGCAAATCTTTACATCGATTTTTAAAACGCTTTTCAGTTACAAAGTTGAATATCCATATGACCATAAATATTTTCTGGACCGACAAAAGAGGTTTTAAAAACGGTTCAGAAGCACTCGGGTTAGCGCTATAAACGCAGCTTTGAACAACTGGCCCCTGCATACCACTGAGAATATATGATATCTGGAAGACAAATGTTCCAGTCACTTCCGGCTTGTGTTTTTTAGAGCAAATATTTGCACTCACTGCACGCCCGCTGGGCGCTGACTGTGAAAGTAAAAGTTCAATACAACGCATTCTCGGCTCCATTTCCCCTTTTCTCCAACGAATCAGTGAATCTAAACCACTGTTTTGAACAGAAACCTTCCTTCGTGGTATCTACTACTTTCTAGTGAAGAATCTACTTGTGGTATCTAGTGAAGAATGTTGGATTTAAAGAACAGCATAGAATTATACGCTCCATTTCTGAGCAACTACTGGCGCCATTTGTTGTCTATAGGTGTTGCTTACCTCCTAGCATTGTATTTCCTTCGTATATCAAAACGGAGGGTAGATGCACCTGACAAATCCAACGCGTGTGATGAAGCTATTGTTCAAGATTCAACAGAGAATTTGGCACAAGTCTTCAAAAGTGAGGAAGAAAGTGAGCAGATACCCTACCAACACCAAAATATGTTGTCAGAAAAAGAAATGCAGAAAAAAGCACAAGATTTTTACAACTTCATGAACCAAAGACGTTCTGTAAGGTTCTTCAATAAAGACCAAATTCCATCCCTTGATATTATAAAGACCATCATTCACACAGGTAGCACGGGCCCCTCAGGAGCCCATATGCAACCATGGACCTTTGTTGTAATTTCTGATGTGAAGGTGAGACATTAAACATACCTAAGATTACTGTTTACACTGACTATACTTCGGAAAATCACCAAATTTTTTTTTAGGTTAAAAGAGAAATTAGGAAAATTGTTGAGGATGAAGAGGAAATTAATTATCGTCAACGAATGGGTTCCCAGTGGGTTAATGCCCTCAAGCCATTGAACACAAACTGGTGTAAACCATATCTTGAAAATGCACCATATTTGATAGTTGTGTTTAAGCAGGTATATAAGATAACACCTGATGGCAAACAACCTACATATTATAATGAAATAAGCACATGTATTGCTACTGGTATCCTACTGGCTGCAATTCATAATGCTGGTCTGGTCACAGTCACCACAACACCACTGAACTGTGGTCCCAGACTGCGTATTTTGTTGAACAGACCAGTTAATGAAAAACTACTGGTGCTTTTACCAGTTGGGTTTCCAGCCCAAGATGCAACAGTCCCAGATCTGAAGAGAAAACCGCTTGAGCAGGTTATGGTTCATATCTGAAAAAACAGTTGGGTCACCAATGAACAACTAAGTCAACTACTGGAGACATACCTACTCTTAATCCAAGACTGGATTATTAGCAAAGCAAATCTTATTTTATATATAACAAAGCAAATCTTATTCTCATATGTAACATAAAATTAATAATATCAATCAAATTGAAAGACACAGTAAAATTGTTTTATTACCAGATTACAACTTTACTCTGGTTGTATAATTAATAATTTAATATGCTTATTAGCATAGAGACCTCTAGAGATTTTAGTGGCAAAATTTCTATCATTCTCTGGTGTAAACAATAACATTTTCACAAGTGTGATTTATTATTATTAAATAACCGTTTGAATATAATTCACTGCTGTTCCTCAACAATGCTTTTCATTGTTGTTAAAATATCAAAGCCATTTTTCCAAGGGATGACTTTTGGTTGAGCATTTTGAACATTCTCTTGAAGTAGTTTCATTAAAGTATACCCTTCTCTTGGAAACACATAATCACTGGGTTTCATCTGTAATGTTGCACAGTAATCATTTCGACCATCACCAATGTACAGAATAGTTTTCTCAAAAGAATCAGTATCTCTGATGTATGACTTCAGTACATCTCCTTTACACATATTAGCTGCACATTGACCACAATTGTGAGTGTGGTAATGAGAAATGTTTAAAAGCTGGGAATCAGACCACTTTGCAGGGTTGGTATATACTTCTCTGACAGACTGAGTAATATTACCAAACTCTAATAAGTACTCAATAAAGAAGGAATTGGAATCTGATATAATAACGCACTCAATATCATGACAGGTGATATAACCAAGCAATTCTTTCATTCCTTCAGTAAAAGGTAAACTTTGAAGACATTTTTCAAAGTCCGATTTTGTAAACTTCTTCTCGTGTAGTGAATGAAATACCGCAGCCATTCTATCAGTCCAACATACATCTTTATTATTTTGTAGATGTTTTACCTCATCACATAATTTTGTAATCCAAGTGTCCGTGTTGCCATCAACGATTGTGTGGTCAAAGTCAAAAATGACCAATAGTTTAGAAACCATTTTATCGAACTAAAGAGTAAACACGACTTCGACTACGGACTACCTGCAACAACCAGTCAATCACAAGCTCAATAAGAACAGTCACCGGCGCTTTGACACTTTTTATCCCCGCGTGTTTTACCAGACACGCGTGTTCACGTTGCTAGCTTGCGACCACTGCTCCCGAATGTTGGCGCCCGTTTTATTATATAGCGTCTGTGCGCAGGCTACCTGCATGGCAGGCGGTAGAAGAGAAATGAACTCTGCTATATACTCTATATACTCCATTGAATATACTCCAACTCTATATATAGTAGAGTTCACTGGGAGCGAATGATGACAGAGGAGTGGTGACGCCTGTGTTGACCCTGGTGGTGTGGGGAAATTTGGAGCACATACTGGATTTTTTCTGTCAAAAGAGCGCGCGGGGGTGCCTTTTTTCAGCTATACAATAACTGAATACAACGTTATATATTTTACTATTAAAGCGCCTTGGTACGAGGCTGTAACAGTGAACTCGGTTGTAACGATGCGTTGATGCCTGTAAAATAACAATCGTTTGCAAAATAGAAATTATTTGATTCCAATCGTTCGGAAAGGCAGGACTGCAAGGTTAAAAAGATGAGTCAATCAAGTTAGAAATAGAAAGCGCATAACTGCATTTGAACAGAAATGCAGTCTGGAACGTTCGTGTGAACGAATTAAGTGATTGTCTTCTCAATGTTTACCTTTCTGTTAATTTCATTGAACTCATGCCATGCTGCCGCGGTTCGTCATTATTAATATTTAAATTTTAAAATCTTTCATCTACAAACATACACACAGTCATGCTGAAGTTATATTCATTGCAAGATTAAGCCTACATTAATTTGATGCAGGTTCATACATATTTCTGAATCTTTGAGGGAATGGAAATATGGAGGATATTTTTCTCCATTTACTTCTTAATTTATTATTTCAGTCAACTTTCAGCTGCTTGCAATTTTCTAATTATTCATAAGCATTGGCGACTTTAATTTATTGTTCATGGATGTCAGCTGCAACAGATATTCAGTTACTAAAAATGTTTGAAAAAGACGTGAAAGCTGTTATCGTAATGATAAATATTTTGCCTAATATGTTTTTCTGTCCTTTTAACCCTTCCTAACGATAACCACAATAAGATTAGGACACTTTTTTTACCTTTTTATCCATCATTTTCTTATGTTATGAGTTGCTATGGAGATGCTAGATAGAATGTTCTGTTTTCAAATTAATGGTTGTCACAACGTCGCCAACTTCATCGGATTTAATCTTTCTTGTTTGTATCAGTGGTATTTTCTTATCTTTTCTCTAGATTATACGGTTGAAACCGTATCAAAATTACACTATGCGGTGTAACTTGTTTTTGGCATTTTTTTAATATTGTGATCTTTTTTGGGAATTTTGCTTATATTCTGGTGTTGATAACTTTGAGAACAGTGTTCTTGAAAAAACGCCGGTGTATATCGTTGATTGTATCAAGATGTTCCGATATTAATTCACTTATGACCAATATTATTAATAACGTGGCAACATTGAAACTATAAGTACTGATCGCGTTTTCAAGTGTTATCCGAAGCAGCGTTTCAATGGCTGAGGAGTAGTATATATTGCCTAACACCACAGACACAGTTGTGTTATTTTAAATGTTTAATTTCATTTTTAATTCACAACGCTTCCCGGCGTGTCTTGTTTAAAGAACTGATTATTCTAACGTTCTTGGACTCGGCAACAGCTGACTATGATTGAAATGAGACCCAAACACATGACTAGGCGTTCAAGACATGACACCGTAATCAAGATCGAAGTGAAAGCTGATTTGTATTAGTCCCGATCATGCTCGGCCGATGTATCAAATCTTTCGTTTTACAGGGTGTTGCGTAGCAACCGCGCATAAATCGGACTATATTCATTAGATAAAACGCATGAAACAGATAAACAGCAATTATGTGCAGCGAAAGTCGTTGAAAAATATCAACACGTGTGAAGCATTGTGTAATGAATCAATGCGGTTCACCGTCAGAAGGAAAGCTAGAAAACATTCAATTTGGAATAAACGCCGCTAGTCATTATATCGTCAGTCAGTCACAGTACAATCTATTTACATTAACGTTAGGAGGCAACCACTCAATATCGTTCACCGCGCTACTAGACTTATGTATGCAAATATCGGCATTCTGAGCCATTCTGAGCGTTTGTTGTGCGGGACGACATCTAACACAGTCTTGTATTTATCGTCTTAAAATTGTGGGTGCGTTAGAACATTCGAAAGGACGAAATTATAAGTTGTGGTTACCGTTATCCTTAAAAATACTAGACATCGTAATTCTTTTTTTTATCACAACTTAAATAATTTCTTTTGCTTTTCCCTTCGCGACGTCGGCAAGATGGGGAAGAAACAAAGTAAAATGGATCCTCATCAATTAATACATCTCCTAAATCGTACGAAATTTGAAGAAAAAGAACTGGAAAAATGGTATCAAAAATTTATTAAAGAATATCCGGACGGATTTATTTCCAAGCCGCAGTTTGAAAACATGTATCAAAGTTTCTTCCCGAAAGGAGATGCGAGGGAGTTTGCTGATCATATATTTCGTACCTTCGATGGTAATTCGGATGGCAAAATCGGTAAGATTGTCTTAATTTCTCTTATTGTGCAAAAATACAAAATTACTTTAAATTGCAATAAAAGATGCATGATTTCAAGTTATGTTAAATACAATTGTTTGTTTTGGAACTTATATATGCCGGGACATCTAAAAAAATTAACATATTTAAATTGGGCCGTTTGTTGCAACGTTCGCCAAAGTTTTTCATCAGTTGTATTACTTGCTTAATACTTGTTTTGTTGCTTTGTACTCTTACATTCGAACTAAATAGAAATTGGTTTTTTCGTCTTGGACTGAACTTAAATCTTTTAGTGTAGCATGTTGCATTTATTTCTTATGAATTCAATGTAGGCCAATACGGCAATAGCAATTCCTCAGGTTTAAGTTCTATGAATGCTTATTAAAGCATGGTCTCATTTTTCACCGACAGTCGGCGATGTATTGTTTGTGGCAGGTGACGGAAGAAAATTTATTCAAAGTAACAAAGCATTCATTAGTGATCACAGACAATACAGTCAATAGCTATCACCGACCGGTCGTTGATATCATTTGAGAACCAGGCTTTAGATTTCCATCCATCGCGTTGGGGGGGGGGGGATGAACATTCAATTGAAGATAGTACGCCTTCAATCGAGATATAAAACCATACAGCTAACTCAAATTTAAACTCAATTGATTAAAGTGCTTAATTTGATAATTTGCTAATCCGCCTTGGTACGCAACAAGCCGGGTGTGTGTAGCTAGGAGAAGAGGTACATATTACTAAATTGCAAAATTACTGTACACACTGAAAACGTCCCGAGTTTGTTCTCCAAAATTCACATAAATTTTACCGAGATCGCGGTCTTAATAATATTAAAACACAAATTTTGCCATCAATGCAAATCACGCGCAACTATTTCAGTGCGGTAGTACCAAACACGATGTTCGTCGTGAATATGTCGAGATGACGAGATGTAGCAGTACTTACTGTACGTGGGGCGCGTGCAGTTTTCATCCACGCGCCGGAGTTGACTACTTTGAGCTCAAAACTATTGGACGCAATATTAAGTTTTGAAATAAGCACAACCCTAATATTGAATGTCCAAAAACTGATTACTAAAATGAGATATTCGCCATTACTTTTTGTGGCTACAACTGATTGCGACCTGTCGCATTAAACTTTTCACGTGTCGCATCGAATGCAAACGAATGCAAATGAACTTAAACAAAGATCTTGGTTCATTTGCATTAGGTTCGGCGCATGAAAAGTTCGAAGATATACGTTAAAGCCTGCGCCCTGGTTAAGCCTGATTCTCATATGTCACCGACGGTCGCAATCTATTAAAATAATTTCAGTCTTTGAGTTTGACCGCTAACCCCATTGCGTGCGTAGCATATTAAACTTTGATCAGTTATCAAGATATAGCGATTAAGGAAGTATGTGTAATTATACTTGAAAACTATTCAGTGATACATTTGTATAAAATATTTATGTCAATTTCAGCATATATTTGAAATTATTGATTGATAACGTTTTTCCCTTTCAGAGTTTATAAACCAACCTTTTTGTTTTTAAAACCAGCGTTCTGTAGTTCTACTGAGACTAACTTACCTTTACAAGTTTTCGTCAATTTTCGGTGCCTTAAACCGCATCTTAGACGTATTTTGGAATATATTTAAAATGATACTCAAACGAACTTTGTTGCTAAAGAATTGCTAAATTAGACCCTGACCCAAATCTCTTCGTTAACAAAAGAGTAAGAGAAAAAACTCTCAGGGTATAATTGTCGACTCTCGGGGTGTTGAGATCCGATCTGTTGATTAGTGTAGCCTCAGTAACAGTCGGCTTTTTTTAGTACATACAACTTAGAAATCCGCTCAAGAAAATTGGAGACGCGGATTTTCCGATGTTTAGTAATTCTCTGTTCTCGGAAACGTATTTAATAGTCAATTCAAAAAGCTGCATGAGACTTCCTGTTTTCTTATTTTTTTCCATAGTTTGGAAATCGGGAAGGTGCAGCTTCTTCACTATAAATTAGATGCTAGTTGGACAATGGAAATAATACGGACGTTTGTCATCCATATACTAATTTTCTTTTCCATACTATGGATATAGCCTAGTAAATGGAAATGCCGGGTGTAGGATAATTATGTTCCATAGTATTAGTTCTCTGATTCTCCATATGATAACATGCACCTGCATAACTATTAGTACTGCTTGATAGCTGTGTAAAAATCTACGACATTACTTTGCTCTCACAGCGCCCCCCCCGGGGCGGTGGAAAATTTACCTCAACTTCCCTAAATTATTTTTCGTTGCCGTATATATACAGGTCCACCTCGTACTCAGGGTCTTTCCTCCCGTGGAGTATGAGGTTGTATACCATTCTGCATTTCGGCTGGCACTCGATTTTATTTCTACCCATCTCAGGCTCGCTGAAAAAATCGGTAAAACCATATAACCATGAGCATGCTTTGGAATCGCATTTTCGTATCAGCTCGTCAATGACAGTTTCGGGATATATACTCAAATCTCAGATATTCGGAATTTTCTTGAATTTTCTTATCCGCTCCTCGTTAATCATATCACCTTTAAAATCAACATATTTTTAGTCCCGGCAGAATGTATACCATAAATAATAATATAGCCTTTCCTGCTTTCAGATTTTAGAGAATTCATGGTTTCACTCTCAGTGACAACTCGCGGTTCTGCAGATCAGAAATTGGAATGGGCATTCAAAGTCTATGACGTTGATGGCAATGGATTTATCACAAGGAAAGAAATGCAATTGATCGTTCATTCCGTGGAAAAGGTACTAAACCAGAACAGTCGGGCTTATGATATGTCCGATAAAAGAACAGAAAGAATTTTTAAGAATTTCGACAAAAATCAAGATGGTGTACTCTCTTTGAATGAATTTTCTGAGGCAGCCAAACTTGACCCGACACTTTCACTTATGCTCAATGAAGCCAAAGCTGGACCTGGTGCGGCCGCAGCGGGAAAGATGTATTAACCTCGCAGTTGATTTTGAAAGTCAAATCTTATTCACTGACGCTTTGAATTATCAGTCAGTCTTTAAAAAGAGAGATTGTTTTTCGCTATCGCTGTATTCTTAGCTAAATCGCAACGAATCACTAGGATAATGGAATGGGCAATATATTTGATTTCCGCGGTGCTGTGGCTGTGCCTATAAATTACGGCCCCGGCTCTCTCCGAGAAAGGTAGACAAACAACTCTTGACTGACGTATTGAAATAATTATTTAGAGACTTATATAACGTAAAACTGAAAGTACGTAATCTACATAATCTTAAAACGTCACCATACGTGCATGTTAGCCTATATCATATGGTCCTCTACGTGCATGTTAGCCTATATCATATGGTCCTCTGTGAAAACGGAGATTAAGACTAATGACTAATGACTTCAGCTTCGACGGCACGACGGAATCAAAAAAATTAAAATATCAAGTAATATTTATAGTAAACGTCTTTGTCCTTGAAAGCGATATCTTCGTCTTACTCTGTATACAACTAAAAATGATAATATTAATTATTAATGAGGACAATTTGTTTCTGTTCCAAAGTTTATAGCCGCGGATGCGTTGTCGTTCTAAATCTGAAGTCAAAGCCAAAGCTTATTACTTTTGACTACAAATTGAAATAAAAAGAAGTCAGTGGTATATACATTTAATAATTTATTGCACAAAGTTCAAGCAGTGTAGTGAAACTAATATTTAGCGGGCTGGTGCAATGAACAGTGGTGTTACTGGTGTAATGGTTTGACTGATGGTAACCACTCTGGTCTAATTACTTTTCCAACTAACAACCCCCCGCGTAGCCGCAGTTGGAAATTGGTTGTTTGCAATGACGTTTTAGTTCACTGGCAGATGCAAGTAACAAAAAGAGAATATTGTGGTTTTTTGGTCGAGTGTAGAGATTGCCATGCGTGCACAGTTTATCGTTTTCCGGTTGCCTTGAAGGGAAGAGAAACGCCCTGAGATTGTTTGATTTCCCGTCATTCCCGAAAACAAAGAATACGTTGTTTCCAATATATCTCTAGCGAATTTTTCTTATTTTCTATAGCGCTTTCAAGTTCGGTAAATTAAACCGATAGAAGTGCGTGTCAGAGTTCTTATCCTCAATGCCGGGTCCAGTTCTTGCTATGGAACTTACTTATCCCAGTAATCACTTTCTAACCACAATGCATCGCGGGATTAGATAATATGATTCATGGATTTCAGGAGATTTTGTAAAGTTTTTGGATGATATGTTCAGATTTAATCGCAATTTTTAGCCTATTTTACATCAACTATGCCTCGAAGTAAGCAATCTGAATCTCGTTCAAGAAGTAAGAGTATATCGCCCCGGCGCAAAAGCAAAAAAGATAAGACCTATCGCCGTAAGAGCCGGAGTAAAAGTCGTTCTCCAGTGAAGAGGCGATCACCGTCACCAAGTAGTTACAGAAAAAAACGTAGTAAGCGATCAAGAACTCGCTCTCCTAGTGTAGATAGGTTTGGAAGAACTGTAAAGAAAACCGATAAACGACGAGATGAAAGCAGCAGGCAAGAAGAAATGGAGAAACAGAGAAAATTGTAAGTGAAGTACATGAAGATTCTGGGCTGATAGGTTTGAAATGTCGTTTTCAGAAGACAGAAGAACGAGACGAATCGAATATAACATAGTGGGTCATGTGCCTGTTGTGTTTTAGGAAAACACTTGTATGGGGATAAGGGGCCTAACAAGGCCAGTAACTCTCTTTCTGCTCAGCACACATGTCATGTTTCATATAAGTTAATAACTTAAAGCTTATTTTACTGAACATGATAATCTGATTCTAGGAGGGCTGCAGAACGACAAAAAATGATTGTTGAAGAAGAGGTAGCAAAAAAGGTTGAAGAAATGGTTGCTAAACGTGTTGAAGAAGAACTTGCTAAACGTAAAGATGAAATAGAACTAGAAGTACTCAGGAGAGTTGAGGAAGCTAAATCTGTAATGGAAAAACAAATTATAGAGGAATTTGAAAAAAAAAGATCTGAAGAGCAGGAATTCCAACAGAAGAAGGAGGTAATGTGTTTGCTACCTTGATTATAATGTTCTTTTTACTGTTGAAGGTCTGATTTACTCATAAAACAATTTCTAATCTTAAAATTCATTTTACAGTCAAGAAGCAAATAAACATGTTTATGAGCAGATTAAACATGTCAACTGTTACATGCAAGCATCTGTAGATGTTTCTATAGCATGATATAATGTTTAGAGGCCAGACTACATTTTGCATAGTTAATCCTAGTTAACTCAGAAATACGCAACTCTGATTGGCCAATTCTGTCCTTAACTACAGTTAAAAGTTAAGTAGTCTTTTATACAACACGCCCCAGATTGACCAATGGCGATATTGCAGTGTTTGTGGATGAAAAATTATATTACCTCACATTTAGTATTCTATAAAATATTAAATTTCCTTTGCATAAGACTGGATGGCAGATATTGCTATTTCAGATAGAGAATTTATGTTGTGTGAAAATAATGTTGTAAACTTGATTCATATATTTATTTGAAAGTTAACTTTTGTTATAGCTTTGTTTTGAAATTTATTCTGAAGTAAGCACTGCAGTGAAATGCTTCTTCAAACTTCAAAGTCTTTGTTCTGAAGACAATTTTAAAAACATTTTGGATTGGTGAGTCCCATTTATGAAATGGACTAAACTAAAGAACAATCCTCTTTAACAAACTCAGAGCTAACTTCATTCTGCTCCTAACCAAAAGAACAATGCTGTCCACCAAACTCTCGAGCCAAACTTAATTAAAAAAAATTTAAACTGTCTACAAATAATTCATTTGCTCATTCACATATCCTTCTAGAAATTAGCAGATTGTGGAACTTCTCAACTGGTTTTAGGAAAATTTCAATTTGCACTGCTTTAATGTATGTATTGGAAAATGTAGAAAAGTGGCTCTTTCTTGGTCATTTAAGTGGATATATGTAATGAGAGTAAAGTATTGATGAAGAATTTCAACCGTAGCTACTTGGAACCCAGAGTGTACAATTTGAACATAATGGCATTCTTTGTCATATAATAATGTTCTCATTGAAATTAACCAAATCAATTGCAGTTTGTAGGCAATCACATGTAGTTAATGGTAAAGTAGGTAGACATCACAGGGTATGCTACACCCTGTTGGTCAGTTAATTGTTAACATTGTTGGGGAGATTGTGTACTGGGTGAAAGACACCTAATTAGGTAAATATGCCTGTGGGGATATCTGTAGTTAAGGTAATTATAAAAGGATAAAAATATGATGAGAGTTGTGGATATAACCATTCTAATAATTTTTCAGGAGCAAGAAAAGAAAGAACGTGAGCGCCTGGAAAAAATAATTGATTCAAAAAATGCTGAAATTGAGGAAATAAAGCATAAACTGGTAAGCAAAATTGTTAATGTGTTAATTTAGCAATTTGCTGAAATTGCTAATCACAGTAGGGGTGTGTTTAATTTTAAAACTGATGTGACAAGTTTATGAAACCTACAGTTGCCTAATTTACTCTGTCAAGCTTTACTAATTCATCTGTTGCAAGTTTACTTTTAAATTCTGTATAGGCAGAGGAAAAACACATGGCCTGCATCTTTTGCCCCATACCTGATATTATTTAACTGACTTTTAAGAATATTGATTCTTGCCGGGCAGCGTGAATACAGCGTAAATAAATGCTCATTGGAGAACAGAAAAACACTGTATGTCAGTTTGACATGCTGAGCTGAGATCTTCCTTTCAACATCCATGGTTATATATTTTTACTTCATCCCCTTGACCAAAACTGATGAGGATACTTCATTTTGTTATAAATAAAGGTTCAAGCACAGCTTAAAGTGAATGGAAGATGTGTCTTACACTGGCTCAAATTAATAAGTGTGCGCAAAACCAAAGGTTTGATTTAAAAATGAATTCAGGTGTACAGGTAGTAGACCTTTCCCCTGCAAAATGAGATTATGTTTATACATAATATTGAAGTCGATTTTTGCCTGGCTCAGCATCCTTCTTATCTTTTCGTTTGAACTTTGCGCCAACTTATTTGATATAAACAAACTTGTCATCAGTACCAATAAAATTCTACCGAACTTAGTTTTTTCTTTGGGTGGTATGACTTGCAGTGCAGAAAAAATGAGGTTCAATTAACTTTGATGTGACTTTCATCTTCTGGGTAATGTTGCCAAATTCGAAATACCGTTTCTTTCAAAATATGGGAATATTTGGGAATATGCAATTTGGCCCCTTATTATATAATAAATAAACTTTTCATATAAAGGGTAAGTATTAGCAGCATCATTCTAAAGACGACAGACAGATTAGGGCTATTTATACGAGTGAAAATAAGTCGCGGCCTAAATAAGCCGCGGCTTAAATAAGTCGTGAAGGGCTCGTATAAACGGTCATTTTGTTCGCAAGCCGCGGCTAAAATAAGCCCAGGGTTGAAGCCTAGGCTTAAATAAGCCGCGGCTAATTGTAAATAAACCGTTTATACGAGTTCTTCGCGACTTATTTAAGCCGGCTTATTTAGGCCGCGGCTTATTTTCACTCGTATAAATGGCCCTATTGTAGTTTAAAATCTGTGAATACACGTAACAGTATTTGTGGATACAAACCAGTTTCCCAAATGGAAAGGTGTTCTATTTATTATGAGGATAAGTGGAACATGTTCGACGAAGTTTTAATGACATGGTTTGTCAACTCGTTTAAATTGACTTTTATTCAGGCGGAGGAGCGTCTTACAATGGTCGCGGAAAAGAGACAGTTAATTGAAGAAAAACGTAACGCTATGGAGGAGATGAAAAAACAAGAGAAATGGGCACAAGAGGTCATACTCAATAAAACGAAAAATGCAAGACCGAAGTTAAGTTTTGGGTTTAGGTCAAAAGACGGTTTCTAGGTAATCGGTTAGGAAATTAATGCTGTTTTTTTCTAGGGCTGGTTGGGAAATATTTATAATAGTATGTTTAATATTCTTACCCTCTCAGTTTTATTGAAGGAACATGTATATATTAAACTTTAATGTATGTCATGTACAGATTAAAATCTAAGTTCGTACTGTAGCACATGTGATGTGATTATTAATATTTCGCATTGAGTATTGAGTATCTCATTGCAAAATAATTATTGTATACCAGTTATGTCTACATGATTAGCCCATCAATTCTGGGTTGCTGAATTTCGGTTGCTGTAGTCTGTACAGCGTATAAATTGTTGTTATTTAAGGGTCTAATTCATATTGTTACCAAAAACATGGCAAATTTAGTCATCCGGGAGAAATGATTGAGATGAATGAGAAATGATTGCATAATTTGAATGGTCTTTCATATGCATTTCTGGTCTTCATATGTTGCGTTTAATCACCGACCTCTGGCGTAAAATTCCTCGACGAAGAGAAGAATTTTTCACACCAGCTGATGAATTACGACATGGAAACCAGGCTAAAATATACTATATTTATACATGTGATATTGTGTACTATAGGAACCCGAAGGTACCCTAGATCTGTACTCTCACTAATTGTCATTCTGCTGCGGTTAAGTAGATAATTTAAAAAATTACAAAATTCTGATTTGTTTGTGTTGAGACTTGAAACGTAGGTTATTTTTCTTGTGCGGAAGGTGTTGCTCGTGCAAAAGATTGTTTTCAAGTGATTTGGGATTCCTTCTTTCTTTTGATTATACGCACCATGGACCTCTTTCAAGATTTTTTACGTTGGGGGCATTTTCCATAAAGGGACCTTCATTTTTGAAATTTAGAGTACAGCAGATGCAATATCCTTCGTTTTGGGGGTGTGATTTTTTACAATATCGAATGTAGGTTGCTTTTGAACTATAAATAACCAAAAACTCATCTTTTTTTTCTGAAGAGGACTATATACTTCCAACAATAGTTGGAAGTATATAGTACTCTTCATCCTGTAGCATTTTGCGGGTCCGTGTATTAAACCCCGGCGCTAATCACCCTTCCCTCCTGCAAAATAAACTCTGAGCTAATATATTTCATTTGAATTATAGGAATGGATCTGAATTTGTTTAAATCCTTGTTTACTTGACATATCTGTTCATATTAAAATAGAGGGGCCTTCGCCCTTCTTGTGGATGGGAAAGTATGATTAGGGGGAGCCGGGGGGGGGGGTGTTAAGACGGACTAGCGGCAAATACCCCCTGGCTTATGTTAACCAGACATTAAGTGATTATGAAGCGTACATTCTACCCAAGTTCTACCTCTATTTTAATATACTGTGATTTAATCAACCTCTAGTTTGATTGTACCTGCAAAACTAACAAGCTAATCAAACATTTTATAACATCAGGCTTTCTTATGCATAGAAGGCTCAATCTTGACAAGACAATACAAAAGTCATTTGCAAATGCATTTTATTTACTAAATGAATTATTACATTAAATTTATATACAACACAACCCAAGTCAACTATGAAGATCTGTTCAAATTTTATTACAATTCTACATTTTTGGGAAAATTATCTAAATGTTCAAAGGTATGCTGAATTTCACTCTCTTTAACACTAACCACACGCATTCCTCGTTTATCTTTGCCGAGTGGAAACCCTATTGCACTGGTAACAATCATTTCTAAATCACCATCAAAACCTCCAGCATTTCTATGATAATGTCCTGCAAACACATATTTCACACCAGCATCTTTTAACTTTTCTAGAATTTCTACTCTGTCCTTCTTACACAGGTTAAAGTATTCATCTTGTTCTTCAACACTCTTCAAAAACCATGGAATGTGTTGGAAAACAACTGTGTGCTTGGCAGTTTTTGCCAGTTTTAATTGCTCATCAAGCCACAAATCATGATCATTTTTCATGTCATCCACCAAAGTGCTATCTTTATAATACTGGCTGTTCAAGACGATAAATAATGTACCTAAAAGATTTGAAAATGTATGTTGAAATGCAACAGCTCTTTATTGACATATTGCTCAAATTTGGTGCAAAGGGATAAACTAGGATGTAAGATTAAATTGTAAATGGGTCAATAGAAGATATTTTTTGTAAAGGAAATGAAGAAAATTATCTGCAAAAAGCCTTAGAAAAATGCTGAAATTACTGCATCGATCCTTGGACATCCCAGATTAGTGAGATTACCAGAGTATGGCAAAATGTCAAATTTAATTTCTAATGCCCAATGCATTGCATTGGATCAAAATTGTAATGCATTGCATTAAAAACATCATCTACCTCCAACCCAAAAACTGTAATAATCATCGCCATAATTGCTTCTATATTTAGTGATGCTCTCAACAGTGGGTTGGTCGCCAATATCATGGTTGCCACAGACACAAACCAATGGTATCTCAGGGTCCAACTGCTGGAATGCTCTCTTAAAATCTGCAAACTGTGCCTCATAATTTCTTGTGCCTGGAAAAGCATCAATCATATCACCGCAGACAACAAAAAATCTCGGCCTGGGTCGAAGTTCATTGGCACATCTAATGGCAAGTTTTGTCAGTTCAATTTCGTCTTGCCAATTTTGATTTTCCTCTGGAACCTTATTCCAATTATCTTTTAGGCCCAGCTGGGTATCAGCACCGTGTATAAATAGGAAAGGTCCCGTCCATTTCCCCTCCTTTTCTTGCGAAAAGCCAGGATATTTTTTGTCGCTTGGTTTTGTTCCAAGACCGCTCATTTTTATCTGTTCTTTGGCACATCCACTCATCCAGGAAAAGAACTTTAAACTTTTAGAAGGTGTCTTCGGAAGCTACTTCGAAGCATTACTCCGAAGATAGTTTTCCGAAGTATTCCGAGTTCCGACATAGGTTCCGACTCAAATTTTTTCGAGTTTCGTATTTTTATCAGTGTTTTGAAACGTTCACTAGGGATCTTAGGCATTAAAATAACAAAGACACTGGACAGACTTGATTTTTTAAAAACGTTTTTTAGTATTAGAATATAAACTGTGGAATTCCCAGGGGAGGCCGACAGTAATGTTGCATTGTTGCGCATGTTATGAATTTGTATGTTGTAAACTGGAGTATAATACAAGTATTATGCCTGTATATGTAAAGATTTGTTGGAATCTTTTCTTGCCTTGTTTTGTTGTATTTTAGTTTTTTCTACCGTGATTTTCCAACTAGGCTAATTCAGCTAAATTATATTTTGGCAAGGAGGTATTTAAGCAATTTTTTTGGGTACTCTATGCTTTGTGCGTCAGTCAAGCTTTGTTGCCATGGATATATTCTTCAAGACTTTATAAAAGGTAAGGTGCAAAAGCTGCAATAAACGGTGGTATAAAGCTATATTTTGCTTATAAAACTGGAAAGAAAACGCGATAAGAAGAATTTTGTATATTAAACAATTCATGTACAAATTACTGCTCTCCTAGCCTGCGTGGCATAGGCTTCTTTACTATGACGTTTTTGGAAAGTATCTGGCTTCATCTTTCATAAACATGGTCGTCTAAATCCCATTTCAAGAAGCATATTTGTCAGTATGGAAGATATTGGCGAGAGCAGTTCGGAGTTGAGATCGATAGATGGTATCGAAAATGGAGAAGTGGATAATTTTGTCAGCAATAACTTAGAAAACGGATTAGAGACTATTAATGAACAAGCTGAGAGTACCACTGCTAGGTCTGCCAGTGGCATTGCAAGTGGAAGTATCAATGGTGATGAAAAACCGGAACTTTCTGATGTTTTTGACATGGTTTGTATTAACTCATATGGACATAAGATAAAGTGTGATAAAGTTTTCCGATTTTGCTTGATTGTTCCTGACAATATAGTTTGAATCACCTAACATTCAAGTATAAAATTACGTCCTAATTAATGCTGACGGGGTCTAGCTGCCTTTCCTCGCATATTAATTTTTACTGAGAGCTACATGGCACCCTAGCCTACATAAATAAATCATTAGGGATGGGTGTAAATCAGCAAATGTTGTATCGGGTTTCCTAACTACCTACATGCAATGAATTGAATGAAACATGTCTAGCTAGTATTTCATTTATCATGCATGTTTTATAATTATTTAGGGAAAAGAGTTTCACATTTTTCACAACAGTGTTCAACTTAATCCAATTCTAAAATGTTAGTCCCTGGAATGCTTTTTATAAATTTTAAAATTTTTTTGTCAACAGATTCCATTAATCAAAAAGAGAGTGACATTAAGTCAACTTAAACCAGACATGTGGACAACTGAACATAATGAGGTTATCATCAAATTTTTGAGAGACACAAAATTGACTGTCCTAATAGCCTATGTGGATCCAAACACAGGTTTTCACATCAATATTCAGCCTCCAGCTTATAAAATGGAAGAGATGTCATATTTAATAAGACAACAGGGAGTGAAGTTGACACCAGAGAACATTGGCAAAAAGTTGCAGTTTGGTACAATAAAAGGAAATCATATAGAGAGTCTGCTCAGAGTCATGACAAATGTTTATGCACCGTTAATTTTTGGAAACAAATCATGGCCAGTCAGTATCCTCTTGTGTTTTTTAGGGAGTAGGACTGCAGCATCTTCAAAAAATACCTTCACATTAAATGTGGTATAAATTACCTAAAATACTGACAAAAACACTTCTCAACATTTTTGGAGATGCACATACTACTTGAATTTGCATACTAATTCTCTCTACAAAGGCCCTTTTTGAAGTGTTTTTGTCTGTTTCAGGCAGTTTCAGTCATATCATGCACACCTTGCCCATCGAAATTACCCATGATTAATGCCAAATTCTGCCCAGAATGTTCACCTTGTGGCATTCTGAATTGACATGATTAAAATATCAGATCAAAAAATATTTAATTAGTTTAATTTTTTATAATGACTTAACCTGAATCAAAGGTATAAAGAATGATTTCTCTGGACACTTGCATCGTTTTATGGCATCCCTGACAGATGCTAGGCACAAAATGCAAGGGAAAACTGTATTGTATATTCCTAATGAGAATAACAATTTCACTGTTGAACAAGCTGCAAAGAGCAAAGACTATGTACAGAGATTAGAAGGTCAGTGAAAGCGAGATTTCCAAGAAAATATGCGTTGATACAATAAGCGTGACCTGTTTACCAAGTTTTTATCGTCAAACTGTTTTTTCTTCGAACTGGTCAACAGATTCTGTGTCAAACGGTGTTTACTGGTTTTTAATTTAGTCCATGCAAACATGCACCCGTGATTGGTTGATTTGGTAGACTTATCACATTTGATTGGTCCATATGTACCCTCAGTGGTAGCGGTATTCCAGGGGCCAGTTGTTCGAAGCTAGGTTAACGGTAACCCTGGGTTAAATTTTAATCCAGTGTTTTAGTTTTTGTGCTTCTGAACCACTGTTCGTTTTAAAACTTTAGAAAATATGATTTCTATCAGTTCAGAAAATGTTGATGAAAAAAGATATTCAATTTTGTAAACAAGCGATTAGAAAAATTCATATAAAGATTTGCTTTAACCTAGGGTTAAACTAACCGGCTTTTGAACAACTGGCCCCAGCAGTCTAAAACTCGCTATTCGGGAGATTTTGCACGAGGACGTGAACGTCATGTTAAACAGGACGTGAAAATGGCGAATAAATTGCGTGTTGGGTCTATATATGGACATGCCACGCCATTCGGCATTTTCACGTCGTCTTTGACGTTCACGTCCTCATACTAAATCTCGCTATAATAAGAGGCTCACGACTTCCCTAACCTCGTATACGTGAACTTCATGCAGATCTCAATTTTTTCATAGCCTCGATGATACATTGGACCCGCCAGATTAAGGAAGTGTTGAGTAGTCAGGACACGTACGAAACGGCCGAAACCTCTGGTCCTTTAGAAGAAATTCAATTTTGGAACAGCAGATGTATGGATCTTTCAGGAATCAGTGACCAGCTTGATAAACCTGGAGTAAAACACATCCAGAAAATATTGCAAATGGCAAAATCATCCTATGTAGCTCCATTTATGAAACTTTCCAAGTTGATTCAGGTATGTCCTAATTCATGAACCAAAACTGAGATTCTCTGTAGTAGGAGATACTATTCTAAAATTAGAACTATCCGATCTGTGAAAAACAGGATATACGCAAGTTAAGAACATTCTGGGTTTAAAAAAAAATTGCCTACCCAAATATAGTGTAACGACGTAGAAACATTGTGTAGAGTGTTCGATTGTATTTCAATCATGCCTAGTAGTGGAACTCACACACGACGTGTAAAAACCCAGATCACACAAGCTGTTCCGGGTTCATAAAATATGCACACATTTCTTCCCTGATCTTCTATTGTATATGTATCTTTTTTTTCCCGTTTAGGATGGATCTGCCCAAGCGCAAAGTAATTTGAAATTTTTATCAACACTCAAAGCACCTTGCGAAGAGCTTGCTGAAGCGAAGCCAAAAGATATTCCAGCAATGCTTCCAAAACTTCTCAGCCTCATTCGCATGATATGGATAAATTCTGAACATTACAAAAGTAGAGAACGATTGACAAGCCTTTTAAGAAAGGTGAAATATTGTATATTTATATTTCCTCCTTTTCACGTATTTTATCAGTGACCTTATGTATGGAGGGAGGTGTATATAGTAATTGGGTATAGATGGCTCTGTTGTTCTTCTCTGCTGTTAACTCTCCTCGCATACTGCGTATATGTGAGTAAACATTATAGCCCCAATAGGTCAGTTGGTGGGTGAGTACAGGTACTTCAACTACCTAGTTTGCCCACTGACCTACCTACCTGTAAAACATTGATGTGATAGAACATTGATTGGTTCGTGTAGCCTATACTCTCAGCGGTAACAGTGGTATTCCAGTCTAAACATAACGGCCTATATTTAAAGTCAAGTAAGTCGTCTTTGATAATTTAGGTGAGCAATGAAATAATCAAACGATGTACGAGTACAATTTGTCTGGATGATATATTTGAGGGACGTATACAGACCAGTCTTAATGCATTGCAAGAAAGTATAGCTTGTTGTGAATCATGGAAGGAGACCTATTCAATGGTAAGTGTAATTTGCAGCAAAATGACCAGGTAGGTCGTGTCCATACTACTTCGGTGACTAACCTTGCTTTTTGCACAATCTTATAAGTTTCTTTTGTTTTTATCCATGCAAACAGGTAAGTCGAGTGCACATAAGATGCTCGTCTCAAGGCTGGATTCTCGATCAAACCAGTATATTTGCACAAATTGATGCTTTTCTTCAACGATGTAAAGATTTGATTGAGGTATGAAATTGAATTTGTCTTTCCAGACCAGTGACTAGTAAGTGTTGGAATTATCTTACGAGTAATTGTAGCCTATGTCTGTTAAAATGCAGTGCTTTGTAACGAGGCTAATTTTTTATTATATCTAAGCTAATATTATTATTAAGCACCGTTTTTTTTTTGTTTACTTCTTAGGTATGCGAAGGTCAGATGCATTTCGCTCGCAGACATGAAGGCCCTAAGACGCCGTTACCTTGTTTCCGAGGTATTCGTGGTCTTGACATTGTCCGGAGCTTGCTTGAGATCGAGGCGACGTTTGAAAAGAATTTACAAATTTTGAAAGATGTTAGAAAAACAATTTTGGACGTAAAGGTAAAGTGTTTTAGCATTCGTAATTATCTAGTGCTTCAATTTACTTTACTTTTTTTTTACTGACTGAGTACAAAGTCGACGATATTTCATTAAGGCCCGTTTACACGTGCAATTTTAGATACGATTTTCCTCTTTTGGTAGATGTGATCGTGCGACTAGTTATGAATGTTTTGATGCATAAGAACTAACTAATGCGGGAATAATTTCGATTATTTTAGGCTACGACATGGCATGATGATTACAACAGGTACGTACAATGTCAGTGTATCGTATGTTATTTATATCACATTTACCAAATCCACACATAAAGACAATGTAAATGTAGTTTCAGATCAATTTAGTGCTCCACTGTTCGCTGTTTTATTCTTTATTATTTATTTTTATGATATTGCGTGTTAAGGTTCTTAGGTACAGTGAACTAACCTTTGCTTGCTGTATGTTTTACCGTTAAGGTTCCGTACAGGCGTGAAAGATTTAGAAGTTATGGTTCAAAATGTTATAGCTTCAGCATTTGATTCATTGAGTCGGGTAGAGGAAGGTGTCGAAATTCTTGATGTTTTTCATCATTTCTCTGCAAGAGAGGTGCGTAGGAAAAGACCTCATACATAATGACGTAACAAGCCGTGACACCCGCATTTTGGTGTAAGCGGTAACGGCGGGAAATTTTGAAGTTTGAATTTTTCGCCGTGATTAATAAAACCAGAATTCCCTGCAGGTGTCACGGTTTGTTAGGTCATTTTGCGTAAGGTCTATCACGGATTCACTGTAACTAATGATGGATTTGTTTAATCGTGGTTCAATGCAGTCGATACTGTGGTGATCACAGCAGTTAACTCTTTCAGTTGAATTTTAGCAAAAGCTAAATAAATTTCTTATCAGGCAATCCGTCGCACAATTGACAAGAAGACTGTGGAAGTATTTCAGCTGTTCAATGAAGAACTAAATACAGTCAAAAAAGAGTTTAACAATAAAGCACAAGAACTTCCACCGATGCATCCCAAATATGCAGGCATCGCATACTGGGCAAGGATGTTGAAAAAACGTATTGATAAACCAATGCTGGTATGTTCTATATCGATTATTTATGAAAATTATTCTGTCATGTGCCGCAGGCAGGTTTTTGATGGTCAACTTATCTCTTGATTCAGGCTTTAAACAATGCGTCGTTTTTGCCTCGTATTGGAACTGGCGATGAGATCCGCGCGCAGTATCAACAGCTGGCTCAGGTATAATACAATATTTCAAATTGAACTGCTATTTAAATTGCTTAAATTCTTTAGAATAAATCCGTTTGCACGAGGAATGATCGCCAGAAAACGCACTATTGAAACACGATATTGTTGAATAATAAATCTTTATTGTACAACACACCAGGACAATGTTTTAATGTGGGTTTTTCGTAGGCATTAGACGAGTTTGTGAGGAAGACATTCAATGAATGGACAATGACAGTTGATAAGGTATTTCGTAAACGTTTGATAAAGGTGTTTGAAAAAAGGTCGAATATTTAGCTAAAATGAGACACACGAAGTGTGTTATTTCACTTCATATTTTTATTTGGTGCAAGTTTTCTTCTTCACAGGATACCGCTAAATTCTTGGAAACACCGCTCATGTGTCGCAGTTTGGAGAAGACAGGGATGTTGGACGTACATTTCGATAGGTAGAATTTCCATCAATCGCTAGCTAGAATATTACATGTATATGTGGTACTGCAACGTCCAGTATAACTATACCTACCTGCGCACACACCAATGTGCAGGAAAAATTCCAATGACTGCCGATTCGCCTTTTGTTTTATTTCATAAAAATACATCAGGAAATAGCTGCATTAAAATATTTAAAGTGAATTAAGCCATTGTAATTTTTTTTATCTTTCATTTGTAACCTAATCCTTCTTCATTAGGAACTTGCTAAAGTTGCTGAACGAGATTAGTTATTGGGAACAGCTAATGTTTGAGACACCGCATTATGTTGCTGAGATGTATCAAAAGAAAGAGGATCTGAGAGTACTTCGCGAAAATGTTCTTCTTGTTGTAAGAGACTACAACAGGTATTACTACGTTATTATGACAGTGTATGTGCATGGTATTGATTTGATTTGAGGTTTGTGAGAAAGAAGAATTTGGGTGAGCAAGAGAAAGGTCCACCCAAATTCCTTTTCATTTGCACTCTCACCTCTGACATTGACTGGCTAGAATTATTTTATCACACGCTTCTGACACAAGGAATATTAGAAAAAAAAACTATTGTCTTCTAGCTACTTTTGTTGCACCACATCTTTAGCTATACAATTTCCACACTAGTAACTGTTATCGAACATGACAGTATTTTAAATAGCCCAGTAAGACTATGAAATCAAATCGGTAAGAAAATCAAAAAAATCATTCTCTGAGTTCGTCCAACAGTGAACTCCCGTAAGGAGTACATGCGACGATCAGAAAAAACCCAATGATATGTTGAATATCGCTGTTTAGAATAATTGCGGCGTTGTCAGCTGAAGAAAGAGCCTTATTCCGAGAAAGAATTAGGTTTTTGGACAGAAAGATACATCCAGGGCTGACAAAACTAACTTGGGCTAGCAAAGGAATTTCTGATTACTTTATTGGTGAATGCAGGCAAAATTCAAGCAAGGTAAACTCTCTTTTTATTTTTGAAATAATTATGAAAAATTGAAATCTTTAAAATAAAATGTACAAGAAATATAAGCAATCAATGAACCTATCTATCTTCATGTTCAATGCATTCAATGTTTTTTTTCTTTCTGCAAATTCACCCATCTCTCACTCGTCACTATTTCCCTACTCGTGGTAGGCTTATGTATATTGCTTTATGCTTCATTGCTTCTTCTAGGTGCAAGCAATTGTTGATGAATATAAGAACGCTAATCTCATGATATCTAAAAACTGTATAAAGATCAGCGAAATGTTATTGGTCATAATTGATGGGAAACGTGTCTACGACAATTTAGAGTTTGAGGATGACCAGGTAGTAAACCTAATTCGCGTTGCCTGATGTTTTTTTTTACCTGAGCGCGGACAATACGATCAGACGTGACTTAGTCTTACTCATTCTAACGCTATTCAACTGTAACTTGATCCGGCCGTTGTAAACGATGGTAAACGATAATTGTGAATTGGAAAATTTAATATTGTATTCTATATTGTACAGTATTCTATGCAGAATAATTAGATTGATCAATATTATCTATGTTTACAGAAAAGTCATCGCGCTATCGTTCAAACAAGACTCCAAGAAATTCACGCTGAAATTGTTTCTACGATGAAACAAGTGTATACTGTGTTTAAAAATGATGGCCCTGAAGTAAGTGAAAGGGATTTTAAAAGCTGATACAACGGATCGATTTTATTATTCCCTTATATTTTTATAGGTACAAACTCATTGGGTTCGTTATACAGAAAAAATGGACCGAATGGTTGAAGAAGCATTTCGTCTAAATGTGAAATGGTCGCTTCAGGAGCTATCTCGTGCAATTAACGGTGATGGTAAAAACTCTCCGAATCCCTTGTTTCGAGTAAAAGTTGTTCTTGAAGGAGATAAGGTGAGAATGCATGTCAACAGGTTTATTTATTCCTTTATACATTTTTTGTTCCCAAATAAAAAAGGTATAAAAAGGAATTTCTACGTTTCAATCTTTATCTTATTCTATTTTAACTGAACTTTTTAGGTCGAATTTTCACCAACATTAGCAAAACTGGCAAGCATTGTAAATGACACTGCGACACATCTAACTGATTGTCTAGCCGTCTTTCAACGCTTACCTGATCTTTTGACCAAGAAAAGATCCACTAGACCGGTACGAAATAAATAATTTTGTTTGGGGGCGTATATTTTGGAGACATGCATCCTGTATAACTAGGTAACATTCTATATAATTTATTCAATAATTGAAGGCCGTTCATGCTCTGATATCCAAAGATGAAGAAATTAAGAAAATTCAAACGAGTGTAAATGTTGGAATGTCTACAAATGCATCACATCTACAATCCTATCTTGGCACATGGGACAGGTAGATATATTGCAAAACTGAATTTACAAGTATAGTTGTAGAAAACTTGTTATTGTCCTGCAATTTAATAACTTGTTGTCTTTAACAACCATGATACAACTCGATAAAATAATGACGAATGAATTGTTGTAGCTACGAGCTGCAGTACATCTGACAGATTATGAGAGTATATGTAAATTTACCTTATCGTCACTCGTTATGTTTTAGTTACCGTGAAATTTGGGAGATTCAGAAGGACGCTTTTATCAGACGTTATCAAAGACTGAATCCACAAGTTTCGTCATTCGATGCAGATATTGCCAGGTTTGCCTTCTTTTGTCAAAAATAAATTTACTTCAAGTTGCTATTTGGTTGAAACTAAATGATGAATAAAATTTGGCTCCCTATGAAAAAACATGCATATGTATTATTATATCTTCTAATATGCAATGAACTTCCATTATTTCCTACATTACATACACCTGTACATGTATTTGGCTGACATTTCTTCTATTTACGTCGTTGATAATTAATTTATTATCTCGGCAGTAGAATGATAAGCAACAGAATTATTGACTAAAATTAAAAAAGAAAATTCTAATGCTTATTAGCTATGTGAAAGAACAAATGTAACTATAGTCATGTTTGTTATCTGGGAGAGTGAATTGTGCATGCATGTATGTATAAACATGAGATAAGCATTATAAAAATGATAATCAATGTCTATAAATGTGATTGCGTTTATTTATGCAGGTACACTGAAGTAGCAAACAATGTACAGAAAGAGGAAACTGTCTTCAACATCGAGTTTGTTCTCTTGGATTGTTCACCATTGAAGTTTGCTCTGCTCAGTCACTGTAATGAATGGCAAAATAAGTTTACGACGTTGTTGAATGAGATGGCAAGTAGCAAACTTTTGGATTTGGATAAGTTCCTGAAAGAGAACAGCAAGAAGTAAGTGCAAGATATGAAGAAATTAGAGAATGACAACTATATATGGATCACTTGATATATGATATGTTGTGATACCGTCATGACTTTTGCGATCTCGTGCACTTGTTGTTTACTCGTTTTTGCTTGCGATATATATTTTTAATTAGGACAATTATCTTCTGGCTTTGGAATATTCTAAAATGCCATACGTAAATATTACCTTTCGTTTTCAACAAGTACTATGTCTCTATAGGCTAAGTACACCACCTGAAACTCTGGATCAACTTGGTGAAAGTCTTTCGTTGCTTGAACAGCTGCAAACAGATTTGAGTAAAATTGAAGCGAGGTTCCCTCCTTTACATCAGCAGTTTGCTATTTTGGAGAAATATGAAGTAGCCGTTTCTCCAGAGGTAGCGTATTATATTCCTTTTTACTATATCCACAGACTTTCTTTGGTACAATGTACATTACACAGAGAGAGAGATTGAGATAATTTTGCTTCATCTATCTAATCTAATTTCATAACGTATTTTCTTTCAGATTCAGAAAGTTCTTGATGAGTTGAACGGAGAATGGTATTCATTCCAACAATGTCTTACGGATAGCGATATCATGCTGAAGAAAAGTAAAGAGAAATTCAAATCAGGTTTACTTCTGTCCGCAGAAGAATTAAAGAAAACTGTTTCCATGCTTGTTGACGAGTTTCACAACAAAGGTCCATTCAACAGTGATATCTCTACTGAGAGGGTATGTTCATTCATTTCAGTGGAATAGTTGATGAAAATGATGGTTGCTTGGGGGTACTCAGGTCCCAATATTATACGTAGAAGGATTTTACACATTGCTGAAAATGTTCATCGTCACCTTGATTCTCATTGAAATGACCGTTAGACGTGGGGTTAATAAAGAGAGTTAGAATATTGTTGCCTCTAATTAATAGATTCAATAGATTCAAAGCATTTTTCGATTTGTTGCATACTTAACAGCCACCAAACACTCTAATGACGTACGCGCTTTCAACGTTTCGCAACTTAGGCACTGGAGGATGTGAACGATTACAAAACAAATGTGCAAAATCTGAAGGAACAAGAAGCAACCATAAAGAGAGGACTTGGTATCTTCAAGATCGAACAACCATCGTCAAAAGAACTTCTACAAATTGAGAAAGATTTGGAACATTTGGATCAGATATGGCATATCACCAAGGATTGGGAAGGGCTGTGGGACTCGTGGAAAACTGGTCAGTTTGTTGACTTAGTTACTGAAGAAATGGAAACTACTGCCCAAATACAATTAAAGAAACTCAACAAAGTTGTTAGAGAAGTTAAGGTTTGTATATACTTCATCTTATACATATTATTGGTTGTTAAATATTTGTTTGTTGACCTAATCAAAGGGGAAAGGGATTGATATGGAGAATGCTTTACATGCAGGATCGAAATTGGGAGGTTTGTGACTCTATCAAAGGAAGAATTGAGCAATTCAAACGAACGATGCCCTTGATCCAAGATTTGAAAAATCCAGCCATGAGAGATCGTCATTGGACGCAAATTAAAGAACATGTTCAGAGGCCATTTGACGAACAAGGTACTGTCGCAATACTAGAGATGAGTGCATGTGGGTTTGATACTTCGTATAAGACCATTTTTAGTGTTGACGTCAGGAAATTCTTGAAGATTAAGTTTAAACACACGTGAACATGTATATGCAAGGTTGTGATCAGTAGAATGTACCAGAGTATCTTGATTATGTTTACTGGGCTGGTATGTTGTTCAATATGTTCCAAATACATTATGTTTTGATGTAGGTGACTTTACCCTGGAACACATTATTACACTTGGTTTTGATCAATATGCGTCACAAATATCTGACGTTTCCTCTGCTGCAACAAAAGAATTGTCCATAGAACAGGTATATGAATTATATCGATCAAGATGCTGCTGGTGATGCATTTCACCCTCTTCTAACGACGTGCGGTTTTCACAGAATAATTATCCTTTTCATGCCAAGATTGACGAAAATGCAAGAGCGCTTTTTATAACTTTGTTTCAATAAAAACATTTTATAGGCATTGAATCAAATATCAACGACCTGGGAAAGCATCGTTCTTGATATTGAACCTTACAAAGATCGTGGGCATTTTAAATTGAGGTTGGTCAACAAACTCAACAACTTACTGAATTATGTTCTAATGATCCATCATGCATGACCCTAACCTATTTAAATGAATTAGCTTGTAGAATATAAGAATACAAGAATATAATGTACAAGAATATTAACGTACAAGAATATTATTACCTAACCTATTTGTTAAAACAAGTATCTTTCCTCTGTTTTGCTCAACGTTGATTAATATTTGGATAGAAGGACAGAGCAATGCGTTAATTAGATAGAATGAATATTGTTTTTGCTTGAACCACTATTTTCGTTCACCATCTATAGAGGTACTGAAGAGGTATTTCAAGTATTGGAAGACAACCAAGTCACTTTATCCACGATGAAAGCTTCGCGCTTCGTCAAAGCCTTCGAGCAGGAGGTAGGTATTCATATTTAGTTTTATCATGCATGGAAGCATGAAGAGTCGACTGATTTGTATATATACAAATGCGTGTACTCTGATTATACATACGATTGTTTTTAATTTATCAAGGTTGATAAATGGGAAAGAACTCTGTCATTAATCTTAGAAGTAACAGAAATGATTTTAACAGTACAAAGACAATGGATGTACCTCGAGGTAAATCATTTTAGATCATGTAAGCTTGCATGTTTACAGATGTTATCGTATATATCTTATTTTATATCAGTATATGAAAGTAAAAGTAAAAGTAATAGACGTTTCGCATATTTCCAGTTAACCAATGAAATATAACATTTTAGAATATTTTCCTTGGTGAAGATATCCGCAAACAGCTACCGCGTGAATCTGCAGAGTTTGATGACGTCAACAATAACTGGAAGGTAATTTTACCAATTTCTTAATATTCTGACAGGTTCTGATGAGTGGAAATCTTCTTTGAACCAATATAACTATAGTCGATCCGACAATGATGTTATCAAACATAAAGTTAGCAAAATGAAGAAGCAAAATGATCGAAGCTGTCTTTTAAAAAAGCTTGGTTTACTTCCTATAATATACTGCATAGAAAATATTTTATGAATACTTCGACGAGGGCCATTAGATCGAAAGCTCTGGACGATTTCTTTAATGTCATGCTTGCAGTTAATAAAGTGATAAGTCTTTTGATATTTGGAGAATCTACTTTGCTAATATGTCTTGGATCTTTCCTCCTTCCGTAGCAGTTTCCTGCGCTAGCTTCATTGAGTATTCACTACCTCCACTAAAATACGATCTAGCTACATTTCCAGGCAAACAAACTATCCGCATGCAGCAACGCGCAATGTATTTTGAAGTTTAATGTGCATCTCTTCCTAACTTAATATTGTCATAGACTATCATGCAAAGGCTACATAAAGACCCCAATGCTCTTCGAGGAACACATTATCCAGGTGAGTTACGACGACGTGATGTAGGTAAGCCAATAAAGCCATATATACATACAGTACTCGATCTGTGCTTATGTTAATTCGCTGTAACAAATTACCTTTATCTTTGAACGTGAACAACAACGAAAAACAATTCACTTACAGTTCATATGCTACCTGCAGGAACAACAATATAGCTTCATGTGCGTTCATGTTTAGGACTTTTGGATACTCTCAACGAAATGAACACAAAATTGGAGGAGATACAAAAATCATTGGACATGTATCTTGAGACCAAACGACAAATATTTCCAAGATTCTATTTTCTTTCTAATGATGACTTGCTTGAAATTCTTGGCCAGTCAAAGAACCCCGATGCTGTAAGTGAAGTTTCATTTTTTGCAATCTATCCCATAATTAGTTTAGGAGTATTAAATATTGTACAGCGCTAATGACGGTTCGTATATTTCTTTAAAAGGTTCAGCCACATCTGAAGAAATGTTTCGATAACATTAAAACATTGAAAATGGCAAAGGTAAAGTCTTTGCATTCCAGTATATATAGATTTACACTGCAGGTGTTTGTTAGAAACACCGCAGGCCAAAGTTCGGTTTTGTTCAGTCCTTCTTTTTGCGGTAATATCACTGAACCACATTGACTTTAGGCCGTTTAAAATGCTCTCTCATCCAGGAAGATCAGTTTAGTGTAAAGTTACTCTTGTTTGCAGTTCAGTATGGACAAAATGAATACATTTCTTTTACGTAGCGCGGAATTTCCCAAAAGAAGGAAGCTCTTGGTATGTTCTCAGCCGATGGAGAATATGTTGAATTTGGTCAAACCGTCCTCTTGGAAGGCCCAGTCGAGGTATTCTACTGCACGGTTATTAATGTATCCTTTCCCACTTAAATTATGAGGCCTGTATAAATCAGAGCTTTTATAGCTGGTTCACTTTTCACATTTATTAAAAGACGAAGATGGTTCCTTCAGCTAAGGACCATAACTGTGAACTATATCCCTATAACTCTCGTTCATGTAATTTCATCATGGCGTTGCATTTCATAGCGTATGTCATTTGGCGTATAAAAATTTGTGCCTGAAAAAAGCTTCATACGTTTTTCGCAGGCGTGGTTGTGTGACATAGAGCGAAGCATGAAATGGACATTGAAGGAACTGTTAAAACAGTGTAGACTTGCACTGAAGAAGAATACAAGCAAGAGGGATAAGTGGGTGAAAGATTGGGCCGGACAGGTGAGATGGACATTGACATGCTGCTGACAATCTATGAGACGTTTACAATTTTACCCCATGCTTCGTGATAGTTTTCGTATTTGTACATGAAGAACAGTTTAATGACCATTAAATGTGTAAATGGAAATTAAAATCGAAACCTACTTTCTAACATGAGAAGGGAAGAGAAAATTTATTAGTGCAGTATGCAGATAAGGTAATATGCAGGTTGCTCTAGAGTAACAGTAGAGTGGTTTTATTTCCTTAAACCGTAAGTAAACTTGGTGTTGGTTATATAGTGTGTTTTTAGTCGTTATTTAATCAATTATGCATAGGGAGAGGTTCGCAGCGTTTTCTTTGAAAAACGTCGACTTCTACAGCAGACAAAATGTTTTAGTGTTTAAGATACAAGCCCGATTCTCACGTAATATAAGCGTAGTCAGAGTACGTGGTCAAAACTTTGTCGTTTATTGTTTAGCTCATCATCACTTCAAGTCAGTTGCAATGGACCAGTGACTGCACAAAATCGCTCACCAGCAGCAAAGAACGAGGTGATAAAAAGGCTTTGAAAAGTTTGAAAAAGAAACAGGTACAACGGTTAATTATGTGTCGGTTTTTCTTTTCAAAGTTTCTAACATGATCATTCTCTATATGTATAGGTGTCAATGTTAAATAAATTTTCAGAGATGATCCGTGGTAATCTGACAAAACTTCAACGTCTTAAGATCGTGGCTTTAGTCACCATTGAAGTACATGCGAGAGATGTGATTGAGAAACTTATCAAGTCTGGCTGTAATGATGTAAATGCTTTTGAATGGCTCAGCCAACTCAGACTGTATTGGGAAAGAGTAAGTTGATCACTCTTGTCAAACATCTTCAGAACAAGAAATGGAAAGAGATCTACATGGTCTGAAATAAAATAACAGTTTGTCATGCATGGAAAGACATGAGCCGAATTATGCATTTGACTTGCAGTTATGTGACTGCTAATGGAAATTATCTTCCCTAAAACTCCCCATAACTTCGTTGTTCTTATTTAGGATATTGATAATTGTGTCGTAAAGCAAACGAATACTGAATTTGAATATGGTTATGAATACCTTGGAAACTCTGGACGCTTGGTTATCACACCGTTAACTGACAGGTATGTTGTATTTAATGTGGTTAAAGGTTGTTTAAGAAAAGTTAATGCGGGTCCTAGATGTTGTACAGCACGTGTTAATGACACGTACGGTTATTTGCCATGATCTGGCCTATAAGTGCCTTTATAGAAATTGTCTGTACATGATTGTTCAACACATGCTGAAAGATATATTTATCATCTTTTCAGGTGTTATATGACTCTAACAACAGCCTTACATCTACATCGAGGTGGAAGTCCCAAAGGTCCAGCAGGTACAGGAAAAACAGAAACTGTGAAAGATCTTGGGAAGGCCTTGGGAAGTTATGTGATCGTCGTCAATTGTTCAGAAGGATTAGATTACAAATCTATGGGAAGAATGTACAGTGGACTTGCTCAGGTACTTTTTTTAGTGATCTCATTTTACAAGCCTTGAATGAAAATCATGTGAATTTCTGTATTGTTGATTTCGTTAGACGGGAGCTTGGGGATGTTTTGACGAATTCAATCGTATCAACATCGAAGTATTGTCCGTGGTAGCTCAACAGATTTTATCAATCCTTTCTGCTCTTGCCGGTGGTCTTTCACGTTTTGTGTTTGAAGGACGAGAGATCAATCTTGTATGGTCGTGTGGAATCTTCATTACAATGAATCCAGGTTCGTATCATTGCAGTTTTACAACCCTGAAGATAAGATAACATCATAAACAAACAAGGGATAGAACAAGAATAAAAACAGTGAAAAAATGAGCTTGAAAACAAACAAACAAACACACTCTAAAACCAAATGTAACGCAACGTAATTCAATTTAGGTTATGCTGGTCGTACTGAGCTTCCTGACAACTTAAAAAGCATGTTCCGACCGATATCTATGGTTGTACCCGATTCTGGCATGATTGCTGAGATTATCTTGTTTGGCGAAGGATTTAACAACACAAAGGTAAATATTTACGCTAGTTGCATTTTTAATAATGTTCGTTGTTTTATCGAATGCATTATCTGACATTCTTTATTCATCTCCAATTTAAGGTTTTAGCAAAGAAAGTCCATACGCTATATTCTCTAGCAGTTCAACAACTATCCAAACAAGATCATTATGATTTTGGTCTGCGAGCATTGACTTCAGTTCTGCGTTATGCAGGCAGAAAGAAAAGATCAAACCCTGATATGTCCGATGAGGAGGTAACTTTTGCATATCCACATGCAGTATCATTGTTGGAAAACAGTTGATTTATCCTGCATGTAATGTGATTAATCTTTATAGTTTTGTAATGAATAAAGGAATTGATATTGATGGTATCAACTTCATGCTTGGTTTAGGTTATCTTATTATCAATGCGTGATATGAATATTGCTAAGTTGACTTCTCAAGACTTACCACTTTTCCTTGGTATTGTTCAAGATCTTTTCCCAGGAGTCGAAACTCCTGTTATTGATTATGGAAAGGTACGCTTTTCTTGTAGTTCTTTAGTAGTGGTCTAGTAAAATTTCATTTAGCGGGAACCCATGGTATTACTTGCATTCGTTTGCAATACCCACACTGCCTGGTATTAGTAGTAAGTATCATGTAAGGCTAGAAAACGGGTCGAAAGGTGAACGCTATTATTCCTCATTTCAGTCATTCTTATTTCTTCATATCCACTTCTTGTAGCTACGTAATGTCATTCTCAAGGAATTAAAGCAGGCTGGTTTGCAAGAGCATCCTACAACTGTATTGAAAATTATTCAGCTTTATGAAACCAAAAACTCAAGGTACTATTCGCATATTATACACATATCATTGACACGTGGTTATCCAATTTGTATGAAAATCTACCATTTGGATGAATAAATCCGTTTATTCATCTCAATGAAATCTACCCAAGTCAGTCACACTCCCGTCTGTACTGGATTAAATGGGGAGAATGAGGAGATGTACTTGGATAAGATCATAAATTAATCTGCATTCTTGTCACGCCCGATGTTTATCTTGTTTTGTATCTTGTACACGTGGAATACTCGCAGCGATGGTAATTTTATTTTTCACGTTTTCAGACATTCAACAATGATCGTTGGTAAAACTGGTTCAGGTAAAAGTGTTAGCTGGCAGATGTTACAACAAGTTTTGTCCACGATGAAGAAGGAAGGGGTTCCTGGATATAATTTAGTCAAGGTAGGATGGCGTCGCATCATTCTCGTTGTAATCACAACCTTGCGTTTATTGCCATATTTATTCTTTCGAGAACTGCTGTTGTATGTAAATGGTTCTTATTGTTAAAATTTCTCTTTTTCATAGGAATATCCATTGAATCCAAAAGCACTGTCTCTGGGCGAGTTGTATGGTGAATTTGATTTGAATACTAACGAATGGACTGATGGTGTTTTATCCAGTGTAATGAGACAGACATGTTCAGGTGGGTAAATTGTGGGCAAATAAGGTATACGTATGTCAGTGACGTTGGACGTCATAGTGCAAGCTTCCAAAGAAAATGATTCACCAAGCTTGACCATGCTGTTGGCCGTGGCTGTAAATCACTGGGAGTAGCTCGATACTGTGACTCGTTTTTTGTTCAATCATGATGTTTTCGTTGTCTAGATGAAAAACCCGAAGAGAAATGGCTTATTTTTGATGGTCCAGTTGATACATTATGGATTGAATCAATGAACTCTGTTATGGACGATAATAAAGTACTAACATTGATTAACGGAGAACGTATTGCAATGCCTGACCAGGTAAACCATTATAGACAGTACATTTCTTGAAACCACGAGAGATAAGGAGTACGAATATAAGATAGCCTCGAATCTTGCATGGTTCTAGGCCCAAGCGTTTTTCTGCAACGGTGTTATTTGTTTCTGCAGGTTTCTCTGTTGTTTGAAGTGGAAGATCTTGCGGTTGCTTCTCCAGCCACAGTCAGTCGTTGTGGAATGGTGTTTAATGATATTGTTGATCTTGGATGGCAGCCTTATGTTGATTCATGGTTGAGTAGAAGACAAGATAAGGTACATATGGATGCGATATGGATGCGATATGAACCATTGATAAAATTTTATTGTAGAAAATATATACTTGACTTCGTGAATACGACTGCGGCTTTCACTATTTGTTTACCATTTCTTCATTTTAGAAATCTATCGAACATCTTCAAAGACTTTTTGATAAGTTTGTGGAAAATTGTCTTGCATTCCGTCGTAAAAATTGCAAAGAACCAATCCCAACTTCTGAGCTAAATTCCGTTGTATCGTTGTGTGCGTTGTTTGATGCCTTGGCTACTGAAGAAAATGGGGTAAGTAGGACGAAGTTTTCAAGCCCGTTGCTAGGGTTATCATGTGATCGTGGCGATCTAAACCTTATTTAGACAACGTAGAGGCATGAATACTATTCTATTTAACTATATTCTATTTCCCTCTGTTAGGTCCATCCAAACGACGAGAACTACCCACGCATGTTAGAACTATGGTTCCTATTTTCCCTCATCTGGTCGATTGGTGCAACCGTAGATGAAGACAGCCGTAAGAAGATGGACAATTTCCTAAGAGAACTCGAGGGACAGTTTCCAAGCAAAGTAAGAATTTTAAACAGTTTCATTGGTACTTTGCCTGCTAATATATGGCATGGGTATACATGCCATGACTTTCACTTCAAACTAAAACGTGATAACATGATTTAAACAGCAGTTTGAGTGATATGTCTTTGTCTTCTCAGGATACGGTGTATGAATATCATGTTGATATCAAACAACACACATGGGCCTCCTGGGAAGATAAGCTAAGAAGTGGTTGGAGATATAATCCAAGGTTAGTTAACATTATTTAACGCCCTTCAATGTTACACAGAGACAAAAAACTTCCTACTTGAAGTTTCGCTGGAAGAAGCGTTGACTACTTCCGCTCTAATGCAATTTTTCCGGACTACTCAATTTACCCCTTTTGCCGGACTAGCCTAGTATTCATTCTTCTAATCTAGCCTAGTATTGGTGTGGTCAGCACTGCTCAACATGAGTTCTATTTTCTATCATGACTAGCTTAGATCCCAGCTAGCCTAGATTGAATAAACTCCTAATTCTATCCTTGTATCATCCATTTGAGAAGGCTTGTTACACTGTAGTACAGTAGCCTACTTATTATTCTATTTGTAGTGAGCCATTTTACAAGATCACCGTACCAACCGTGGACACAGTACGATATGACTTCCTTGTGTATAACCTCATAAAAGCTCATCGACCTGTCTTGTTATCTGGACCTGTTGGCACCGGTAAAACATCAGTGGCTCAAGGAGTACTGTCGCGACTAGATCCAAAAACGTACTCTATTTTAACAGTCAACATGTCTGCTCAGGTATGGATGGTATAGTGGGAAATCATCCGGGAATTGCATCTTCAAGGTTGCAAATTTCCAGGCTGGGAAAATACGGTTGTGATTATATGAGCCTCATCATTATTAGTGATGGTGATTCAAAATCTCTCAATGACGGCATATATATTATGTGCATTGAACATTGGAAGTTAAACTTTGATCTCCGCTATGCAAAATACGCATTTTTCTTTATTTAGACGACTTCAAACAACGTGCAAGATATTATTGAGAGTAAGGTGGAGAAAAGAACCAAAGGTACAGCATGTTTGCTAGTTTTAGAAGTGATACATGTAGAAGGAATACTTAATAATTATAACGATAAACGATGCTATCTAGGAATTCTAAATTTAATAATTATTTCAGGTGTTTATGTCCCTATTGGTGGTAAGCAGTTGCTTACATTTTTGGATGACTTCAATATGCCTGCAAAGGATACGTTTGGGTCCCAGCCTCCTCTGGAACTGATCAGGCAGTGGGTGGACTATGGATTTTGGTACGACAGAATGAAGCAAAGTGTGAAACATGTCAAGGTATTAAAATGCTAGTACAAATATCATTTTTCACCAGAAAGTTTGTTTACATAACATTGGTTTAGTTGGTTACCTACATAGCTCACAATTTATTTCAAGTGAAATTCTTCCAAAACTGCTCAAACCAATCAATTTTACGTGCAATTGTATGAAAAAATCATTACTGAAAATGTTCCCACACTAAAAGGTACTAACCGTATATTCGTCAACAGGATATGCACTTACTTGGTGCTATGGGTCCACCAGGAGGTGGTAGGATGGTCATATCTCGTCGTTTGCAAAGTAGATTCAACTTGATCAACATGTGCTTCCCACAGGTATTTCTAAAATTGACGTTATTGCCCATATTTTCTGTTTTGTTTTTACTGTATCGTCTTTCAATGCATTCTGTATTGTAGGAAAGCCAAATCAAAAGAATATTTGGTACAATGATCAATCAGAAATTACAAGATTTTGAAGAGGAAGTGAAACCATTAGGTGATATAATGACACAGGTACATGCAGCGCTTTCTAAAGAGAATAAAATGGCATGCGAATTTCATTAATGTTTCCTTCATCTCATTATTCTCAATTTTTTCTTCAAAGGCTACCATTGACGTCTATAATACTATCGTGGCAAAAATGTTGCCTACTCCAACAAAAATTCACTACTTATTTAACTTGCGAGACATTTCCAAGGTAATTATATAATCATTTCTCAATCTTTCACATTTTAAAACGAATATATGTATACGGTACAATCTATATACATAAATGTTATTCCAACAGGTAATTTTTTATTAACCAAATTATATCGCCGGCTATCAAATCTAGTCGGCTTTGTTAGTAAATCACCACGCCGCACACTTTCTGTTAACCTGTCAATCACGTCCCATATAGAGAGGTTATCGAAGGGGGTTATCTGTTGACGAGTGTTTCCAAAAACGAGGTCATTTAATGTGTTTGAGAGATAAATTTATTAATAAAGTGATCATATTTGGCAATATTTTTATACAGGTCTTCCAAGGTCTACTTCGTTCAAGAAAGGATTTCCAGGATACAAAACCAAGTATGACCAGGCTCTGGGTCCATGAATGTTTTAGGTATGTGAGAAAACATGTGACATAGTAACATTAGATAGATTTAGATAACATGACGCGACGTCGCGACGTCTTTACACGCGTCGTGATATCAAAATCTATCTTGTGTTAAAAGAGACAGCAAACCGTGCATCTCAGCTTGCATGTGTGCTAGAATATAATGACATGAAGATAAAACGCAGGTGACGAATGCTAAAATAAGTGAGGTCTTTTAAAACAAAGAAATCAAGAAACTATTTTCCTTCATAGGATAGCAGCACTTATATATTTATAACGAGATCCAGATCATTTGGCTTTGTCGCCAAAGAAATATTTTGGAGGGAAATGGGAGTGTTAAGCGAATGGGTGCAGATCTATTTCAATTAGTGTTATTTGAATAATTCTATGGAATATTTTAGGGTGTTTTCTGATCGTCTTGTTGATGAAACCGATAAAGAGTCCTTCATTACACTGATCAGTGACAAACTGGGAACGTTGTTTGATCTTACATTTCACAATCTCTGTCCAAACAAGCAACCTCCAATATTTGGTGAGCTGCATCAATTCTCTTGATTATCATGAAGGGACAACTCTGGGCTAATTACGTTACTTTCCAGGTGATTTTATGAAGGATGGTGAGGTATATGAAGATCTCACAGACTTTCCTGCATTAAAGAAATATATGGAAGATCAACTGGAAGATTATAATATGGAACCTGGTGTCATTCCAATGAACCTGGTGTTGTTTCGAGATGCTATAGAGCATGGTGAGTATATTAGTCTATTCGAAGTACCTTGAAATGCAATGTAGGACTGAAACGATAGAGTATAGTGTGGTGTAAGTAGAATCCACTTGTTGAAAACCTGGACTATATCAGATTGAAAATAAGAACATTTTTGAACTGATACATGCCGACTTGACTCAGCACAGGGAACCTTTACTTTATTTTTATCTTGCTTTCATAGTTTCAAGAATTGTTCGTGTTATCGGAAGACCGCGAGGTAACATGTTATTGATTGGAATTGGAGGAAGTGGTAGACAGAGTTTAACGAGATTGGCGGCTTACCTGATTGGATATAAAGTTTTCCAAATCGAAGTTACAAGGAATTACAAAAAGGCAGAGTTTAGAGATGGTAAGAACTAACCTTTCCGTCATTTCCGTCTTGGAAACCTTTTACATCACGTTTTCTTTTTACTTGGAAGGAAAGCTCTATTTTTCTGTAATTCTTCATGTTTTCTCATCTCAACAGATTTAAAGAAGTTGTATTTCATGGCTGGAGTGGATTATAAACCCACAATATTTTTGTTCAATGACACTCAAGTACTTGATGAATCGTTCCTGGAGGACATCAATAACATTCTGAGCAGTGGTGAAGTTCCGAATTTATATAAACCAGATGAATTTGAGGAGGTTAGTTTCAGATACAGCTTGTTATGCCGCAATCATTGGTCTTGACCGTCTTACAACATGATGCTGTTTTCTAAATTCCTAACGGTGCGGCGAGTTTGTTTTATTTTGAAGGGATTTACATAAAAACATGACATAATTGCAACTGGATAGTCTCTCTATTTTTGTAGAATTTTACTGCCTGACAATGTTTACTAAAACACGTGCTTGCTGGAGTTCCAGCAGCTTGGTATCACAAGCGCCCACGAAAAGTAAGATTGCGAGCTGTCAAGAATGTTTTGTATACTGATTGATTTTATTTTTAAGGTTCGAACTGCTATATCTGAAGCTGCGAAGAATGACGGTATCACAGACACGCCAGAGTCAATGTTTGCGTATTTTATTGAACGAGTCCGAAGTAACTTGCATATTGTGTTATGCATGAGCCCTGTTGGAGATCCGTTCAGGTATTGAACTGTTATTGAACTTGTGTTTTAGATAACTCGATATAGTCCAAGACTCTGTACTCACTGAGAAGAATATATAACAGATATTTTTTTGGCTGATTATAGTTTAGAATTAAAGGCTCAAAGTTTTCTGCTGATTAAAGAATCGTTATCCAGCTATAGGTTTATGGAATCATAAATAGCCTGCATGATTTCTTGTGAGGATAATAGGCCCAGGATTTGATGTGAGAATATCTTGATATTTGCGTTGCAGGAACCGTATTCGAATGTACCCAGCATTCGTGAACTGCACGACAATTGACTGGTTCAGTGAATGGCCAAATGATGCCTTGCTTGAAGTTGCTGAGAAATACCTGGAACCGATGGATCTTGGAGATGATGAGGTAATCATTGACTTGTCAAGAATGATGTTTGAATTTTGTCATTTCTTTAATGCTACAGATGCAAGCTGGCTTTATTCATTAATTTCCGTAATAATTTTTTAATATCTAGCACATGATTATTAACCAATCGATCCATTTGGTGTACCCTTCACATACATCAAAGACTTTTTGATTATTTGTTTAGACAAAAAAGAATATCGCGCAAATCTTTGTCACTACCCATCGATCGGTGGTGAACATGTCAAACCGGATGTTACTGGAAATGAAACGTCATAATTACGTCACACCTACTAACTATTTGGAACTTGTCTCAGGTTATCAAAGGTATGTAACCATTAAGAAAGCTCTAGGTCTGGCTATCGCTTGCACGTGACATTATCTTGTGATTTTAGTTTGCTTGCTGAGAAACGTAAAGAACTTGGTGACGCCGCTGCCAAGCTTAGAAATGGTTTGGATAAGATTGATGAAACAAGGGCAAAGGTACTGTCTTACTGTCGAAATATCTCATAGTGAATCACATCCACATACTTCAGCTGTAATTTCGTTCATATTAGTGTATTAATTTGCCATGTGGTTCTACTAAAAATATTTAGGTTGAATCAATGTCCATTGAATTAGAAGAAGCCAAGGTTAAGGTGGCGAAATTTCAGAAAGAGTGTGAGGAATATTTAGTTGTGATCGTACAGCAGAAGAGGGATGCAGACGAACAGCAAAAAGTATGTTTCATGCCCTGTTCAAGGACGAGTTCTTTGTTGGCAATAGTGGCATTGCAGTCGACTAAACTAAATATATGATTAAATTGTTTTTAGTTTGTAGCAGCACGTAGTGAGAAAATTGGTGAAGAAGAAGAAAAATGTCGAGTGATGGCAGAGCAAGCTCAGCACGATCTTGATGAAGCATTGCCTGCCCTGGCTGAAGCTATGAAGGTAACATCAGGATCTCTGCAATAATTTCTTGGCTAATACTTTGTGACATGATATGGTGCAGGTTAGCTAATCTAAATAGTGATAAGGAGACTAAACTATTTTGGTAAATGGACCCTCTGGCTTTTTGCGAAGTGATAACTGTGCAGAATAACTTTTATAAATTTTAATTATATTTCATTTAGGCGCTGGAAGCTCTTAACAAGAAAGATATGACTGAGATAAAGTCGTATGGTCGACCTCCAGCTTTGGTTGAGAAAGTAATGGAGGCAGTTATGATTTTACGAGGGAATGAACCAACCTGGGCTGAAGCAAAGAGACAATTAGGTAAAAACTATTTATATCTTAGGTGCATGGAAAATGGCTAATCTGAGGCGACTCCTCATTTATTTCGTCATACACTAAACATTTACTTTGAATGTGCGCCTTTAGGAGAACAAAACTTTATCAAGCAACTGATCAACTTCGACAAAGACAACATGTCAGACAGAGTGTTAAAGAAAATTGGTACATATTGCTCGCAAGCAGATTTCCAACCTGAGATCATAGGTCGTGTTTCATTGGCCGCTAAATCTTTATGTATGTGGGTACGAGCTATGGAAGTATACGGTAGAATTTACAGAGTTGTTGAGCCAAAAAGACAGAGATTGAATCAGGCTACAAGTCAACTGAAAGAAAAACAGGCCATACTGACAGAGGCGAAGGCTAAACTTAAAGAGGTAATTTGGAATCCACCACTTTGCATTCGTGAAACAATAGAATGAAGACATCTCGATCTACAATCGAGACATTCCGTCAAGGTATCTCAGGTCCAGGTCTAAATAGAGACCATTCATTAGATAGGAATGTTGTTGAAATATGCCCAACCCAGTGAACTCTCTGTATATACCAACCTTCAAACCCGGGGGTTGTACCAATAAAAAATCCAACACGTTAAGAAGAACCTTTGCATGAAACTACGGGGCTTAGCATTTTTAGATTCCCAAATAAGATATTTTGGGTTTTTCTACTATTCCTTGTTCCTCCTATTAACTGCATGCTCGTTCTTATTATATCATAATATTTTCTGTTCACCAGGTAACGGACAGGATGGAAGACTTAAAGAGACAGTATGATGAAAAACTTGCACAAAAAGAAGAGTTAAGAAAGAAAGCTGAACTGACAGAGCTAAAACTGGATCGAGCAGGAAAGTTGGTATCCGGGCTGGCTGGTGAAAGAGATCGATGGGAGGCCAGTGTGAAGGTTGGTATGATTTAGAACTAGTATGTGCCAGTTTATAGTGATATATTACATTATTTTCAACTTCTCTTCAGGTTCTGGAAGAAAATATTGGTTATTTAGTTGGCGATAGTTTATTGGCTGCTGCTTTCCTTTCGTATGCTGGACCATTTCTCTCCAACTATAGAGATGAACTCGTTATGCAAAACTGGATTGCGCAGGTAATCGAAATTTTATAGAACATGGGGTTTTGCACGTTTCCACATATAAATTTTAATGTAATGTAGGACTTTAATGTAAGCAGTAAAACATTTCTTCTCTGGGTTTTAGGTCCGCGAACTTAAAGTGGCATGTACGCCCAAGTTTTCCTTCGCAGACTTTTTAGCAAAACCAACAACTGTTCGTCAGTGGAATATTCAGGTGCGTACACATTAGATCAGATCAGTTGCATTACATCAGTGAATATGGCATTCGTATTGAAAGGCATGAATACTATAGTTTTGTTTTTTCTTACTAGGGTTTACCATCTGATCAGTTCTCGACTGAGAATGGTGTAATTGTTACACGTGGAAATAGGTATGCATTTTTAGCTGATGTTGGAAGACAAAGTTTGCTGTATGGTAAATTATTTACCAATTGCTATTTTAGATGGCCTCTTATGGTGGACCCACAAGGACAAGCTATAAAGTGGATTAAAAACATGGAAAACAAGAACGTAAGCAGCTCAGAATGTCCCCAAAATAAAACATTTTTTCTATAATGAAACTGTGCTCTAACGTGCTCTAATGAAGTGTCTGTACAACAAACTCCGCCAGTAAATTATCCAAATTTTGTCCCTGATTTGGGACTGATTTCAATAAAACACAAATAAGACATGATATTTAGCTGACGTTTCACAGTAGCTTCCTCCGCAGGCAACTCTTGTATTCATGTGACAGAATTCGGCAAGGGTTACCCGAGTCCCCTCCCCTTCCTCCACCTTTTACTGGCTCCCAATCCTCTGAAGCACAAAAAGAAGCACTCATACCAAAGAGAGGCTAATTTCACAGTATGCATGAAAGCCTCAAAATTCAAGAGATCGCTTACTCTGTGTTTTTGTAGGGTCTGAAAATAATTGACTTGCAGCAATCAGATTATTTAAGAACATTGGAAAATGCAGTACAGTTTGGTTCTCCTGTGTTGCTTCAAAACGTTCAGGTAACTGTTGTTCATGTAAGATTCATCCACGAAATCATTGCTAAAGAAATTTTAGAATGAGCGAAAGTCTAAGCTCACACCGCACTACATGTTTCCATGCAGAACAACTAAAAACTGCAAAGAATACTTTTATTTCTTATTTCGTATGCTTAAAGTTATCTATCACTCACAATGATTCTATATCTATCAATCCAAGTTATACCTACATTAGCTATACCTTATGTACAAAGATATGCATATCCACAATGACATTCATGACTTTCACTATTTTTGATGATGCTCCTCACTCTAGTGTTATCTCATCATTTTCAATTAATTTTTGTGTCAATAGGAGGAGCTTGACCCCTCACTTGCACCTATTCTTAACAAATCTTTTATAAAACGAGGTAAGAATGACCTTTCTGTTTTCTCTTATTTATATGTGATTTGCATAAGAAGAACAAGCCCACCCCCTTGACTCTTCCTCAGCGTTATCCTCAGTGTTGATGATGATTCCTGGGGCTCGCCAACCACTCCCTTTCCTTCGTGACAAACATGAAACATCCACTAAGAGAAGTTCTCATCACTCCATAAGTTCCACCCTCCACTTGATGGAATATTTTTTCAAGTGCAGTCAGTATATTGGTTTGTTTCATTTATGTTTTTGTTTTGATAGGCAACGCGTTGTATATCAAGATTGGTGACAAGGAAGTAGAGTACAATGCAGACTTTCGATTTTATATCACAACAAAACTCAGTAATCCTCACTACACTCCGGAGATCTCAACAAAAGCTTTGATTGTTAACTTTGCTGTAAAGGAGCAAGGTATGTTCTGTATATTCCTTTGCCTCTGATGAGACGGACGACTTCGCTCAGCCTTCATCGTGAGGTTAAAAAATAGCGCTTGAAGCACAAAGGTGATGAATGAAGGAAGTGAAGAATATCGTGAAACAGTTGGAGTTAATTTTGCTAATCAACTGCAAACAAAATAATCTATTTCAGGTTTGGAGGCTCAGTTGTTGGGTATTGTTGTACGAAAAGAGCGTCCTGAACTTGAAGAACAAAAAGATAATTTAGTTATCAACATCGCTGCTGGGAAGAAAAAACTGGAGGATCTGGAAGATCAAATATTAAGGTAGTATTAGTAGCTAGTATGTATCATCACACAACACTACTTTTACATTCTTCTACACTCAGGACAGTTACGTTTTCTTAGAGATCAACTTTGTGACTGAGGGGTATAAAGCCTCGTCTTGGGCCAAAAGACCTCTAAAAAATGTCCAGAGTATCAGATGTCATTCATACGTTAATCAGTCATCGTTTGTAGCATACGACACTGCATGGTTCCCTTTTTCTCCCTCCTATATCTCATATGACATATTACATCTAGTTCTTTTTTGTTGTGCTGATATACTGCTCTGTGTAAAAGCCATGGTCTTCATATATCTTTTATTCTGTTTAACCTACTTCATATATTTGCAGATTATTACAAACTGCTCAAGGATCATTGTTGGATGATGAGGAACTAGTGAATACCCTAAATTCATCAAAACAAACATCGCAGGAGATTGGTGAACAGTTGCAAGTCAGTGAACAGACAGAAATCAAAATCGACGCAGCTCGTGAGGTTCGTTCGACTGACACAATCTGTTGGTTGTACTTTGTTGCTTCAACGTGTATCTTACCACGTTTGTTTCTTGGAATTTCGCACAGTCTCTTCCCAAACGCTATTGAAATGGAATTATTATGCATTACTAATGCAATCTCGATTGTGATTGGCTAAAAACCTACAGATAATTCTCAATGTCTTGCCACCTACGCGACATTAAAAATTATCCGTAGGTGACGTAATTTTTTGCCGCTAGTTTGTTGTCAATAATGACACAGGCTTCCTCTCTAAAAAGGAAATACATAATAAAACAATTATTGAATTCGGTTTTCGCATGATACCGAGAATTATCAAGCCTCAGTTTGTGTTATCCGCCTCAGCTTCGCTTCGGCGAATAACGCAAACTTCGGCTTGATAATTGTCGATATCACACTCAACCTCATCCAATAATTGTTAAATATTACTCGTATATAATACTTATATATTTCTCTAGGGTTACAGATTATGTGCCCAACGTGCCTCAATCTTGTTCTTTGTTCTCAACGACATGGGTCGTATTGATCCAATGTACCAGTTCTCTCTGGATTCCTACATCAGTTTGTTTAATTTATCCATTGAAAAAAGCCAACGAAGTCCACAATTAGAAATACGAATTCACAATCTCAACGAATATCACACTTATTCTGTTTACAAGTAAGTTGAAGCTTCAGAGATGTAATCATATTTCTATACAATGTACACGGTAGTTTTATAAAACGTGTTTTCTGAGGAGGTTAAAAATAATCCATTTAGAAGTTGTTTTATCAAGTTTACATCTTTTTTTAAAATCAGAGCGGCATTATAACTTACCTTTTACTTGGGAACTTTATTTTTAATTTCCATCACTCCTGTTATATAGGTTTACCTGCAGAGGATTATTTGAACGTCACAAACTGTTGTTCTCATTCCAAATGTGTGCTAAAATTCTTGAAGCGGCTGGCAAACTCAATATGGACGAGTACAATTTCTTTTTACGTGGTGGTGTGGTAGGTTATTTGTTAGGTTTAACATGCAATTCATTGCCAATTTCTCCAGCAAACTATGCAGGTTTTGCTTTACCACTGGTTGATTTGAGTTTCTTCTTTAGTCCAATTCTTTTGCATGCAGGAAAACTGAATGAAAATATCGAAATACTGAACACCATTGTTGGGCATGGGAAAGATTTATGCGATTCTCAAAAGTCAAAACGCAGCCGGAAATCAAAGTCACTAAATGTACTTTATTGTTTATCGAGAGTTTATTTTGAACTTTTACACACTTCAGGTTCTTGATCGAGAAGAACAGATTGATAATCCCTGCACGGGATGGTTAACAGACACTGCTTGGGATAATTTAACCGAACTCGACAAGTATGTAAACAAGATAAGGCTGCATGCATAGTGCATGATTTTTAAATGATTTTTGCCTAACTTGTTATACTTCTTTAAGGTTACCTAATTTTCATGGCATCGTGACGTCATTTGAACAATACCCACGTGATTGGAATATTTGGTTTACAAGTGCCGAACCTGAAACAACATCTTTACCAGGTCAGCATGCATTCGTGCTGGTGCACTACTAACCTTATATCATATTGCTTTTGCAATTTACTTACTTTGTCTTTTCTCTGCATATATATATGTATACACCAGTCAAGGGCGTCACTAGAATAAAAATTATCATTGTGTTTCGCAACACTCCGACTATCTCGACCAGCTCATTTTTCAACTTTAAATTTATTTCAGGAGAGTGGGAGAACGCCTGTAATGAACTTCAACGAATGTTGATAGTACGATCTTTGAGACCCGATAGAGTGTCATTTACTGCAACTTCATTTATCATCAACAATCTTGGATCAAAGTTAGTGAGATTTTCTAATACATTTTAACAAAGAAAAGGGCTTAAATTGATATTTTTAGTCACTGAGTGGCTTATTTATTTCATAAGATAGATTATATATATTTGATATTTATTCAATTTCTTCATTGTATATTTGTGAGCTACCCATAAGTGAAAAAACCCAGTCAGTATTTATCTGTTAAAGAGATGGATTTAGACCGCGTACGGCCAAAAGGGTGAAGTTATTACGGAAGATTTACAATATTTTGTAATTGTAGGTTTGTTGAACCACCAGTATTGGATATGAGTTCCGTGGTAGAAGATTCAACAACACGAACTCCTCTTATTTTTGTTCTTTCTCCTGGTGTGGTAAGTTAATAATAATATACATGTAGTCAGAGATACATCCGCGGCACAGCTCGTATAACCCATACTTTTAAGACGCCTTCGCTTTTCCCTAAAGAAAATGCAATCGTACAGTCAAGTTTCATGTCCATTGTGCTTATAAGTGTTTGCTGTAATTCTTAATTTCTTGTCTGTTATAGGATCCGACAAGTGCTTTAATTCAACTTTCTGAGAAATGTGGAATGAGTGAGCGTTTTCATGCATTGTCACTTGGTCAAGGTCAAGCACCGATTGCAACCAGAATGATTAAAGAAGGTGTAAAAGAGGTAAAATGTCTGACTAGACGTTAATATTGGTTCATAACGTTGATTGCTTCAGGAAAAGATTATAAAAGACGTTGTCCCTATTTCTAAAATCGAGCTTCACATCATGAAACGTATGTTATATAGCTGTACTCTACGGTGTTTAGGGTAACTGGGTCTTCCTGGCAAACTGTCATTTATCTCTAAGTTGGATGCCACAACTTGATAAGCTTGTCGAACAATTACAAGTAGAAAGTCCTCATCCTGAGTTTCGTCTTTGGCTGAGCAGCAGTCCACATCCGGAGTTTCCTATTTCTATACTTCAAGTTGGAATTAAGATGACCACAGAACCGCCCAAGGTAAAGTAAATGCTGCATATAAAGCCCAGTGCAATCTATATTTGGTCAACAAGGGCCTAGATTCGGGCCGTGTCTGATAATGGTACATCAATTGGGTGCATATAATCATATCAATGTTCTCATTTTTTTTCAACTTTAGGGATTGAAAGCAAATATGAAACGTCTGTATCAATTGGTCACAGAACAACAGTTTACTCGTCGTCAAAAGCAAGACAAATACAAGAAATTGCTTTTCTCTCTGTGTTTCTTCCATAGTGTACTACTTGAACGCAAAAAATTCCTCATGTTAGGATGGAATATTATGTATGGCTTCAACGATTCTGACTTTGAGGTCAGTATCATTAACATTTGAGATAATTCACTTCTTCAGTTGGAGTGTAAGGCCGGGATAAATTTTCACAGGAATAGGAAATAAGAATCTGTTGTGCCTTAGTATATAGTAATAGTGTATAAGAGAGAGAGACGTACTGGAAAATGAATGGGAATAAGATTATGCTGATGATTGTATTTTATTAAGATTGCGTGAGGTTCATAACGTTTTACTTATTCTAAGGTTTCTGAAAACTTGATTGGAATGTATCTGGATGATTATGAAGAAACACCTTGGGAAGCTCTGAAATATTTGGTAAGAATAAAGCAAGAAAAAAATATTGTCTCTAGGGTCACCTTCAAATATATTTCTTGAAAGTGATTCAATGTTTTAAGTGCAGTTTCACGCATGTTGAGCAGTGTAGTATTTGTGTCCTAAAAGACCTTTTTCATATTGACGTCAAACGCGAGATGCAAATGTCATAGGAAGTTTGTTTGGCTCCTCAAAACAATCAAACTTCTCGTAACATCATGCAGTCTTTCTGCGTTTGACGACATTATAAGAAATATGTTTGCAGGTTTTGAGCAACTAAGGCTAATTTTCAATGCGTCTTATTTAACAAGAAGGAATTGTTTTGTATAGGTTGCTGGTGTGAACTATGGTGGTCATGTGACTGATGATTTTGATAGACGACTTCTTATGACATACATCAATGATTTTTTCTGTGACGCGTGTTTGGATACTCCATACTTCAAGTAATGTTCTTTGAAAACTTTTCTTAATTATAATTACTCTGATTTTATGCAGTTTGTTCGGTGGAATAACAACTGTTTTGATTGTAAAACTTTTACTCTGATTGTTTTACTGGCTTCACAACTTATGCCTTGTTGAAATTTGTGGGGTTCTTGCATGTCCCACTACGCAACAGAGTACAACATACGTGTTTTTATAAATATAGATTGTCAACTTTACCTACATACTACATTCCAAAAGATGGCACTCTTCAATCATACAGAGTAAGTTTAATTCTCACCTGCAGCTATACTATAGCAAGACATTTCAACACAGTGAAATTCCTTTTTTTAACGAATATGTTATTTTGGATAGGAATACATCAGCATGTTACCAAACGTCGATCATCCTGAAGCGTTTGGACAACATCCAAATGCTGATATCGCAAGTCAAATTATTGAAACCAGGTTCGTGTGAAATATTTTCTGGCCTGTATTTTTTTTCATTTTGGTGTTAAAAATCTGTAATTTTTTCAGAAACCTCTTTGGCACATTATTGTCACTTCAACCACAAATTGCTTCAGTTGGTGGAGCGGGTCAAACAAGAGAGCAAAAGGTACAATAGTTGTACTGTACGTGGTATATACAATTACATTCTGTGGTCTCTGATGTTTTAAGATAGAGAAGAAGTTTCATCAAAATGCAGTGTAGTATAGACCTGTTTTGTTAAAGGGAATGAAGGTTATGTGACATTATTTTGTAGGTTTTAGACCTTGCAGCAGATGTCTTAAAAAGAGTGCCGGAAGAAATTGATTATGAACAAACAGCAAAGATTATGGCTGATGATCCATCTCCACTTAATGTCGTCTTATTGCAAGAGGTATACGACGGAATATCACTTTTGAAACTAATAGATTATAATGTTTAACTCATCCAGCAGTTCCTAAGAAGCAAATGAAAGGAAGAGAAATTGCCAGTTAGGGATGATATAACTTTCGTTTCCATTCATCTTGTTTCGCAGATATCTCGGTATAACAAACTTCTTGCGACAATCAAGTCATCGCTTATCGAACTAGAACGCGGTATTAAAGGTCTCGTTGTCATGTCATCTGATTTAGAAGAGACATTTAATTGTATTTATGACGTTCGTGTTCCACCTCTCTGGGGAAAGGTATGTTTTTTTTTTGCTAACGAATTTACCAGGTTTGGGAAAATTTTTTTGAATACAATTGTACATTCTATAGTCTATATATACAAAACTATATTTAAAATGAACACTGTTCCTGCTAGTTGATCGCGAGACGTGTACATAAATATGTGTAAAGAAATTCGTAATAAGTCTCGTCATATACTATGTAGTGGTAACCTATAAGCAGAGCTAATCTTACCTGATAATAAAATTTATTAAACAACTCAATGCCTGCAAGTGAAATAAAGTGAAATAGCATGACAAAATTATGGCAAATGTTCATGTTATATACTCGTTTCTAACTGAAAATTTTCTACGCTTTTTTTATGTAGGCCTATCCTTCAAACAAGGCTCTAGCTAACTGGACACGTGATTTGGTTCATCGTGTAGATCAGTTTGCTAAGTGGGCAAGTACAGCGCACCAACCAGTTATATTCTGGCTCTCGGGATTCACATTCCCAACTGGATTTTTGACTGCTGTCTTGCAAACATCGGCGAGACAGAATAATATCTCGGTTGATACCTTGTCATGGGAATTTACGGTTTCTACTGTGGATGATAGTAACATAACTCAGTACCCTAAGGTTAGATGAAAATTATTTATAAAGAACCGTGAATTATTCAGCTAGTTTATTCTTCTCAAATCGTTTCAATTTCTTACCAAATTCGGAAAGGGCGGGGATACTGGCCAAAGCTACTCAAGCATTTTTTTGTCACAATTCGATTTTCTTTAGATTTTATATTACAAACAGCCTCGTCCCCAGGCTCCATTACGTGCGCGTCGTGCGCGTGGGGAATGTCGCGCGCAGGGATTTTAACATGAAATAGAGCCTGGCAGAAAATGCAAGCCATTCTACAGAAATCGAAGAGAAGTGTATTTTGTTACATTTTGTTACATCTTAATTTTTGACACAGACTTCTCTCCCACACAAAACCTTTCCTCCAATAAACGCATCGAATATTGGTCTTCGCATTGTGTCCAGCAAAGAACGCTCACTATCTGTCAACTTAAGAAATACTTGCTCATTTCTTTGTTTGGCCGCCATCTTGAATGCATTTTCTGCCAGGCGCTCCGCCCGCGAGAGCTTCCCCACTGACCCACGCGTGTTCCCCCGCCGCGCCGGGGACGAGGATGTATTACAAATTTAACTTCGTTTGAGGGATTGTAAAAAAAGTCGTTTAGCATGCTCGTTGATTTTCCAGAGTGACGAATCGCACATGACCGCATTTCGAAACCTGGGCGTGAGTAACACCCGATGTAAATATGAAATATTTTTAATATAGGATGGAGTATGGGTTCGTGGCTTATACCTTGAAGGAGCAGGTTGGGACAAGAAAAATGCCTCTCTGATCGAGGCAGATCCTATGCAGTTGGTGTGTCCAATACCAACTGTGCATTTTAAACCAGTAGAAAATAAAAAGAAAACTGGCAAAGGTAAAAATTCTTCCAATTTTTCGGGTACAAAAAGTTATTATAGTGCTTTAAAGCAGTGAGAGGATAAAAACAAGTTAAATGATTGAATACGAATTCTAGTGTTTCACCTTCCTATTTTGTAAATGTCGCTTCTATAATTAATATCCTGAGGGCTGAGGCCTATGGGCAATGATGAAGAGTTGAAAAATTAAATTCCATGCATCAACATTCCTTGCATTTGTCGTCCATCGTAGCATTACAATGAATTGCCTGTTTCTATGAATTGACATTTTACCTTTATTTCTAGGAATTTACTCGTGTCCATGCTACTATTACCCTAACCGTGCTGGTACCTCAGATCGTGCTTCCTATATTGTAAGTGTTGACTTAAAATCTGGTGCGATGACAGCGGATCATTGGGTCAAACGAGGAACAGCTTTGCTTATGAGTTTGGACTATTAAGACATCTACCTTCATGCATGTAAATATTTGTACTGTTTAAATGATATATTTTATATTGTAAATGATTAAATATATTAAGTTAACACTTTGTACATTATTCAACAATCGTTATCCATTCTGTGGCAGATATATACTTCTGAGTGACGTTTTTTCTCCACAGTTTAACATCATTTGCGTTCATTTTGGCCTGCACTCTTTAATCGGAAGTCGCGCACTAGGACATGCAGCAAAAAGCAGGTGCCTTTGGAAGTTGCATCCAAAGATAATCTTCCGACACGTACAGTCTATATAAACATACTTAATATAGGGGCGCTTATAGATATATAATATAATAATATCTATAAGCGCCCTGGGGCCGCGGTTGTATAAAAACTTAGTTAGCGCTAACTGCAGTAAAAAGTAGTTAAAAAGTAGTTAACTTTAACACGTAGTTAAGTCGGTTGTATAAAAGTGTGGTTATGCTTTTAGGTATAGTTAACTATCCAAAACAGTTAAAAATGGCGGCTTTATTAAGAGTGATAAACTTTTATGAGCGAGATAATATTCAAAGGCAACGTTTACCTCGAGTTTTTAATCGACATCTTCCCTGGGACGTTTCTTAGATGAAGAATATTGGCCGGGAATTCTTAATTTTCATAGCGAGACTCATCGAGGACGAAGCTCAAACCACTAACAAAGCGAACCATGCGATCTCCACCGAACAACAATTGGTTATTGCTCTACGATTCTTTGCTTCTGCTGCATCCAGGGCGCTTATATAATATATACTATATGAGCACCCTGGCTGCATCCAAAGATAGTCTTCCGACACGTACAGTGTGGTGCCACGCACAGCCACGCGCGCGTGATCAATCATAATTACAGCAGGAATTTTTCGCGGTAAATTAGTGCGCGAAAAGGCAATAGAATGTTGGTTTTTCTGCAACAACCATGTTTTATAAAATAAAATTTTCTCAGCGCTCTGGACTAATGAAAAATGTTGAAGAAGCGGAAAAGCTCCTACGGAAATACGAGTTACCTTGCACGATAAATTTTTATTGCAATAAGGAAAAAATGGCATGTATAATACTGTCTTCCATTTACATATGCGTCAATGGCGTACAAATATAGCAATATGATGTTATATGATGATTGATGTGCATGGCGTATTTGATATTAATTTGAATAAAAGATAACTGAAAATGCCCCATTCTGGGCATGAGTACTTCCCGCGATGTGGCAGACTCGCAGTTGGCTAGAAGGGAGCCTGGTCAGCCTGCTCAAAATGCTTTGCGGCTGAACGGCCTCTATCCTCAGTGAGTACAAACTACAGTAAATTTATGAACAATGCAAGCTTACAGTGCATGCATTTCGTTCTTTTTAAAGTACGATGTGCTTCTGAATGTCGCGATCGAACAACATTTAGGTTCGCAAGGCATCAAAATTAAATGAGTATGATCTGTATTGTTTATGTTCAGAACTTTATATTGAAGACTGGCACGTGCGCGGCACGCCGCAGTTAACGCCAGAACAGGCGTCTTGTTCAATTCATAGTTAATAGAACTGCACACTTGCATTGACATTAGTGTGATTGAGAACATCTAAACAAGGCCCACAGCTTGACTACGCTAAAAAGCTGTTTTGTTTTAATATTCTAAAGCAGTGTTGTTTGACAATCAATCTCAATGTCTAGACAGTAAATTGCGAATGATTCCATATGCATCAACAACTTTGTGAATGACTAACAAGTTAAATAATTCCATGTGCCGAGGCCCCATTCGTTTCCACATATCCACGTTAGCTCAGTGGTTATTATGTATTTATTTATGGTTCCGATTCCGAAACGCTTATAAAGCCCGTTTTTCACTAGGCGAATTTATTCGCTCGACGCGAAGCGATATCTGAAATCCAGTGATGTGATTGGCTTGCGAAAAAATTCGCCGCGAAGAAGTAGAATCGCTTCCTACTTTTTATCTGTTCGCGCGAACAAATTCGCGTAGTGAAGAACGGGCTTAAAACGACTAAAATGTTTGCACTTTGGGGATACAGTGTTCTGTGGAAACCATCCATAGCCTATTATTTCGAAAAAAGTGTCCGGATGAAGAGTAGTCTGAATTGAGTTATGGTATGTAACACACCACCTCGCTTATTGCACTTACTAAGCTAGTCGTGGCACTTCCCAACTCTGACAAGGTTACGTAGCATCAACCGTATTGGTATCGTGTGCACAACCTGCCAAGGCTGTTTCTTTTGAACCACCACCTCAAATTAGGAGGGTGCCCTGCTAGAGCTTGGTTGACCTTCGTCTCAGACCTTCCCAAGGGTGATTCAGCAGGAGCCTGGGCTCCACGATTATAACCCCTTAAGCGAGCATTTCACCCGGACAACATATAACTCTTTCTCGTCGTATTTAAATACGTTGCCTTCCGTTTACGGCATGATTACGGGGAAGTAGCTCAACACTTGTCCTACGCATGCTCAATAACCATAATAGCAACATTCTTGTTGGCATTAATCACTGTCACGTGACCACTCACTATAATTTTGATCGCGGTTTTACCGCAGCTGCAGGGGAAAGATCGTGAAAATAGGCTTGAAATATTGAGATCTTTTTCATTATTTGTGATTTCCTCGATACCTGTCTACTCTAACTTGAAGAGGAACTGATTTACTGCTGAGAAAATTTATAAACTGTACATATCATTGCGGTCCTTATGATGCCTGTACGCAAAGAAGGTCAGTTGGTAGACATGTATTAGCCAAATTATTCACCTAGTCAAATACATTTCTCCCTCAGTACAACTGATTTGCCTTGCATTGATTAAAAACTGATATCATGTATAAATCTTTTTGTTTACGATCTTCAGATGCTGAACGGGCGTTACATCTCCTCGAAGGCTATCACGCCAAGTTAACAAAGCCACAAGATCAGGCATTGAGGAGTGCCATTGAACGAGTTATTCGAATATTTCAAAGCAATCTATTCCATTCTTTACTTGGTACGTTTAAAGACAAATTAACAGTGGTCATAGTTTACGTTATAGACTGGGTTTTAACTGCCTTTAAATGATTGGATACAACCGCGTCTGTTTACAATTTTACCTGTTCACAGACGTGGTCGTTTATTCTTGTCGACACAGACATTTTAAATTCAGATTGAAAACTGTAAAACAAAATCAAAAGCGTAATGTATGCTTTTAATAATGAAACTTTCGCATATTACAATTTTATTTATTTATTTTATACTGCTATCTGAGTATCATTCTTCTTGCTATCCGCGTATTTTGAATTCATGAAACTTGAAATCACCTTTTTTCTAGACATACAAGAGTATTATGAAACATTGTTAGCGCTTGTTGACGAGGCAAAACCATTAGATGAGATTGAAATGGAGAGTCGTGAGGTAGCTAAGAAATGGGAAAATGCTCCCTCAAGTTACAATGGCGTACAGGTAGGATTTTTAGACATGTTAAGTAAAGATATTTCCTTATACTCACACGGCGGTTAATAATTGGATTGTCTAGATTCTAGAATGTTGGGCGTTTTCCTTTTGTATACTAACGTTTTTATATGATATTAGGTATATTGTTTATTAATTCCTCTTAACGACCATATGTTATATCAGTTAATATTTATTTTGGAACGCTGTTAGTTGGTGGATTCTTAGTATCAAGCAGAGTCCTCCAGTTTTCAGTCTATTTTGATATTTGCCATCTGTAGATTAGGCTGTTATTTAGATGAGTAACATGCTCACTTCCAATTGATACAAGTTCTACAATTATACAGGTTTTTTAACCAGTGTACTGTATATACATCTTTCAAGTTGCAATAGGTATTTCTATTAGGAGAAATCTTGATGTCTGTAGTGAAGTGATGCACACTAATCACTCACGCATGTCCCCTGCCATGTTCTAATATGTCAATATATAACCTATCAATGTGTTGAAATTATTTTACAAGAGTATAATCAGAATAAATGACAAAGTAGAGGACACAAAACAATGCATCCCATTAGGCTGATATAAGAAAAGCCATGGTAACTATCAATTCATTAAACTGTCCCTCAATTTGGCAGTATGAAAGAGAAGAAGGACTGATTAGAATTATCTTGGGATTGAAGAAATGTTGTTGTGTAGAAAGTCTGTGAATTATTAATATTACTGTACTTATGACAATAGATTAATTAATAAATCCACAAAACTATTGTAATAGTTTATTGATCTGACCTTTTCCACTTGACATACAAAATCCATACATTGTTGAATTAGAATAACCATATGTGATACATTACCCATCATAATGCCTCCGTCTAGGTTTAATAATCCTAGATTTTACATTGCTTGAGAGAATGCACCATAGCGCCATGACATTTTTTCTAGATAAACAATAAATTGGTTGTTGAACCAAGTCATACAGTATATCATGGAAGGTGTTAAAATCTCCTCTGCATGTTCTTTATTATTTTTTTTTAGATGTTTGAGATATTTTGCCTAAGTTCTCTATATTAACCCCCATTAGCTTGCAACCCCCATTGTCTATTGCTTGATAATTTTACTCATCAAGGGAATTATTCTATCAGTTCAAATTCCTTTTAACTGACAGCACAACAAGATAATATGTTTCCTCCATAACTTAACTTAACATATTACATATGTTACTCATGGAATCAGCATTGTTTACTTCAGGCACTTCAAAATGTTCAGACAAAATTATTTAGTTAATTTAAAAGCTTGAGATTGTACATGTTTTTTCTTAGGATCATTCTGATAACGTTAGCAAACCACCACCTATTATATCCATAACAACAGAAGAAAGTTTTCCAGTAAGTGTTATCTATCCATTTATGCCAGTGATTGGAGCCTAGTTTCCGTGCAAGTTTATGTTGATCTGCAAACTTGTATTGCGAATCTTGTCATTATTTCCGAATAGAAGCAATATCCAAGCAATATCAAATATGATGCATTTATGGATGTTATTTATCTATTTGTGGTGATTACATTTTAGGAACCAGCTATTCAAACACCAACTAGAAGAGACAGTGATGAGGTAGCAAATCCATTTTATTATTATACAGTACTTAATTGGAATATAACATCAGCCAGGATAACAAGCATGATTATATATGCTCATAGAATATTGTCCAACATTCACATTATGTCCTTTAGCTTATCGTTGGAGGAGAATTTGAATATGAAGAAATTGTCTTGGAAAGAGTAAGTGCTTAACTCTTAGAATTGCAGTAGATTGAGTGTATATACTAAGAAAAGGTACTCAAATTTCTGAGTTAATTGAAATTAAAATAATCTTTCTTCTTCATGGTTCATTTTGATTAATGATTGCAGTGTACAAATAGAACAAAGAACTTTCTTTGTTCTGAACCTCCGCTATTTATATGTGATCTTCCTTTTTGTTTGTTTGTTTGTTAAGCATTCAAAATTACATGTCAAAGGAGATTCTCATAGCTTAATATTCTATTTAAAAACCAGGTGTTGCTATTCTCAACCGTAGAAACAGTATTATAAATTTGACTAAATTATTTGTTTTACAGGGAACTACAGGCTTAGGTTTTAGCATTGCTGGTGGGACAGATAATCCTCATTATGCCAATGATCCAGGAATTTTCATTACAAAAATTATTGCTGAGGGAGCTGCTTCACATGATGGAAGATTGAAGTAAGTTCCTCAAACAACATTGAATTTATTGAAAATAGGTATAATTTAGTAACAAAGTATCCAGCATCAACACAAAATAAAGAGAATGTATTATAAAGAATGTATTAATAATTTTGATCAAACAAAATGTTCTTGTAAAACTGTGTTGAACTTGTACAAACCAGGCAAATTTATTTCATTTTTTAATACAAAACCAGATTATTTCTATAATTGTCTAGTGTAAAGTACCAAAGTATCCTGCATTTGTATTAAAATACAAGCCATTGAAGTAATAAAGCATATATTTTTTACATTTTCACTACCAGAGTAAAGGATTGCATTCTATCAGTTAACAGTACAAGCACTGTTAATGTCCCTCATCAAGTTGCAGTGGATGCATTAAAAGCCAGCTCAGGTGTGATCACACTACGTGTAAAAAGACCACAAGGACAGGCTGTTTCCCAATCTGTCAAACATCTTGAAATAACATTATCCAAAGGCACTAAAGGACTGGGTTTTAGTATAGCAGGAGGAGTTGGTAATCAACATATCCCTGGAGATAATGGAATATTTATTACAAAGATTATCGAAGGTGGTGCCGCAGAGCATGATGGAAGGTTGCAAGTTGGAGATAAAATATTAAGTGTAAGTACGATGTCTAAACTTATGTAGTTACTGTACACTATAAAAATAACATTTTTCTGGAGGCTAGCTATGGCCATGATGTTAGAGCTGGGATTTGAGGGGAGGGGGTGATTTTTACCAACTTATAATAAAGATACCCACTGTTCCATTCAGGTATGGGGTGAGTGCAGGGTCGTAACTAGAACAATAATTGGGGGGTGTTTATTCATATATTCAGTTCTGCCCGACGGATTTCCATTGTGAGCTATTGCACTTACAAAAGAAATCCTTCGGGCAGAACTGAATATATGAATAAACCCCCCCCCCCCAATTATCGTTCTAGTTACGGTCCTGGGTGAGGGTTTTGAGAAGCATCATCCATGGTTCATCCATGGTTGGTGCTGAATCAGACAATTTTTCAAATTGCAAGAATAACCATAAATATTGAGAAATAATCAAGCATGTGTTGCATATTTGACAAATTCACTCAAGCTAGATGCTGTATTTTTCCTATCATTAAGAAAGCATTTTGACCAACTTTTTGACATTGCAACCACCTGATCGCAACGCCCCAGTTGGAGGCGCTAATCAAATCGAACTCTGGCGCTGCAGTTCTCCCAGAACCGACTATTTAATCTATCTATAAACACGTTTAAAAACACAGTCAGGTTTTATCATATACTAAGTGAATAATTTCTTAATTAATATTGTTCCAGGTGAATAGCGCATCACTAGACAACGTTACACATGAACAAGCTGTTGGAATATTGAAGTCATCTAGTGATACAGTTGTTTTGCTGGTGTATAGAGATAGTTCTTCCTTTGTTTATGAAGGAACGTTGCCGCCACATTCGCCAGTGGACGAGACAGGTAATTCGCTATTGTACTCGAAAGTCTGGTTTACATTTCATCGCAATTGTCACAAGCATGTCGGCGTGATTTCGCTGATCTATTATAGAACATTGTTGCACTGTACATTATGTGTGTGCAGTCAACAATGAACAATTTGAATGCAGAAAATGAAGGCAAATTCAAATTTGGACTATTTGACATCGATGAAAATGACCTGCTAATGACTGTTACGGCTTAATTATACCAGCTGTTAGGGCCTGTTCATATGGGATGGGCCAGCCCGGTTTTTAGGCTCGCTTTTGCAAGTCCGCTTGATGTTTTCATATGAGCCCGTTAAAGGCGAGATCTCGCCCTGGTTCATATGAATGCAATTTTACAAATATAGTGAAATAATATGTGAAGCGAGATTCCGGCATTGCCGAGCTAGCCCTGCTGAGCCTGGCTGGCCCGTCTCATATGAACAGGCCCTAAGTACTACATGCATAGCCTACAGTGCGCCTACATGATGTGTAGCCAACCTGCCGCAGACCAATGCTATTGAAATAATTTCTGAACGTGTTTGTTTGCACAGCTTGTTTCCCAGCAAGTTTACGTGTTGAAAGTATTTGACTTAAAAAACTTGAATTAGTTGATTTATAGATTGTTTCTGTAACTTGTGGACGTTGTCTAATTTATCAACCTGAATGTGTCAACCTCTTGCGAATATTTCCTGCTTTCGTTCTAGGCGACTAGTTTTATTCCTGACTTACCGAATTCGTTTCATGTTCATTTCTGTTTTTCAACTGAAGTTTGCCTGTTTTTGTAATCCCAGTATAAGCATGAAGCTTGAGCTGTTGTCTTTATTACGATTTGCGATATACATGTATTGTCTCCTGAACAAAAATTGAAATTAATAAGCAGATGAGCTTTTTAATTAGATGAACGGTATTGAGAAGATAATGAAACCAAATCTTATGCGCGTGCATGTCTTAAAATGACAATGTTATCGATGTTATCATCGGCAGGTGGAGAAGATGGAAGTTTATCTCAGTTATCTGATCCGCCCAACGTACCTCCTGCGTATGAAGATGCTGTTAAAGACGCAGAACCTATTCAGGAATCTTCCTCAGAAAAGAGTCCATCATTGAATGGTGTGTGTGAATCACCATCACCAACACCTGTTGTGATCGTTGATGAAGAAGAACTTTCAAGGTAGTCATATTCTACATTGTCCTTTTAAAGACGAAGAGAGTGAGGCAACTCTGCATGTAGTTTTTTGATTCTGCATTAATCCATCTATTTCTAATCCTAATTGAGCAACTTTGGCTTTCATTATACGCTTACGCTTTCATTATAACCGAAAATCACAATTATCCGCAAGTCCAAACTAAAATTCTGTGACCCTGACATATACGCATGCATGCATCAGTTCGGCGTCAATCTGTTTGCATATACTAATTCAAACTAAACTAAAAGGTACTGCATAATACTTTTAAATTTTGCATGCAGTTTCAAAAAGGTTTCCTTTATTTGTGTTTGTGCAAGCTGTGTTAGTGAAACTCCGTTTGGCCCGTTCGAGATTACCGTATTGTGATTTTTTTTCCCAGCGAAACATTTTCTTTCTAAACATTTTCTTAATTCCATTTTCTTGGCAAAGATATGTACATGCGTTAGGCTAGTGCCAATAACGCAATACTTGATACGATCTATCAACATTTTTTAATTTCATTCCAGGGAACCAAGAACGGTTATATTGAGTAAAGGTCCGTCAGGACTTGGTTTCAATATAGTTGGAGGTGAAGACTGCGAAGGAATCTTTATTTCTTTCATTTTGGCTGGAGGTGTTGCGGATTTAAGTGGAGAGTTAAGACGTGGTGATCAAATTCTATCGGTATGTTCTCGTTAAAATGTACAATGCAATAAACATAACTGCCACACCTAACTAAAATATTGTAAAAATATATTTACAGTGTATATTCCCCATGATATTAATGAATTTCGTAAATAATTAAGGATGCAACAGATATAGGGATTTCTCACTGCTTTGCAGGTTGCATTTTTAGTTAATGATGACTGACTAGTTCTCTCCTTTTGAAATGTACAAAAGCCACGCTTCATGCAGAGTTCGTGAAAAACGCTATTGATAAAGATTTCATGATCACTGTTTTTAAATTATGTATAATATATTATATAAAATATATATAATATACCCCTGAATATGCATGAATTTAAATTCTATTTTAGTGCGCAATAGGAGTGAAAATATGTTGAATATTATTTTAATATAGGTTAACAGCACAGACTTGACAAACGCGACCCACGAACAAGCCGCTCTTGCATTGAAAGGATCAGGAAATACTGTCACTATTGTTGCTCAATATAAGCCTGAAGGTATAAATGCTTCTACTATTATGTTGATAAGCTGTATTGTTGTTTTGTTTTTTTCCTTTTTTCAATTGATTATATCTGCATGCCCGGTCCTATGCATGCAGTTAGCTAACATCGGAGTTCAAGTTGGCGTTCATGTAGATAGATCTATTGTATTTTATATTACTTATTTTATATTATATATTTTATACAAAGAAAAAGTAAACGACAAACAGTATCTTATGCCACGAACGACTTACATGTAGTTAAAATTTATTGCATTCAAATAGCAGAAAAACAGCACATGATATAAAATATGTTTCTGCCAGCAACCTGCTTTACGTGTCATGTTCACTGCATTTTTTTCAATAAACAACTAAGGTTGTCTTGTCTGCTGCTAGAGTAGTACGTAAAAAAGTTACTACGTAAATTTAAGAGGGCACACATTCATGCCATTTGCTGTTTTAATTGAAACCCCAGATGGCAGCTGTTTTTAATGAGTTCTTGATTGTTAGATTGTAGATACATAATTTACGTTCTATAATTTACGTTCTGTAATCACATGAATCATTCATGTGATCATCCTGAAGCTTGCAATTTTCAGAATACGTCGACATCGTATAACTACTCTACACACGTACAGAAAGATTATTTGAAATATTTCCAGGTCTTTTATCGGCTCGGTACACTTTTTCGAGTTATTGAAACATATGCATGTATAAACTATAGCCAAAGGACAAATGAAAAATTGACGTGTGACGTATTATTTTATTCAGAATACAACAAATTTGAAGCAAAGATTCATGACCTGAGAGAGAAACTAATGAACACTACAAATAGTACAGGGTCGCTCAAAACTTCTACAAAAAGACAGTTGTATGTCAGGTGAGTTGTTGCAGGAGGCTTTTGTCGTAGAAGTCGTGTTAAAGTTCACTTTTAATACTCACTATAAAATTAAATACTCACTCTACAAAATTTAATTCTTTTTTAGGGCGCTGTTTGACTACGACAAGTCTAAAGACAGCGGTTTACCAAGTCAAGGATTAAGCTTTAATTATGGTGATATACTTCATGTAACTAATGCCAGTGATGACGAGTGGTGGCAAGCAAGGAGGCTGGGACCTGATGGCGAGGAAGAATCTAGAGGAGTGGTACCAAGCAAGAAAAGGTAAAAATGTATTTATGTAAATTTTTCTTACTATTTGAAGGTTTACATTCATATATGTACATAATATACAGATGCGTATTTTAATATGGCTATGATGTAAAGGCGCAGAGGCCTATTCAAAACATGGCAATGGATTCCTCCTCAAATTACTTTTTTGCATATAACATTCTTGCTTTTCTCAAACACTCCTTATCTCAGTAACATTTTCTTAACAATAAATTCAAAACTATGCTATATCTTTAATTCGTCTACATGTTGAACGGGTCATTCATTTTAAAATATAGATTATATTGTTGATACTTGGCTGGGCAAAGTTTATATCAGCTGTGTCGCTACCAGGGTATACATAGCCTGCACGGCAGGTGGTCCTTTAAATCGGGCAATAGTCTCATTCTGACGTGTATCTGTTTTTTTATAAAAGAGTGGAAAGAAGGGAACGAGCCAGGATGAAATCGGTGAAATTTAAGAGAGAACAAGGAAATAGTCTTCAGGTAGGTTAAAGGTGTTTATATATGGGAAATTACACCACTCGTGGAAGAAAAGTAGCTGTATTATCAAACAATAATATTCATATATTTTTGCAACCGTTTTGTCTGTTTATTACATGGATTTACACTGAGTGGTCATGGAATTCAACATTTAAACGCAGCAACAGCGTCTAAATCCTTGCTATAGTTCGTTGAAAGAATGCGTTCTGTGAAGTGTAGCTATAATACTCTTCACAGTCAAAGAATTTATGGACGGTATATTCATATCAAAATTTAAATTTTCCCTTTTTAGGGTTCGTTTAGAGATGGGAAAAAGCCGCGTAGTTTTAACTTGAAAAAATTATCTTTCCTAAGTAAAAAAGAATCGGAAAATGAAACGAGCGATATTGATCCAAGTTGCACTTCCAATGCCAGTGATAGTGAAAGTAATTACAGTGTTCGTGAGGAGTCTATCATGTCTTATGAACCTGTGGTACAACATGAATTGGAATACGCCAGGCCCGTCATTGTTTTAGGACCTCTCAAAGATAGAATTAATGATGATCTTATCTCAGAATTTCCAGATAAATTCGGAAGCTGTGTTCCTCGTAAGTATACATTCAATTCTATCAAAATCAATTATATTACAATACACAGTAATTTATCTGCTGTATGTTATATATAGCACCATAGAGGCTTTTGGAAGCTTTCGTCAAAACTCTACAATCATATCTGAAATCAATTCCTTTTCTGTAGATACTACTCGCTCTCGACGCGAATATGAAGTTGATGGTCGGGATTATCATTTTGTCAGTTCACGAGAGGAAATGGAACGGGCAATTCAAGATCATCATTTTATTGAAGCTGGACAATATAATGACAATCTTTATGGTACCAGTGTCTCGTCAGTCAGAGAGGTTGCAGAAAAGGTATTATTGTTTATTCTTTTTATATATAACTTAGCATCAAATGTAGTATAGAAGGCAGTTGGCCTAAATAGAAGGCAGTTGTTACACCACATTTGATGCTCAGTTGTTTGAAGACGCTGCCACGCTGCTCCTTGGCTATATTGGAACTTTTTATTATAGTATAATAGTTTACTGAATGTTTCATGGAGACCAGCGGAAAAAAATTGCCAGGGCATCCAGAGCTCAAGTTGTGTCGATCAAGTGATTAGATTAACGGAGTTTCAAAATTCCACTCGGCTATCATGATTCTACCCATGCTGTTTTTGTTATTGCAGAGCAAACATTGTATTCTGGATGTAAGTGGTTATGCTATTAAAAGACTACAAGTGGCTGAACTTTATCCAATTGCGATATTCTTAAAACCAAAATCTGTGGAAACATTGAGAGATATAAACAAGCGAATCACAGAAGAACAAGCGTTGAAGACATACGACAGAGCGCAGAAACTAGAACAAGAGTTTGCGGAGTATTTTACAGGTTTGTACAGACGATCCTTGTAATTAGGGAAAGAATATATTCCTGTTCAGTGTTGTGAGATAGAGGCAATAAACTTTCCTATAATGACACCAAACGCGAAAAGGCTGATGTTACACGAAGTTTGATTGGCTCGTTAGTTTTGCCGAGCCAATCAAACGTCGTGTAACATTTGTCGAATATTTGGATGACTAGATGTAGTGAAATTGGTTAAGGATTGAACAGAATTTGAAGGATATTCTAGAAATTAGGAAGGTTTTTTATAGCGCTGTTACATTGTTTCTTGACAGCATTGGTATCAGGAGACACATATAATGAAATATACAATCAAGTGAAAGAAATCATTCGACAGCAATCTGGTCCAGTTATATGGATCCCATCAAATGAGAAATTATAGATCAGGGAGCTATGTGACATTGCTGGTAATTTTGTTTCCCGCTGATATATATCGCTGGATACGATATAGTTATTGTTAGGGCGTCTAATCGAAATACACCTAGTTGTCAAATATCTTATTTTTTTATAACAATCGAGGTAATTTAGTAGGAATAGTTTTCATGAATGATTGGTTGCTATAGCAGGTTTAGGTTTTAGCAGTATAAATATCGAATTTTAAAATGTGAATAAATTTGCGATCAATCTTGGTTTTCTAAACAATACTTGGATTTAGCATTTTCGATCGATATACATGTGCTTAAAATTGTATCGCTCGTGAAGTTGCAAGTGGCATCAAGTATGGTGAATCCATGTAAACGTAAACGAAGAATAGGCTGAATTTTTTTCTTAATTGTTCTTTATCTTTATGTACAAGAATGATGACAAATGGTTAGAAGAGATTTTATTCTCTTCCCTATTTTTAAGTATTTACTAGTCCCCTTCGTACCGCATTACCTTATATCATATTTCGACTTGTGATAATAAAAAGTGTGTAATTTTGAGATAAAATAGAATAAAGTAGTATTTATATACAATTCGGTATGTCCTTTTTTAAGACTGTTCATAGTTTCCTGAGATTAAGATTAAGTACAAGTAGCAAGCACAGTCAGATTATAGTAGGTCCTTGTTTACTTGAAGACAGTAATGAATGTGTTTGGTTTATTTATAAAAACTCATAGTCATAGAAATTTCCGTCGTTACTTTCTGAAATTCCTGGATTAATGTTATATACAAACAATTTGTCTATTGTTGAGGTCTCGTTTCACAATACCTAAACTATGAGTTTCGAATTAATGGTGACGCCCACACTGCAGGATGCTGCTACCGTAATTTATAAATACAGCATGTTTATACCTGTATAGTTTGTTTGTGGTTTTCCTACTCGGTTGCTTGTGTTTAATTATGTATAGTTTCTTATGAAGTGTCGTTCTCTGAGCCCTGTTGAAGAATGTCGTCCCTTCTGCTGTTATTTCTTTTCTTTAAGGTAAGTACATCATTTGTATTTAAGAAATGTACATTTGCATGCCTCGTAAATATTTTTTTTTCTTGTAAGAAAAGAGAAAATATATCCTGGTTCAATCTTGGGAAAGTTTGTCTTAGCAACATCATTTTAAATAATTATTATTTTGAAGGTTCGCCACCTATAGCTATATCTCTTAACGACAAAGTTTCTTCTTGATAGACAGCGTATATATTAAGCCCGGGTTAACTGACCTAAAACTTTGCAAATGAAACTGAAATATGCGCACTGTAGCTATACCTTCAAACCAAATAATTATATTGTGATGCTTGCCATGCAAACTTACAAGAATATTAAAATTTGACAGCATGTCAAGTTTCCTTACCGAACTTAAGCAGATTTATTTACATTTATTATTCTAACGGCATAAGTTTTGCAATTCTTTAAATGCATATAGTCGTGCCATACACATGAATATGCGCATCACTGTTTGTAAATAAACAAGACGCCGGCTTAGGCGTACACTCGTGCTCTAGGGATTGTGTTTTAGGGATTTAATAGCATTACTTGAGGGACACAATCATGGCGTGTTGTGGGAACCTATAGCGTAAGTTAAGGCTTTGTGGTTACCCAGGGCCTGGGAGGACTTACACGACAAAAATGTATCACACAAGTATAAAATAATACATTTACATTATTATCACAATTCACAAGTGCCGATTATAGGTAGCCTATAAACAATCCGCACGGCGTGACATATTACTGTGTCAATGCTTCTATTATGTATTGACTGCAGACTGCAGTGTTTTAGTTCCGACGAAAGCTTTCAAAAATCTAGTTGTAATAGTTTTGATTCGCATTGTTCGTAATGTCGGTCGACGGTTCAAACATTTAGGTATTAATAAGTGTGATATATAAGCATTTGTAGGTCTAAAACTGCGAAAACATCGATCATATATCTTGCTTTCATATAGGAATTTAAAAATATACATCGTACCATGGAATATGCATTAAATGTTGCACCGTAGTAATGTCTTCTGTGCATATATATTTTGCATCCTTCGTATTGTTTGTAAAATGTGGTTTGTATTGTCGGATAATTATATCTCGTAATATACATCGCGCACCGTAGTAATGTCTTCTGTGCAATATATTTTGCCGTATTGTTTATAAAAGTGGCTTGTATTGTCGAATAATTACATTTCGTCATACATTATTGGGTCAAGTGCGCAATGCATTCTGGGTCATCGAGGTCCAAAACGCGACCGACACACGACGAAACCTAGACTCGTGCCCTCCTAGAGCACGAGTAAAAAGGGAAGAAAGTGTCAAAACATCCTACTAAAGTACTAACTATATGTATAGATAGTAATTACACGGTCCAGGTATGATTTCTGGTTAGACTGAACGGTTGGAGCCTTTTACTAACTGAACTCTCCACTTTTAGGCAACTTGTTCCATAGTATTGAAAGTAGACACGCTGAACGCAGATGAAATGGCAGCTGGACAGAAGGCAAATTATTTCCTAACCTTGACTTTGATAAAGAAAACAAATGTTACTGTTTATGTCAAGCTTCCATGTGATGTGACCTCCCTATTCACGGTGTCTAATATCGAAATTAGTGGAACTGGGAAAAACCTCATTTTACAAAAACCATTGCCTAGTCCTATTTTAAAGGAAGTTAAAGAAAACGCGGGAAAAAGCGAGGCTGTTTGGGAATTAGGAATGGTCGATCGTATAAATGAGTCGCCAGCAGAACAGTCTGATGATGAGTTGGTAGTACGTGCTACAATACAAGCCCAAGATCACCCTCAAATGACCGAGAATAATACTCATTGGCTGAATTTTGCAGCAGTTCATGGCAACGAACGTTCACAGTACATTGTGCAAAAACGTGTTAAATCGGCGTTCTCCTATGTATTGAAAGTAGACACTCTAAACGCGGATGAAATGGCAGCTGGACAGGAAGCAAATTATTTCCTAACCTTGGCTTTGACAAAGAAAACAAATTTTACTGTTTATGTTAAACTTCCATGCAATGTGACCTCCCTATTTACGGTGTCTAATATGGAAATTAGTGGAACTGGGAAAAACCTCATTTTACAAAAACCATTGCCTAGTCCTGTTTTAAAGGAAGTTAAAGAAAACACGGGAAAAAGCGAGGCAGTTTGGGAATTAGGAGTGGTCGATCGTATAAATGAGTCACCAGCAGAACCGTGTGATGATGAGTTGGTAGTACGTGCTACAATACAAGCCCAAGATCACCCTCAAATGACCGAGAATAATACTCATTGGCTGGGTTTTGCAGCAGTTTATGGCAACGAACGTTCACAATACATTGTGCAAAAATCTGTCAAAGTACTTAGTGGTGGGAGAAGGCTAGCAATGGTCGATCTCCAATTAAATTCCAGTTCGCAAAGCACCTACACAACGGGGTGAGTATAATAAGTTACTAAGGACTCGTTTTCTAGTAGGATTGTGCGAACAAACCTCTCTGTTATTGCCAGGCAAACAATGTCGTTTGGTGTGGAATTATTTCACCACTATAATTCACGTGCGTCTGCTGAGAATTTGGAGTTGATGATATTAACACAAGACTACCTGAAACTTGCAAGTGTGAATGCTGAAAATGCGGTTGACCATGCATACGAGGTAACCCACAATACAGGAACTGTGGTTATTAAGGTAGGTAACTTCAAACACTTGTTCAATCATCATTTTCTCTAATACCTTGTAAATAAAGACGTCGCAAGTTTTTAGATAGTTCATACATTCCTTTGGAAGCGATTCATACAAATTTTTAATCACCGGCTACACATTTTGTCTGTAGAATGAGGTCGAAGTAATAGTGATGGGACAGGCCAATGATTTCCCGAGTCACGAGTACGAATTGCCCGAATCATCACTAATTTCAGCTAAAACTGCCCCAATTTCGGTAGAATTCGGAAACGCTTTGGCCAACTGTTCTAGATTTAAATGTTTCTTTGGGAACAGCTGCCCTCTGCATCCCCGCTCCATGCCCCAATGAGTGCATTATTGACACACCCATGACCCATCCAAGTCTTATTTTTATAGTTGTTTCAGTTCATCAGTAAGAAGTCGTTAGATATTATGGATAAAATATGCATATGCAGCTATACCCATTTACGCCTATAGACTATAGTTTACCAATGAATAGTTAATTGTTGTTATATTATTCGTTATATGCATGTTTCTTATAGATTTCTTATCTCGCTCTTCATCAAACGTTGTCATTCAGAATATCTATGGTAGTTGGTGCTTTTACATCGACAATCTCTAGCGTGAAAGCAAAAGATCATAATTATACTGCTAATGTGATAGCAGAGTTGCATTACAAGGAGTTATCGTCTGCGATTTGCGATCAAGATTCTCGTGCGCAGATTGTAGCAAAGGCATTTGATTATGAGTTAAAACCAGCGCAAGATGAAGCAGGTAAATACCACAATCTTCCTGACAATTAATAATACAGCTCGTAAAGCTCGTATAGATTGAATATAAATTTATCATAGAGGATTCTTTCGATCCAGACACTCTTATCTGGACTTCGAGTCGCTAGTTCTGGTTAAAATCGAATATGCAGTAATATGAATGTAAAATTCGCCCAATGTTGCTAGCCATGCATGCTGTGCCCTCGGTGTTATCATGCCGCTATGCAATATCAAATTAAAGTATTTCTGTAACTTCATGGCATATACAAAAAACGTGTCGACGTTTTTCCCTATCTTCCAAAAGTGTCCGACTCGACCCGAGGCATGAATGGTCTAATCACTAATGTTACTTCATGAGTTGGCATGTTGCTCCCTGGTTTGTTCCAGATATCATGAACACTCCAGTGAATATTTACTTCTTTTCTTATAGCCTCTTTGAAGCCATTAAACGAACCATTTCCTGCAATAAAAACATTGCATCCTGGAATAAAATGCTCGTCGTGCGGGTTCCATCATTGTTGTGTTTCAGAAAATGTGACAATCAACTCAGAATCCTATTGGATAGCATTCAAAATAGAAGATAATCAACAATTTTTGGAATTTGACTTTCGTACAGCGATTATGCTCAAAGAGATTTCTCTCCAAGGCAGTGGGAAAAACAGAGATGCTTTTGTGAAGTCATTTTCTCTCATGTCTAGTAATGATGGCATACGATGGACAACTCAAATATATCGTGGAAAAAAGCAGGTAGGAATTCATTCGAATGCGGTTTTGATTATTTCTGTGTTAAAATTTTTATATTCAAAACGTTTTTGTCAGACCATCCCCATAATTATATAGAATACCTAGCTATATCTTGAAAAGCTATACGTAGGTAGTAGATACAGTCCAACGAGGTATTTAGGTTATATTTCAATAATTCACAATTTATCTTGTAGGTTTATGTGGGCAACAGCGACTCAGAGACCGTTGTTGTGCGAAAAATCAAGCCTGTTCTTAAGACAAGATTCATCAGAGTTATCCCTTTAACATGGTCTAAACGGGCTGCATTAAGAGTGGAGTTTTTTATTAAATCTGATGACATTGAAGGTATTTATATACGAAGTGATCATATAAGTAAAAAATGACAGCAAGGATTGAAGTACTAATCCTGAAAACTGATGTGTGGGGATGATGATGGTGATGGGGGGAGTGATTAAATGAAAATCGTCCGACTCTACACTATCGTTTTGTACATATTCCTGTACTTTAAGCGTGCATGGAAGACACTAAACTTTGCAATTCGATGATAGAAGACCTTTAAACGTGAGTGGAGCATTTTGCATTAAAAAAAACGATAGAAAAAGGTTTTCGTGCATGGTATAAAGAATTTCTAAGAGAAGTTTCTATTCCATCGTGCAAGTCTTTTCAACATCCACCAAGATAGTTTTTACCAATTGTGGTGATCACCTATTTATCCCTTAATTTAAGCATTTCAAATATATGGGGAAAAATTAAAACAATGTGTTGGAAATAATGGAGGAGATTCTGCGTTGAACCTCATTGAATGCAGTACCACAAGTCACACAAACCGCTGGACGTGGACAGACAACGAGCAGTTACTACATTTTAACACTAGTAAATGTCTAAGTCGTATGGCTGATGGCAGCGTTCAATTACAAGTCTGTGATTCTGATAAAAAGTCGCAGAAATGGTATTGTCTTGAAGAAAAACTTTTAACACGATCTGATGATAGTGTTTTACATCTGCATCCTGATCAAGGATTGAGTTCGACAACAATTGATAATAGTATTGAAAATGATATAGTCAAGATATATTCTAACAAGAAATCAGTTTGCAGTAAGAAAGGTACTTCTTATACGGCACAAAATATTTTTCACAAAAACTATAAATGATGTGGTTTCGATTACTACAATTTGCATGGATGCAATCCTCATAATATCTCTGCTTGGATTCATGGATTTTTTCTTCACTAGGTGATCCACCTCTTGCTTTAAGGCAGATGCTTTGGAATAATAAAAAAGATACTTTATTTGTTTGCGATTTGAATTCAAAAAGGTATTATATTGAATCAGTTTTTATGAATCAGTTCATCTAAGTGCACTTTCATATCGTTATAGTAAAATAATTTTTCTTTTATAGCGAGGAAACAGCAAATCATTGCATGTTTACCAAAGACGAAGGTGAAACCTGGCAAGGTATTATACAGTGAACGGATAACATACACTTTGTATGAAGGGCATTTATACAGAGCAGGTAGAAGTTATGTATGCATGGTTTTCTCATCTATTCCACTCAATTCTCCAAATAATCAGAACAGTCAGGTTTATCAAGAGATTATTCAAAGATAAGGTAGTTCGTCTCGCATTCATGGTGAGTATACGTGTTGCATAAACGAGGCAAAGTTGCGAACAAACAAGATATCAATGCAAAATATTTGTATCAGTGTAGTTTTACATTTAGTAGTAGCTAGTTGAGACCTAGTAGCCTAGTACTATATATAACTACTATATAATTTGCTCACTTAACTTGTTGGCAGTCTTATATGGATCCAATTATGGGTATCCAACCGGATTTGCAAAAAAACGCGCACACGACTGTTGACAAATGTGGGAAATTTAGGGTCACTAAAACCCCCCCAACCCAAAAAATAGTGTAAGAGATTCGTTATCTTCATTACCTTGGATATTTCACATTGGTATTTTTTCATTGAACAGATTTAGACGTGCAACTTCTCAACGTACTGGGTATTTCACCAGACGCGGAACTTTATGGTTTAACATTTGGTCAAAAAAATGTTTTGAAATTTTTACATTACGGCTTTACCATCAATGAAAACTTTTTGAAATCGGAGTGGGAGAAAGTCAAGGGATCTACACCACTCATGGAGTTTCCCGTTAATATTCCATTTATCCCATTTGGAGAAAGTCCAGGCTCAGAGGTACCTACAGAGGAAATGACTTTACGGTCTTCTGATGGATCACCTGCGTGGGGAGGTAAAGTAAAATTGTTTTAATCACATGTATAAAAATAGTACTCTTCTTGTTCCTTACATCGCATCAAAGTGTTTATTTGTTGTTGATTTAGCGTCATCAGCTGGTATCCATAGAAATGTGGCTGGAAAGTGGAATCTGGTTTTATCCTGGAGTAAACTTGGCACCCGTTATGGTATGATTCATTTGTATGTTTTTTTGTGCTAGGTTTATTTTCAGTTGCTCACTTTCTTAACTATACTACCAATATAGCGCGTCCAGGATCGTGTAAACAAATATTAGCATTTTGTCAATCTACTGGAGATGGTATCTACACAATCTATCCAGCACATCCGTTGGTTGGTATTTCAGTATACTGTGACATGACGAGAAATGATGGTGGTTGGACACTTCTGGTAACGAGTAAAACAGCGTATTGGAATACTGCGCAGGTTACGAAAATGTATTGTATTAAAATACTTTAAGGTTTAACTTTTGTACACGAATCTCGTTCGAGAGTTCAACTCTTCCCTTTAGTATTTTAATAGACAGATACTTGTTTTGCAGGTTTATGAACACACCCCAGATGAACCATCTATAGTTAAAGATCATTCTATACTCAAGCATGCTAACGCTATCAAAGATCAAACTGAGGAAGATTGTTTTAAATATCGTTTGGAAGCTAAAGAATTTGGTCAACACGGAGGAATGTGGGTCGCACCAAAATCCTATTCCTTCGTGGCCAAGGATAAATCACAAACTAATGTGCAACTTTTGAGCAAATTTGGAGACTGGGATTATAGTAGTCATACCATTGAGCAACGTATGCCTTGGATCTGTGAAAACTGTCCTGCAATCTTGACCACAGCAGCAAATTCTTCAGAATATTTTGGTTCAATTTTATCTGGTTCATCATACGATGGTCAGCGGGGTTTTCCCGCTCCTTGGATGAACGATGTGGAAATGAGTCCAGGGATTATATGGTACTGGATCAAAGAAGGTTAGTAGGAATTGCAAGATTTATTGCTCTGATGGCACAATATATTTGAATGGTTTTTTGAAACCGTTAATGATCAGGGGCGTCGTGACTATAGAGGCAGAAGGGTGAAATACGCCGGCCGGAGAAGGGTCCCAGAGTCGGAATATGAAGAAGATTTCCACACTTGTCGGAAATATTTAGAGTTACATTTAACTATTTTAGTTTTATTCATCATCATGATCATGCCAATAAGGGCATGTACTTCACTAATTGTTATCACCAAATAATGACATGCATCATGATATTCCTTGTAACTACAACGAGGTCTGGATGAAAGCCTTGTTTTGTTGGAAAAATTTCCTCTTTATTCAGCATCCCACAACAGTGAGTCTGTTGGCATATTTGGCGCTTATCCCATGCAATAATGTGTGTATTTTCTCTTTGTTGTTATTAGGCTGTTGAAAGATGTCCAAGACACACAAGTAAACTGTATCTTTTATTTCTTAAAAACTCGAGAACTGGAAAGTCGATTTCTTTCAGCAAAATTTCTTCACTAATTTAATTTGTTTATTTACGCAAGTGGATCTTAATGTTATTTGCATGCATCCAGGGGCGCAAATGCAGCCTTTTCTAGGGAATGATTGTTCGTAGGACGAACTATTTTCTCCAAGGACCAACCTTGTAAGGGACATAGAAGGTTGATTAATTGGGAGGGGGGTGGTTAGATACCGAGAAGCCATATGTTGATGCCGAGCAATGTCGTTTTTAAAACTAGAGAGCTCTTATTAAAACCTTAGAACCACCTCGCTAATTTTCACCAGAGACACATGATTCGTTTTCTATGATGTCCGTCTAACATAAAGCGAGATCAACAGTCGGACTAAGTATGATGAAACCGTCGGTTAGTTAGATTTAAGGACGCTAGGACGATATACGAGGGCAAGGAGGGATCGTGAAAAGGCAGTGACTTCTTAAAACATCGAAAGTTTAGCTTCGTGTTTTATCTGCATTAAATGATTTCGGTGTCTGAGTGTTTCTACCAGTCGATCAGGCTATTCTTGTTCGTTAGCTCAGTGCACTACTGACTTACTACATTTACTAAAAAGTAAATTTCTTCTCCCTTTCCCCTCCTGGAAAAGGCAGAAAGAGCGGCCACCCCCAGTTCCAGCCGATCCAGCGTCTCAGTTCGAGTTCGTCAAACGCAATATCTATATATACAGCGATGTCTGGTGTAAAATCGGCCAATGTTTTGAAATGAAATTAAATGAAATCCATGTGATAGCAAGCAACTCTATAGGGCCCAAACCCTCCATTTGCGCCTCTGCAGTCCGCTTATAATTATATTTATTAAATATTTCTCAACGCACGATGTAATGGAACATAGAGTACATACAACAGTAAAAGTGAATATATCATAATAAAGAAAATGTGGGTGGTCTTATTCTAAGGAGGTCTAAGGGGATGTAAAGGAATCCTAAGGAAGAAGCCTTAGGAGGTACTAAGGTCTTAGAAGGGCTACGGGGTACAAGGAGATGCAACTAAGGATAAGAGAGCCTAAGTATGCGTAAAGCTTAAGCGGTGTAAGAAAACCTAACCAGATCTGAAAGTTGAAAGAAGCGTAAGGACTAAATAAAAGATTTCTTTTGTCACAGAATGCTATATAGTATATTGCTTAGAATTGAATGGCACGAATATAAATAATGAATATTGCTACTGACTGTCACCCATAATTGTAAGTCTTTCAGTAAAGTCTTCAGAACCGTATTATAACTTCTTAAAGTTCTCGTCTGAAATAATTAAAAAAATTTAATTTAAATGATATATTATACTTGATTCAGAATTGTAAAGTCCAATATATTTAAACGAAAATCAGTTTTGTTCATCTTTCAAACCGTCTATGATATTATCACTTTTCTATTGAAATGATAATGGCCTGTATCCGTCTGATTTTAACGTTTTTATTAATTTGAGATAAGCTATACACGACCCTTGATCAGTATCTCGAACAGCACAGCAAGACTATATATACGTTAATCTAAAAACGAACTATTTAATAAGTGAAAAATGAGTCGTATTCAATTTTTTCAATGTTTCATGTTATTAACTTTGCTGGCGGATGTGGCTTATTTAAAAGGTAAATGTTTTTTAAAAAAATACGTTCTGTTTAAAGGTTGCTGGCTCATAATCTCATGCATGTACCTACATTTTATTCAAAACATACTGATTATATGTACTTTTACATCTGATTTGGGTCAGGGGCAATCTACGTAATGTAGAAGTGATCCTTTATTGTTGAAATAAACGTTTAGAGTTGTGTTGTATGAATTGTGCAATTTATGTTATCGCTTTATATTTTGTTGGACAAATGACACAAAACAATTAATAAGCGCAAGTTGGTAGGGATTACAAATGGCGACGTTAGATTTATATATTAGGTATTATAGATTTCGTATTATCGTTAAGGTATTATAGTTAGATTTCGATTTAAAATCAAGAAGTATAGTCTATAGATTAATAAAAAATTAGAGTTAAAAGTTGTTAGAAGTTTTAAGTGGTAGCGTTTGTCAAAATAAAGATGCTGTATATAGAAGTGTAGTGACTTGATGAATGTTTTGTCGCTTTTTTCTTAGATTGTACTCAAGCCATTGGCATTAGTGATGGTGAAATACCAGATGACGATATTATTGCATCATCTTCATATGATGATCTATCTCGAGCATCACGTGGGCGACTCAATATTAAATATCAGCCACCGTTGAAATCAGGATGGTGTTCAAAATTTGACAATAAGAGTCAATATCTTCAAATAGATTTAGGTAAGAACTAAAAAAATAATTAGCGTGCACGACTAGATTACTCATTTGATATTCAGACCAAATATTTATGTAACATTCATCAAGAAATCAGATGGTGTACAAGCAAAGTTAAGTGTATGATTATATCGGGGACTGATATGTTAAAAATATGTTAATTAATGACGATTTTTGTAGTAGTTCATGTCGTCATGGTGATGTTTTCCACTTGTAGTTCAAGTATATTATTAACGTACAATTTGAATTCTACAACGCAGACGTACTGTACAATGCAGACGTTCTTTTGTTTCACTCAAACCTCTTGACTCTTGAGACAAAAAAGAACCAGGCTCGTACTTCACACACATTTAATGTTAATAAAACAGTACATTAATTCTTGACGTTGAATTAATGAGTTCATTCTTTGAAAAAGGACCAACTTTCAACGTAGCTACAAGGGTAATCTCGTTTTGACGACATAATCTCTCGATCCAGTTTGCCAAGAGCCACTGCAATGCGAGTTCCTCGTCTCCATATCACAGCTCGATTTACATGCCGCTCATCAAATTGTGACGCTTTTGGTTGACCATCAAAATAATTTAGAAATAATGTTGCATAATTATATTCTTTTGCAGAAGTGGATAGTGACCTTACCGGTATTGCTACACAAGGTCGTGGTAGAGAGCCATATAGACATTGGGTCACCAAATATTATGTTTCGCTTCGTGAGGACGGAGGTCCTTGGTTTAATTTTACCAGATCAAAGAAAGTTCAACCTGTGGTACGGATGTTTTTTTGTGTTTTTTTAAACCACAGTTCTGGATTAAAATGAATTTCCTAGCTTTGAAGGGAAACATACTCAATGACCAGTTTTAACTAACTGTTTAGATCTTTAATGGAAACACAGATGCATTCTCTACAGTGTTTCATTCCTTCGATCGCACCATCAAAGCAAGATATGTGAGAATTCATCCCGTTGAATGGAATGTTCAAATTTGCATGCGCGTAGAACTCTACGGCTGCCTTGGTGAGTGTAAAATGCGCGCGAAAATGCACACTGTTGGAAATTCCCCTTTTTGTTGGTTTTTTCCAAATTTATTTTGAGCGAAAATGGATATTTTCACTATCTGGAAAATGGATATCTGCCATTGCTTTTGGGAAACAACCCCATCCTGATGAGTAACAAATTTTGTTTTCTGAAAGTGATATTTAGCGAATCATGCATGAAAATTATGCACGTTGCTTAAAATTTTCTTAATTAGAATGTTTCTTCAATTTTTAGGGAAAAAACTAGTGATTGAAGACGATGGTAAATATCACATTAACATTGATTTGAAAGCCAAGTCCGTTGTGCGCATTAGTTCTGCTCATATGTGAGGGTAGTTTCTGAATTTAAAATACTCTTGGACATAAACTCTATGTTCATATTTAAAGGCGTGGTGAACCTGAATAATGTTAAATATTCAGACAACTTATCGTAAGTTCAGTAGAATTTTACTTGTTCTTTGCGGTTTGATATTTGACTTTGAAGAAAGTAATTTGTACATATTACACAACCTTTATACTTTGCTCGCTAAAACGAAATTATTAAGCAAAATGTGTATAAATTGTAATTATCAAAACAGTCAGTATCTAGTGACTAGCCGATTCTGGGGGGAATTTTCGCCGAGGTCTTACCTCGGAGGAAAAATCGTCTCGGTACGAGGATAGTAACATGTTAGTTTTTTTGTAGATTTGCTAATTTTATTCATCATCCTATTGGCTGTTTTCTGCTTCTTTTTCATTCTCTTGTTAATGCTATTGTTGACAATGAGACGACTTTTGAAACTCCTTGAAAGGTTTGTACGATTTTCTCCAATTGTATATGTCTTAAATGCTTGCATAACATTTATACAAAATATGATCACTACGGGAAAGTAATTGAGTTGTACCGCCCAGTTTCCGATCCAGCCTTGAAATCACATGCCATGCACCTCTAAAATCATTTACTTTATGTACGAAAAACATGCGTTAGCTCAAATTTAATGAGAACCCTAACACGCAAATACACACGACTCGAAAATTGTATCGATTCTAATATTTCATAAGGCTTTTTGAACTACATTTTTTAGACGAGCGAAGGAGAAGTCGCGAGCTGAGATTTCACTTCGAGATAGCATTGATGGCGACAGACTGTTCAAACTAGATCGTTCAACAGATGACACTTATATCCCTGAGGAGCCGACACAGGGAACGTTTATAAAAAATAGCAAAAGCAGTACAACTAATGGAAATAAAAAAAACAAGCTCCCAGTTTATGCAGCAGTACATAAATCCAAAGAAAAATCCCATCAAGTCGATAGTTATGGATACGCACATCCAGAAGTTAAAGAAAAAAAAATAAAGAAACACAGTGATTCAACCGATCAAAAAATAATCTTAGTCGATGCTGATGAAGAGGATGAAAAACGTAGAAATGAAGAAAAGAAGTCCAAGAAGGAAGAAATGGAAATGATTGATCTTTAGTTTGGAAAACTGGTTTTGCTATCTAGTTTTGATTCCAGGAATAGCGGGTGAGGATATTGCCGTATAACTGGAGTAAGTTTTGGCGAACATTTTCATTTTTTTAAAATTTTTATTTTTGACATTTTAAATCAGTTTCTATTATAACGAGAACTTGTTCTTGAATATCGTTCAGTTTTTGACTTGATTATACCGTCGGTTGCACTTGTATGCACATAAAACTAAAGTATTAAAATGTATGTGATTAGATATGGTGAGTGTGCACTTTGCGAAAACCCAGGAACGAATTTCTTCAAATTTTCACTTCAACAAATAATATTAAGGTGGAGATTTTCTATGGTGACATTCTACATTTTATATGTCATCAAGACACTCCATCACGTGAATTTGAAGTGTGTCCAAATCAGGGAATGATCCTTGACACTTCGGGCAAATCTTTCTTCCGACTGACTCGCTACTTTCGGATTCTAAACACTCAACGACATGTGTCTGCAATGTATCCAGATCGGGGAAAGCTCTTTCACATTTCGGGCAACGACCACCGGATACCTGACGGTTTACATCGTGGTCAGGTGGGGGTTGATGCGGGCTGTTTCTAGCTGCAGGCGGACCTCGTGGTGCCAGGTATTGATCATAAAACCCGCTCCAAGGACTTTCGTTTCCCGCCTGCATACTGTTACCGCAACCATGACGCCGTTGCATTTCAAGCAACCTGCTGCCAGTAGGATCATTTGCTTCCTCTTTGAAACGTTCAATTTCCGCTCGAAGTTTTCCAACTTCATTTCTCAATTTCTTATTATCATCTTCAACTTTCTGTTTTGTTTGTCTTTCAGTATTGAAATCAGTTTGGTAGACATCCAACTAAACGAAAAAGAGCGTAACTATTTAGGCGAAAGAAGACAAAACTGGTCCGAGCAAACTATATTACACATGTATCGTCTTATGCTGGTGCCTTTCTTCTAGTTCTGGCTAAACATTCTCTTATTCGTTGACGTCATTAAAAAGAAAACCTCATTAATTTTATGGCTTGATAAACGGAACTGCGTGTATGAAGTGCGTACAAAACATGGGCAGCCCGATCAATGCGGTTACGTCATACATCTACATTTATGAAATCAATACGTGAATGCTTTTTTACTGTTGCTTACGGGAAAGAAAATCGGTAAAATCAAAATAATAAAAATGACCAACCTGTTGTTTTAACCAAGGCAAAGTTTCCAATTCACTTGCAAGACTTTTCTCACGTGCCTGCATTGCGCGTATATCAGTTTCCTTAAGTTCCACCATTTCTTCAGCACTCACCAACTGCGCCGTAAGATTGTCATTTCTTGATTGCAAATCTGCAAATTCAGTTTTACTAGCGGCCTAAAGTGGTAGCATAAATATTGCTTCATAGAGATACGTAGCAATTGCTTTCTCGCCGATCGTTTTTGACGAAAACGACAATAGCAGCTTTTTACAAATCTATATAATATGCAGTAATTGAAAATTGATGTTCTGTAATTAAAATGCACGCAAAACTGACCTCTCGTTCTGTTAACAACTCATTTTCCGTATAAACTGCAGTTAGCTCTTTCCTGAAATAAGACATGACATGATTTTGTAAGCATGCATGAAGACAACTTCAGTAACAACAAATATTTGTAAAGCTGCCATGGATTGCTACGTATATAGTGCTCGCCTAAATTCGTATTTGTATTTGTGGTCACATCTTTAATAACAACAAAACAGAAGTCCATCATTTACTTCTGGTAGAGTTAAAACTATAGTTCTTTAGCAGCACCTGCTTGGTCATTGCCATTTGCCAGTTAAATTTACAACTTGATTTGAATTCAGTATGAGGGAATTAATGCCAAAAGAACTATAGCATTTGATCGAGGAAATTACCTCATTTCATCAAGAGCCGAACTCATTTTTTGACATTCCAGTCCCCGTCTGAAACATAGAAACAACAGAATAATTTATACATGCATATAAAGAAAAAAATTTCTAGCGCTGGTTACAGGATGTAATGGCTATCTTTGCGAGTACGTATATGGTCTTGGGCGTAAATATATTTTATATTTTTTTATCCAAACGGGAAACGTTACTGAAGAAGGATCCATACTAGGCTACTAGCACACATTATTACTTACCTTGCTTTTAAGTCGTTAAGTTCCATATCTTTTGCTTGTACGTCTTGATAGAATGAGTAAACTCGCGCTTTTAAATCATTTTCTGTATCCTAAAATTCAAGACACGTAAATTTAATAGAAAATTATTATTATAAATTACAGTAAATACTGTGCTGTAGAGGAGAATTCAAAGCCAGAGGGAGGCTCTCTTGACGAGGGTGAAGCAGTGAAATCGTCCGAAATGTTTGACGTCATCATAGATATTAACCACTCATGACTAGGATGTCTCGGAGATGATAGATCATAACTTATAACCAGTGTTTTAAGTCACAACCATCTTTTGTATAGGACTTTTACTCTTGGAATTCTACACACAAAATGTAGTCAAGCTTTTTTTAATAGTGTTCATAATCATAATAAATGATCGATTTTCTAAAGGAAAAGGGGAGCCTAGAGCCTCAGATCTTGAAGAAGGGGGAAGAACTTCATCAATAATAGACATTAGTCATCACGTTTAACGCTATTTGAAATTAACGATAATTACATAAAATATATTTTAATAAATTTGGAATTTCTCTAACGATACGATAATACTAAATTATTAATCACATTATTACGCCAAATACTTCTAATAATACTTAAACTATAGACTATAGTTAGAATTGGCATTTGGCAGTACGTGACACACATGTTTAATATTTACCTCTTTTTTCTTAAGTTCCTGACGGAAAGCAATGTCAGTTTCTTTTAACTTTATTTCGAGATCATCATTCGTGGCTAAACTCTCGTCCAACTCCTTTTGGATGGCCTCGCACATATCTTCTTGTTCCTGTAGTCTTTCCTGAAGTTTGCTTTTTGCTTCTTCAATTTCTTCGAGCTGGCTGCCGTCTACTTTCTCAGCTAATTTAATTTTTATTTCCGAGAGTTCTTTTTCAAGATCCTTCTTTTCTTTTAAAATTGTTTCTTCTTTCCTCAAAAACGCAGTTTCCCGTTTGTCGAAAGTACGTTTCTGTTTGACCATTTGCTCCTTCAATTCTGCAATTTTTGCTTCGTATTCCGAGATGTCAAATGAATCGCGAATGCCCTAAAATGTAGTCAAGTTTAATTATAATTACTTAATTGACATATTGAATTTGGTATTAATTTTGGTTTAATTGGTATTTAAACCTGCTTTGTTGAAACTCGTTAGAATTGTATACACTCCGTAGATGTATCCAAAACATCAATATTGTGTTCCAGGGTGAGCTCATGCATTAAACGGTTACTCTACTATTCTATTGTAAATTTGTAAAATGGTCATCATTCATCATTGGAGTAAATCAAGACAAATAGCATTATCCACAGATGGTTATTTTCAGTTTATTCTGGCCCAAACGTCGAACTGTTGTTTGCCAATTTATTTTAACAATTTACAACAAAAATGAAATACTTTCATTATTAAAAACAGCATAACTAACCAGTTCTTGCCCTTTCTGACCTAAAGAAAAGCTATCCTCGGTTGTCTGACTATCACGTGAGATAAATCCAGCTTTGAGCCTGTCCATTTTATCCATGTCTTTTTCGAATAACTTCATTTCCTCTTGAACATCCTGCATTTCAACTCTCTCCATTTGATTTTTGTTAAGATGGCCTTGAAGTTCTGTAATCTTTGATTCAAGCTGAGATCGTGTTTCTTCTTCACTTTTAAGTTGTTCTTTTACCAATTTAAGTTCCTCCTCTAGAGCATTCTTTATGGGGGCAGGATGGTTGGACTTGAGGAGAGGTTTGATTGATTCTTCTATATCTTCATTTAAATGAACCAAGTCTTGTAGGAGTTCAGTTGATATGGATGTCTAAAAAAGGTGTATGCAGTTTTCAACACAAAATTTTTGTGCTCTTATGATGCATATATCTGGGGCAAATAATTTTAAATTTTGACATATGCAGGAAAGAAAAACTGAATCAGTTGCTAATCATAAAGCAACTAAGAGATACAAGGTGTGTAAAGTAGCTAATTTGACTATTTTCAATATTCATATAGCTAAACATTTGTGTTTGGTGATGATTACAAGTGTGCTGAAGTTAACCAGGGTGAAAGCAGGATCAGCTTCCTGCTACCATTTAATAGTATCATACATTCACCATTTGATGGTAATTTTCACTTAACACCATGTCACATTTTTTATGAGTGGAACATTTTTGAAACAGTATTACTTAACATATCAACTTTTATGTGGAAAGGAGCATTTTAGGAAGCTGGAATATCCTTTACAAATTACAGAACAATAAAAGTACTCACATGCAACTCATCTGGGGTTAATCCAGAAAGATTGCCAACAAGTTTTTGTAAACTACAAACAATTTCTTTAAAATTACTCTTCTCTAAAACATCCAGCTTTTCAGAATCCTTCTTCTCATTCTGTTGTTTGTTTTCCTGGATGTCTTCTACTTTTGGAGAATGTTTATTTTTTTCCTCTTGAAGCTGTTTTTCAAGATCAGAAATTTTCTGATTTTGCCTTTCAACCTTTGTTTTTGCTTGTTTGTAACTTTCCTGTGTGCCCAACAGTATCTCACCTTGTTCGGCTATTACAGAGTTTAGCCTTTCTTGGCAAAGCTACAGACAAAAACCATTAGGAATTAACAATAAGAATTATAATATAGATAATATATATTCTTTTAGGTGCTTAGATGTCCTTGGTGTATCATTAATAAGGAGATTTAGCATGAGTCTTTGATATTCACTAATTTCATGCTAAATCTCCCTAATGTATGTCTGAGGACCCTGTAGGATGATGTGTTGCACAAAAAACAAGAGTGGTTGCCCATCTCTTAAGTATTTGACATCTCTTTACACCTACAATGTACATCATGCCAGTATATAAAAACTAGCATAAAAATACACAGTAAGAGGGATTATTTTTTTATCACATGTTTTTTAAGTGAAATACTAAAAAGCATGCCAGCCTGTTTGTTTTTATAGAGGTGCACCAATTATTATAAAACCAATAGTATCATGAAGTCTCACTTGGGCTGGGCTGATAAGTGACCAGACTGGTCTCTAATATACAATCACCTCTTAGTCTGTTTATTGTTAGCTACATGGTTTAATGGTATTGACCAAAGGTACATCATAGATCAATTCTCAATACCAAAGTAATTGATTCTATTGATTTTATTGATTGCACAAGTTGGGCTTATTATACGTACCCAAATACTGACCACTGTGTATTATTATGTAACAACAAAATGTACCTTTTTATTATTTAGCCATTACGTTGATTATTTAGTTTTTATGCTAAGAACACTTTTCATACCTGCAGTGCTTCCTGATAATTGTCTATGGCGAGTCTTAATTCTTTATTCTCCTGTTTCAAATGACGCACACGATCTGCTAGTGCTTTTTCTGCATCACTGAGAGGAATTCCTGAATCAGTTGAACTCACATCACTAGAGTCCGATCTAATACTTCGAGCGTCATTTTGGTTTATAAATTCATAACTGTCAGTTTCTGCTGGAAGAGAAAGCTCCTTATCCATATTTTGAATCCGAAAACAACCGGTAATTGTATCTTGTATTCGAGATTATCAGCACAATACAACGCCAGCGAGATGATGTTCCGAAATTTTCTTAAAATTTTCCTGGAATGAAGCCATCACGAATTCCAAAAGACGAAGTTAGTGCCTTGTCGATACGATCTTTTGCTAGCTTTTTGCTTTCAATAGCTTTCGTATTATAAAGTCGCTATAGAATCGCTCTTCCCAGTGTTTAATATTCTGGTTTCGAATGCCGAGGTTTCGAAACCGAAACTGCGAGTAAACTTTACCTGTCACGTCCCCGGGTACAAAGGAGTGCGAGGGACTTTCCGAAACATTACGTCATCCTTCCTGAACGACGCATTATCATGGTGGGTGATGATCCTTGGTATCATGAGGGAGGTTGACTTCAAAAACAATAATATGAGCTAATAAGGTATGTTTTCTGAATTCCATATTTTGGATGGAGGACTTGGATCAGAGCTATTAAGACACGCTGTCCCTGTGACAGTAAGTATACTAGTATTATTATTGTACTACCATGAATAATTTTGGAAATGGAATTGTCACGTTACCAAGCAATCTATTGTATATTTGCAAAACATCCATTGTCTTGAAAAGCATCCACAATATCATACGATAGAGAATCAGCCAGAAAGCTTGCTCAAGGAAATTTTCATGCGAAACTTTCGTGTGTGTTTACATAAATTAGCTAGTATTTGTACATGTCATATCCTGAGGTGTGCAAGCAATATTTAGATGAGTCATGAGTACCAGTCATGTTCAAAAACAACTGGCTTGGTCCCCATTATTCCAGTTATGGTTGCATTATATATTTGGAAAGACATTGTCAGCTAAGTGGCTGGGCTCCCTTCTCCTCCCCCCTCCAAGCCTCCCTAATTCCTAATATAACCTAGGGTCAATTTTCATTTCTGACTAAACTCAATAAGAAGTGAAAGGTTTACAGTTTTAAAGTTTTACAAAAGTAATATAGTGAATGGAACATCTGATCTATTTTGAACCCTCCTAGAATTTCATTCTCCTGAAAAAATTATCACAATTAATTAATTACATCATATGACTTAGCATCATTACCAGACTTTTGATTCCAGCCGGTATCAATTTTAAAAGCTACTATTAATTAAGGAGATTGTATATATGTATAAGTAAAAAGTATCTATGAGCTCCTCAGATCAGCTCAGCCCAGGCCATGCACACAGGCACTCCACTCCCAACTGGGCCCTTACTGAACTTTGTGGCATGACTCTGCATTTTAATTTGCCTCAGACCTAGCTTGATAATGATTACCTTGGAAGTAATCAAGGAACAAATTTCATAGTTTTACAACAACCATGTTTATTTATGTTCTTTATACATGTTTGCGAATGCAAGAATTTTTTGCGATATTTATACATTATTTTAATGCTTGTATCATCATATTAATTGATTCAAAATTTGCCAAATTCACAAGGCTATATGTTACAAATTTTAGCTGTGTACAGATAAATTTCCTTAATTTTTGAATTTAGATTTAGTTTCATAAATCATAATTTGCCAAGGAGAAAGTGACGATAACAGTTTGAGAAAGTTTTTTCTTAGAAAAAGACACAAAATATTGAACTTGATAGTTTCCGTTGAACACCACATGTGAAAAATAAGTTGATTGAGTTCACATATTATTGATCTGTGAAAAGTGTTAATTTATCCCTATGGCGGCGCTACTATCATGTCTGAGTAATAGCAAATATTTGTGAATTTGGTGATTGTAGTTCATCTCTATTACGAAGTAATCAAACTTGATTAATCCAGCTTAATTAATCCAGCTAAACTTTACTTAAACGCTGATTAAGTGTTTGACACTCGAGCTGTACACACAAAACCGTAGCTGTTTGGCTGTGGGAAGGAATCAAGAATTCAGAGTCAATTAGTTTAACAAAAAAATTCCGAATCCAGAATTCCGTTCCAGAACAATTCTTGATGGATTTTTAATAATTCTTAGGGTGATTCTCTATGGAGTGCGAGAGCACTTGTGAACAATTCCGATGTTATAAAACAAATCCATAAAAGGTTTGTAAAAATTTTAGGAATTTTAGAAATTTACATTAATTTGAGACCAAATGTCAGCTATCTGGGGAGGGGACGACTAGGGTATGCAATTGGGTTTAAAATTACATCAATTAGAGGGTGTATATTCATATATTCGTCTTATGCCCAATTGATTTCTTTTGTACGCTATTGTTCCTGCGGTATATAAACATAAATATATGAATTTACACACTCCCCAATTAAGCAATCTAGAATCTAGATACAGCCCTAATTTGATCAAACAAGAGATTATAAAAAAATTCCTTTATGCTAGCTTTCTCCTCAGTGGTGCAAATATTATTCTGACAGCTTCATATCAGGTATGTGGTGCTTTAATATATTTTTGTATTATCACTATCATGCCACTCTCCTCTGCAGAGGCTTTCGTGTAAGAAGTCTTTAAGAAGTATTCAAATTAGTAGTGGGATAAAGGGGCAGAAGTGAGCCAGGTGGTGGCGTACAAGAGACGATCATTAGGGGGCACATATTCATATATTTATGTTGTGCAAGATTGATTTCTTTTCAAATCTATTGTCTTTACAGGTCTGTTAACATGAATATATGAATATGTGACCCCCCCCTCGCAATTATCCAGGCGTGGTTTGCCCGCCAGTGTGATACATGTGCAGATGTGCTTTATTTTTTAATAAGCATTAATTTAGCATTAATCGTGACATCATAGATACCAGGTTTTGATCAACTGAAAATCGATACTTGATAGTCGGAATCAGTTGGTTTTTCACTTTTTGTGTTGGAGTTCTTTCTTTTTCCAACATTCAACCCATGCATTCCTGATTAAACCCACCAATAGATTAATAGCAGTTTTCATCTGCGCATGACGCCAGAAAACGCCGGTTAGAGACACAAATTTTTGTGATAAATTCTCATTTAGGCTAGCATTGATGGATTTTGTCGTTACGCTCAATGTACAAGGGAAAAAGCAACCAGTTTGATAAAGAAGAGCGTGTTAATAGCTAAGGAGTCTTGTGAAGAATTTATTCAAGAAACACAAAAGGTTATATGAAAAATTCAACTAGGAAAACTGATTACATGATTACAATGCCGTAATTTAAAAGCGAAATGACGTGACGTTAGTGTTTTTCTTGGGAGGCATGGAGCTGTATTTTTTCTATGGCAAAATGGAAATCTGCCGTCTTTTCAGTATTCTCTGATGTTTAACATCATTCAAACATTTCTGACAAATAGTCGCAGCTTTCTATGCTGACAGATTTTCTACTTCAAAAGGTCTTTCCCTCACCACTCTCGTCTCTCTGGGGGAAACAATTTATCCGACGTCCGAAGGGAATATTTCCCAACTGACGATAATTGCCTAACAGTCGGTGGGTTGAAACCTCCCACGCCCTCCACCACACCTCCTCACACTGTAGGCTCATGTCACAGGCGGCTTAATTAACGTATTTTTATAAAACTTCAACGTTTGGACCAAACAACCAATGTGAAATATTGTGTGTACCAATCTGTTTTTGAAGAATACGTGGTTAGAAAACTTTCAGCGCCTAGTTTTAATTTGGCTGGCCATAAAAGGTATGACGTAATTATGCCTTCTGACAAGATTATCTCTCAATGTTGCAGACATTATCACGTGATCTGCTTGTCGGTGGATCTGTGGGACCTTATGGAGCCTGTCAATTTGATAAGTCTGAATATGATGGCAATTATGTGGATGAAATGAGCGTAGAGGCATGTACATATTGAAACTGTGGATGCACTGCCACATTTATGTCAATTTTTGAACGTGCAATTTCCGTTTCTCTAATCAGCACATCGATGTAGACTGGAAAGCTCTTCTAGTTGTGCATCCGTCACATGAATGTTTTGTTGAATTTTTCTTAGGAATTAAAACGTTGGCACAGACCAAGGATAAAAATCCTCGTTGAAGCAGGGGTGGATTTCTTAGCGATAGAAACTATTCCTGCGTTGGTAATACAATCATTTACAAACCAACTTACGCATTTTTTCACTATCAAACGAAGACATTGTTGAAAATGTTCAGCATCAGGTTATAGCAATTGTTATTGGAATTGTATCATGTAGGCTGAAGCCGAAGCTATTTTACAAGTGGTCAACGAATTCCCTTCGATCGCATGTTGGTTGTCGTTTTCTTGTAAGGTAATGATGCATTGTCGAAGAGAAAACATATAAGATTGAAGACAAATAGATTGTTGGTGAATTATTAACGCATATGATGATGCACTCTGGGGCGAGTCCAAGAGAGTATTTTTTTATGGCCATACAACTCCTTTCAATCCAGGATGAAACCCACCTCTGTCATGGTGAATCATTTTGCGACGCAGTCACTTCAGTTGAAACGTACAAGCAGGTTTCTTATGTTTATTAATTATATGTTGTTCGTTATATCACGCTCTATTGAATTTTCTTCTTGTTGAGATGCCGTTATCGTAGTATTTCGTTGTTTCCTTCTTATACATGCATAGCGTATTTTGCTGACAGTTGATACTTGATATACGGTCTCATGCAAGCACGAGACTTCTCGCACATCTAGTTGGTTTATTGCCCGTTTGTTTAAAATCTCTTATTCAGGTCGAAGCTGTTGGTATAAACTGCAGCGCTCCTGAACATGTCCAGGTGAGATGATTAAAACAAATTAGATTTTAAGTTCGTGTCTGACTGAGTGGTTCAACAAAATTTGTTTCTAAAATATAGATATATAAGTGAGTTATTTTCCTCCGGATATTATGTTCAGGGATTATTATCAAGTATTGATGGAAAGTCAACGAAACCGGTTGTAGTTTACCCAAATAATGGACATGAATGGTGGAATAAGAGGTGAGTAGGTATGACGTTAAATGGTGTAAAAAATGGAGCATATGAATTGATATGATTGCAATTGATGAACCAGGTAGGAATTGTTATCGTGGTGTAGATATTGAAGCCCTCGTACATAAAAACGCGCAGAGCCACCATAACACGGACATATTTGAATATATTTTTGGAATATATTAGTTGTTTATGTCTGCAATCAATATTTGTAGATCTTAAAGGTTATAATGCAATTTTGCCTCTTTGTAAATAATACCGAAAATATATCGATATTATTGGTGAGTTGATTGTACTTTGTATAGATTTGACTGTAACCCTGAATACATATCTTATGTCTTGGAGTGGCTCAAATTTCATGAAGTAAAAATTGTTGGTAAGTTTCCTCAAGTGTCATTCTTCATTTCAACAAGTACGTTTATGTAGTAATAGGTTCCTTTGTGGTAAAATATTAACGAAGATATCATCACCCTGTTCCAATATAGTTTACTATTGTTTCGTTTACTTATAGGAGGTTGCTGTGGGGTTACACCTGCTGATATAGAGGATATACGGAACGCTGTTGCGGAGAGAATTGTATAAAAAACGCATGTATTTGATGCGTTAATAATGCATTTACTATATCAACAGCGCATATAAGGCCCTGTGTGTCTCTGAGTGGATATAACAACTTTTTAACCAATGTTTATATGCAGGTTATATGCTTTAAATGACATGCAATTTAAATGAAGCCGATGATAGTTCAGTAAATTTTCTCAGAAACGCAATAATTTTCTCAGAAACGTTAAAAATTAATTTGACCAGTTCAAGAAACGTTTAGGTATGGTGAAGTACGATGAGTGAGGGTTTTCATTACGGTTCCTTTTAAGATCACGAATATAGGAGATTATGTTTTGGTTAGGGTTAAGACTAATTTTGTTCATAAATTCTATTTCTAGTATGAAAAGTTGACCTAACGTTTATAATCACTAATCGATTCAAGAAAAATAGGTGCACAGGCGGATGTATAGTTATGAATGATCTAAGATTTAAAATGATCGTTATGAAAAACTCCTGACATATAATTTGTCTACACAATGCAGATAGAACTGGAGAATTTTAAAAATTGGATTTCTTCTGTAAAAATTCTTCTTTTTACGGTTGCTGCATGTGATCAGACGCTCAAGGGTGCTGAGTATTTTGAAAAAACATAAAACCTAATAAACAACGAAGATTGTGAGGAAACAAAATACGCAACGACATGAAATTACTAATAAATATGATAGTATAGTTGGATGTTCTGTTAACCTATGAAAAACCCAATGGCAATGTTATCGAACTTGAAACTAAGAAGCCTTCGTTTTCACCGGACGTCGAAAATTTATATTTTCATTATAGCAGTTATAAATGTATATGTTTTCATGCATATCTTTTGAAAAGACCAATATGCAAAGATAATATCCAAACATGAACAAAGAGCATCGTGTTTTCACTAATGGTATTGATATTATCCACCTTTCATTTTTCTTTCTATTATTTGCTTTAAATGTTCACCAAAATCGTTAAGTCTATTTTTTCTCATTCAAGCATGTTCAAGCCTCAATCCTTTTCATAACAGGGTATGTTTACCTATTAAGAAGACCAACCAGATGTGCCAAGATAAATATTTCGTGCTTTAGATATTAATTTTGGTTTCCCTACTGTTCTCGCGACAGGAGGTGGCCGCAGCTGCCGGAAGTGGTGAGCGAAAGACAACGTTGTTTCTATCAGTGCTCTAAAGAAATGATATGATTTAACTCGCCGACCAGCTGAGATGTCGAACTGTGGCTATTTTTGTCATGCTAAGTGCTGAAATGTGAATCAAAAGCAAGACGTGGGTCCCTCAGATGGGACTCAAAATATTTCAACCTTGTGCTTGTGAAACGAAGCAATGGAAATTATGAAGAAGACAACAATTTCAGCTATTGTTGTTCTTATGACATTTTCTTTATTTTTCTTTGCTATGTTAGTATGTCCGGGAAAACAATGTTCTACTTCTACTGTAGTAAATAAAGCAATTCCCAATGAAGATCAAGCGAGCAATGAAGATTTACCTATCCTAAGAGGAACACGAAGACTTATATCGCGGGCTTTTAACATTAGCACTCATGATGTGATGGTCGTGCTACACATCCAGAAAACTGGAGGAACTGTATTTGGTAAGAATTTAGTTCAGAATCTAAAACTTCAGCGACCGTGTGAATTCAGAGAAGATAATATCTATGAATGCAAACGGCCTGGTTCCAATCAAGTTTGGTTGTATTCTCGATATTCTACTGGTTGGATCTGTGGTACCCATTCCGGTTTCACCGAACTTGCTTCATGTATGCCGGAAATTTTACGAAAACAGAGTCTGGCTCCGTTGCGCTCAAATCGGATATTTTACGTGACATGGCTGCGTGATCCCATTGAACGGTTCTTGAGTGAATATGGACATGTAAGACGAGGTGCTACGTGGAAAACAGCGAAACATGTTTGCAACGGCAAGCAATACACGTTACCTAAATGTTATCGCGGTGATAACTGGCGTAATGTTAGTCTGAAAACTTTCCTAAACTGTCCGTACAATTTAGCATTTAACAGACAAACGCGGATGATGGCCAATATTAGTCAAGTCGGATGTTATGGAGGTGGAGATTCAAATGAAAAACAGAAAGCAATGTTACGAAGTGCAAAGAAAAACCTAAGAAATTTTGCCTTTATTGGCCTTGTTGAGTATCAAAAAGAAAGCCAATTTATTTTCGAACAGACGTTTGGTTTAGAATTTCGCGAACCGTTTGTACAACGAACCCGAACATTTAGTAAGACCACGCTAAATCGCTTGTCGCCAGGGGAGATTCGAAAGATCCAACTCACAAATAGACTTGACATGCAACTTTATGAGTACGCGAAAGATTTATTCCTGCAAAGATTGGAATATTTCAAAACACTGCCGTTGAAAAAGAAGCCGACTGCTTGATATTAGCATATAGACGTGCACAGCAAGATATAATAAACTGATAAATTTATTTATGAATCCGAGCAGATCGATTAATTGTAGTGTCATACACCAGTACAAAATTGATCGTTGAAATGTAAATAGTCAATAGACAATAGTTGTAGGTTTTCGCTTGCATGAATACTGTAAAATTGTACTGAAGGTGGTGATTGGATGCATTGTATTCACTTGAGTCGTTATTCTAATCTAATGACTTAAAAGCTGAGTACAAATGATATAAGATCTGATGACAAATTTATTATTTCAAATAAATGTGCGTAAACATAGGCTTATAATGATAAACAAACTGTCACCTTATCATACATTGTTTGTTTGTAAATTGCGGCATGCGAGAACTCTGGGTGAGACGAAAAAAAATGACGAACCGAAAGTGATATGTTTGTCAATATTTCGGTGCCCATGCTGTATATTGCACAGTATGGAAGGTCTGAAAAATTCCTCTGAGGGCAGTTCAATTAACTGAAACTTACGAAAGACGTGCTGATCAATAGCCGCTAATATTTTGCGTGACAAGTGATTGATGAAAAGTGGTATCACAAAAAGTGTTGATGTTTTGTTCCTTGTTCACAACTCTTCTCAGTACTCATTCTCTGTCTATTGGATGACAACATTGTGAAATGTAGCCAATTCAAGAGAAATTATCATATTCTCTCGGTCAGACACATTCAATGAATTAACGCAAGTATTGCAACAATAAAAAGGTGATACTTTTAAGGTGGGTGAACGCAGCAAGCGGTAGAGATCACATTCTATTGGCTGCAGATGAATTTTATAATTTGACAGAAAAGAGGGCAGTTTCGTGCAGTTACAATCAAATTACCTCGAGGAGTTCTGGAGACTTGAAAATACATCTTAAATCGTATAATCCCGTTTGTAATAATGATAATTCTTATTGTTAAGGGTACTATTTTGCAACAGACTAATTAAATAACTTCACACTTAGACCACTCGCTATTGTGCTTGACCGACAGATAACATCTGCCACTTTACACCCATAATTAAACATTAGATATATCGTGACTTAAAACAACTTGTGTATGGTGCCATGACAGTTCACACACGTCGTTCACGAGGTGAACAGTGCCAGTGTTTCAATCTTAGACACAATCTTGCAACTTGTCAAGTGGCAATTTTAGTATTAAAAAAAGCATACGGTGATTTCAGTTTTGATGAAGTAATTTTGTAATGCATGCATGAGCACCCTGCTAAGATTCTTAGTTCAAAAATGTTTCGTACTAATGTTTTCTTGGGAGAATTCCAAATAAGTCTCTGTAGTAAGACCAAGGCTTTGTCTGGCTCTCTCTGCAAGCAGATTATTGTAATTCCAACTGGTGGTACCTCCAGGTACGAAAATGTAAAAACGGTAAAAACATGCATGCATTGTTTGTGATTACTAATGATTTTACTACAAGACTAATGTCCAGATGCGATTGCGTTTAATCGTCAGTCACGGCGGTCAAAGAAAACGTTTCAAACTGACTACTATAATACTATAATCCTGCGTTCTTTGCTTTATTAATATATAATTTTACACACGTTTTGTTTACTGATTTCGTAAATATAGTCACAGTGATGATTAGCAGGCTTCAGTTCTAACCAATGTTTTAAGAAGTTTATATATACGAGTCGTGGTGGCCGTAGCTTGCTATGGTATCATTTCTTATGACACATGAAACGTGAGCCTTGAGACTGCAATAGGCAATAAGGTATTCAGCTTTCATAGACTCAGTATAGTCCACAATCCCTGTCTTTTACTCATCTTCGTTCCCAGTTTTCCGCGTTTTGGCAACGATTAGGTTCAAAACAGTCCTAATCCCAAATCTAACCCTAATACTAACTTGATCACAAGGATCAAATTCCTGTTTTTAGGATTTACTGAACATGGAATTACTACTGTACAGTCATTCTACCGCCTCCCTAAAAACGGGCTACATTTTTTCAATAGCTTTCTTTTCTAAACGCGCACCGCCTACAACGTACGCAACTGCATGGAGCGTGGTTTGTTAGCGTCAACACTAAATTACCTCCAGAAGTTGTCTTGATTGCATTTTCCATTGTATTCCAATTCCCATGTACTATATAGTTTGCATTAATTGAATATGTTACGGCATATGGAAAAATAATCTTCTGAGCTCTTTTTTCAATCGATTCAAGCTTTTATCACACAAATGTCTCATTATCGATTGCCACAATGGCAATCGCCGCATATTGATCACTTCAATAATTAGTCGACTTGTGGATATAGACGGACTCAAACATCGTCGCCAAGGACCACGATACTTGACGATATAAAACTTGTAACAAATAGCGTCTCTAGGGTCTAGCCTACTCGTCCAGTTATATGAATATCATCCATATTTAAGTCCTTGTTCAAATACACGTCTAGTCGGTAGTCTAAATAGTTTGACCGGCTCCGTACGTGAATGTGCGGAACCCACACAGGTTCTTGTAGAAAAAACAACCTCATGATGTCTAAATTACTCTAAACTAAATCAGTAATTTTTATCCGGTGCATGTTAGATCAAGTACTTGTACTTGTACTTGTACTGTGAAAAATTACTTTTATTTCAAAGTTTGAACTAGTTGACCCACTGTGAATTACATTATTGGCGAGAGAATGATTGAAGAAAAAGTCAATAATTTATGCATGCATGAAAATCTACAAATATCCACCAAAAGTTAGAATCTACAAATATTCACCAAAAGTTAGAATCCACAAATATTCACCAAAAGTTAGAATCTACAAATATCCACCAAAAGTTAGAAATCTACAAATATCCACCAAAAGTTAGAAATCTACACATATCCACCAAAAGTTAGAATCCACAAATATTCACCAAAAGTTAGAATCCCCAAATATTCACCAAAAGTTAGAATCCCCAAATATTCACCAAAAGTTAGAATCCACAAATATTCACCAAAGGTTAGGGAAAAAATGATGTAAAGTACGTAGTTAGTCGGTCAGAGGACACTATGCCACTATCCCCAGGTTTTCTTCCTTTGTATCTATAGACATCAATGAAAACATATGATTGGTCAATGGTTAATACTTATGATTTCCAATTGGTAGAGAAAGACGTCGCTAAGCGAAAGTAACACGTTTTGACTTTTGAGTGGCCAGTAAAATTGATTCGCGGAAGAACATCATCCCAAAAACGTTTTATTTATTAATGTTTCTACATTCTTCTATACATCGTTTGACTTACCAATAAAAAGTTGTTCGGCTGGAATCGGCGCGATAAACTCTCCACTTGGCAACTCGACAGCAACTGTGATATAATCAGCACTTATGTATTCCTTCAATGTTGCTACTATTTCGTAGCATTTCCCTTTTTCTAGGTAAACTGCCAGGGATTTCTGTTCATCAGAGGCACTGGAAAGAATGAAAATTTCATTTTTTGGGGGGTAAAACATTTCACTTTTTTGTATAGCTACATTTAGATAATGTAATATTGTCATGTGTTTTCAGCTGAGATTTGAGTATTATGCCAAAAATATTTAGGCTAACCCCCAGTCTCGATACTTCGTTGCTTTTTTCAGAGAAATTATCTTTCGAAGTGTACCGCCGCTTTCTCCATCCCGTAGAAAAACTTCACACTGGTCAGTACAAGCAACAAAAAATGTGTAATTTCCACTTTCCAAGGGCTACAAAAAAGAAAGAAAAACAATTTTTTGTACGTATACGCCAAGCTGATGCATGTTAATTTCTGATTACCACAGTGGAAAACTCGTTAAAATTATAAATTTGTCATCACTCTTTTTGTGGTCTTTGCATGTGCACCCAGCATATCAGCATGTCAGAATTGTTTGTTTGGTCTATTGTTGCTGCGATCCCATCTCATTTTACATGAAAATACCTGATAGACGGCCGACAAACGACTTCCATATCTACTTCCAATATTGGAATAATCAAATGTGGACAACTCAGTTGTATAGTCAGGATGTTGGGGATAGCGTGGATCTTGATACAGTCGTTCGATATCTGTTTTTGAAATTTTGTACCAAACATCAAGTTTTACTCCGTTGGCCCTGTAGCCTGTAAATATAATGAGATATCTAGAGAATCCTAGACGAGTCATGTGTTTCGAGTGAAATTTTGCAAGTTTGAAAATAAAATGCCCATTTTTGAGATTAATACTCTCAAAATCAACTTACTCGCTAACTCTGACAGATAGACTTCTACTTCACATAACGCTAGAACCTGGTATCTTCCATGAATGTTTATGGTTATATACCGTCCTTCTAATGGTGGATCACAATAAATTGCTCTAGTTTCGCCTCGTGGCATGGAGTGAGTGTGTCCACACCTAAAAAAAGTAAAAAAAGTGCGCAATAACCGTAATATAGTTAGGTTCTTGTGTTATAAAATCTTGCAAACTAGTACTAGCAATTATCAAGGGCATTTTATTTCACGCCAGCCACATTCCATAAATAAACTTTGCGTATTAATAGGCTAGGTTCGAGAAATGTGCTCGCCAATGTATGCTACTGCAGTAATCTTATTTTGCTATATTGTAAATCCTCACTACAGAGACAGTTAAATAACGTCAGTAAAACCCAGTTGAATAGTTATTTTCTCATGAAATCGTGACTATTAACTACTTATTACCTCGGATTAGCCACACCTGCTCCCATTGTGTTGTTACCAATATGGACGTCAAACCTATTGAGATTGTTGCGGAATTTTTCAACTACATTTGTTATCAATAATCCATAAACCTAGAACAATGAAAGAGGAATGATATTTAAGAAATAGAAAACATTTTCCGTGTTTCTATACAGTTATAGAAACACGCGTGGGAGTTTGGGAGAACGAGAGTATTTTCACGTACCTTCATCGGTTCCTGTAAGTCTATTTGGAACCAGGGGTTTGTTTGTGTTCTTGTTATGGCACATGAACCACCATAAGCACTCTGATCTGTGTTCCCATCTACGGCATTTTCACTGCTTGTGGACGTTTTTAATTGTGATGACATGATAGTTGATTTATTCCTTGCAATGTTTTCTAAAAGCAAAAATTAGAGTGTTAGCCGAACCGACATAGGCTATCATGTATCGGATGAATGCAATGATTTTGTTACACACGATGTCATGTGAATAAGTGATTTATTACCCTTAATGTTACGAATCAATCCTCCGCCATAACTTTCTTTCACTCCAACCAATAAAGGAATGATATCTCCAGTTCGACCGTACAACCAGCCTTTCAAATAATACTCATTCCAGATCTTCGCTGATTTGATAGACTTATCGCTACTAAGAACGGTCCATTGTTTAAAGACGTTTTCAAATAACTTGGGAACAT